CGGTTTCGTTGTCTTTGATCACGGTTTCGTTGTCTTTGATCACGGTTTCGTTGTCTTTGATCACGGTTTCGGCGACAAGTACCACGCAAAGCACCAGGCCAACGTGCAGCGGTGGATCAAGGATGGGACACTCAAAGTGGTCACTTGGGAGTGCGAGGGCATCGATAATGCCATCGATGGTCTTCTCGCTCTTTTCTCGGGGCGCAACTTTGGGAAAGCTGTTCTAAAGTTCTAAATAACGAACGTTGATAAGTTGGACGACCCATGCTCCATGTTGTTCTTTTCGCAGGCTGCTCTCACCTTTCCTCGACTCCCTTCCGTCTGGTTTGATAATCACTATCCCACAGCCGTTGCACTGGTAGGGTTTCGGACCGGGGCTGCTAGCTAATCTTGCAATGGATTTCGCCTAGAAATTCGGGTTCCTGCAAATGCGCAAGTCAGCAACCCTTGAGAATAGTGGGTGGCCTCATTATTTTCCGTTCCCTCGCTATTAACCCCTAGCCTCGGAGCTCTTGGCGCTCCACCTTTTAACGCCTAGCGGCCGGGCATATGATATAGTTTCATTCTCAGATCTACATACATGTATGTGTAGGATTGTCCTCAGAGTATTACATTTATCCCTTCTTATCATGACATGTCCCGGCATTGCGAGCAGCATAAAAGTGGCGCCACCTCCGTGTGGTCAAAGCTTGTTGCATGACAATGCTTACATCATCGCCCGTTCCCGCATCGTTTCCGCAGGTGGGTGAACCCAAGGCCCTATAGCATCTTTCCTACAGTCGAACTGCTCTCGATACTTCCGCCGCGACATGGAATGCTTTGTCAGAGGGGCTATAAACATAAAAAAAAAAGGGGGAGGGGGAAATTAGGTACAGTGAAGAAAACACACCGGGCGGGTCAAAAATGGGGGATATAAAGGAGGATCTTCGGCACTGGCTAGGACGGGTCTTCTTTTCCATTGAAGTCTAATCAGCAAGTAAGCTTGACAACCCATCAGACTCCTAGAAGCAAAGACTCGAATCCTGCTTCAAAATGGGCTCTCGAATGCGACTGCAGCCGGTCCCACCGGAGCAACTCACTCCAGATCAGAGAGAACTGTATGACGACGTTGTCGACAACATAGTCAGAACGCTGGACGACAGGAATTCCTTCATCACGCGCGATGAGAACGGCGCCCTTCTGGGGCCGTGGAACGCGTGGATCCACGAGCCCGTCGTGGGCAGTGCAATGTGGCACTTGAGCAAAGTCATGTTCAGGGCGGCCAAACTCCCAGAGACGCTACGCCAGGTCGCCATCCTGACGGTCGGGTCGCAATACAAGGCCGCGTACGAGGTGTACGCGCACTCAGGTCTCTCGAGGCACTATTTCAGCCAGGAGCAAGTAGCCGCGCTGGCCAGTGGTTCGGCACCGGAAGATCTGTCCCCGGACGAAACGCTGGTCTACAGGATCTCAAAGGCTTTGGTGTCGGGAGGTCCGCTGCCCGACGATCTATACGCCCAAGGTGTCCAGGTTCTCGGCCAGAGTATGCTGTCCGAACTCATCTTTTTGGTTTCCTTGTATGCTTTGGTGTCGGTCAATCTCAATGGGTTCAATGTGCCGGTGCCTACGCAAGGGTCATAGATATAAGGTATCCGGGGTACAATCAGCATGTTCGGTGTAAGATTTAGATTCGAATGCCATGAGCGAGGTTGACAAAGATAGTATTTGACATTGGTGACATGTTGGCTGAGGTTATTGGCCCATCGAACCGTCCCCGGAAGCGCCCCCAAAGATTCTGTAACCTACCTAAGGTACTGGGTACTTGTTAGGGTAATACTACCTAGCTGGCTAGGTACCACTAGGCAGGACTAGCACACGCGAGTCCCCTACCCGGTAAATGGTCCCAAATGCTCCCTAAATCCTGGAGTGCACAACTACCTTCTTTATTTAGACCTTTCGGTCCTTCTTCTACAAATACTTCTGCACAACTCATCCACGCTACTCTCATCCCACGATACGAGCAGCCTAAAGATGCCAGCTGCAGCGGGATGGATGGATCGGCCATAGCTCCTGACCTCAGCTGGACCTTGCTGGGCGTTTCAAATCACACCAGAGAGCCCTGGCTGCTCTGGGTAATGAACTTGCAACACGAGGTTCTGGCCAGGAATCTCACTTCCTCATCCACCTGCCACTGGCATGTGAATGAGACACCACACATGTATCCTCCAGGATCTGGTTCGACCCATAAACGTGGCCCATTTGGATCCCTCCTGTGAGCGAGAGGCGCAGACCCTTTGGGGTTCCGTCGAAGACTACCTCAAGAACTATCAAAAAGGTTGGACGTGCGTCTAGCAATGCTAGGGATGATAAGGCTCCCCGAAGAAGCCGTCAATGCGGAAGGGATGGACCATTCTAGCCTTGTCTCTATCGGTCTCTCTTCACACTTTCTATCTTGGCATTCCATGCCAGGCAGGTGTCCAGACAGCTTTGGCTATCATGGTGACGATAGTCGGGTCGGCATCGACAATTTCAGCATCAAATATGCCGAAACGTTCGAGAAAGGCGATAATATCGGCTGCGGACTCAATCTCGAGGAGGGAACCACCTCCTGTACAAAGAACGGAAAGTATCTAGTTAACTAGCCCCCATGATAACAGCACACACGCTCGTTCCCGCCCCTTCCGTGGCAGCTGGAGGTCCCTCAAGCTAATAAAAACATCTCTAATATAGGTAGTGCGGTATCCGGTGTGAAGGGCCAAATGTATCCCACCATCGGCATTTTCAGCCTGGCGCCAGAATCAAGGCCAGATTTGACGCAGAGCCACCACTGCGACCACGGATAGAACCAACCAACCCCTGGCCAGCCGTCCGCGTTCTCCGGATCTGATCCCCCCTCGCGATACAGATGACGAGGCACAGACCGAGTGACCGAGTGACAAAACGTCCATCTTGAGGCTGCTCGAATCTCCAGCGGAGGTCCCGAGCTCGGACCCTGATGACAGCGCTTCTGGGGGTTGCCATCACGAGAAGCCTCCCCAACCTTCGCTGTACCTGATATTGCCGCCTTGCTTGACGCTTGTGAAGAACAGGAGGCGCTCTCCGAGGCGTGATCCGGCGTTGCCAGGACGATAATCCTGGCGACTATAATCCTCAGAAGGACTGTAGTGACTAGGCTGGTCGAACTACCTCCTCAAGGTCGCCAGGACTACGAGGTACAAGTATATATAAATGATACACCTGTCATGACTTGCTGGCAATACTGGAAGTATCACAGGACAGAACCAAAGCAACATGTCTTCATACCAATGTCATTCCTCATGTTCGAGGCTGGTCGTAAATTTAATAGAAGATGAGAGCCCCTTTGGCCTTCATTTTTGAAAATCCTGGCCAAGCATTTTACCCATTTCGGTCTGAAATCACGGAGTCAAAGATTCAAGAAGTTGCCTGTACCACGTCCCACAGCTACTATGGCTTTGAGGAAAGATTGATCGGTCACAATGCTCCCTGCCACATCTTCCACTGTCAATATTCCAATAATCCGTCCACAGCATGGTCATCAGAATCAGGCACCCTGACGTGGGGAAGAGTGCCTGCTAGGCTCTCATGTATCGAGGGCAGACCATCAGACCAATTCGCAGATGGGACTGAAGGAGCCAATCCGGGGTGCCTTGGCGTATGCCCCCCGAGTTCAATAGCTAGAGCCTTGAGAGATTTGTAGCCGAAACTCGTCGAAGAAGCATAGGATCTTGCAAGAGGCGGCCTCAACACAGGTATGACGGGGTCGGGACCAGATGTGGTATGTGCAAGGCCCTGAGCTCTGATTCAGTCGATACTTTCGCCTGAAGAGCAGTTATGCCAATGAGATGTTCGTCGCAACGATAGTAGTGGTGTAATATTTTTGGGTGCTTTTCTCATGAAATCTAGCTTGCTTTGATGTGGCGGGATCCCAAGAAACATGTACCACCGGCTGAGGAGACTCTTGCCCCCCCCCCCCCTCCCCCTCCTCTTTCTGGAATCCCCATTTCTTGATTTGCCTGTTCAGTTGGCTTCGTGTGATGGGAATATTTTGTGCCTGGAATTCTCGCAGGATATCGACAGTGGTGGAGCCCTGATTCAAGTGCGCCAAAACCCTAGGCTTGAGTTCTTTCCATTGCTCCCTCAAAAGTCTCTTGCTGTAGCGGGGAGCATTTGGATCTTGGTGGATGAAAGAATCTGACTGGAGGCTGCGTTGAGCATTCGCCATGTCTTAAGGTATAGCAACTCGCAGGGTGTGCAAATAGCTGGCCAGTGTATGCTCAGGGAAGAAGTGGCTTCGAAGTGCTCTGGAGAGGACACGGTCAAACAAGCAGGATGGTGTGCTGAAATAGGACTCGCAAGAGACAAGGAGAGGCAGCCATCGTGTCGACCACTGGGCAGAAATCGAGCAGGGGTCTGCATAGTGGCGTTTAGCAGCATTTCCCGAATCGGCTTGCTGTGACAGCCGAGTGAGCCTCGTCTCTAGTCGTGGCAGGATTTGACAGGCTGAAGCTTTTTCAAACCCAGCATCATACTTAGGAGCTTTGAGGCGATGCTTACGTGCTGAAGGGCATCTTGGGCTTCAGAATGCGGAGACATGTACAACACTGCACGGCTTGACACGGCAAGGCTGAGCATGCAATGTCGGTGAGAAGCAAGAGGACCACGAAGACACGCGGTCTTCGATATCCCCTCGCCCAAATAGAGCCATGTCCGTCAAGGAAGGAAGCAGTAGCTGACAATAACAGATGAAAGAACGGACCCCAGAGCGGGATGATCAAGTACTGCGACTGCCTGGCCACTGACCAACGTGCCTCTTGGTCCACGCTGTCGTGATCGTGAACCTTTGCTATGATATCAAGCACGTTGGGTGCCAGTCACCGCGAGCAGTGATGCGAGATGGAATGCGGAGGCTCTTGCCAACCCAGAAAAATCTTGGACGAAAAAGGAGTGAGCCGGTCGTGGGCCACGCCGGGGGTGAGCCTCGCTCCCACCATAGCAACAGCCGCCGTATGACAATAAACGACAGAAGCCCAGACCGAAGGGGGAAAGGGTGAAGATTCGAGATGGAGCAGTTGCAGGTCAGTTGAAAAGAATGGTCCTTTCCTACACCCTTACTTCCCTTCCTCGCTTCTCTCCCTCTCAACTTCATCCGCCAACTCGCCCAACGTGCCAAACCTCCATCCATACCCGACCTCTCCTCGGTCGTGAATGCCCCTGATAGCCTCGTTCCCACCCATGCCCGCTCCCTTGCGATTGATCCACACGCTGGCCAACCCCATCTTTTTAGCAGGGATGTGATCATGGAAAATACTCTGCGCGACGTGCAATATCTCGTGCTTTTCCACGCCGGCGTCCTCCTTCGCGTGCTTGATGAGATATTCGAAGTTCCGCAGGTCCGGCTTGTACGACCCGATGTCCTGAGCCGTGTAGACGCGGAAGAAATCCACGCCCTTGAGCGGGCCGGCGCAGGTGCGTGAAAAGCTCGCCCGGTCCACGTTGGAGACCGGGACCAGTTTGTAGCCGTGCCTGACCAGCCGCTGACAGGCGTCGACGGTGTCCGGAAAGGGTGGCCAGGTGCCGATGCTCTCGCCGAACTTCCTCGCTTCCTGCCTCGTGGAGTCGGTGATGTCGACCCCCAAGTCGGACGCGAAGCGCAGGTATATGTCCTCTAGGAGCTCGTCGTACCTTTGGGACGGATTCTTCGCTTCCAGCTCATGTTCGACGTCGTTGAACTTCGCAGCGAGCTGGATCCGTCCTTCCGACCCGGGCGTCGTGCTGTCTTGGTATTCCTGGCTGAGAGGGGAGGATGAGGGGATTCGCGCCACTAGCGGTTGAAGCAGCTTGACAATGGCGGTTTCCCAATCCACGAGCGTGCCGTAGATGTCGTATGAGATAAGTTTGTAGGATGATAACGGCCTTTGGGGCACGGTGGGCGCGGGCATGGGCAGATACGAGTCGGATGACATCTTGTCGTTGGGCTGTGCTTCTTCTCTTCCACGCAGGCTTCTCGGGTATGAATAGCACCGATCAAGTGTCAAGTTAATGCCGCTTTGGACGAGAGTGCTTGGCTGCACCAAGGGGGCGAGGCGGCGGCGATGGCGAAAGATGAGTTGTCTTAGGGACCATCAGACAAGAGGTTTGCAAGGACGGAGCACAAGATATATGTAGTTTTCGAATGAATGTTTCGCGCATTTACTGTCATGATCCTTCATACACAACGCGCCTCAGGACGATGCCACAGGGCGTGAACAAATCCTGCAGCGTTTCTCCGGAGGCCGCCCGTATTTTCCCCATTGCAGTTTGAGTCGTGTCGACGCTGAATGGATAACAGGAATAGTAGGAACCCGTTTCTCGCCATCCCAGAAAACATGGAAAAGACCGAGTCTGCCGCCGCCTGTATTCTCCCAGCGGACCAGTGTCCAATGCTTGAAAATCGCACAAGAAGAAAAAGCAAGATTGACCCCCTGAAACGCCCCCACGAGTTTTGGCCGTGTCCTTTTTCTGATCACTCTATCTGTCCTCATTAGGGTATCTTTAGAAACATCCCATCCGTGCAAAATATGGCAAAGAATATGCATTCGAAGGTGATGTCGTGAAGATGGAGGGGCCGCCAAAGGAGACTGCCCTACCGCATCTAGCGGTACTGTCCATGGGGAAGAGGTGTCCCAATCGAATCCTGAGACTTTGTAAGTCGCAGTGCGAACCATCAGTAATCCGTGGCTGTCACCTTTTTCCGTTTCCTCTGGCTGCCATATTCGTCGCCATCTCCATCTTCAAAATCCGAATAACCCTCTCCATATCCAACAAAACTGTCATCGCCATAACTCCGCTTTTTCCCGCGAGTCTGTCGTTTTGCGTCTGCAGAAGGTGGTTGAGGTTGTCGTACCACTCCGTTTGCCACCGGGCGCGGGATGGGCTGTTGCACCGGCGCCACGTTCGGTTTCGGCTTGTCGAATCCGAGCACGTCCTCCCAGTGGGCGTTGTTGCGAACGGTCCCCGGCTGCATTTGCATGGCTTGTTTCAACTTGGCTCTGAAGTCTGCAGTAACTTCGATGCTGGATTTCGCATGCTCTGCATTCCACTGCTCATCCGGCTGAAGACCCCAAGGAGACGACCCCACCCTACGCCGCAACGGTCCGGGCTGATCTTCTTCCACGTTTCGTTCTCCCTTGACAGGCTTGTTTCGCCCAGCCAAGGCAAACCCCTTGATTTGACCTTCGTACGATTTTCGTAGCTTGTTGATTTTCTCCCCAGTCCTCGGATCCGTGCGGGCGACACTGTGTAATAATGGACCCAGCCCATATAATGCCAACAGATGCTGCTGCGGGTTCGGCTTCTGGCGCTCAACTTCTGCGAGGGAATCTGTTAACAAGCCTGCAAGAGTAGATGGTAGGTGGTGGGAAAACGGAGAGTCTTACTGGATCTGCAGAGAAGAAAGGCTTCGCCCATGTCTTTCTGTAGTTGTTCCAGGGTCTTCTCATCCACCGTTAGTGGTGCGGCCTGCTCATTTTCTCCCAGTTCTGCGCTCTTTCCCTTGCTCGATCTTTCACCGTCTATTTCCATCTCATCGTTCCGGTCGTGATTTGTTGCCTCTCTAAGTGGTTCCACCTCCATATGATCCGCCTCTTGATCTCTACCCGATTCGAGTCTTTGCCGCTTATCCCGATGTTGATCGATATCATCCGCCATGTCGAAACCAGAAGACGTGCCCGTCACACTGTGTGCAGGAGTCGGCAAGGACGCCATGGGACGGGACAATGGCTGCTGGCTACGCGGTGCTGAAGCCTTTGGTGAGCTCGGAGACGATCGCCCCGAAGCCTCGTCGGGATTATGTGTATTTCCGTAAGAGGAGACATAGCTCTTTGTAGCGACTGACATAAACGAAGGAGAGATGGGGGATTGCGGAAGATTGTCAGACAGGCGCCGTCGCTTGAGACCCGATTCAGGCGGAGAAGTTGGAGATGGCGGAATGGCAGTAGGCCGGGCTGAAGAGGACATGAAACCGCGCAACGACGTCCTTCCGCGGTGGTTTGCGCGCCACCGTTGATAGCGGAGGGATCGCGAAGATGCCGCTGGGATCCAGCAGAGCTGTCACTTGGGCACGAGCGGAGCGGGGCGTGCACAGTTTCGATCGGATTCGTATCAATGGCGACTCCGGGAGGGGGAGATGATGACGGCGGACGCAGTTGCCGATAACGGCAAGGACGGTGAGGAATGCAGCGGTCGTAGCACTCAGGGACGCGGTGAGAGCAAGGCGTTGGGGGGGGGGAGTGAAGTGGTGAGAGGAGAGCAGTTTGGCGGATGGGCGATTCGAGAGGAACAAAGACAGAATCGAAAGTCAAAGTCAAAGGCAAAGGCGACAGGTGACGGGGCAAAGACGAGAAGGCGAGGCGAGCGAAAGACCGCAGGACTGCAGACTGGGCTTGACTGGGGCTAGTGGGCTAAGGCCCAGGCGCTGGCTGCCAGCACCAACCAGGCGTACTGCGGACGGAGTACCCAGTACAGGGGACCACTGGCCCTCCACATTATTAGCAGCCAGGCGCAAACGGCATTAGCCCGGCATTGTTGGACTCTGGCTCTGGCTGCCGCAGCCGCAACCGCAGCCGCAGTGAGTCTCACGTGATCTCTCCCAACCGCGGTTACAATCTCCCGAACCTCTCTACTGGGTATTCTCTCCCACGCTTGGGTCCTTTATGTAACCTCCCGGATCAGTTCCACCACTGGTACCACGGTGTTCTCCATAATAATGCCAACCGATAGTCCGTGATGTACAGTAGGCACTCCTGTCCCTTATCTGTCTGACCGTTCTGTCAGCTTCCTCGACTTCCTCCATCCGCCTCCCAGATCTCGATCCCATCCTCCCGTAGTCATCCCAATGGAACAAAGAGCCAGTATACCTCCAGGGCTGCCCCGGGACAACCCCATCCAAAGTTACTGGCAAGATCCCCCCGATGAAATCGCAGATCGTCGAACAACTGCAGATCTTCCCGACGAGGTCGATGTCGCCATCATTGGCTCTGGGATCAGCGGCGCCTCTATATCCTACAACCTGCTCTGCTCGAATCCAGATCTCAAGGTTGTGCTTCTAGAGGCTCGTCAGGCCGCCAGTGGCGCCAGTGGACGCAATGGTAGGTTAACTCATCAGAAGCTGAGTGGTGCTCTTTGACCTTTGTTCCTCTTTTTGGCCGATAAGACTACCTTTCCCCTTGATAGTATACGAGCACTTCCTAACATGACCCCTTTGAAGGAGGTCATACTAAGACAGCTACCTATCGGTCCTTTCTCGATAATGTTAGATCCATAGGCGCGGAAGACGCCATGAAAATCACCAACCTGGAATACCACTGCATGGTCTCGGTACACCAATTCGCCCGTGAGAATAGCATTGACTGTGACTCCGTGAGATGCCAGACCGTTGACGTCTTCTACGACGAGAGGCAGTTCGAGACGGCCCGAGAATCGGTCTCGCTAATGGAGAAGTTGATGGGGAAGGGAAAGGCTCCGGAGCATATTTTCCACGACAGCCAGGAAACGGCCGAGAAATTCCTGGCACCAAACAGTGTGGGAGGGCTTGAGTACGAATCGGGGAGTCTGAGTGCCTATAAATTCACCACCGGCGTGCTAAAGCTCGCGTTGCAAAAGGGGTTGAATCTGCAATGCAACACTCCTGCGCATAGCATATCCAAATCTACCATAGACGGGAAATGGACCGTCTCGACACCACGTGGCAAGGTCATAGCCAAAACCCTCGTCCTCGCTACAAATGGCTATACTGCACGCCTGTACCCAAACCTGCAAGGCGTGATCGTCCCCCTGCGAGGGGTAGTGACAGCTCAACGCCCCGGGCAGGGCATGCCGCAAAGGGGTCTGGAAACGACGTACTCCTTCGTTTACAATGAAGGCTTCGAATACATGATCTCCCGCCCCGCCGGCTCTAAATTCGAGGGTGACATAGTGATCGGAGGCGGCATGCACGTTGCAAAAGACGAGGGAACGTCTGAGTATGGAAACACCGATGATACGACCTATGACGAGAACAGCGCAGACTATCTCTTAGCATGCACGGAACGATACTTTGGCGCCAAGAATTGGGGTACAGACAGCCCTGAGGGCCGGTGTCGTCGAATCTGGTCCGGTGTCATGGGTTTCTCGAGCGATGGGTATCCCTTTGTAGGCCCCGTGCCTGACGAGGCAGGGCTATACCTGGCTGCTTCATTTCAGGGGCATGGCATGGTCTTGTGTTTTCTGTGCGCAAGGGCTGTTGCGAGCATGATTGAGGGGAAGGATGACGAAGAGCTGAAGAGCTGGTTTCCCACTTGTTACAGAGTCTCTCTGGAGAGGATGAGGAAGAAGTTTGGAGGCCGCTTGAGGGCGTCAGGTGCGCCTGAGCCACAGCCCGTTGAGAACGGAATGAATTAGTACAGAGGCGAGCTACGTCTTGGACACACAGATCTCTTGATAGAGGAAAGAGGAGCAATGTTCATGTGCTAAAGACTCGGACCCGTAGAGGAAATGTATATTGTAGCTTGAGAGATCCAATGTCGACAAACTAGGAAAATCCGACCTCCCAGCAGTCACCGCCATCTAACAACAACAACAACAATGGTTTCAATCGGAGCGAAACGGACACCGACTCAAATCAAGTCGAGGCCAGAAAGGCTGGGGACGAGAATGAAAATCCACCCAAACATGAGTCTTGGATCTTCCTTCGCCCTCAGTGCAGAGCAGGCTCCAGATTCGTCGTTTCTACCACAACGCCGGTGCAAATGCTTTTTCACATAACCCAATCAAAACGCCGTCTAATGCTTGCTTTCCACCATTCCCTGTCTGAATGTCTTGATTCATAACAATCGTATCATGTCTCGTCAACCTGCCCCATGACATCCCCCGGAGGGGGGGGGAAGAACCCCATTTACTGGGTCTGACACTGCGCCGACTGTGGACCGTCCTCGTCCTCCCAGGCCTCTTGCGCCTCCTGACCCCCAATGTCGTCAATGTCGGCCACCTCGAAGCGGACTTCGTCCGCTTCCTCGGTCTCAATCGGCGGCTCTGGTCCAGGGAGGAGTTTCTGCAATTGCTCCAGCGCCTCGGGTTTGTCCAGGAAGAATCCATCTTCGGGGAATCCTATCTCGATGACGAGATAGAGATCGCCCTTTGCGTCCGATTTCTTGAGGGGCATACCTTCGCCGCGGATCTTGAGGACTTCACTGGGACGGAGGATTTGGCCTGGTTCTTGCGGGTGGTTGAGTTCGATACCCCGGCCGTCGAGGTGTTTGAGGACCACGCGGTGGAAACCCGTCAGCGCCTCGGCGAGGGTGATGTCGAGTTTTGCGCTGAGATCATTGCCCGTGCGTTGGAACACTTCATGGGGCTGCTCAACAAGGTGGAAGATGATGTCTCCCGTCTGCTCCGCCCCAGGAACCTGATCTGCCTCCCCTTCAAGCTTGATGATATCCCCCTCTCGAGCGCCGCGGGGTATGTAGAGTTCGAGTTGCTTCTTCTCCTCCGTGACTCTCTTGCCCTTGCACTTCTTGCATTTGTCCTTGGGGTTAAACACCTGTCCTGTGCCCTCGCAGGCACCGCACTCAACCATGCGCTGGGTCAACATGCCCGGCCCCACTTGACTCAAGACCTGTTTGACACCCTGCCCCTTGCAGGCGGAGCATTCTTTCGGCTGGGCCTTCTCGACACCGCCCGAACCCTTGCATTTCGAGCAGATGACGTTCTTGGTGGATGAGAATTTGACAGTCTTGCCTTTGTACAGGTCTTCCAGCGAGACTTCGTACTTTTGATTTTCATCGGGACTTCGTCGCATTTTGCGGGATCCCATGCCTGGCATTCCCATCCCGCCCATGCCACCGCCCATACCGAACAAATTCAGGATATCTTCCATGTTGACCTCCCCACCCATGCCGGGCCCGCGAGAGCCATCGAAGGCAGCCATGCCATGGGCGTCGTAGAGATGTCTCTTCTCGTCATCGTAAAGGATTTCGTAGGCTTGGGAGGCGGCCTTGAATTTGGCTTCTGCCTCTTCTCTTTGTTCGGCAGGCGCTTTATCGGGGTGGCTGGCAAGGGCCGCTTTTCTGTATGCTTTGCGGATATCGGCTTGTGAGGCGTCCCTCGGGACGCCGAGGATCTCGTAGAGATCGATCTCTGGGGCGTTGCCTGCTGTGTCGCCGTTCATGATTCAGGTCTGTTGGGAAAGAGACGAGTGTCGGGAGGGGTGTGTTCACAAGGCCGAGAATATTGCAATTCAGAAGTGAGGGAGAAAAATCAATAACAGATTGTTCAAGGCAGCCAACGGATGACTAGTAGGTACTGATCGACAAGTTCTGCTGAGGGTGAAGATGAGTGGAGAGGATTTTTGTCACTCTCGACTAGTAATTATGAAAATGAAAATGGGGCCTAAACTTCAACAATCCAGTGGCACCCTCGACCATCCTCTAGGAGCTATAGGGCTGCATGTGCATGGATACCTGACGATGAACAGATTGATACGGACGGCGGAGGAATACAAGTAGAAGCACTGGAATGGTTCAAATGCTCCCGCTCCCTCTTTTTCCTACTGGCCGCTGTGTGAATCTTCTGGTGCTTTCGAGTGTCAGGAATTTTTCTTGATTACCACATCTTGCATCCTTTCTATTACCGGCGACATTTCCCCGTCATTGCACATGAGGGCGAGGCCCGCTGCCCGCGGTCCTGGATGGGTGTGCAGTTCATGTCGTGCCCGTCAAACCGCGGCCAAAAAGGTGCATTCGCTTGTCCCGACTCGCAACGCCTCGACTACCGCGTCGTCGTCTTCCTCGAGCGGCACGAATTCTACCCAAAGACGAGGAAAGCTTCCTTCATCTCCAGCTCGAACTCGGTTCGCTCCCTCTCCTACGGGCAACCTGCACCTGGGCTCTATCCGCACCGCATTGTTCAACTATCTCCTCGCTAGAGCGACGAACGGCCAGTTCCTCCTTCGAATTGAAGACACTGATGCGAAGAGAACGATCCCCGGTGCCGAAGAACAATTGTACAGAGATCTAAGATGGGCAGGGCTGCAGTGGGACGAGGGTCCGGAAGTAGGAGGCCCCTATGGCCCATACCGACAATCTGAAAGACTTGCATTGTACAAGACACACATCGACACACTTTTACAAACGGGACAAGCGTACCGCTGCTTCTGCTCGTCGGACCGTCTCGATGAGCTCAACCGCCGTCGTCACGAAAAGGGGTTGAGCTTAGGCTACGATCGCAAGTGCCTGAACAGCGTCTCCCCGTCCCAGGCGGAAGAGAGAGCCCATCGCGGCGAAGCACACGTTATCCGTTTCCTCTCTCCGCAAGAATGGCCTCGTTACAGTGACCTCGTGTACGGCAAATCCCAAGGCCACGGAGCCGAAAAGACCAAACGACTGCTGGTTGATGAACCGGTGTATGAGGATGCGATCCTGATGAAATCCGACGGGTTCCCGACGTACCATTGGGCAAACGTATGCGACGACCATGACATGCACATCACCCACGTCGTTCGGGGGTCAGAATGGATGGCCTCGACGCCTCTGCACGTCGCGCTGTATAATTCCCTGGACTGGATGCCACCGGCTTATGCTCATGTCCCACTTCTAGTCGACAGCAATAAACAAAAGCTAAGCAAGAGGAACTTCAACTCGGATATCTCACAGTTCCGCAACCAAGGGATCTTTCCCGAAACACTGGTCAATTTCGCGGCGCTCTTGGGATGGTCCCACACTCAGAAACGAGATGTCATGGACCTCCCTCAACTCGAATCCCTCTTCAATCTAAAGATCACAAAGGGGAACACCATTGTCTCATTCGACAAATTGCATTTCTTACAGGAACAACATGCTCGCCGGCGCGTGCTGGCCGGAGGAGAGCACTTTGAGCAAATGATTCGTGATGTGGCTATTGCTGTTCTCGAGAAATATGGCGCTGGGAGAATCATGCAGTTTCTAGACACCGGATCGCGGAAAAGGCAATTGAGAGATGTCCTTGCCCAGCTACTGAAGGTTGAGTCCCTGCACTTCCGCACGCCATCTCAATTCTCCGAACAGTGTTCTTTGTTCTTCGAGCCAGTGACGCTGGGCGACTTGGACGTCAGCGATGTCGGACTCCTCCACCCTCTCCGCGTCGCAGCATCGACTCTCGCTTTAATCACTGAGAAATCATGGACCAGAGACACCCTCCACGCGCACCTCCGGTCTCTAGAAGAAGCGACCCCGCCTCCTCCAGACAACGCCGTCGACGACGCAACAACAAGAGCCTGGAAAAGGGAACTGTACCACTACCTCCGCTGGGCACTGCTCGGCGGAAGACAAGGTCCCGGGATTGCTGAGACGTTGGAAATACTGGGGAAAGGCACGTGTACAAGGAGGATTCAAGATGCGAATGCGAAAGCGCGAGAGCTGGAGACCGTTAGGACCAGGCCCACCATTGAGGCTCAGGGGTGGAAAGGCGACGTCGAGGGCAAGAGGAGGGTCGAGAAGGACTGGAAGGGCTATTCGCTGCGCCGGTAGGGAAAGGGAAACAACGCTGTCAATTACAAGCGAATTAGTAACTCCCCTCAATCAATATCCCGATCCCTTCCCTCCCTGGTCTCGGCGCCGGTCCTGGGAAGATGGCACCCATGACGGACAATGCGAACATTTGCGCCTTGCGATAGCTTTTAAGGGCCTATTGATCTCTTTCAAAACCTTTTACCTTTTCATGCCTATTTATTTGGCGTATCAATACTCGTCGCGAAGCCGCAGAGATCTCTGGACCACCAGGGACAGTTTTCCCGTTCATCTGGCCGAACAACAACATCATCCATCATCGTGACTCGGGCCACTCGTAGATCTTTTCCTACTCCGTAACCTCCCTGACCATCTCCCAATTCCCTTTCAAGTCCTCCTTCCACAGCGTCACTTTATTGTCGCCTCCCGACACTGCAAGGACGTTCCCGCTGAGACTCCAGCTCACGCGCCAGGTGACGGCGTCAAAGTCCAGCGTCTTCGCCAGCGTCCAGTCGCCCACATTGCCCGCGCCCGAGCCCATGTTTGTGCAGGTCCAAATCTTGACGGTCTTGTCTTGGCTCGCGCTGGCGATGTACGACTTGCTGAGCAGGGTGGGTGACCAAGCGACGTCGCGGACCCAGTCGGTGTGTCCGTTCGGCAACACCAACATGTTATCGTAGGTATTGGTCTGCGGGTTGAATTCCCATAGCTTAACGCTATTATCGCTTCCGCCTGTGACGAACCGCTTGACCAGGCCTCCGCTTCCCGCGTTGCCAGAGTCTTTTCGTGTGATCGCGCCTGGAACGGCGGAGGGCGCCCAACTCACCGCATTCACGCCCATGGGGTGCGCACCGAAGATGATGTGGCCCCACTGGTTATCTCGGAACTCGAGCACGGAGACGTTGCCGTCGGAGGATGCGCATGCCAACAGACAGCCAAGGTCAGGGGGTGACCAGGAGACCATGTTGACCGAGGCGGTGTGGAATGTGCTCGTAAATACCTGGGTCCATGAGGACTGTGATTGTTGACCCGGTTGAGCCTGCTGTGAGGGGGTTTCACGGTAGATGTGCACGCGGCCATCGTAGGAGGAGGAGGCGAGTAAGGTGCCGAACTTGGGATGGGCCCATGAGACGCACCAAACGGCGCCTTCGTGGCTGTATACACGGCACTCATTGTTAGTTACAAGACTTGAATGGTGGAAAAGAAGGGCAACGCTACCCTTTCAGTGTCTCTGTTAACCGGTGCTGATCGCCTTCGATTTCAAAGATCTTGATTGTCTTGTCGCTCGAACATGTTGCTAGTCGTCGGCCATAGTAATCGAGGACTGCATCGTGCTGTAAGAACCCATGATGCTCGAGTTAGCCACCTCGTTCTTTAGTTCTCTTCCACGAGCGATCCAGAAAATCCCCCTTTGTGGTCGTCGTCAAGGCAATTTATTTCCTGGGAGGCCCGAGGCATAGGAGAGCGAGACTGAGAGGGCGAGGAGAACGTACGATCATATCATCGTGGCCCGAGTTCGCAATGACTTGTGCCTGTTTTCGCGTTGTGAGGTCAGCCATGGCAACCTCACAGTCTCAGGGGCGGAAAGACAAGGCCAACAGGAGTAATCCAGTTGTCGGCGCATGTACACGGTTCTGCGCAACTGACGAAGGCGTCAAACATACCATTTCCACGTCAACTCCCCTCAGGAGGGGACTTCTGGGGCGTAGTAAGGGAAAGGTGCAAACGAAAAGATGAGAAAAGGAAGCACTACCGCATATCTAAGGAGTCGCGATACAGGTAGGCAGGTGCAGAGAATGCGCAGAACAAGGAGGAGTGGAGTCGTGAGCTCCTTGAAGTTGGTGTTTGCACAAGTTCGTGATCTGTCAACTACTGGTATTTGTTTGAGGACTCCAAATGCGCAGTTCAGCCTCGCCAGCCTCGTCCATTCCGCATCGAAGCATCCCGCTCCCGCTCCCGCTCCGCCATCTTCTCTTATCCAGCACATCCTTAGCATACTACCACTGCGGTGTGAATACCCACATTGACACTCCGTACAGTGGTATGTACTGGCGGATCTCCGTATATCCAGCAACACGCTTCTTTTGGTTGTTTGTTAAAAGCTGTTTCTGTCCTCGATTGATGCAGGGGCCGCCCCACAAGACACTATATCTCGGCCATAAAATGGCATCCATCAAAGAATCTGGGGTAGTTCTACACTTCTTTTCCAGCGCTAGGCGCAAGCAACGCAAGCCCATCTGGTATATCTGCCCCTGGAACCCAATCCGGCCCGAATGAGACGCCGTCCTGCTCTGATACAAGTAGCCCCAACGGTCACCCCTTTTGTCACTAGAGTTTCGATTCACCCCTAGCTGGCTCCAAAGTTATAATGCATGACCACCGTGAGAACCCGACCGCGTCTCACAAGATGAGGGAAAGGACAAAAACATGGCATCTCGACTCCGAGCTCACTTCCCATAGAGAACAGGTGCTGACTGATTACCTTCCGAGGTACAAGGTATGCTTGTGCAACCCTGCGTTCCATACGGGCAATTTCTTGTCTCGCTCGTAGATCAAGCCACAGCTATTGCACAGCGTCTGCTCACAAACACGACCAGTTAGCATCGTCTACCCCCGCAATCAAAACCAAAGGTCTCACAGGGACACGGGTGGAAAGCAGAGCAAAAAGCAATAGGGACAGAAAGACAGGTTGAACTCACCCTGGGGCCCATGGGTCCATCCCGCACCGCCCACACGGCACTGCCCCAAATAAGACAATGTTTACACCTCCAATTCTGCCTCTCGTACTCCTGCAATCGGTTACCTTCGCCTCCCCATCCTGCACCAGCAGAGCTTCCAGTAGCGTCCGGGGTCTGCGCCTTGGCAACAGGAGAGAGCGATCTGAACCGCCGTTTCTTCTTACTTCTCTCCCCCCGGCCCATCAGTGGCGTCTCCTCCCCTGTACCAGCACTGCCGATGGTGGTGTAATCGAAATAACTTCCTCGTTGCTGTGCTTCCTGTTCTCGAGCGGAGAGCACCATTCCAGCCGTTGAGCTGAATTTGGCAGTCTCTCTTCGCAATCTCCTCAGCTGTCGTTCTCTATCACCCTCTCTCTTCTCAATCTCTTCTTTGCTCAGGGCCTCGAATTTCGGTTCCCATTCGGCACCAAAATCGTCAATGTCGTATCGCCACCCGGCGCCTTCCTCAGCTCGGACAGCTTGATTGTCGATTTCACCTAAGGGATTTCCACCAATCATGAGCATGCCACCTTCGCAAGCCTCTTTTTTCAATCGCAAAACTGCTTCGTAAATTGCGTGGGTGATGGCCATGACCCATTCGCCGCCCAATCCCATGTCCGCACAAGTCTGTCTTGCAAATGCCTCCGCAGCACCGGGCGGATGTAGCAACGACCATTCAAATTTGTCTTGGTAGAGTTTTGAAGAGAGATAAATTGAGAGCGTGATTATGCAGCGGTAAGTGTCGTCAGGATTGAGATATGGATCTTCAGAGTCATCCTGCTGCTCCGTTTGTGGTTCCGGTGGCAGCGGAGAAGCAACTGCCGTTATTGATGCGCCGTTGGTCAATGTAATAGGATGGGGAGTAGAAGCAGCAGGGGTCCCGGGTGTTGTAGAGGCTGGACGAGATATTGACGCTCCAAGGAGAGGCCGGGGTGTGCCGCCACGAGAGCTTCCGGTGACGAAAGCCGACGGCGTGGGAGCGGGATTTGTGTCGGGCATTTGCGATCTCTTTCGCTGGGTGTGGAAGAGTGGATGCATGGCTACGCCGGCGTAATCCTCAAGCTGAGTTCGTATTTGTTGACTGACGTTCATCGCAAGGCCTGTTTGGTTAGGTAGGTCGAGCTCGCGCACAAAGCACAAAGCAAAGTCATCCGGGGTAAGCAGGTTCTCGTGTAGATTCCACAAAAAGATATCGCGTATCTTGTAGCCCGGCAATTGTTCAGGTTTCTTGAACATTGGTAGCGAAGGGTTGACTCCGGTATCGACCCCCGCGCGTGGCAGAGGAAAAGGAGCTTCGGGCTGGTGGGGTGGTACATCGAGATCGATACGTATGGGTATAAGGGTCAGTGGGAGTTGCGATTGAATATGCACCTGGGAATCTGTCCTGTTCGACACCACTTCGTCAATAGCGATGCCGCGGAAAACTCGAAAAGAGGGTACTGACGTGGGCCTGACTGTCCTCCTGATCATCCAGTCTCGGTATATTGGTTGCAAATCCACGGGTTCATGTATTTCCTTGCCCACCTTGTCATGCTGCGGTTCCTTTTTCTCAAGTTCCTCCCGTCGCAACGATCGCAAACCTGTCGGTCGCCGGGGACCTTCGCTGTCTTCAAAGTCGTCCTCATCGTAGGCATCATCTGCGTAGTTGATTATCGTTGTCCCTCGTTTGGTGGTGCGACCGCCTGGGGCGACATTTTGGGTCTGGAGAACAGGTTGAAGGAGAGTATTCGTGTATTGGCGGATTCGCGGGGGGTAGCTGGACACATATGCTTGCGCGGGTGCCATGGTTCATCGCGGTCAGCAAGACAAGTGACACGACACTATGACATGATCGGTAGCAAGGAAGGTCAGAAGAGCCCGCTCCACGCGGCACAAACCGTCAAACACTAATGGAAGAAAATGGCTTGAAGCGTGTCGCAAGGGCACAGCAACTTGGCGGCTTGGAGAAATGTTCGCAGTCGCGACTTTCAGTCCCTTCCGAGTAGGGTCTAGTGCCAAGGCTCTAATCTCTTCCGTCACCTCAGCCTTGCATGGCATGTGATCCACTTTTAACATGACGAGGCTGAAGTGATATACTCGTTAGATCTCTTAGTAGACGGCATGAGCACATGAGAGAAATTCACTACCGCCCCGCCCCACTATCACCAAAGAAACACAATTTAGGAGTTATGAATTTGATCTGCTAAATATCCTGTCAACATAGCCCCCCCAAGTTCTCATTGAACAAACAAGAACAAAACAAAGAAGTTGAACCAGCACTTGGAGACCCCTCAACTTTCGAGTCCTTTGGGGGGGCTATGTGAAGAAAAAGTCTAGTGGGTTAGGTGGGAGGGGCCTTCTAAATGACATGAGTTTACTGTAGGGGTATCTCACTCATGTCTTCCAGTGTACCTTGTGGCTGTTGTAAGATTGCTCGATAACCCTCTCCACCGGGGAGAGGGAGGAGCCGCAGCACCTACAAGAGAAATGGGGAAGGTAAACTAGAAGCCGCCGGAGCCGACTAGACTTTTTTTTTTGGCTGCTGCGTGCAAGAGGTCCGCTGTTCGATTCTCAGCCTTGCAGATTCATGTACACGGTTTTTTGTTTTTATTACCCCAAATCGCTAATGATAAACGTGGGCCTCAACTCGGCCAAAGAGACCGAGTGACTGTCACAGTGAAGAGGAAACCATATCTTGGTTGCCTCGTACCTCGCCCAGCTGTTTGCAAGAAAGCTCTGGCTGCTGAATCCACATTCACCTTTTCCATACTCCCATAGTCCCAAACATATGGATATCCCGAAAGTGAACTTCTTTTTCGAGTAATCGCTCAATGCAAAACGCCAAAACTGCAAAGGGAGGAAATGGGCACTTCTGTCACCGGAGACCGATAACACTCTGGATGGAACATCAGTAAAACGCCATGTCAGCTGTGCGCAAGGATGCTCACCATCTCGAGGGTCCACACTCTTCGAATCCATACTTTGAGTTTACCCTCCACTCCATCCACATCCATCAGCTCAACGCCCTCCCACCAGCATCGCCGGGCAGGTTTTCGCCAGAAGAGGAGTAGTTTTTGAGCCATGCCCACAACGTTGCTCCCTGCCAGATCTCCTTTGATGTCAGTCCGCAGTCTTGCAAGAGCCAAGCTGCAAATGACGGCTTTGTTTGGCTCTCCTGCTCGATGGCCCCAGGCATCATCGTGATTAAAACCGCTACATGCATCAGTTCACCGCTCCAAGCTGGCCTATCGGGGAACATACCCTGCGGTAAGCATTTCAATCAAATGCTGCTCCGTAGTCCCTGCTTCTTCACTCCGCTTGAGACCTGAGAAAATTCCGTCCTGCTTGAGTAAGGATTTCCCCGCAGCACGTTTGATTTCTGTCATTTCCGGCTGCTCAATGTCTGCTCGAGGAGGAATGACGTAGAAGTCAAGATCTTCTCTCAAGACAATTATCCCCGCCCGATCTTGGAGCATATCTTTGGTCGAACCTTGTAATGGCTCGATCGATATGGGATCATGCTCTGGTGGGGTGGTCGGGGAGGGAGATGTGGAGGGTATTGATTGAGCCACATCTCGGAAAAAGTTTAACATATACTGAAGGGAGGCTGGGTCATACTGTGAAGCATATGTTACATCTCCGATATAGATACAAGGATTGCTCAGAACAGTGAAGGGATGGGGACTTTGAGTGGGACATACGTCAACGGGATAGACATCGCCTTCATGAAACGAGTTCATATGGCCATCGGGGAGGAGACCGTTGGGGAATAATGATAGCAACACGAATTCGGGAAGGGTCAACAGTTCATCACGGGAGAGCGTGAAATGCGTTCCTCTGTCCAATTGTCAGTCTTCTGCACGGTGTATATCAGTTGCGTAGGGGCGAACCAACCTCAAGCTCAACGTGATGTGTTCATCAGCTGCTGCTTCCCCTGCTGTATGCCGACCAAGTCAGTCTTGGCCCTTTTTAAATCTTTCTCAATGGCTTCGCCACTCACCTCCCAGAGTGTTGATTGGCGGGCCTGTTTGCTGAACCTGTGTGATGATACTGGCCGCACCGCCTGCTGCCGCCATGAGGTATGTGAAAGACTCTAGAGGACTCGAACCTTCAGTATAGGGAGGCGGGGGCTCTGCGTCGTCAACAGCTTTGCCCGAAGAAGACTGAGCCTTGGTATCTTGTGGAAGGGCAGCTTTTGTCTCGCGCTCAGCCTTGGTCCCGGGTTCGTCTTCGGCGAGAGCCTCCTCAAAAGAGGGTGCCGGGGCAGAGGCGAGAAGCGAGTCGCAATGAGTCTCGGTGACGGTTGCTCTGATACGATCGAGCTCGGCGTCGGTAGGGAAGTAGAGAGAGGAGAAGGGGGGTGGTCGCGGGGACGGAGGACTCGAGGATGACGCTGCGGACCTGGGAGAATGCGGCGGCGGAGCAAAGTATATCTTTTCTTCGTGATCGAGCTCCTCGTCGTCGTCGTCGTTGTCGAAGGAGTTGGTAAATCTCGACAACGCCGTGGTGGGCGAGTCTCCTCGATCAAAAGCCGGAGGTGACAAGGTGACTGATTGGGTGCCGCGACTGTGCAACAAATCATCAAGCGACCAATGTGAACCGTGTCGAGTAAATGAGGCAAAGCGCAGCAACGGAACTGGCGCTGGGCAGGAGATTTGATCTTTACGGTGCCGACCGCTCGAATGAACGTAGCAATCTCGAGATGCAATGTTGATTAACGATGAGAGGGCTGGTGGCACATGGATTGAGTCACGTCAAGCTGGACATTGGAGTCTGGATACCGGTTTGTACAGAGTTGGAGAGTTGCAGAGTTGCAGAATGCGAAGGTTTGGGATCAGAAGAGCCTGACGGGCGCAGTCAGGTCAGATCACCCCTTCCATTTCCACGGCAGCCGCAAAGATCCAAGTGTCCGTTTGGTGTGGCTTACGAGCGCCTCACACGCCTACTGTACCAAGTACAAGCTCTGTTAGGCACCCAGGGAAGCCCGTACAGCAGCCATTTGTTACCTAGCAGGTTCAAGAGGCGCCCCTAGCTCCTACCTGGCTGAGGCCTCTTGGGCCATTCACTGGCCCACCACCTCCGCCGGCCCATCTTTAGCACCTGAGCGGCGCGCAACGCCTTTCGTGGGCAGTTAAAACGTCCTCCGATGGTGGTATCTGCACAATGGAACGTCCTTAATTGCGTCTTCGTCTTCCTTCCGTCGTTGATTGTACAGACCAAGGTCCTATCGACAGTCAAGAGTCATATTGGATATCTTGAGCATGTTCGTATAGTCACTGGTGGCTTCTTCCTTTCTCCTCCGGCCATTCTCTCTTGATCCCTCGAGGTGGATTTCTCTCTTGCTCACTCGGCAACTCCTCACACTTCAATCGAAGTATCCTGTCGACCATGCAACTTCCATCACTCTCGCTTTAAAGGGTTCAACTTGTCGAAGACGCCCTTCTCTTCGCCTGCCGAACGAACATCTCCACTTCCTTGACTTGGAGTGAGAGTCTCTCCGCCAGATCCTGTGATAGTAGAGCTCTTCCCTCCCTCAGCGACGCCCGCAACACCTGCGTTCTGAATGTCGCTCCGCGAGCCTAGATCAACGCCCTTATTTGCCGCGCCAGCATGCCCACTGGTTCCGATGATGCCCCCTCCTGCTCCAGCGCCCGCGGTTGTCGATGCTCTCTTCTGGCCTTGGAGCCCAAACAGTTCCGAGTGCGAACCTGGAGCACCTTCTGGCTTGGCCGTCTTGCTTCCTGTCTGGTTGTCCGTCATTCTCAAAGGTAGAATTGCCCAAGTGGCTGTTGACAATGTTGACAATGTTGTGAAAGTAGGAGTGTCTTTTAAGAGTCTGTGATGTTTGTTTTCGAGTTTCGATTTGGGTATGGTTGGGTTTCTTGACCAGATGTCACCTACAGGCAGGCTGGCACAAAACACATGCGCCACCCTTAGATATATTCTCCTCAACGTTCCTGCATAGCCAAGTCCCTCGTTGACTGTCGCTGCTACAATGACTTCACCTAGCATTGTCTGACGACAGCAGCATGACGATCATTGCGAATGCTGGAAGGCAGAGAGGGGCGCCATGGCTTCGGATCAATTCTCCGATCAACGCGGAGGAAGCTGGCCTGAGCCTGTCATGCGACAGGCAATGACCTAGATCTTATAGAAACGATCAGCAAAGGGCCCTGATGTTTGTTCAAACAATGGGGCGCCCGAGGATGTGGTGCAAGTGGTAAGAAACGTCGGTAACATCGAACCTGGCTCGTCCACTGAAGGCGGAGGGTAGATCATTTGCGACTCTCTATCGCTGTCTACAAAAGCCTAATGCAATGCCACTCGTTTCTCGATCAAGCAAGCTTGCTGGAAACTCTGCTGAAGAGCTGCACAGCGTTCTTGCTACAAAGCTTGTCCTTGTCCTCCTCGGTAGCAAACACCTGAGGCAGATATTCATCGTGCTGCTTCGACAACGCTTGAACCACGGGCAATGGCGTGTACGGGAAATCGCTGCCGTATAAAAACCTGTCGACAGTGACATACTCCAACAAGCCCTTGGCCTGCTCCGGGAACGCCCACCCCGCCGTGTCAAAATAGAACTGCGTGTTGAGCCTCTCCTTGACCCATGCTGGACTAACCTCGTTGGCGGATCCACCCAGCTTCATGATTTCGGCCACGCTCGAGAACCGGTTGATCAAGGGCGGGAATGCGCCTCCGACATGTGACATGTGGAAGGTGATGTTGGGACATCGCTTGACGGTGCCGGACAGGAACAAGTTGATGACGGCGCGAGCACTGTCGAACAAAAACTCAAACATCGGTCTCGGGAATTGAGGGAGCGGCGTGGCCGCGGTGCCCGATGACAAGCACGGTGTGGTAGGATGTATGAAGACGACGGCTTTCCTTCGGTTCAACTCGTCGAAGACTGCATCAAAGTCCTTGTGTCCAAGATACGACCCGTGGAAATTGGTGAGCATGACGACCCCGTCAGCATTGAGCTGATCCAAGGCGTGGGAGATCTCTTGCAAGGTGCCGTCGACGTCCGGCAGAGGCAGTGAGGCAAAGAAGCCAAACTGGTCGGGCTTTCGCTTCTTCAGATCTGCAGCCACCTCGTTGACATGTCTGGCGAGTTTTCGGGCGAGCGCGTCGTCTCCAGCCTTGAGGTGGACTCCAGGTGTGCTGACACTGAGGATCGACTTTGTTACATTGATAGACTTCATCATTGTGAGATGACTTTCTTCGCTCCATTCCTGATCTCCATTAGCTAGCTGCTGCGCAGCCCTGTGAATGCCCTGGAGACATACGGGGATTGCTGGCATGCCATCAGGATTGCGGTGGCCATTTTCGGCGAGTGCCTTGCGATATTCCCTGGGGAATCTTGGTTACTAGGATTCCGTGTCGGTGAGAATGAACTCACGCTGGGAGGTAGTGAGAGTGGCAGTCGACTTTCGCATATGGAGACATGTCTGGTTTGCGAATATTGCTCTATCGAAGAGAGTGCGAAATTCCAGGGTGTCAGGTTCTACAAGAGCCAACCGGTCTTGGATCGTCTTGAGGGATCTCCGAAAGGGTTTGGTATTGATATAAGATGGAAGAGGGAATATCGCGGGGTCGAATCTGCGGAGGCCCGCTCTTTCCCTCTTTCCCACACAAATATACGACGACCGATCTTTACCCGCCTCGCCGCCAGCATGTGGGACATGGCGCCGTGGGCTCGTTGGAAACAGCACTTTGCATTGTCCCACGACTCATAAGGATGTGTGCGAGACTCGTACCTTTTTGAACGAGGACGAGGGCCTGCATTGGCCTCTTTCCATGGGATGTGACACTCCCATGCGTCTCCCAGAGCCTGCCGACCTATCGACACCCAGTGCCAGGGTCGTGATCAGAGTGCTGGGTGGAGAGAGACTGGTATGGCCATCCGAAAGCACGACCTTCCACTCATCAACCTCCCAGAGCCTTGCCTATCATCTCCTTTGCCCTCTCACTCAAATCCATCGCCAACGCCAATTCTTGCCCTCTCTGCCCCATCTTCACCCAGGTCTTCTGCAATATGCCTATAATCTTCTCCTCGTCATGTCCCTTCTCGAACTCGTCAAACTGATCGTCCAGAAACACCAGACAGGCCACGTCCTCAATGACCTGGGCGTCCGCGTCACCCTTACCTTGTCCCTTTTTCAGGTCCTCTTTCGCAATCAGCGCCGCTACTTTACCGGCTTCTTCTTCGCTGTAGGAGCACTCGAGGCATATCTGCCTGACCTGCTCGGCCTGTCGCTTTCTCAGGAGCGTGCGCCATGCGAAGTAGCCCGCTTTGGTGCGTGGGTAGCTATCTCGAGGCACTTCCCAGCGCCGGAAATGCTGTGCTCGCGCGGCTGTGGCGAGAAGAGGACCAGCATTCGGGGTATGGAGGTCGACAAATTTGGTCATCTTCTGGGCGTAGTGTAGCTCGTAGGGAATTGTCTCGCCGTTGATTTCGATTTGGTTGGGGTCTTCTCTGTGAGCGGCGTCGATTAGCTCGAGAGCCTTTGACACGTCGGGAGCCATGGTAGAATATAGAGACAACGGGGTTATGTGCTATACAAGGACGAGGTCTGTCAATGTACCGAGTTCTTTGGTGGAGGACTCCGAGAGAGCCCGCCAAGCCGGATTCAAAAAAAAAAATAAGTGGCCCAGTCTGTCACGGAATATATACCGCAAGAGTGCTCAATAACGTCAAAGTGTCCGCTATATCAAATACAATCAACAGAATAGGATGGATGACAGGGAGCCAATATGTCCAAGGTAAACGGAATGCTCTTCACCAACAAAGGCCACCTCCGTTCAGAACAGTGAAGGACTTTGCGAGTGCCACTTGTTTTTGAATCAAGCTTGCTGCGCAAAACAGTTCCATGCTTCAGTTCCCCGAAGATTTCCCTTCGAGCCCTCGATATTTGTTTCTCCAGCTAAGGAATACTACGCACGGCTTCAACATTCAGCGACTCACAGCTTCCGCCCGGCCGGTCGGGTCGAGGGACGTGCAACAAAATGAGGATCCAGCACTTCAAAGATCGGCCCAGGACCAAAAAGGTAAGGTATCAATGTCCCTGTGTCAATTTATGCTTGCGGAAATCATGCAGTAGTTGGGGTAGGTTGAAGCGCGATGTGCTGTCCCAACCGTTTCTCTCTAGCTTCTCTTCCTCCATTGGTAGGCAATCCCAACTCTTGTAGGATAGAAACAAGTCTCTGTCCCTCGATATTCGGAATGTCTCTCGATCTTGCAGGAAAGTCTTCGATGAGGGCATTCGTCAATGGACTCATTCGTGGTGTAAGTCGATCGGTGGGTCTCGTGAGATATGAATTTTGAACTCGAGCCGAGCTATTATATTCACTATAGAATTAAATTAGTACCTAGTATTGCAGATCAAAAACAAAACGTCCTTTGCAATGACTCGAGTAGTGAGAGTGTCGATTTTGTTGTCGAGCTGGTCAAATCTCTGATCCATTCGAACCATTTTCTGATCAAGTCGAGTAATCTGAACGGTCAGCTGCGCTAGGGCGTGTTGAATGGCATTGCCTTGAGCTAACGCAGACGCGTTTGGAAGCTTTGATAATTCCTCAGCGACACCGTGGAAACATTGTACCATACGAGCAGTGTCCGGCTGTGGCTCGAGAAGGTCCGCGGCCACCATGGTGGCGGTGGCGGTGGTGGTGGTTGTGGTGGTAGCGGAGGGTGGTGTTTTGTTTACTTAGGAGGGGTGAGCAAGGTGAGTCGCGTGCAGTTCTAGCTTAGCTTGGCATACGGAAACGCGAGAAAGAGGACCTCTCCGCGCTCCTTCTCTCAGCTCCCGTGGTCTACACAATTCCCTAGGCATCCATGTGCTCGAGATGGCATGAGGGAGAATAACAGAATGTCGAAAGGAGTATATTTGGACTCTCACGCCATGTGAGCTGGGCAGACCCGAGTTGATAACTCCCTAGTCGCCGTCTATGATCCGTACAGAATCGACGCCTGATCCTTGTCATGCTCTCTGTCCTCAGTTATATCTGCCCGACACCGAGACCCTCCCCGTCAAATTCTCGCCATCTCATCTTTCGCGCCTGATTGCTCAAGCACCGCCCTCTCTCTTTGCATACTCGTCCTCCATGCGCTCCGCGTACAGCGCATCGGCCTCTTTTTGCGTAACCCTCTTCTGCTCTCCCACTCCTCCATTGGTAATGCGTCCTTGGGGCGGCTGTCCTGCTCCTCCACTTGCAATGTTGTACTGTTGTTGGTCTACTGGGATCGTAGTCTTTGTTTTTGTCGTGGTCGTTTTCTTATGGCTGGCGGAGGCGCCTAATGAGAGGGAGCCTGAAACGGCGCCAGCAATGGAGGCGCCGGCATTGGCGACGGCCTCCGACGTCCTTTTGAAGAATCCAGCATCATCCGACATATTTGCGTAGATCTGGCAGAATGAGTGGTGGAAGGTACTTTTGGGATTCAGGGACCTTTCTGTCTAAGAAACGTGGATGGTGAATGTATCTTCAATGTGACCACGAGCCCTGTCAGGGAGAAAACATTCCAACGAGTGCGGGGCAGAACTGGGCAGGAATATATTTCCATGTCCCCCTAGAGAAAGGCTTTAAAAACAGGTTTTGGATGCGATTTTACCTTTTCGAGCTGTGCTTCTCACATGTCAAAGGGCAAAACCACGAGGGACCGACAAGGTGCCTGAAGATCACAGGTTGATGTCATAGGAATCTTCAAATGACCAAGAATAGAGGGCTGTATTGGAAATCCCGTGTCATTTGAGGCTCCGCGAATGAGGGAGTCACTTGTCCGTATTATAGCGTATTGTAATTGTAACTTGCCGTGATTGGCTTGAGTACCACCATTCAGTCTTGTGTCGCAGACAATCACAGCCTCGGTCGATTGTGTGTGAGACAATAACGAATGCTCACAATCAATAGATCAAGGGAATGGTTCTTTGTCTCGCACACATAGCAGTGCTTAGAATAGAAATTATCGGTAATAGATAATTTGGCGCGAATCCATGACTGGACCTGGAGCAAGAGAAACTACAAGCACTTATTTTCACATCCCTGAATCTTCAGCCTCGTGTCCCTATAAAGGGCTATATATCTACCAAAGCGCTATACGACACACATACAGACCACGACCCATCAGTGGGCATTGTCTATTATCTTTGTTGATGCATAGGGCTCCCTTGGAAGATATCAGTGTTTCGCACGGCCTGTGTTCAGACAACAAACAACAGTGTTGCAACTGCCTCGCCCATTTTTGTCACTCCAGCAATATCCAATAACTGTTAAATGCGTCCATTCAGCTCCTCAAACACCAGAATTCGCCCGCGTCTACCTCTCAACCTGCTGTTCCCTCTAGACATCCCTAGACAAAACACAGCAACTTCTTAATTCCTTACCGTCCACCCCCCGTTCTCATCAGACACAGAGACGTAGCCGCTCTTGCTACTTGTCAAGTTTACTTCATAACAAACCCTTCTACCTCCCTCGTCTGTCGAAAAGGCAGACAAAGATTTAATGAGAAGCACGGGACTTCGCAAACCCTGTCTGTTGATGCCACGAACAATCTCAATAAACCTCGAATACCTTCACCATGCTGTCCCTCAAGTGGATTCTCCTCTTCTGTCTTTGCTTCTTCAGCAATGTAGAAGCGATACCTCGCATCCTGACTCCAGACATCGGAGTCTTCGTGGGTGCAGCGGGCGCAGTCGGCTTCGCGGGCCTTGTAGGTTGGAATCTCCTAAGACCCTCAAAGACCGGGAATATCCCAGTACAATCCCATAGAGACAGAGTCACGTTCAGCGGTTCCAGTTTATTACCGATGCCAACGGCTACACCCACGGGTTTTGAAGCGCCCAGCATTGTCAAGACAGTCGTATCGAAAGGCAGCACAGATGTGGTTCCACAGTCGATGTGTCGTTCCGCTGTCCCAATGACACGATTCTTCGAGGTTGAAGCATGGAGCAATGGCACCATAATCTACATTGAAGAGATCGCTGGGCTCCGAGTTGGGGACCTCAACAACAGATATTCAAACGGCTCTGTCTCTGCGATGAAAGAGACTTTCACCCTTTCCGAAGAGCTCGAAGAGGACAACAGTCAGGCTAGCGGTGTTTCCTGGAGCATAAACATCCCTGAACCTCAACCGCCTGCGCTCAATGTGTCCTCTTCACCGTGGGAGCTTGCCTGGATCTTTTTAAATGTGCATGCAGACAGAAAGTTGAGGCCAGTCATCGAGTCTGCCAGAAGAGACTTCTTTATCGTCCTAGACTTCTTGAACAAAGCGCTCACTCTGATCCTGAAACTGGTATCAACTCATCCAGCAAGGGCCGTATTTATTCTGGTCGGCGTTCCACTGGTGACCAAGTTCGGTTCTGCGGTGGCAAGGAGAGGCCTCATAATGCTGTCCCTCTATGCTCCTCTCATTATCCTCCTTCTGCAAGACAATTTAGACAGATATATCGGGTGGTATGCAGGGAGAGAAGAAGAACCAGAGCTCAACACCGAGGTTGCTACTGAGCCTCTGCCTGTTGAAGAGCAAGTGTCTACCCCCGAATTGCAAACGGAAGCTCCACTGGACTTGACCCCAGCAGGTGATGAAGAAGACAGTCTCCCCGGGGAGTTTTTTGATGCAGCGGAGCGTGATAATGAGGAGAGCCTCCCCGGAGAGTTCCTCGATTCCGCAGAACACTTACCATCGTTAGGACCAGTGGAAGCCTCTCCGCTAACTTGTGATCCTGAGAATTATAAAGCCACTGGAATCTTCAAAGCGCCGCCAGCGTCAAAGGTATCGCAGCTATCGCCTTCCCGGAAGACAAGTATTAGACAGCGGACCGATGAGAATCAAATGCATGGACGTCTCCTCCGTGACCAATTGTTTGGCAGACGCTGGAAAGACTCTACCTCAACAGCTGCCCAGGGGCTGGAAGACCTCAGTTCCAGGAAAGCGCTGGAAGAACAGGCCGAGCCTTCACACCTGCAGAAACCAGGAGTTCCGACTGAGAGTCACGATCAGCTCCAACCAGCTCATCTGGTCGCAGAGGAATCTGAATGCACTGTTACTCTCGAATCCGAGCAAGTGCCTTCCCCACAATCGAGCTCGAGCATCATGCCTTGTTCAACAGACATTCCCATGTTCCAACAGTCGCACGGGAACGAACCTGTAGAGAGACAGCTCGAGTCAACTGTCTCCGACAAGCATGACGACGTGACGTCCAGATCCTTCCCCACTGGGATATATAACGATACTGTGTCGACAGAGACTGAGTCTTCCTTTCACTCCGGTTTACATCATGGTCCCATGCCGCAACCTGGGCAAGGGCAACCTGCCATGTATGCTTCCGAACCCACTTCTCCAGAAGGCGAAAGCATCATCTTGCCTTCTGAGACCGTCCATTCTCCCACGCATTCAAATATTTCGTCGATTCCTACGGAGGACGACAAGAAGATCGAGGATGACAAGGACGAGAACGGCAGTCCACAGGGCCCTGGTCCATCAACACGCATACTAGAAGCAATTCCAGAAGAGGAACAGCCCGAGGAGAGCACAGACAACTCTCTTCACAACAACGATGGCAATAGCAACGACCAAGCATGCCGCAAAGGATCGACCAGTAAAAACCCGCTCTCCCCGACCAGATTTGGCAGTGCCGGCGGAGTTGCGTACGACTTTGGCTCTGCCCTGGCTACCGCACAAGAAAGACTGAAGGAATTAACTCGACCTTCTATTCGAGGGACCGATGGTGCCTCTGGAGCCACTGGCGACTGCACCGACTGTGGCACCACTGAATTTGGCTACTTGCTCGATTCAAACGCCCCTGTCTCGACTCCGTCAAAGCAGCCAATTGTCGACGTGTTCAATGGTACAGGCGGTGGTCGTCGCGGTGGACTCCGGAGCCAGACACAAGCAGTAGGTACAGCGGCTAGTCGGTCTGAACGTGGCCGTGGGGTCACCTTTGCAACAGAATCTGACGGATCAGTCGTCAACCAGACGTACTACTTCCAGATAGAGGAGGCGCCTGTAGCATTGCGAGACTCGATGGTCGTAGATGCACAAGGACAACAAGCCACTGGCGTTCAAGTTTCGACCGAGCAACCGCCCGCGGCATTGCCGGACTCAATGCTTGTAGATGCGCAAGGACAACAAGCCACAGGCGTTCAAGTTTCGACAGAGCAACCGCCTTCGGTCGTTTCTGCATCTGCTGGCGAGCAACAACCATTCAACTTCGTTGCACCAGATCCCGCCCCCGGATATAAAACTCAAGCAGAAGAGGAGCCCCATGTTGCGTCTCAAGTCACCCCTGCTTTCTTCTCGGCCTTGGATTCCTGGAGCCGCATGCCTGCCGACTACCGAACGCAAGCTCTTGCAGAGTGGGCATTGGGACCTCAGATCTTACCCCCTGTTGCCAACACGGCGGAGCCAGAGCCTATTGAAGCGGCAGAGGCTGCGGCAGAGGCCGAGCCTTCCCAATCTGTGCCACACCTGGTGAACACCGATGAGATCTTGTCGGCCTCGATGTCTGGACTATTTCTGGGGCAGGATCCAGTGAATATGGATTATGAACACGACGGCCCTGCACACGAAGTTCCATTTGCACAACAAGTTTCTCAGGGTCCCCCTGTGTCACCGCAGTCCGCAGTTCAAGAACAGGCTGCTGCAATCGCGCTAGGATACAGGCCTGCACATCCGGTTAGCATGGATAGTCAGCAGCACGACTCTGCAGCTTCGCACCAACCTAGGTCGCTGGAAGCCCAAGCTCATCCGGTGGAAATGCGGGACGAGTACATGGCAGATGTGGCCGCGGTTTCCGCATTCGATAAAGGTTCAACATCCGACACTCCCCAGGCCAGCAGTACCCCTGCTTATCCGTCGATATTCCCACAATCGCAGGGCGACGGCTTTCCTCACTCCCCACTTCCTGGTTTAGACTTCTATCAACAAGCGGACCTGGAAGCTGAACGGCGTCAGAGAGATGAATTCCGTCACTTACCCCAACGCAACCGGGCCACTCAATACAGAGGATCTGACCGAAAACCCTTGCCAATGGAGTCTGTACGTTTCCGATGCGAGCCTTCACAGCGAAGTGTGTTTCTTAGAGACTCTTCTCAGCAGACTCCGCATAAGGGTCCACCTCAGCCCGCAGAGACCCTCTTGTCGAACATGAGTAACGCGGCGACTCCACAGAATCCAGGCAATCAGGCTTTCCAAAGTAGCGACATCCCAGCGGGTGGGACACAGTCCCAAGTCAGAGCAGCCGAAACGGGACAAGATAGTCAACACTCGACGCCAAGCCGTGGCTCTAAGGACGATGCCCAAAAAGAAAGCGACGCGACGGTTGATGACCTTTCATTTGAGGAAGAAGATATCCAGAACCAAAGCGGAAGGGTCAGTCAATTCCCTCCACTTGAAGACGACGTCGCAGGACACGCAGTCACAGACTCAGGCTCGGAAGCCGAATTCATTGCGGAAGGCCAAGGAGATTCTCTGGACGATGAGTTCGACGCTGCCCAACTTGCATACTTTCGACTAAGAGAAGAGTGTGAAGCGCAGCGCCGGCAGATGGAAGAGGAAAGAGGCAATGCCCATCCTGCTAGTGGTGAACAAGATCTGGATGAAGACGAAGAGAGTGAGAGTGAAGAGGAATCGGACGAAGAGGGGAGAGAGGACCCTTGGGGCGAAGACGACGAAGACGAAGACGAAGACGAAGAAGAAGAACAAGACAATCACGGCGACGGAGGAGACGAGCACGGTGGCAGTGGAGGATCCCAACAAGAACAAAGGCCGAGCGATATTGAGGACTTCGATGACCGCGACGAGGATGAAAAACACGATGAAGACTGGAGTGAGGACGCCTTACTGGGCGAAGAAGACGGCTTCCCTTGCAGGGACCGAATTTTTCGTGAGCTCAGCCGACTAGAGCAAAAGGTCCCCCAGCCTTTCGAGATACCCGAACCAACGCGAATATTCGTCAACCGCAAGCAAGCCTACGTCCATGCATCGGTGGCCAAACACATCTGGTGGTGTGTCACGGCGCAAGGCAGAGAATGGTTGTTCAATAATTGGGATGGTATCAGAAAATCACATGGTTGGGACATGATAGAACGTTGCCAAGAGACTGTCGACAGGCATGAGGAGGTGGAGGCCCAGCGGGAAGCGCAGTATTGAGGCAGCAGGGAGAGGCTCGCCCCCATCTTGTCGGGGAATCATAGTTGTCCCTAGGATCCAATGCACAAACAGATGACCGTTTTTTTACGCACCTCTGGTTCAAGATTTCGCTCTCGCCTTGTTTAAACACACCGACATCCTGCCGACTCGGGAAAGTAAAAAGCGACGTCGGGTCACACGACTCCAGGATCGGATTGTTCCTTGCAATAATCTGCGAGGTCTTTTCTGCGCCCCGGGATCTTGAGTAACTACCGAACTTCGAGTGCTTGGAGATCGACCCAAGGAACGGTAATACACCAAAAATGGCTCATTTGTCCCAACCTCGTGAAAACAAAGGACTACAAGTAGATGATTTAGTCAGCCTGCCACCTTTTCTGGACCATCCCGGAGCATGATTATGAAGGAGGAGGCAGGGGTGGCTTACCAGAGGCCGCCACGTGAGGAGCCACTCCCCTGGGCACCCTCGGCAGATTCGGCCGAGTGAGTTGGGGCCAGAGCCCGTTTTCGAGAAGAGTCGAACATTGCGAGAATACCGAGAATCCGATCGAGGAATCGAAGGGGAGCAGAGAGCAACATGAGGCCACTCGGACCATTAATCGGGTCCGCCGGCGCGAAAGGGCACCGAATCCGAGTATACGATAGAACGGCGCCATATCAAGCTTTGCAGGTATCTTGCTGCAATTGGAGGAGACGCTGCAGGAATTTACGGAGACGGAGGCGGAGCACGCTCGAGAGCGGAGCGGATGAAAGGAACTCTTGAATTGAGTCGTCGCCTTTCTGCGCTGGAGGGTGACCTGAGGGTCAATCGAAGGAGAAAAGAACGACGACGATACGACGATGCGTAGGAGTCATGTTCCCCCTTTTCAATTTCGTGGAGAAAGCTTCCCATGAGGAGACAAGAGGCCGGGAGATGAGAGAAGACAGGGTTTAGTCGTACGGAGGACTGAATCGAGGTGGATGAAACTGATTTGTCTTTCCGGAAGAAGTGAGCTGAGGGATGCGAGCTGGCGAGTTTCTCAGTTGAGACCGCATTGTCGTAGTCTGATACACCCCCGGGGAGAATCCAAGGACGAAGCGAGCAAGTGGTACACGCCGTGAAGCTTGTCCTAGCTGCGATGGTTCGATGGCGGAGCGTTCGCAGTTTGCTGACCGCAGACGCAACTGAGAAAGGAAATAAAGCCTTGATACATGGCAGTCTCCGGCCAAATGCCTTAACCCCGGTCCCTACAGATGCCCGGAAAGCAAGAAAGAGATGAACAGAACGGGGGAGGCGGGCCAACATGTCAATGATGGAATGATGAAATCGTCAATCAGTGGAAATAGCCGCCAGCCTCTGCCCCATCGAATGAGATGGTTGGCAGCATACCGGGGTGGTTCGGAGAAGGCGAGGGGGTCAGGAAATGCAAATACTGGTGCCTGGAGCATGGAGGTTTGGAGCCTGGGAGCCTGGGAGCCTTGGAGCCCGTAGCTGGGTGGTCGGGCTCGGTATGATGCCCCCCTTTGAGCATGGGCATCCAGACGGTGGGGGAGTTGGAGAGCGGTTCAAATGACCCTGGCACCACTGATGGCCCCTAGGTGGCAGGGGGGGGGATCACTTACCACTCTGAAACCCGCAGGGCTGCCCGCCATCGTCATAGCCGGCCGACTAGCTAACACAAATAGGCTTGGTGCCCATTGCCCACAGGTGTCCTAACTCTGAATAGCTATGGGTGACGGGCCTGGTGGCTCGGGACCCCTGCCCGCGGGCTGCTCGTAAATCGTATCTGATCATGGTCCTCGCTGCGACTAATACTTGATACACTTTCAACCTTCCTGAAATTCCTGAACACGACCTCTTTTTCTGCCTGATTAATCGCCTTATACCACGCTCCCTCAAGTTATTTTGCCCATTTCTGAATTTCCCCAATCTTTTTTTGCTAGTGAGCTTTGCTGCCCGCAGATCCTCATCCTTCCAAAGCCATTCCATCAACCTTCTGCCCACCCTCTCAGTTCCGTCCCATGCCCCAGTGGCGAGAAAATCGTTTCAAGAAGGTCCCGTACACAATGAGTCCTGCGGCTGACTCCTCCTGAACAACTCCGATTTCCCGTCCTGTCCCAACCGGGTGCCTGCATTCAGCGTAGTTCTACGAGTCCTTCTTCAGCTTATACGAACCTCTGTCGAGATCCTACGGTGGCGGCGGCGACAACGGAACGTCATCATGGACCCTCGAGGCAGCATTGATGGCCTGGGTTATGACATGTCCCAGTTCGTTTCTCCGCAGCCTCCTCAGATCTTTGGAGCATATAACGCCGATGGCACTCCTATACCCCCAATTCTACCACCAGGTGCATATTTTGGTGATTTCAATGATGGAGGCGCCGACGAGAACGATCCCAAACGCCGGCGCATTGCAAGGGTGCGCCTCCATACATAGCTATCAAACAAGAACCGTGCTTTCTGACGGCGATTGCAGGCTTGCGATATGTGCAGGAAGAAAAAGATCAAGTGTGACGGCAAGATGCCCAAATGCGGTCACTGCATAAACTACAAGACGGAATGTATCTTCACACAGGTCGAGAAGAAGCGTAATCCTCCAAAGGGGTATGTAATCTTAGATCCCTGCGCAAAAAAGAGAGAATCGAGACTGGAAACTGATGGCCATGACAGGGCGAAATATATCGAGGGTCTGGAAAACCGCCTCGGGCGCATGGAGTCACTCTTGCGGATGTCTGGCCTCCTCAGCGAAGAAGAAGCAGGGAAGACGGATTTGGGGACGTTGGAGAAGCGTCTCGCTGAAAAGGCCTCTTCTAGGGAATTCTCAGCCCACAAGACAGACTCTCCAGGTGCCACAAAGAGTAGCGCAAATTCTGCAACCGCCGAAAACTCCCCCCGACCTGGCTCACAACGGGACTCCCTCGAAACCCCCCGGGACAATATAACGTCACCAAGTACAGATGGAGAGAAAACAGGGCGGGAAGATGTAGAAAATCTTTCCGAGGCCATGTGCTCGCTGGTCACCAACAACGTCGGGGAGACCAGATACATTGGTATGTATTTTTCTTCTTGCATTTCTACGTCATCTCTCCTAACTGAGGCTAGGATCGTCGTCGGCCTTCTCTATCTTCTCAAGTAAGGGGATCGAGTGGGTCAATGAAAAGACTGGGGACACATCTTTCCAGGAAACTATTCAAAACGCCGTCAACGAAGACGATACCAAATGGCAGTACTGGAAGCCCGAGGTGTTTGGAGACATCTTCGTTCGCCGAGTCTTCAAGCCGCTGCCGCCCAAAGAAGAGGCTTTGTCCCTATTCAAGGACTTCTTTGAGAACTTCAACTGCATGTTCCCATTGTTCCATGAACCTACTTTTATGCATCTCGTCGAGAAACAATATTCCAAAGACCCCTATGAGGGAAGTGGGTGGTGGGCGAGCATCAACGTCGCACTCGCAATTGCCTACCGCATCAGGGTCATGAGTAACGTTGTTCCACAAGAAGACGACCAGAAGGCGTGGCTGTATCTGAAAAATGCGATGGGAGTCATCACTGAACTGACCATGCGAAATACCGACCTTCTCAGTGTCCAGGCTCTTCTGGGGATGGCTCTATTCTTGCAAGGCACACCAAACCCCCAGCCATCGTTCTTTCTGATCGCGGCTGCCATCAGATGCTCACATACGATAGGACTTCACAAGCGAGGTTCAGCATTCAACCTCAATCCTATCGAAGTGGAGCAACGCAAACGCGTCTTCTGGATTGGGTACCTGCTCGACAAAGACGCCTGCCTGCGGGCTGGGAGACCACCGGCGCAGGACGACGATGACATGAATGTCGAGCTGCCCTCCGAAGACCCTCCTGATAACATTGGAAACGTCCCTTTGGCGGACGGTAAGAGCAAGATTAACCTCTTCCGCCTGATGTGTGAATTTGCCATCATATCAAGCAAGGTGTATCGTCAACTCTACTCTGTCAGAGCCTCGAAGCAGAGCGATGGCGAGCTTCTGAACACCATCGGCGAGCTCGACAAAGAACTGGAAGCTTGGAAGGACAGCATTCCTCTGGACTTCCGACCAGAACACGAAATCAAGACGTCTCACACCCCGCTCATTTTGCATATTGTTGTCCTCCATTTCTCATACTACAACTGTCTGACAACAATTCACCGGATGTCAGTTCACCATGGCTATTGGACCAGCCGACTGTCGGAATATGCCATCCAAGGACTCAACGCTAGGCCCCTCAATCCAAGGGTTTTTTCCTCTGCGGCACTCTGCGTTTCAGCTGCACGGGCCTCGATCCACCTCATCAAATACATCCCGCAGGGAGATTTCGCTTGCGTCTGGCTAATCCTATACTTCCCAGTCTCGGCACTTGTCACCCTGTTTGCAAATATCCTGCAGAACCCCCAAGACACCCGCGCAAGAGCCGACATTAAGCTGATGGACCTCGTCGTCAATTTCCTGTCGAATGTTGCGCATGACGAAGGTACCGGATCGTTGAACCGCATGCTCACTGTCTGTTCGGAATTCGCCCGCATTGCTAGAGTGGTGATTGAAAAGGCCGAGAAGGAAGGCTCAAAACGGAAACGCAGGCTTGTCCCCGAGGAAGTCATGCGTGTCAATCAATCAGCCATGGCGCAAGCACAGTCGCAGATCAATGGGCGCAATGCTGGGTCTCGAAGATCAAGCGGCGCCGGAGCCTCACCACGTACCGCTTCAGGCAACGTACCGTCGACTTCCACTACTGCCGTACCTGTGACGCCCGTTGCTGGTAATGCTACAGGCAACAACCTGAATCCTAACAACCAGTTCTTCAACATGCCGGCGTTTGACAACGATTATGCCGACATGATCTCAGCGCCGGGCCTCAGCCCAGACCTCGGAAGTCAGCAAATGCCCAGCTCGACGATGTCGCCTCTGAACGTTGGTTCTTTCCAACAACCTTTTGTCCCTCAGGATTTGTGGCAGATGCCTATGACTTTCGAGTGGGATTGGGCAGAGACATTTGGGCAGCCTACTTATAACGACTTTATCTTGAGTGACAATATGAATGATGGGATGATGCCTCGACAATGATGTATGATGGAAATATACCTTTGCCAGCTTGTACATGAAAATACCACAGTCAGCTCTGGACCTACGATGGCGTTCATGGCGAAAAGGAAATCCACTCTCTCATGCAGAGAGTCAGGTGTTCCACTTGGGCGACACTGTACCAATACATGATACCCCTATTCTTGCATTTCAAACCCTTGTGTACCTTCCCATGCTTCCTTTCTCGCCCACACTGATACTGTTCCTACCGCTTGAAGGCGACTGAGGTATGTTGGCCCTGTCCATGTTTAACCTCGTTGGGCAAAGCCTCCCCTTGTGCGTAGCCTTGGCTAATATTGAAAATACAGATATCTTGGTACTCTGAAGCATCCGGTCGGGTCTGGCAGTAATATGATTCTAACAATCTGCTGGTTGAAATGGGTTGTATTGATTTCATTCACTTTCAGAGCAAATTTTTGTTTTTCCATTCCTATTCGCTTCCAAAACAATCTCTTCCTCAAACTCATTTCTTTCATCGCCCTTGAATAGACATTATCCCGTTTCTTGTAAGCAGAGTTTTCCTCCCTGATCCGCGTTCTCGCAGAACTGCTCAGCAACAGAGTCAAACATACCCCTTCTGCAAGAACATCATATCACCGGTCTTCCTGGCTCGACGCTTTGTTTGCGAGATCCTCGCTGTTGAGAGAATAAGTACGCACCTTCTAGTCAAGCACATAAGCCCCAGCCTTTTCAGCAGGTTCGGTGACCACACGTTTCCCGGACATTATCTACAACATAGTCATACCCTAAGCGTCTCCCTCAGCAGCTTGATCATGGCAGCCAACAACGTTTTGTGGATGACGGTCCTTGATCGCGTGGGTGTGTTTGATTGGTGGAATGCCTCTTCTAGACGTTTTCAGCGTTCTACATATTCTCCACTCAGCAGCAAACACCAAGACTCCCCGCTCAATGCGAAGGATTCTTCGAGGGGGTCCCTCTTCGCTTCCGAATCTTGGATCGAAGGCCAAAGCTTCGTTGTGCCGAAGGCCCAAACCAGATCTATCAACGGTCACGTCGTCAAAGAGGAGCCCCTCCTCAAGACATGCATTCCTCTACCAGCCGAGGAAGGGGTCTTGCGACCGATGTGTCCAGTAATCCAGCGACAACCTTGCGTTGAGTTGGGCGAAGTCCCTTCTCTTCCTCAACCCTCTGCTGTGCGCAGCTTGGGGTCCGGATCCCCAAACGAACCGTCGTCATTCTTGATCATGCTCTTTGTTGGTGCCATTCTACTCATCAGCTATTTCAAAAAATGCCTCGATCGACTCAACCGAGGATTGCCAGATCCAGAAGCGGTAGAGGACCCTCAAAGAAAAGAGGAGCCCGACCGCGAAGACCAAAAGCGCACTCTTGAAGACCAGGCCCAATTCGCTCTTGTCCCCATGGATGGTCTGGTCCGTGCCTCTTCCTGCCGCAATCAAGAGCTCCGAGACGAGCGACATGAATTCTCTGTCAAGCTCGCCGAAGCAAGAAGGTCCATGGCAGACCAGAAAAATGTCATCTCTGAACAGAAAGGCATAAATGCCGAAAGAGACTCCACGATCAAGGAGCAAGGGGGCATCATTGCCGAAAAAGACTCCAAGATCAATGGGCAACAAGACGCTCTGGCCCGACTCACCGAAATGTTGGAGATCCTGCGCCAGAAGGAGGAGGAGATGAAGGAGAAGGAGAGCATCATTGCTCGACTGATGGAAGAAAAGCAGGCGGCCACGGAAAAAGCGAGCGCGCTTAGTGACACCAGGGATCGCTTGACGACCCAACTTGAAGAGAAGATGCAGGAGCTGCGCAAAGCGACTTATTTCGACAAGGACCTCTCGCGTCGGAGGGAAGAGCAGCTTACAAAGCAAAACAAAAGACTACACAACTGCACCCTCCACATCAAGGATCTCAAGGCGCAGGTCCAGGGGCTCGGCCATGTGCCTGTTTCACCACCAGCGGTGGGAGACGGGACTGCGCCTACGCCATCTTCTTCTACAGTGGAAGAGGCAGATCCTGTTGCATCTCCTGTGACACCCTCCGCCGTCGCGTCCCCTACTGGCCCGCAATCTATGATGCAGAGCCGCTGGGCAGAGGCGACGCCTCCAACCCAACCTGCTGCATTTCGCGGTAAGGGGCAAGGACGGGGTCGAGGTGGATGCGTTAGGGGCGGACGTCGACCATGAAGTCCTTGTCGAAACAAGAACGGCGGAGGGAGGGAGGAAGGTGATCGGCGATTGGCAGGACGGCCCAGGTGAAGGATCATGGAAATTCATGGACGTTTTTCAGTGTACTGACAATATGGCAAGACGGCCAAATGTAGGAGAGTGGGAATTCATGGACGTTTCTCAGCGTGATATCGACAGATTGACAGATTGATAGTACGGCGGGGGGGCCCAGACGGAGGATTACGAGTATGCAAGACAATAGCAGCCGATAGTCAATCTAACATTGCGAGCTTCAGAGTTTTGACTTTGCTGTCGCCTGCTCCTACGGAGACCGGGTCTGCTAAAGGCCCAAACCCTTGGCAAAGTCCTTGCATGAGGCACAGAAGCCCCAGGTCTTCGCACAGTTGAATTCAATGCTCTCCTGGCTGCTGGATGGGCTCGTCGTGCCCGCGCCGTCGGAGAGCAAAATCACGTCGTAACCTTTCGAGTAAGCCTGGTGCCAAACAACATCTAGAATCAGCCATGATTGAACCTTCCAGTGATTCAAGACCCATGTGATAAAATATGTAGATGCGGGGGGGGGGGGGCCAGATCGATGATGGAAAAGGAACTCACATCTTGAAGACTCCCACCGACACACTGATCGGTGTTGACCCCGGTAAAGAACAAGGTCTGGATTCCCTCTTTCTCAAGGAATTCAGTACATAACGTGCTTTGACCCCACAGACCAGACATGCGGTTCTTATGGATCCAGACGTCTGGCGGATTCGCCTTCTTGCCGTCCGCCTCGTAGGTCTGTTTTAGTTCCGGGGTCAAGTCAGCATTCCATGTGTCGCGCATCAAAAGTCGACCGCCTTGGATCGTGCGCCCGTCGTCGAGCACCACGGGGCCAACTTCACTCCCCAGTCCTTTGTAGATTCTGGGGTTCTTGCCCGACGTCTCGATGTGAGGGTCTGGAAATCCGTGACAGCCCTCATTAACCCCGTGCGAGTCCACCGCCGCTTGCTTCCTCTGGACTTTATCGTAAGATTCGAACTCGGAGGCGAGGACGGTTTCGAACCCGAACGCCCGCAGAGTGCCCGGCGGCATCTCGGCGATCTCTTGGTCTGTTAAACCCCAGTTCAACCAGATGATGCGGATCCCTGCTTTTCGCGCCGCGGGGATGGCGTACTTGAGAAGCTGCTGCTGCGCGACGAGGCCCTTGGAATCCCTTGGGCGTCCGAGATTCGGGGACAGGAAGAAATTCTGCATGTCAATTATCACAAGGGCAGATTTGGGAGGGTGGATTGTTATAGGGAGGGTGGTTGTTGTGACTGTGTAGTTGGGCGAGGGCGTGGGCGAGGTGGGCGTCGGTGGGTGCGTGAGGTCGAAGCCTGTTTCGGAGTCGTAGAGCCAGAAGCTTGCATTCGGGTTGCCGACGATGGCCTTGCGGTGATTTGGGTCGGTATTGTTCATGTTTTGATTCTGTCGTGTTGGCGGATAGATAGGCACGAGGCTGGCGCGGAAAGGGGCTCCCCAAGACGTGTATTCGCGAAACAGGGTTCCTACAGCACAACCTCGAATATGAAAAGGAGAGCAATGGAATTTGTGAATATCGGACACACAGGAGATGACGGAGTTACAGAGCAAGAGAACACTGATTGAAAATGCATCAGAGATCCATGGGGGCAGATATATAAGAGGAACGACACGGGCAATACTCTGCGTCCGCCCTCGTCCATCCATCCATCCATCCATCCATCCATCCATCGGCAAGACGACATACCCCGCAACGAACGAGATAAGCACCTCAAACGGGAAGGAGCGGCGGATGGCCATGTCGTGTGTCTGCTGTCTGCTGTGCTGCTCTTGGAAGGCTACACGGCCATCTCCGTGCACAGGTTGGTCTGTATTCATCCGCACGACGGGTTAGAGTGTTGTCTCCATTTTCAGTTCTCTCGACTAACTAAAGTCCCTCGATGGGGGCGTAGGGTGCCCTCCTTGCCTTCCACTCAGCCCTCCTGGCCCTCCCGCTATTTCTTTCCCGGGCTCAATGGCGGTGACGTCAATGCCTATAATAGGCATCGCTAGCCCGGGCTAGGCCCATACAGGCATGGCCACCGTACTAACTGCAAGCAATGCCAGAGGCACGAGATCCCGATTATTTTACCCCACAAATTATAGGGCAAGGACATGAGGTGGTAAATAAATGCAAAACTGTCCACAAAGCGCTGTCCATCACCAGACACCCCGTTGAAAATCCAGCTTCCGCCCTCCACCGCCTGCCCAGCAGCCAGCAACTTGTCATTTTTGTTCACGTCCGCCGACTCTGTTGTTGCATAGCGTCCCTGGCTTGTGTTTCACTGTCGTCTTGCTCTGTTGACACCGTCGTCTCTGAAAAGCACTCGGCTCTCTCGCAATGGCTCTCCTCCAAGCTCGGGTCAAGAGCATCCTGTCGGGCGACACCCTGATCATCACAAATACAAAGGGCGCCGAACGAACCCTGTCTCTGGCCTACATCAGCGCCCCCCGGTTGAAAAGAGAGGGTGACGAGGTCGGTGGTATATGCCTCATGAGACCCACAATTGCCGCCAGCTAACCTGCGCAGCCGTTTGCCTTCCAATCCCGCGAGTTTGTGCGCGAGCTCGTCCTCGGCAAGGTCGTTCAATTCCAGGTCCTCTATGCTGTTCCCACCACGAAACGCGAGTACGGCCGAGTCCGAGTCCCCAATGGCGCCGAACTACCCGATCTCCTCGTCCAGGAAGGCTGGGCTAAGGTGCGTGAAGACGCCGGGAAGAAGGAGGAAGACGAAGATGCTTTGGCATACCTGGACAAGCTGAGATCGTTGGAGAGTGATGCAAAATCTCAAGCCAAGGGCCTGTGGGCCAAGGGCGGTCAGGTCGAGAACTCGTCCGAGGTCTCCGACCCAAATGCCTTGGTCGAACAGTGCAAGGGCAAGAAAATCGATGCTATCATTGAGAGGGTTCTGACAGGAGACCGCTTGATTGCTCGTCTCATGCTCACTCCCACCAAGCACATTCAAACCATGCTTGTCTTGGCCGGTATACGAGCTCCGGCGACCAAAAGAACTACTCCAGAAGGGAAAGACGTCCCGGCCGAGCCTTACGGCACCGAGGCGCATGCCTTTGTGGACGAGAGGTTACATCAACGGAAGTGCTCCGTCGAGCTTCTTGGGGTGACACCGCAAAATCAGCTCATCGCAAATGTCCTACACCCCAAAGGGAACATCGCCATGTTCCTGCTCGAGGCCGGTCTAGCCCGCTCCAATGACCAACATGTCACCTTGTTGGGAAATCAAATGGCCCAGTTCAGAAACGCCGAGAACGCGGCGAAGAATGCCAGAAAGGGCGTCTTCACCGGCGTTGCGGCCTCCAAAGCCGCCGGAGTGCAGGAGGCGGATTTCACAGTCGTCAGAGTCTTGAATGCAGAGACGATCTTTCTTCGAACCCGATCTGGCGAGGAACGCAAAGTCACCCTTTCCAGTATCCGCCAACCCAAGCCTTCAGACCCGAAACAATCTCCCTTCGGTGCCGACGCCAAGGAGTTTCTTAGGAAACGACTAATCGGAAAGCACGTCAAGGTGAGCATTGATGGCAAAAAGCCGGCTTCGGAAGGCTTCGAAGAACGGGAGGTGGCCACCGTGACGGTGGGCGGAAAGAATATTGCCTTGACCCTGGTGGAGGCCGGTTACGCCTCTGTCATCCGACACCGACGAGACGACGACGACCGTTCCCCCGACTACGACGCCTTGCTGCTCGCTGAGGAATCGGCTCAAAAAGAAGGCAAAGGCATGTGGTCGGACAAACCTCCTGCGGCAAAACAGTATCAGGATTACTCGGAAAGCCTGCAGAAAGCGAAGATGGAAGCCTCGGTACTGCAAAGACAGAAAAAGGTTCCTGCCATTGTCGACTTCGTGAGAGCTGGTTCGAGATTTGTGGTTCTCGTCCCGCGCGAGAATGCAAAATTGACCTTTGTCCTTTCTGGAATTCGAACGCCGAAGCCCGCCCGTCAGCCTGGAGACTCCGCCGAACCGTTCGGACAGGAAGCTTATGACTTTGCCAACAGAAGATGTATGCAGCGTGACGTGGAAATCGACGTTGAGGATACAGACAAAGTTGGCGGATTTATTGGCACCATGTACGTTGGCCGCGAAAACTTTGCGCGGGCTCTGTTAGAGGAAGGCCTTGCAGAAGTTCATGCGTATTCGGCCGAAAAAAGCGGTCATGCAAATGAGCTGTTCGCGGCCGAGAAGAAGGCGAAAGAAGCTCGAAAGGGCATGTGGCATGATTGGGATCCAAGCAAGGACGCAGATGAAGACGAGGCCGGACCTGCTGCCGATGCTGCTCCCACAAATGGGGAGGGAGCTCAGTCGGCTTCGAGAAGAAAGGACTACCGGGATGTGATGGTGACACATGTCGATGAGACCGGAAAACTCAAGGTTCAGCAAATCGGTGCCGGAACTGCTGCCTTGACAGAGCTCATGAATGCCTTCAAATCTTTCCATCTGAACAAGGCCAACGATCAACCATTGCCTGGAGCGCCCAAGGTTGGAGATATCGTTGCTGCCAAGTTCACACTTGATGATCAGTGGTATCGAGCGAGAGTAAGGAGAGTCGACCGTGATGGGAAAAAGGTGGATTTAATCTACCTTGACTACGGCAACTCGGAGACCGTTCCTTGGACTCGATTACGACCTGTGACTCAACCACAATTCTCTACCCAGAAGCTCAAACCGCAAGCAACGGATGCCGTCCTGTCCTTCCTCCAACTTCCCACCTCGGAGCAGTACCTTCGAGACACCGTTGATTTCATTGCGGAGCAGACGGATGGCCGCGAGCTGGTGGCGAATGTGGATTACATCTCCCCTGAAGGAACGTTGCATATTTCTCTGCTCGACCCAAAGTCGTCCAATAAAATCGATGAGAGCATCAATGCGGAAGTCATTCGGGAAGGATTAGCCATGGTTCCCGTCAAGCTAAAGGCGTGGGAAAGACAATCCGCAGACACCTTGGCGAAGCTCCGAGAGCTCCAGGAGGAAGCGAAGAAGGGGCGGAGGGGCATGTGGGAATATGGTGACTTGACGGAAGACTAGCTCGGAAGCAGCGAAGCATTGGCATTCTGACCTAGTCACCATGGGATCTAACGCAGCTCGAATGTGGGCAAAGTGGGCATGAATCGCCTGTCTGGGACGCAAAAACAAACAATGTCAAACATATTTTTCTTTCTGCTCGGCCCCTTCAACCTCCTTCACCCACCCCAGTCTCTGCTTGACATTCATCTCAACCGCCGGCGCCCTCTGCAACACGTTGGCATCGTCGAGCGTGCCCACCTGAATCACAAGAATATCTTGCGCCCCCGCCCAATGTGGCACCGCGTAAACAGGACTCCCGCATTCCTGACAAAAGGCTAGAGAAAACTCAAACCCTTCGTCGCAATGTGTCGTTTTTACCGTCTTCAAAGTGCCATTTGTCAGGCTGAATGATTTGGAAGAAACAGTGAGGTTGAGAGACATGACTGCGCCTGTGATTTTGCGACAAGGGCGACAGTGGCACGTTTTCGTTTGCTGTGCCTCGAAAGGTAAACATCTCTCGCGTAGTTTAGCAGATGGGGACGTAAGGGGGAGCTCTACCATATTAGTGACATCAGATTCAATGTCGAGATTGAATTTCACGTTGCCGCAGAGACAACTACCTTCGATCATGGCTGGAAGATGGATGTGCGTGAATTCACTTATCGTCAAGACCTTGAAGTGGAAGAATTGAATGAGTACTTTCAATCTCAACGGTCACGGTTGGACCAGAAATGCTACATGTTAAGGCCTCCCGCCAACGACGAGCATCAGTCTGGCCTTAATACTCGGGACTTCTTCTTCCTGTTTCAGTATTGTCGTTCTGCAGCGGATTTACATGTTCAGAACTGCAGTCGAAGTGATGAAATGTACGGTCTATCCATTCAACACCACAATAAGACTGCTTATCGAAAGCTACTCTCCTCGGCCTCGCTGGGAATGAAACTGTGTATAGCCTTCACTGGCCCTTTTGATACAGCCTTGCCGGAACAATAGCTTTTCCGGGACCGACAAGGCACTACGCACGAGCCGAAACGGCTGCGCAGTCAAGCGCAGTCACCGTCTGGGGCATCAAGCGAGGATCATGCCAATCCTGCTCGAATCTGCAGGGTCTCAGTTGCCGCCCAATAATCATGTTCGGCATCGCAACAATTGTAGAGCCAAATCTCTACCGTGCCCTCCTCATCTCGCCGGCTGTGTGAGATCGTGGTTTGATCGAATTACCGCAGCCGCAAAGATCGAATGTCCTCAACTCACTTGACTCGTCCTTGACATTGTCTTCACTTGCGCATGTCCCTTCGGGCGCATTCTCACTTCACAGAAGATTCATTCCTCCGCACCTTCGCTCCTGCGTGCGTTGCGCGAGACAACTTGTTCCTCTTTGCGACTAGATGACGAAACAACTTCATCTTCTTTGGCCTCGGCCTTGTCGATAGCAATCCCCCCTCCCCATCAATCCCACGAGAAACAAGCGCAAAGACTTTCACTTGGACGTCACCATCTCATCACCTTTTCAGCGCCGTGAGGCCGCCACACCTTCGCTGCAGTGCGTGCCGACAGCATCTGGCTACAGACGACTGAACCAAGTCGTGGAAGACGTGGTCGCGATGTCCTCGGATTCAAAACACCCTCGAAAGAGCCTCGAATTCCTTGAAGATGGCAGGCCCCGGTTTCACGGGTGCTCAAGAATTACAGAATATGACTACCTGGGCAAGCTCGGCGAGGGTACTTTTGGCGAAGTGTCCAAAGCCAGGTCGAAGCGGACGGGTCAGATTGTGGCGTTGAAAAAGATCTTGATGCACAACGAGAAGGATGGCTTCCCCATCACCGCACTGCGGGAGATCAAGCTGCTGAAGCAACTCGACCACATCAATATCTTGAAGCTGGCAGAGATGGCCGTCGAACGACCGAAGAATGCCAGCAAGAAAACGAGCATGTTCATGGTGACGCCATATATGGACCACGATCTCTCGGGCCTTCTGGAAAATCCAGACGTCAATTTCACCACGCCACAAATCAAGTGTTATATGAAGCAACTCCTCGAAGGCTGCGCATATCTTCACGAGAACAGAATCCTACACCGAGATATGAAGACTGCCAACTTGCTCATCAACAATCGAGGGATTCTCCAAATTGCGGATTTCGGCCTGGCGCGTCCCTATGACGATGAGCCTCCCAAGCCTGGTCAAGGAGGTGGTGAAGCCACAAGAGAATACACTACTTTGGTTGTGACTCGATGGTATCGTCCACCAGAACTGCTGCTCCAATTGCGCAAGTACACCACTGCTATCGACATGTGGGGGGTTGGCTGTGTCTTTGGAGAAATGTTCAAGCGCAAGCCCATCTTGACAGGAGACAGCGATCTGAACCAGGCCAGATTAATCTTCGAGCTGCTGGGGTCTCCTACAGAAGAGAATATGCCCGGTTGGCGCGAACTTCCGGGCGCTGAGGCTATTCTGGACTTCGAACAAATGCCTTCCTCTCTCAATCGACAATTCCGCGACCTCGAGCCTCTGGCACTCTCGCTCCTAAGTGAGCTTTTAAAGCTGGATTGGCGAAAACGAGTCAACGCTATCGACGCCCTCAAACATCCTTATTTCCACTCTGCACCTTACCCAGCGAGGCCCGAAGACTTGCCCTCTTTTGAAGAGTCGCATGAACTGGATCGAAAGAAATTCAGAGATCAGAGAACCAAGCGGCCACCTGCGCCCGCTGGCGGATCTGTAGGTATTGGCCCGCAGGGAGAATGGGGTATCAGTGGGAGGCCGCTTCCACCGTATGAAGGTATGCGTGGCGGCGGTCCCCATCCTGGTTCTCGTATACCTGGTAGCAGACCACCATATGCGAACGGCCACAACAGTCAGCCCTACAATCGACGGCTACCTGGTCCACCCCCCCAGAATGGTGCATATGGCGGTGGGGGTGACTACCGTGGTGCGAATCCTTATCCACCTCACCGAGACATGCCACCGTACGATCAAGGTCATCGTCCGCCTTATGATGACTCCTACCCACGACGACCCCTTGCCGATCATGCACTGCCCCCCCGCCTGCCGCCTGCGGAGATTGACTCCTATCGTTACGGTCCACCAGACGTGCCACCTTACCGTGACGACGGTCGCGGTCCCCCTCCTCCAAGATCTCGAGTACCTCCGTCCACGAGTGGTGGTGGCAGTGGTGGTGGCAGTGGTGGTGGCGGTGGCGTTGGCGGTGGCGGCGGTCCTCCTGGGGGAGCCAACCGTGATACCTATATTCCTCCATATTCGAATGCAGATCCTCACGCGGCTCCACCGAAGCATAGACGGAGGGACGATCGGCCAACATACCGAGAAGGGCCACCTGATTATAGCGAACCAGTACGCTATGAGGAACTTGGTGGAAGAGAAGCACCAGACAGAGACCGTGACCGAGAGCGAAGGCCAAGAAGTCGAAGTCCAATGCGGGACTGGGAAAGAGACAGGGAGGTGCACCGGGATAGGAGAGATAGGGACCGAGAAATTGGAAGGGATTACAGAGAGCGGGATAGAGACAGAGGTGGATATGGTGGGCAGGATCCTTATCGTCGATAGGAACGACGAGACTCAGGATATAGCGGTGCTAGCGCAGGCAATGAGAGGAAGCGCGCCTTTGTTGATTACTACCGGCGCCTACAGAGTGTGCATTCCCAACATTGATCATGGAAATGAGGGTATTGGATCGCATGGATCAAAGACGAAGAAGAAGGCGAGGGATGTGTTCTTGCATTTGCATAGCGAACGGCGCAGTGGGATCAACTGAAACGGAACAAGACAAGCACGGCTACATGATCACAGAGCACAGCATTGGTGTCTGTCATTCAACGGATGGCGTTCGATTGGGTGATGAAGGGGCAGGGCCGCGGGCAATGCGAATCTTTCAAAGCTGGGAATCGAAAAGCGAACAAACGTGATACCCCCGAGGACTTTGATGTCCCCCTACCAGTGGAAAAATTTGCTTTGGGAAGGGTAAAGAAAGGGGGTTCTTTTTTAATGCAAGAGATATATAATTCGCTATAGCGTTGAGGTTTGGAAGCTTTTTTTTCCCCTCTCTTTTTCAGTAACTTCGATTCTTAGATAGCATTGGTGCTATTTGCATTGCTCTTGACAGATCCTCAGTGCTGTTTCCATGCCGGTGCGTGGTCACTGATCGTGCCTCGAAGATCGAACGGTCCTGTATGAGATGACATACATCTACTCCCGTAGACCTTGGGCAGGACTTATGAGAGGGACTTCCATTCTCTCTCTCTCTCTCTCTCTCTCTTGCTCGACCACATATGCTGGAGCACCTATGTTCGGTCCTCATAGAGGGGTTAATGTTCCATCCTGCATTACAAATTCTATATCTGTGGTCTGGGATATTACAGAATAATGATCCTGTAGATATGGACAGGGACATGGACATGGAATATTTACATTTCTACTCCGTGTATGAATGGTCATCGATCGACCAATCAATCAATCAATCAATCCATTCCACGTCAAGCCAAGCCGGCGAACAAATCATCGATGGCATTCTTTCCTTTCCTTTTCCTTTTTACCTTGTGGCTGCTGGGTCTGGATGTTGGTTTGCTTTTGTCGTCGTTTTGGTTGTTCTTCTTCCCTGTGGCGGTCTCCGGAGTGCCTATGCTGTCCTTTAGCTCGTCTTTGAGCATGAGATTTTCGGTGCATTCGGGCACAGGGGGCTGCGCAGAAGGTGCATGAGTGCCGCCGGCGTCTTGGGATGTGGTGGTGGGATCTCTTTGGAGAGTCGCAAGCAATGACGAGGGCGAGTCTGTTGTAGATCTCTCAGTCCTTGATGTTGGGTTTTCTCGTCTTCGTTCCTCGATGACTCTGACGCTGGCAGCCTTTTTCTTTCCAACATCCCCATCGATCGCCCCATCAGCCGCCACTGGTTGGTCTCCGTTCGCGGTTGGGGCTGGGATTCGGTCCGGATTTCTGTCAGGCCGTGGAGCGTTTCCGGGCTGCTCCTCCTTGAGATCCCCTCCCTTTCTCTCGACGACTTCTCCCAAATCGTCACTGTCGTACGTTCTCTCCACGACCTCACCGCTTTGAAAACCTGTGACCCTGATACTCGTCGCCGTCAGGCATCTCGCCTTCACGGTCTCCGTCTCTGTTTGGACCCTTCTTGTTGGCGTAATCTCCAATCCTCCCTCCTCAGCTCCCTCTTGTCGGCTTAGGGTCGGAAGACCCACACTACTCGCCACATCGGCAAGCACCCCTACCAACACAACTCCCAGGTTTGCAAATTGAGTATCGCTCACTAGTCCGGAGAAGCCAAGGTAAGCCTTCGGCACCAATACTTGACGGATCCAATCGACCCAGATCTCTTTTTCCTTGCGGACTTGTGTTTCACGCTCGAATCTCTTCCTCACAACCTTGGCGTCCATGCGGCCCTGGCCGACTATACCCCGGAGAAAGCGTTCCTCTTGCTCCACTAGCACAAGCTGGGAGACTGCTTTCCTCAACATCGAGAGGGATTTCCACCACGGTTGGGTACGGTGCTGGTTCTTGTTGCGGATCCAGATCTTGTCAAGGATGGATTTCGCGAATGATAGCGTGAACTTAGACTCCCCATTTGATGTTTCCCGGAGAGTGGAGGCGTCGGAGCCAGATTTTGTCAGGCCGCTTTGTTGACGGATCTCTCGTGGTGGATGAGGACCCCAACGTTTGCCTCGCGAGGTCGTCCCCTTGCCTTGCATGCGGCGATGAGCCTGAGTTTGGCTCCCTGGCTGTGGATGTGATATTTTACGCCGCTTTGACCCCCTCGTCGGGGTGTTTGTTGTTGAGCCAGGGCAGGCATCAGGCTCCTTGCTTTGGCCCATCTCCTAAACTCGCCAGACACGGTCTTGGATTTCAAAACACTTCGCCGCCCTGATAGTAGCTCTGACTATTCTGAATGAGGATGGAAGATGGGATGAAAATGCAAGGCTTAGACCTCGTCAGTTGGGCAAGTCTAGGGCAAAAGCGGCTAGTCAGATCCATGGCACTAGCACGTAAAGGGGAAAGCGAGTATTGGCACTGCCCTTTACCATTCTGGGCATCATCTTCCTTCCCACGACTTCTTCGTCAACTATCAGCTTGCACATTCAATAATTCACCGCCTATCCTCGAGTAACAACAGGCCATGAGCCGCCACTCTGCAGGGTAGCAGCAAAGAGAAAGGGTTCGCCGATGAAGGCCGACGGCTGTACATATTGAAGCTGAGAAGTCATGCATCGCACTGTGACCGTTACTTCTTTCAGCCGTCAGCTTACTTTCACTGCCCGATTCTCCGACCTGAAAAAGATTGAGCAGATTGCGCTAAGGTATCGAGCAAGATTCGCGACTCTGTTTTCAGGTACCGGTTCCCAGGTTCTAAGCCCGCCGCCCTATCGGAAGGCTGATGGAGGCCTATGAGATCTCGGATCCTTTTGTGCCCTTGTCAGATATAGGATTATGGTACCCTGGCTACTGGTATGTTTCTTTTTGGGGCGGAGGCCTCCATCTACCGAGTTCGGGACGGCGTATTCGCTATCGACTGAGACCCATACACCCGGTCTACCAAGGGTCCCGTTCTTTTGTTGAGCACATTTGTTCGGCTTCGTCAATCCGGCCATGGACAGCATCGGGGGCTCCGCACTGTCTCCCTCACTCCAGCTTCGGCCAGTACCAGCTCCACTGTCGGCTCGAATCTCTGACTGACACACCCAAGTCCGAGGGAGGGAAGATGTCTCGCTCGGGTAATGGGAAATGCAACGCCGGTGGCTGGTCGGGCTAATTGTCAATTCATCCGCATGAGAACATACCCAATGCGGAGAATTTGCTGTCCGAGCGATGTGGAGTGACCTGAATCATGGAACTAGGCCCCTGAGCCAAGGTGCGCTTCTGACAATATTACTTCCCAAATTAAATTTTACGAGCGCCAGCCTCCTCTCAAGCGCCTTCCTACCGCCAACGAATGCGCCAATCCTATTCTCAATTCCTCAGCCTTCTTGCTTATGTTCCCCAAATCAAACACACGGTGAGTCCTAGCCTTGTCCTATGTCTAGATATATTTCAATGGCTTATCTTCGCCTTTTTTGGTCCACCTCCCATTTCTATTCAAACACTCCATTTCCAATTTTTGTCTTTTCCCTGGCACAGAATACAGAAAAACAACTTCCTTGTCAACATGCGGAGGACCAATAACATTGGGCTCTTGGCCTTAGGCCTTGCCTCCTCCATCAAAGGGATCTCAGCAGGCCTAACATGGCCTTCTGCCTATGACGAGATCGAAGATATCATGTTCCTAAACAATGGCTACAACGCCAGAGAGTTTCCCATTCTCCTTCAACCTTGCACCATTGTCAAAGAACCTGGACACTCAATCGCTGCTGGTCTCATCCGGACAGCTTTCCACGACATGGCTCCTCATGATGCTTCAACGGGGATTGGAGGTGTTGATGCGTCGATCGGGTTTGAATTGGACTCGAACATCTATCCGACCAACACCGGCATTGCTTTCAACAATACTATGCACTTTTATTCTCAATTTTTCAATAGCCGAGCTCCCATGGCTGATCTGGTCAATGTCGGGCTCTACCAGGCAGTGAGAGCATGCGGAGGCCCGGTTGTCCCAGTGCGAGCCGGACGAGTTGACGCTACAGGTCCTGGTCCCGTCGGTGTGCCTCAGCCTACCGACCAGATGCCGAAGATGATTGGCGAATTTCGCCGCATGGGATTCAGCCCCGAAGAGATGGTTGCAATGGTTGCTTGCGGCCACAGCATTGGCGGCGTCCATTCAGCTGAGCATCCTGACATCGTACCTCCGTACAGCACCCCGCTAGGTGTTCAAGATTTGGACTATACCAACGCTACTTTCGACAACGCTGTTGTCACAGAGTACCTCGACGGTACCACCAAAAATCCTCTTGTCGTTGGTGCAAATCCCGCTGCTTACTCTGATGGCCGTATATTCGGGTTGAACAAGAGACAGACGGTATCAGCCTTGGCCGATCCCAATGCTTACGCCAGCACCTGCTCTGGAATCCTTGCAAGGATGGTCAATACTGTCCCAGCTGGTGTACAATTGTCCGATGCCATTGCTCCCTATGACCTCAAACCTTCAAATCTTCAGCTCAATGTAGCTGCTGATGGACAAAATCTTGAGTTCACCGGAGAGCTCCGCATTCACACCAACAGCTTGCCTTCATCCTCCATCGCCAGCGTTCAGGTGGTCTACAAGGACAGGACTGGAGCCTCGAATAATGGGCGCACCATTGCTGCTTCCGCTCTGGGCGATGCTAATGGTTTCGACGACACATTCACGGTAGGTAACTCCGCTCTGTTTGAACTTAGTCGATACTAACACGCTTCCTAGTTCTACGGCTTTGAGGGCACAATCCCAGCAATGACTTCGATTTCGTCTTTCACCGTTGTGGCCACCCTAACCAGCGGCTCAACTCAATCTTTCGACAACAACGGCCAAGGGTACCCGATCTCGGACAAGATCTTCGCACAAACCTCCTACTCTTCTCTTGCTGCGACAGACGGCTCCGGCAACCAGCAGTTGACTGTCTTCGCAGCTGTGCGTACCGGCGAAACTTCCGAGCCAGTCACCCTCTCCGTGGATCTCATCAACCCAATCACGTACAACAACCTGCCGACAGTCAGCACAGTCCCCACGCCCATGACAAACGTGTGCGCTGGCCAGTACTACACCTTCTATTCCGCCACTTTTGGCGTGCCCGCTGCGGGTGCAAACTTCACCAAATACGATGTGACCACGAGCTCCAACGGAGCAACTGTCTCGGACAGTTTCAAGAATCTAGCTGGCCTTCCGGTCACGGCCAGCACCGCGCCATCATGTGGCGCTGCTTCGAGCAAGAGAGCGATTAACTTCAGCGCGTAAAGCTGTGCTGACAGGAGAAGGGAGTCGTTGCAATGAGCTAATGTCCAAACTCATCTGTCCTGCATTTTATGGCATCATGTAGAAGGAACCACAGTCTAGCGAGGAGCTAGCGGGAAAATGGCATTGGGCGGCGCTTTGTCTATTTCATTTTGTCCTATCGTTCAATTAATCTTACAAGGTCGCATTTTACCAGCAGAGGATATACCACAGAAGCGATGTCATGGAAAAATTTAGCGGGTTTATACAAGATTCGGCAACAAGCAATTAGAAGCTTCAGCGGCAAGCCTGGCGCCAAGATATACCAATAACTTGGCATCCTTGGCACCTACCACACGGAGGATCCGATTTCTCAGGAGACTTCCGCTTTGCCAACTTCAATCATTCCTTCTTGTTGTAAGCGAATCGGTTTCTATTTCCTCCCCGTCCTTGGGACTTGGGCCGCTCTCCCCGTGACAGCTTCGGAATGGATAAGTGATCAACACCATGTCCTCCCCCGCCAACGAGCAAGCGTCTACCAGAGTAACAGCAAATATCCCTGCTACATCGACAGCGTGTACAACTAAGGGATCATCGCAGTACGTGGCTATAGTATTTCCCTCAACGAGGTTAGTAGGTTGGCCGGCTTTGTGCATTCACCACTGGTGCCGCCGGCACTCCATTGACACAACTTTGCAGCCTCCGCAGACAGCGCCCCCGGCACAATTATCTTTGGCGGGTATGACAAGACCAAGTGGATCGGTAAACTCGGTCACATTCGATCTCATAGAGCCTTCACCAGAAGGAGCGATCAAGCTCGACATCCCAGGACCGGTGATTGGTTTCGTCGTTGGTGACAAGACCTTCGATGTGCCAAACAACCAAGAGTATACCGTGCTGCTTGACACCGGCACCACGCTTACTGATCTCCCAGAGTCATCCGGGTCACCGTGCCCTGGCTCGAGTTGATCATCCCCAGCGCGGGCCTGGATGACGGGGTGTGCGGCCTTGGACTCAGCCCGGCGCCGGATCTCGAGTCCTTCTACACGGCTGGGCGACACGTTCTTGCGCTCGGCTTCCCTGCTGTTCAATTACGACACTTTGACGGCTGGCTTGGGCTGGCCTAGCTCAGGCAAGCTACGGTAGCAGTTGCAGCAATTGTGTCCAGGCGTTGAAACCGTCCTAAGTTCTGAGACCATGACACGTCCGGGCGCGAGCATCCTTGCATTATCCCTGCACGGACAGGTAGACAGATGGTCCCCAATGCTCCTATTTCAATATGTGCTCTTGATACATTCGCAACCCGGGCTCCTTTGGTTCCGAATCGGCCAAATGACAACACCATCCCTCGTACGTATCTCAGGGCCCACAGAAACCATGTTCGGGCGCGCTAGGCGAGAAGAAGCAAACTCGGCTCATCCGAATTTCCTGGCTTGGCTTGCGGGCCAATGCCGCCCGTTCATGAAGGCCCCTTCTCCCCTACGTACATAAGCTTAAATCCGCCGAGTCGGGATCGCTTTGATGCATGTATGTATTGTCGTATGAGGCGATCCGCAGCTTGACGAAAAGAGTAGAAAATCGCGAGACGGTTTTCCGAGTTAATGTCCGAGATGTAGAGTATGTTACAAGACAGGGAAGGAGGAAATGAGCCTTCCCAGGTGTGCATATATATGTGTGGTTGTGTGCGGTGCCTCAGACATGGAAAAGGACTTAACTCGAGCAGCTTCACTTAAAGACAGCACCGACAGGGTCAAGAATTCGGCGTCATCACAGTGATCAGAGAGAAGGCGTACGCCATAAGTCTTCTCGACAGAGGTTCAGGGACGAACAACAACAACAATATCATCATCATCATCACCATCATCAGTCACCATCACAGCCATGGCAACCGACACCATCGTCCTGATAACAGGCGCAAACACGGGTTTAGGTCTCGAGACTGTCAAGTCTTTGCTTCAATCTTCCAAAAAGACATACACCATCCTCCTAGGCGGGCGTAGTTTGGAGAAAGCAACTGCTGCTGCGAAGCAGGTCAAGGCGGACTTTCCCCAAAGTCAGAGTGTGGTAACCCCTGTCCAGATCGATATCGAGGATGACCAGTCCATCAAGACTTTGTTCGGAAATCTTGAGAAGAATCATGGGAGGCTAGATGTGCTGGTGAACAATGCTGGTAACGATTCCGTCCCATGATATTGTTCCATCAACCTCGATCCAAGACCAAATAAAGGGCTGACTTTTGCACTTCTTGGTGCGGCCACAGGCGGCCAGTTTGACCACCAATTCTCCTCCGGCGACCTCACTATGCGTCAGATGTGGAACAAATCCTGGGATGTCAACGTGACGGGAACATACATCCTCACATACATACTCATGCCACTCTTATTGAAATCTTCAGACCCCCGACTGCTTTTTATCACAAGCGGTACCTCTACTCTCGCGGAGAGTACGAATCCCGCGGTGAGAATCAACCACTCGCCCACGGAAAAAGGCTGGCCGAAAGATGGCGGTGTCTTCGCAGGGTTAGGGATTCCAGCATACAGGGCGAGTAAGACTGGATTGAATATGATGATGCGTGAGTGGGTCAGGTTGTTGAAGGAGGATGGTGTCAAGGTGTGGTGTGTGAGCCCGGGCATGTTGGCGACGGGACTCGGTCTGGGAAACCCAGAGTTGTTGAGGCAGATGGGTGCGTTGGATCCGAGTGTCGGAGCGGGCGTGGTGAGGGATGTGGTCGAGGGGAGAAGGGACGAAGATGTTGGATCAGTAGTAAGGAAAGATGGGATCCAGCCTTGGTGATGGCCGGGGGTGGATGAGCAAAACCCAGTGTGCGTCGCCCACAGCAGGCACTCTATACCCATGAAATCCTCGACGGGTGTAGCAGCTCAAGGCGAGAAGGCCAGTCACATTCCTCGCCCTGTTTGAAACTCGCTCAGATATGTGAATGGACCGTCTCGACCTGTTATCTGCGAGTCAAATGTCATCCAATCCATCCTCTCAACATCATCACGCATGAAATTGAAGGGATCAAGAAGTCCAAAGGACAGTTCTTGGTTCCCCAAAAGGTAGTGCTGGTCCTCCAGGGGTCGCAACGGCAAGGGCGCTAAGTCAGCGTCCTGTGAGCTGCCAGCAATGTTGGACTGTTTTCTGTAGGGGGAGAAAGCCTCGTTAGCGTCAGGCATGTCCAAAGATTTGGTGCTGTCCAACACGAGACGGATAGCAACTGAAACCCGTTTGGCATCTTTACTCAGACTGGACTTCTCGATACAGATGACCACAGCCTGCTCTAGGAGGGCAACGACCTCGGCCTCTGTAGCGGCGTCAATGAATGATGGAACACTACTGGCCATATCCTTGCGCCGAATATGGACGATTAGGCAGAGCACCATGGCGCCGAGCAGAAAATCATTCATCGTAAAATTTGTCAACATCCACCGCTCGGTATGCAGGAGACCACCAGGTGCAATCTCCTTGTACATGGCAATGAATTGACTGACGAGACGTGTCCCAGCACTCACACAGGACGTTGTGCTCGATAAGTTGCCGCGTGCCATGTATCGCCGATGGAGAACCAAAAGGCTCTTCAGATAAATGAAATCTATGTAGAGTCTTGTCATGATGACAAATGGGGAATCCATGATCGACTCTGAGAGAGGTCGCGTCCTCAGGACTTCGGGGATTGTCTCGTACATTTGTCGAATTTCCTGGTCGAGTTGGAGGACCTCGGTCTCGGTCTTCTCTCGGAAGGACAAAGCATCCTGGTATACCTTTCCGAAACTAGACATTTGCCTGTCCTTGACAATAAACCAGAGGAGTCTTGTTGTTTCGTTCTCGGGACGGGAAGGGGGCAGGACACTTGTGGTTTCGTCGAAATCCGAATCCACAAGGTTTCTCGGTGACTTGGTATCACAATTCTCCAGGCAGATGGTGCTTGGAAGGCCAAGCTGAAAGGAGATCATGAGATCCATCTGCTTGCATACGGACCAAAACCGCCGGCGCATCTCACCCTCAAACGCCGTGAAAGAGCCAAATGAGTCCGGATCCCGATGATAGCCCATCTCATAGGCCATGCGCACAACCATCCCCAGGATAGCTCCGGCTTCACGAGAGGGGTCGAGGCTTTTGAGGTTCTTGTATTGAGCGTATAAGCCAAGTGCCTCCACCGTCAATGGCTGCGGTCGGTAGTATTCTCCGAGAACTAGACACTGCCCGGCGGCTTTATGGAGGTTGGAGCTGGCGGTGGTCCTCGGGATATTCGTCGCGGAAGGGCCATGTGCGGCTTTGATGGAAGTAGCTATGCAGCAAATTGAAAACAACATGGAAAGCCAAAGTGGATTGACACTGGTCGTCCCGCTCCAGAATGCTCGATACTGGCGCTGGAACTGGTAGGTATGAATAAATGGAACGATGAAAGTTTCTCCTTGGAAGTAGATGGCGAGCAGCCGGTCAACCTCGTGCTTCGGAGGAAGATATTGGGATAGCACCTGTGCTAGGGAATAGTTGCCTGAGAGTCCAAATATGGGGTCGTGGCGGCTGTTTGGGGTGGCAAAAGATTCTGACAGGGTGTTGCCATCATCCCCTTCCTGACCATGAGCTGCGCTGCTCAAGGCCGCCTTCAGTTCGTGGATATCATCCAATATCGCCGACCAATGCGTCGACCCGACATAGCTTGCCAAATTACTTTCCTCATGATGTGCATCAGAGGGTCCCACCGGCGGCGTGACCGGGTTTGCCGGTGCTGCGTCCTTGCCTGCCTGCGCCGATGCTTGATTTTCCATCAGCTGCTTGACCAGCGATTCCAAATGTAGGAGTCTGTCTTCAGCCACCGAGTGACGATTGCCGTTGATGTCGCCGCCACGCATGGCGTTGCTTGACACCCGCAGGTAGTTGCAGATGGCAGCGTCGCCTCGTTTCACGCAGCTTCCGCATGGCTGACTGCGGTCACATTTCAACTTGGCCTTTTTGCATTGAGCGCACACATGCGACTCTCGGGGCCTCTTGATGACTTTGCCACTCGTAGACTCGTGCAAGTTCTCTTTGGGGACTGCTCGAAATCTGCCCCTCAGGCTTGCGAAGTCCGACATTGTCCACGCACCCCGGGCCCGAGAAGCTGCTCCTCACCGACAAAGATGGCGCCCTGCCGGCTTGATGGGAGTCAGTCAACTCTCCTCGGCAAGTAGCGTAGACTGTTCTGGGTGAATGCAGGCCGCAATTCACGAACGTCAGCTCTCCATTGTGCTAGCGGAAGGTATCCGTGTCAAGCAGTGCTGGCTGGCGTCGACGCAGGGTTCACGGCGTGTTCTGAGGGGTTTTGTGGATACCGAGAAAACAGGCCTGTCATCGGCGTCAGTTTCGGGACAAGTTGACTGCGGCACTCACCTGATCACCAACGCCGCCTCTTGCGCCAGCGAATAACAACCGCAACAACAAACAACGAATTTGAACAAGGAAAGTGGATGAAATCCATTTTGATTGTAAGCTATGAGATCACTATGAGTGATCAGTACACGCTGTGTTGATGGTACATGATTTGTCTTCAGTAAAGCCCAAGCTCCATCCCATCTTAACCGCCGTACATTGATTTCATAGAAAATCTTGCTCACATTTTTTTTTTTTTTTCAAGAAAAGAGAGAAAAAGAGAAAAGAAAAGAAAACTTGCAAGTATTAGGGGGGCAAACCTGTGTAATAACACAGGGGGGCACAAGGGACTCAATGACAGTGATGACGTGATGCAGGGGGAGGTTGTCCAGCCGCTCTTTGCTTGTTGTCCAGGGTGAGACCAACTTGATCTCAAAAGACCAAGTGCCACGATTCCCTTCCGTAAGTCAAGCAGGAGGACAATCCAAGCCGACAGAACACAGGTATCGACAACCAACGGACCATGAAACCAACACGGTGTGACCTGAAACATCGTAAGACATCCAGCGCCACGATCATGCAGTGCTAATAACGTGGAAGATGAAGATTGCCAATGTGTTCAAGCGCAGGATCTTGGAGACGATAGCGAGGTGCAACACCCAACTCGTTCTCAGCACCAGGGGTGCCTCGGTCGAATTGAGAACGGCGACGGCGCTGTTCTTCGCGGTACACCTGGCCTTGTCTAGGGGCGAAAAGCCCTATCGAAGAAGCGCAGTTAGTACACTGATGTCATAGACGAGATAAGAATAAGTATGCTCACGGAAAAGCGCGGGGACGACCGGCAAACGGGTCATAAGGGCTGCGGGTGTCAATCACGAACGGCATACGACGATGTGTTGGTGAGTGACGTGGTGGCGAGTACCAAGGTGGAGAGGAACGTTGTGACGAGTGGCGTGGTGGTGAGCGACGTGGTGGTGACGGCTTCGCCGTGAAATCCTGGGGACCCTTCACTTCGAGCTTGGTGGCACGAGCAGGTGGCAAGTAGACACCACGACGGCGAGCCTCATCAACGTTGAACTTTCCAGTGCGACGCAAGGGTTGACGACGACGGAAACGATCACCAGCAGCGAATCGCTCACGAAACCAGCCGGGACGGAAATGAGGGAGGTACAGACCAACATGCTCGGCATTCTCGACTGAACGACGCATCTTGGAGTGGTTGTCGGGTTCAGGGAATTTCTCTTCCTGGCCTGCATTCGGAACGTTGCCAGCAATGAAGAGCTAGAGGTAATTAGCAGTGGAAATCAAGGCATGGCGAGAGCCGACTTACCTTGGGACGAAAGGCAGGATGCTCAAGCATGACGGAAGAGTTGCGGAATTTCTGAACAAGACAATCCTTGCCTTGAATGGCTACGGATAATAGTGAGCAAGTTGCAGTGAGGGTATGGAAGAGCAGAGCGATACTCACTGGCATAAGAGACCTCGGCAATCTTGTCTGAGGCGAAGCAATTCCAGCGCTTGCCAGCCCGAGCAAGAACAAACTAGACATGTCAGTAAGGGGAAGAATGGTAGGGAATGATCACAAACAGGGATAATTGACTGAGCCTGGAACAGAGTTAGCAAAGACATTGACTTGAGGAACGAGCAGACTGACATCGACGAAGTTGATGAATGCGTATCCGACGTTACAATTGTTTGCGAAATCTGAATGGAGTTGATGAGTATTCCTGGCATGGCGAGTTGATGGTCTTTTCACTTACCAATGCGAAGGTACATGAAGTCATACCGGCCACGGCTCGTGACATCGAGGAGATTCTTCAACATGGCTTGATCAACGCGATTGGGGATATTGCGGAGCATGATCTGAACATGTTGTCAGTTGGTGATATCGCAAAGAGCGTGAAGAGGAGAGAAACCGACAGTGGTGCGAACATCAAGGCCCGCCTGGATGCGACTGACGTCGACGGCATTATGGTTCATGGCCTGGTTGAGGCGACGACCGTGACGAAGACCATCACGCTGGATCGCAAAAGCAATACGATCATAGTCTGGGTCGAAGGGAACTCTGGAGCGACCAGTGACGGAAAGCTGCTCGTGGTGTTCCTCGTCGAACTCAGAAACCACACGAACGTCAGGCTGCAATGCGATGACATCGAGAACAGCTCCCTACGATATATTAGCAACAAGACTGGGTTGGTGGTACGTAACATACATGAATGATGGTTCCACGGATGACATCCCTAGCAACGTCAACGAGGCTGGCGTTGTAGAACTCGACACGGATCTCTCGAAGATGAGCCTGAGTAGCAGGGCTGGTGTGGAAAGCCTTGACATCGCCGCATTGCGCAAGAAGACGCTTGATCTCAGCTAGGACGGGAGCTGCCTCAACTGGTGGCGCAGTCGCATGACCTTGGTAGTAGACGTTGATGATGATTTCTCCTTCATGATCAGTAACCAGATCTGGATCTCGGCCGCTGTCAGACGCGTACATCTTCGCCGTGAGAGGGAAGATATAGCTGTATGGCAAGATGGCATGAGCGACGTCGGCAGCGCGTTTGGCGTCGCGAATATCATCGCAAGCCAATGAGAAGAGACCATTGGGTTCAAAGTCTGTAGAATTGATGCCCTTGATACTTGGGAACAGCTCGGGCTGGCGATGTCAGTATATGAAGATGGCAAGAGAGACGTGGGACGTGTTACCGGGAAGTGGCGACTGATGACCTTGGATCCGAATGAAAGTGGGACGCCTGTAACGGCGAAGGAACGAGAGATGTTTTTCTCATCCATTGTGAAGACGCCTTCAGTGATGTTGAAGTCATGTAGGTAGATGCCAGCCACAGGTTTGTGGGGGGTCTGATCCAGCGTAAGGAGGCCGAAACCATAGCGAAGGGCATTGGGATTAACGGCGGGGGCTTGAGCAGAACGCGGAGCTCCGGGCACGTTGACTGGGAAGTACGCGAACTTAGCAGGCATACGAGTCTGCTGGGCCGTCAGCATACTAGGTATTTACATGGCTGTGCAGAGAGTGTCTTACTCCGATATTGTCATGAGCACGGTCAATGTATCCAACCTGGGCTGGACCGCCATTGTTCATGAAGCCGGCGGACAATCTTGGGGTGAAGACCTCAGCAGTGGGAGAGAGCTGCGGACCTTTGGCAGCGACAGGGGCGGTAAGGAAGACGTCCTCTTCGGACTCGTCGCAGACACTGAGGCCAAGTCAGAGGAAGTTTGAGACGCGGTTGGCGCAGAGAGAGAGAGAGCCAGTTTGGTATATTTACCTGGCATGCTTGGGCTTAGCGGGCCGAAGCTTCAAGACAGGATGGACAAGGTCTGGGACATGACCCTTGGACCCGAAGTCGGCCTCAGGGGTGAAGGCAGTGAGGTTGGTGGATGGAGTTCCATGGTTGGTGTTTTCATCCGTGGAGTGGGGGGAGGAAGCCATGGCTACACCACGTGGCGGAGACATGACTTTCAATGGCAGTTAGCTTGTGCTCAAGTGCGTAGGTGAATATGCTGTCCAATGGAGCCAGCAAGAGCGGGCAGGTCATCAAAGCCAATGCCACAGGAGCTCTCATATGAGGGAGTGGGCAGGGCAGGTAGGGCATGAAGATCAAGGCGCCATTGGCAATGTCCAACTCGCTGCTCTTGGGAGAGAAGTGCGTTCAGGGCATTGGTTAGACTCACCGGATGCGATGTTTTGAGCTTGTGTAGGGCTCTGAAATCAATGAAGGAGTGTGGTGTGGTAAAGAACGTGATGGATGAGAACGAATACCAACAAGATTCGAGGGATTGAATGGGTGCAGAAGGAGTGTGAAGGTGGTAAAGGAGCGTGAGAGCGTGAGAGCGTGAGAGAGTGAGAGAGGACGAAAAGTGAGGTGTGTTGTTTTGAAAAAAGAAAGAAGAGAAAATTCGTGGGAAGGAGCGGCTGGGAAACGGCCACAACGGGAATAGACCGCTTCAAACGACGACAGGCAACTTGAATGACTGAAGACACAGTCGGCTGGACGATCGAGCGGTTGGGAGCAAGTGAGTGTTGGCGAGTCTCACCGGCGAGGGGGATTTGCAAATGGTTTGCACGATTCCAGCCGCTCGCTGCGTGGCTCTGCCCATCCAATTTGTATGCGTGGCGACCCCGAACCTCCGGCAACGGGCGTGTTTTCGACGTAGGCAAAGTGAGGCCAAACTCCTACCTGCGCTCTCACTTCGCGCCTGACATTTCGAGCGACATCACCGGCGACATCACCGGCGACATCATCGGCAACACCATCGCCGTCTTCTTAGCTTGCACAGTCTCGACAAGCTCAGTCAACAGCTTGGCTAGCGGATTCACCGTCTGTGGACATTGAACCTGCCTTTGAGGCCCGAAGAGAGGACACAAGCTCTCCCTCCACCAAGTTCACATCTCTCGGCATTCAGCTCTTTCACATTCTTCTCGTTGTCTTCTTCCTCAGCTCTCCCCAGCACCAACACGGCAGATCCGCTGACATTCTTTATCACCGGGCAGGTGCGACGTTTCTTCTCTCCATTTAGCCCTCTTGTTTGTCCTCCAGACAAGCCCGACACTTTGCAGACATGTCTGCTCTTGAACTGCGCTTCTGGAAGCTCTACCTCGCCAGCGCGAGTTCCCTGACTCTCATAGCCACCGCAGCCAGCTTCCGCAGTGCCCTGACTTGCCAAAGAGGAAGGTCATCTGGATGACATGAAGATGATGTTGGGAAGAGAAAAGGAAACCACAAACACTTGAAGTTGCGAGGTTGAAGAAGGATCGACAGCGCTAATGTCTTGGCTATTGTGCTAACCATAAGGCGTTAGCGTGGTTTCTGACACGTCCTGACACCTCGCTGCCATGCGAGAGAGAATCCAGAATCTATCATACTATCCCTTTCTGTTGCACTGTCGCACAGACCAGACCGGATGCTTGATGCCAGACAAATTCATCGTTATTTGCTCCAGATTTCCCCCAGCTTGCGTTGTTTGATCAGCATTTTCCTGCCCTACCGTGGATGAGCCCCGTCTAACCGACAGTGACGCAAAGTTCAGATATTGGGACTTGGTTTGCACAGTGAACAAGGGCTTCTTTCGCCGACAAAGATTGCACTTGGGACAATGCCGTCAATAGCGCCATACAGAAATGACATGAACAATGTGCTTCAGCAGGTATACGTGACCGCTCCATCTCATGACCCCAGGCTGACACCATCACCAAGATCGTCACCTCTTCATCAGAGGCGGACACGCTCGACCAATTGATTCCATACATCAAGGACTACAGCTATGGAAACAAGACTGCCCACTTGCTGAGCCAGCTGTCCGACCTTGCCGGAGAACGGGAGGCAGAGATTGAGCGCCAATGCAACACAAACCACCAGGAGTTTGTAAAATCTGTCAACCAGTTGCTCCGGATCCGCGAAGGCACCGTCACCCTCACCAACGAGATTTTAGAATTGAACCAGTCCATTCAAGCCAGCACTGAACGGCTCGTAGATCAGAAGAAAGCCCTAGTCGAGTCCCGAGGCGTGAGACAGAATATAGAAGACGCCCGGCACGCTCTGCAGGATTGTCTCGAGGTTCTTCGCCTGGCGAACCAAGTCCAGGAGCTCCGCGACCAGAAGAAGCACTATGCTGCGCTGCGGGCACTGGACGAATTGCAAAGTGTCCATCTGCAGAGCGTCACCCAGTATGAATTAAGCGAGCTGATTCAGAAATCGGTGCCTGCGACCCAGAAATCCATTGCTGAGGCTGTCATGGCAGACCTCAACACCTGGCTCTTCCGTGTTCGAGAAATGTCCCAATACCTTGGGGAGCTGTCCTTCTACCATACAGACCTTCGCAAGCAGCGTCTGAAGGAGAGATCCGAAAAGACTTCCTATCTTGCCAACTTCAAGCTCAACTCTGCCATTGAGCTGGTGGCGGACGAACACGAGGAATATGACCTGCTCAAGAGCGAAGACCTCGAGGTTGATTTCACTCCCTTATTTGAGGCGCTACACATCTATCGCTCACTCGGTCAAATGGAAAAGTTCAAGACTGACTATGCCGCCAGTCGTCGCGCTCAACGCGACCTTCTCCTTCAAAATTCCATCTCCCTCGTTGACGAAGAGATGGGCGATCTCCACACTCTCCTGGAAGATATTGCGGGGTTCGCCATCATGGAGCGCGCTACAATGAAGAAAGTCCCCGATCTACGCTCCACTACTGAAGTCGAAGAGCTGTGGGACTCACTCTGCCAAACGGCCATCTCGCTGATGTCCAAGGCCCTGACAGCGGTGGACAACGCCGAACACTTGCTGAAGATCAAAAACCTCATCTCGCTGTTCATTCAGACAATGAACGGCTTCAACTTCAACACCGCGGCCATGTCGAATTTTGTGCTGGTCCTCTTCGACAAGTACGCCGAGCTCCTCAAGCAACGGTTCAGCGAAGATTTTATCGAGATCGTCAGCACAGACGATTACATGCCCATGCCGATCCAGAACGCCGAAGAGTTCGAAAAGGTCGTCAATGTCTCCTGGTACACACCCGACCGGCCCGTGCAGGAGATGACTTTCCCGACCGTCTTCCCATTCTCACAAATGTATCCACTCTGCTGCATCGACATCCGCAACTTCTTGAACCAGTTCTACTTCTTCTCGGCGCAGGAGGACAATGCGCCTTCACCGCTCTCATCCAAGATCGATTCTCAACTCCTCACCTCGCTGGATGACCTCCTGACCACCAAAGTGTGTGCCAGCCTGGTTTCCAAGCTCTCGTCGCAATACCTGGGTCAAATCGTGCAGATTCTGATCAACCTCTCCCACTTCACCACCGCGTGCCACGAACTCGAAACCCTCCTTGCCACGGCGCGTTCTTCATCCTCCGGCCCCAACGGCGGCGGGAGCGTCGGCCCACCAGTCTCGCTCAAAGCGACAGCGCAGTTCAGCACACACCAGAAGACAGCCGAAAACCGCATCTTCGAGCTCGTCAACAGCAAGGTCAGCGACCTGATCGAGACTGCCGAGTACGACTGGCTGTCGCGCGACCCGCCCACCGAACCATCGAACTACATCCTCACCCTGACGCGGTACTTGTCCAACATCATCAACAGCGTCCTGCTCTCTCTGCCGTCATCACTAAAAGATCTCATGCTCTTCAACGCCATTTCCTACACCGCCTCCAGCATCCTCTCCCTGCCCTTGTCGCCGCAAGTGGACAGGATAACGACGGCCTGCATCGCGCAGATGGACATGGACATCCAGCACTTCCGCTCCTACGTCGAGACCCTGCCGAACAACAGCATCCTGCTGGAGTCGCTGGACGAGCTGATCCAGACGGTCGCGCTGATGAGCACTGACCAGCCCGACGAGTTCTACGACATCTCCCTCCGCAACAAAAAGTACCGCAACGTCGACCCTCTCAAGGGCCCGCAGTTGTTGGAGAAGGTCGTCCACGTAGATATCAGGTCGTCAGTGTCTGCTAGGGGCGGCGCCGCGCACGTGCACTTTGACAGCGAGGGTGGAAGAGACGGGGTCCACAGCCCCGGACTGGCGCACAGTGGGAGCACGGGTTCAAGAGGGGGCAACACGTTTACGGCGTTGCAGAACCGCTTCATGTCGCATGGCGGGCGGTGAAGTGCATTCGGATCTCGATTAGATTATACGGAGTACTGTATCTTGAACCATTATTGATTGCGTGGCCTGCTTCCCTGTCTTCTCGACGAGGTCAACGATTGCGCTTGGGATCCAAGACGCGTTCCTTCTGCGCATGGCCCAATGCAAGTCTGCTGTGTATGCGGTGTATCTCTGTATGATGTACGATCTCCGTCGATCAGAGCGCGCTGGATGGGGTGCTTGTTTAGCTTAGAAATATTTTCCCACCCCCTTTTCGCTTTCTAAAGCAGGCACAAGTCCTTCTCCCGAATCTGCAGCCTCTGAGGTCGGATTGCGCCATCTCTCGACATAAGACCTAGTCCTTCTAACTAGAGAGACGATACTCTATTCTTCGTTGCAAAAGGTTGTAACTGACGAGCATCATGGCTGCTATGGGCTGTGGACCAATTTGGTTGAGGCGGGTTGAATCAGCTCAAGTGATACGTCGTGGAGGAGGCTCTGTTTCATTTCTTCTCATTGATTCCTAGCCGCGATCAGGTAGACCCAAACATACGACTCACGCTCACTTCACGAATTGGATCCTGACACACAGTCATAGACAAAAGGGAACAAGGACTGCAGGAGGAGAGACCAAAATTTGGGGAACCGGAAATCCAAAGAATGCCATTCTGCTGCGGATGCAGTTCATTAGAGACCGTGCTGTGCTGGAGCCCATGGGTCATGTGTTCCGTCTTTCTGCCTTGCTCGGCGTCGTCTTCAGTGGTGAGCTGTTGCCGTCACCCGCGCGCTCGCATAATTTGTTTCTGAGAGACAAAAGCGCGATGGTCTTCAATCCAAAAATACACAATTTCATCAAACGGTGGTGGTATCAATTTTCTGTTTTTCCAAAGAGGAGTTCTTTCATTTTCCTCTTCCTCCTCCCGACGATGGGTTCTGGAGTATCAGATTTCCGATTTGCTTCCGGACTTGGCCCCTAGCCAGGACCGTACCCTTGCTCATTGACCTGTTGATCTCTGCCTGCGGTGCCGGGCCTTGGACCTCCATATCCTTGACTTTGTGGCCTTTGACCCGGGAGATTGGAGTACATCTGGAGAAAAGAAGCCGAGTCAGCGCCTGCTACAGGGAGCTCTGGATTTGCAAGAGTACATCCAGATTCTAGATTGGCTATTGCGGGGGGGGGGGGGACCTACCTGTTGAGCGCCGGTCCCGCCAAACTGTCCCTGGGCGTAGGGATTGTACATGTCACCGCCAGTGAACATTTGCGGAGGTTGGCCATAGGCTTGGCTGGGATCTTGCTGCGCGTCACCGCCCATATGGCCAGGATACATTTGGGGCCTGCCGTATTGGCTGTCAGGAGGGCCCATCGTACCATGTTGCATGCCATAGTCCGGGGGTGGCATTTGTTGTTGAGCTTGTTGTTGGGGGACTTGAGCGGCCGCAGCTTGGCCGCTGGTGTTGGGCCTTTTCGAGCTTCCGTGGCCGGCGCTGTCTTCTCGTGGGACAATGTCGATTAGAAAGTCGAACATGTCGCTCTTAGCGAGCGCCGCAGCAATGTCACTACGTTGCAGGGTCCTTCTCTTGTTGTCCTCTGCATGGATCCAAGCGCGCATGGTGAGTTCTGTGATGAATATATCACATCCTTTTGCAAAGAGGATGGGAGCTTCGGCGGAGATCATCTTGACTTCAGGATCCGCCTTCATGACCTTTTTGATTCGCGCAAGGGGGAGTTGATGGATTTTGAAGTCGTGGGTGTCGGTTTCGAGATGATTGATGGTTTGTTGCCAATAAGTTGCCAGAATTTCGCGCGATGGTCCGGTTAGACCTTGGTTGATCTATGGAACTGGTGAGCATGGGGTGTGACAACGGCATCGGGGTAGACGATCACATACGTTTGACCACAGTCCCGAGTACAACTCAGTATGGGGAACATAGCCTTGAGCGGATAACTAGAATTTTGTGTCAGTACGTCGCTGATCCAGAACAACATCAACTCTGCGCGTGCCAACGTGCCATATTCTCATCCTCCTCTTGTGCGCAGGACGGGCCTCGACCCCCATCTCAAGGAAGGGAGATGATTGACCACCTACCGCGGCGCTGGCTCCATAGTGGCCGCCTTGAGAAAGATCGTAGACCGGAGGAGCCGTCTTCTGTTGTTGTTCCATAGTCGCCGGGATGCCTCGAGAAAGCTGGAGGTGGCTAGACAGGTGCGCACCGACGCGACGGGGACAAGATTGACAACAGCGCAACCGGACGGCGAGAGACGAGAGCGGAGGCGTTATGGGCAATTTGTATCGAGAGGCAATGGGCGAGGCGCGGGCGAGGATACAGAGAAACTAGTGGAAAGATTCTTGTTGTTTTGACGGGTCTCTCCACCACTCAGCCAACTTCGGGTGTCGCGCCGGACGAAGAGACGATGGATATGGATGTCAGTGGAGCGGTCAAGGTCGCGCGAGCGGCGGGTCCGTGTCAAATACAGTGAAATCCGGGATCAGAGATGGGCAGCGTGGATAGAGAGTCGGTGAGGAAGAGGTAGGCGGGGGGGAACGGGTGGAGAGGGAGAGGACGAAGGAAAGCTAAGCTGCATTTCCCATTTACATACTCGGTACTGGGTAGTGAGCGAGAGGAAGGGAACAAGCTGCGCCTTCTGCGCTGCCCACGGTCCCTGCGGTGCCTGCGCCTGCAGCGCAAGCGCGGGGAACCTACTTACTTGGTTCAGCTGAATCACACAAGTCACCAAAAAGGTCAAAAGCACCCAGCACAGTTCATGGGAGAGCCGTCTTTGGTTTTCGGTCTTTGGTCTTTTGTGCTCGAGCCTCGCCATCTCAATTTCATCATGTCAACAAAAGCCTTCCGACAAACCAATCGGACTGCCATCGCTCGACCGACCAGGGCGACGAATGGGACGAATTACATGAGACAACACACACACCGCACACACCTTCTGCTGCCCTATTGAACACACTGACGGGGCCATTGCCCATGGCTTCTATTTGCCTGGCGCGCACTCATGGCCGTCACAGGAGATTGGCCCGTCTTGCAACCTCTTTGATCTCACCATCGTCCCGGACCCATTGGACACGCAGCCACCTTGATCCTGGTCACTGCGCCCGCGAGGCTGGGATCCCTTTGCGATAGCTGTACCCCATACCTCTTCACCTTCCCATGTACTTCGCCGCGAGTGTTAGGTACTATTCATGGCAGCAAACGGGCCCTGCAACGGGTAAAGAGCCATGATTCGCCTCACTTCGGGCATCAACACTCAGCTGCTAGGCGGGGTGGGATGCGTTGTCATCCGAGACCACCAGGAGACCAGGCCGCCGGACAGGCTGGCTATATGCTCCTCCGTAGTGCACGTGACAAAATCCGGCACCGTATAGATGGAGTCATGCAGTGGCTTGGTCTCGCCGGGTTACGGCACTTGCTGCACCGTACTGGGTACCTCGTACTGGCAAGTACTGGGCACTTTGGCCATCAATGGCGCTCGGCGCTTCTAGCGCTTCTCCGCAATCTCATTGTCCACTTCTCCACGATCGGGCAACTTGCATGTGAAATCATAATAAACTGTGCCGGTCTCACCGTACGGTTCCAGCACCACATCTCTGGTTCCTCCACGCTCGTTAAACAGATGATATACCCCCAGGTCACTCGAGAATCTCTCTCTCTCTCTCTCTCTCTCTCTCTCTCTCCCCCCACCTCCGTCAGCGTTTTGGAATCCATCTCCTGTGTGGAAGCCGGCAACACCTCCCACCGCCATGGTCTCCCATCTCATCACTACCACGCTCCAAGCCGCGTGCCTGTCCGCCCTCTCAAACCTCGCTGCGCAAGGCATAAAAGCCTACCGAGAATCACACCCTTTCACGCTCAGACTCGCTCCCTTGGCGCAGTTTGTCATCTTCACCCTCATCTCCTGTCCGCCCAACATCCTCTGGCAGGAATATCTCGAATACAAATTCCCCGGCTACACTGTTGCACCCACCTCCCTCTCTACCACCTCCTCCTCTCCGACCGCCGAGAAACAACTCCACATACCCAACACACTACGCAAATTCCTCTTCGACCAAACATTGGGAGCATTTGTGAACACAGTCGCCTTTGTTGCTGCCATGGCAGCCTTCAAGGGGAAATCTGCCAAAGCCGTACAAAGAGAAGTGGAGAGAGATGTTATCCCGTTGATGATTAGCAGCTGGAAGCTCTGGCCCATCGTGGCGTTGATGAATTTCACCCTCGTGCCCGTGAACAAAAGGGTGATAGTGGCCAGTGTTGTGGGATTATTCTGGGGCATTTATTTGAGTTTGTTCGCTGCACTGGAGTGAAGCATGCTTCAAGGGGAAGACTGCGTTCGGTTGACGACATGATACTTTGGGTCTGGCAAAAACACTACTGCACATTTGAAAAGAGTACGGGTTCGCATAGGGATGGAGGTCGTGCTGCGTGAATTGACCAAACAGCAGTGACTTTGGAAGGCCTCATGCAAGCTTTCTAAAAGTAGCCAACAAGACGTGGCGCGGTACTGGGGCTCATGAAGAGGGCATACTGCTTGCTCAAACATGGCGGGAAAAACTACGACCCCAACCATCACTCTGTCCCTCCGATCCTCATCTCTCTTCCATCCCTTCGAATCACATAACGGTACGCAAATCCAGCCGCGAGCTCGATCCTCAAGAAGCGGTAAACAGCCGAGAAGGGGAATGGACAGAAAAAAAACACTTTGACCAGAAGAAGGAAGGCATTTGACTCGCACTGCCTTTGTGTGCGCCCTGTTGATCCAACGTACACGGAAACACAGGGAGATCATCAAAGGAAAACAAGGAAATGCAGACCCGGAGCCATCGAAACAGGAATGTTCACATCGGGAGGGAGGAAAGGAACAACACCACTTCAGATATCACATATGCCATTCAATACGATACATGAAGAAGGCACCTCTGCGTCCTCTACACCAGACGCTCCGTCATCCTCCCCACTCGCTCATCTTGGATTGAAGATCCAAAGAGCGGGGAGAGCAAGTGAGCGAACCAGCGACTGTCCAAAACACCTCGGCCCTTTCCCTGAAAGCTCTGTGCACATAACCAAGGCCCAACCCCCCGAAAGCATCGAGACGGAGAGGAGCTCATGTAGGAGCCAAGACCTCACCAACGTCCAGTTTGCCAGAGAGCGAATTCGGCCCTATGAGAGTCTCTACCCCTGCGGGCCTCCGCTTGTCTTCGTCAAGATGAAGATCATGATCAGGACCGCATGGATGCTGGTACCACCACTGCTCTGGCCCGCCAGTATATTCCCTCCAACCAGTATGGATGAAGACAAGTTAGTTTGCCTCTTCACCAAAGAGGTCCGGCTATAGGCTGCTCTAGGCAAAGATTAAAGAGAAGACAAGGTCCGTGTCTGCTCGGGAAGAAGCGGTCTCATGGCTCGAGTAGCGGGTGTGAATACCCACAGCGAGATGTTCAAGGTCAAAAGTCCGCAGAGCAAAAGACCTCCGCGTGGACTGTTAGAAAGTTCATATTTCTCGTGATTGAAGAGTATACAAATGATATGCTCAGGATAACTCCAGTATATGGCCAGTGGGTATGTGAATATAACTGCGGAGTGAATGCCGCCAAATGAAAGTGCGAAATATTGGAACCGGGCAGGAGAAACCCGAAAGAGAAACCCATAAACAAATAAAGATATGTGCTTGGTGTCATGTCCACTTCTCATCATGTCCGGCTCTTTGGTGCCCCCCGAGAAGTGCATATCATCTGGTGTCTAGTTGTATATGTTAGTCGTCAATTGTTGCATTCCTGCCAATTCATATCATGTCCCTTGTGTCGTATGTCCTTTTGCCTGTCGTGTCATTCCGTGTACGGAGTATATCCCCTTGAATGTCGTCATATATTCGCAAAATGAGTGGATGATTCGTCCCTTTTCTTCGAATCTGCGTAGTATTTTCAAAATGGCCTTTTTGAACTTCCGACGCCGGAGGTCAATATGCAGAAGTGAAAATGTGGCCGGAATAGAGGCATGTGAGGTCGCAATGGTGACCTCAGGGAAACACTCGTGAACTGCGCTCAATGTTGCACTCGGTCCACAATTGATAAGCGGACTCAAGCATACCTGGGCATGCAGCTGGTATGATATTTCTCCTTTTTCCGTCGCTCTTCCTCACGGACACGCTCAAGTTGGGCTTCCACCGATTTAGATCCAGCACTGCTACCGATAGCAAGTCCCAATCCAAGCAAGTTCTTGCCAAGTCCCTCTTTGATCTTCGGACTTTGCTGTCCTCCATTGGTGTTGGCGCGCATGCTCTTTCGCCTTTCCACTTTGGCTTGATATTCCTCAATATGAAGCACCGAGTTCTTTCGTTTTGGGATGCTGTCCATTCCCAGCACTTTCCATGCTTTAGCCTTGCTTGGGCCCCGGGTCAAAGGGGCCTTCGATCGAGGGGTCAACGTCGGCGCGCTGAGAAGCGGTGAAATTGTGTCTTGCCATTCCTCTTCAGCAAGGGCCGAGACTGGACTAATGGACACATCAGTAGCAGTACCTGTAGTGCCAGTGGATCTATTCCGGGAATGCGAGATGGTCGGCATTCGCTGGCAATGGCCATCACAGTATGTTTTTGGCAGCTGCAGCCTCATCGCCCTGCTAGCACTGACAAGACTCACAGGCGTAGGCAGCTCCACAGGTAAAGGATTCTCTTGGTGAGCATCTTTCGAATCAACCGTCAGCAACTCAATAGCTTTCTGCAAATCAATTCCAGAGCCTGAATCGCACATAGCAAGAGCCTTCCTCGCTCTGGTTTCAGCAAACCCCAGTTCACGTACTAGGAGGTCCATTGCTTTGTCTACTGGATCAACAACAGCGGAGGCTGAGGCTGCTGGCGGCTCAGGGGCACGAAAAGGAACACGAGGTGTAGGACTAGCATAGTCCATGGGGAATAATGTAGCCCCGAGTTTGGTGCTTGCTGTTGGAGTCATTGAAAGCGAATAATAGACTGTCGGATCTGCTGTAGGCGACGTCGGAAGTAGGTGGGAAGGCAGGTTTGTCCCAGAAATAGCATCACGATCTGGTTGGGTCTCGTGCCGAGTATTCGCAGGATCACAGTCTGGGCGTATCTCCATTCGCACACCTGCAAGAGCATTTGTGGAGACCGGTCTTCTTTTCTGGCTAGAGGTATCAATTCGGAGCGATTGTGACTGAGCCGTGGTCCGCGTGGAAGGCAAGAAGGTCAGGTGCTCATCGAGAGATCTGGTTGGGCGATGGGTCGGGGCTCGAGGCACTGAGGATTGCCCTGGCATCTGGCGCATCGACATTCGTGCAGCCCTCCGAGTGGCGTCTTCGAGGACCCTTTCTTGGTAGACTTGGGCAATTGCCGTCGTTAAGAAAGATGTCCGACTTTGACCTGCGGGTGGAACAGGCCAGTTTGTCAGGCCGAGCATCTTTGCCTGTTCGAACGAGCAACTGGATAACGAGAGAACAGTTTGGGGCCCCAGGGCGAGGAGGTACGAGGTCCACTCTGTGAGGTGCTGCGACTCCGAGGTTGTCTCTCGCAAGTGCCAATTGTCGAAGACTCCATATCGCTTGGCTTCCTGTTCCCGACCACGGAAACCCGACACAAGAATTTGCAAGCACTGCCACATCTCGTTCATATCTTCAAGTTCGTGAGTCATAAGTCCTTTCCCATTGCCAATTGCGAAACCAGCACCTAGCTGCTTGTTGTTGGCCGCTCTGCTGCCGTTGAGCCAATCGATTTCCGTTTGAGCAGGCCCAGACTGACCAACCGTGTCTCCAAATAAAGTGCAGAACGTCCATATACGCCACAATGCATCGTCAATCTGAGATTTTCGGGCATCATCTTGACCAAGAAGACCAACGACGGTACTCTGCTTGCAACTCGAACTGCAATGAGCCACAATGAATGCTTTTAAGGCGTCGAGGGTTCGGCAGTCACGGCGATAATCTTTCAAAAGGAAGTCGTTCGATCCTTTCAAGGCGAGGATGCTCCGCCGAAGCTCCCAAGCCGCTCGTGATATCTTGAAGACCAAATGGCTCACCAACTTGGATTCGTTCCGTTGAAAGGTCCGTAAAAAGCCTTTGCTTACCATCGCAGTTGCCTGGAGGTCTCGTGCGCTGTGCAGGCTGCACATGATTCTGTATATGACGCGCTCGGCAGTCGCTGCAGTGATTGGACGACGATTCTGCTTTGGGGCTGTTTGAGGCGGGCGAGAAGAAAAAGGTGCGGTTAAGGCGAGCTTCTGTATATCGACCGTGTGCCGTCTGGACATTTGGTTTAAAGATCGTCCAGGCTGCGGGACTCCCGTGTCAGATGCTGAGCGGTTCCTGTGATGGCCATGTGCTGCAGTCGTCCCCGATCGAGCTTCTCGAACTGATCTCGACGACCAGGCCGGCAGCTCTGCGACAGCGCCTCCTTCAGAGCCCCGTCTCGTGGAAAACATTTTGCCTGGTTGAGAAAACGTGCGCTGTACGCTAGTGGAGGAATGAGTAGCTGAGCGGATCGGGAACGCAGATGGAAGCTCTGCCGCAGACTGACGTAGAAGTAGATCCGGTGCGGAAGTGGAAGCCCTTTTGATGTCGATTGGGCCTGGTGGAAGCGGTTTGTCCAGGTTTGGGGGCATTGATACGACCCTTATTGAGGACGAATTGGCCCTTGATGGTGAAGGCTGAGTGCTCACAGGAGATTCCGTAAAAATCCCTAAAAATCCCTGTGCCGGTGGTCTGGGGATTGATATTGTGTTGGTTTTTACAGAGACGGTTCTCTGTACGGCAGATGAGGGCTCCTGGGTGTAGCTGGAGCTGGACGACTGTCTTGTGACTAAGGGTGAGCAGTCGCTATCCCTCTGGCTTGGTTGGGAATAACAAGATGATGCTGTGGAATCATTCCTGGTGATATCAACCTTCAAAAAGTCGACCTTAGTATCGAACGCTTTCCTAGAACCGGTTGACTGGGTCGAGGGGATGGATTTGATACCCTTCGTCAACTTGGCAGACGGTGTCGCCTGACGCTGCACCTGGGTTTGGGGTATGTCGTTGATCTCCTTGGTCATAAATTCGTCAAAGAGGTCCGCCAAAGACCGAGTGTCGACATGTGAGATGTCGGGGAGGCGGTGGGCGAGGTTGTCGGAAGAGAGATCCGATGCGTTATCGGAGCTCTGTCGCTTGAAGAACAAGAAGGACGAACGGTCCTTGCCTCCTAGACGCAGGACCGAACTCATGTTTGTCCTGGATATGTAGTTATTTCAAATTTCAAGCTCCCAAGGGTCTTCTCCAATCAGGAGGGGCATCGAGGGCGTACTGGGTACTACCAATGGTTCGCAGCGAGGCTTCACCATGCGCACACATTGCGCATGGATTCTGGCAAAATATGAGCAGGCCAAGGCAGTGATCAGGGTTAAAGACCAGTTCGCAAAATGGTGGATTTCAGGGAGCTGTGGTGCTGCAGCGGCAGGTCGTTCGATCTAATCGTCGTGCTTTCGTTTTGTCGGTGGTTGGGACCCGGTTGGAGAAGGCCTTCGGGTTATAGCTGACTTGGCCCGCGGGATGGCCTGGCGACAGCTCGAAGTAGCCTAGTATCTGTCTGGGGCGTATCCTTGTGGCGCCGGCTAAAGATATCTTGCCAATGGGGGCGGAGTCGCGGCGCAGGTCTGATACTGGCCAATCTGCCCAGCACCCAAAGGCCTCTCTCATGCGATTGGGCCTGAGGTGAGGCTTGAACGCCCGCAAGACGACGGCGGCAGCAAACGGAAAGTTTGCCTGGACGCTGCCAGTCAGGCCATCACTGCATGTCTGCTGAGCCCTTCTCCTTTCAGGTATGGCCTAATCAAAGAGTGTGAACCTTTTTCGGCTGGGTGGCAGGGGACACTGGCCTCAAGTCTCGAGGGCACATGGGCGTCTGCAGGGAGGTGTATTTCGCAAGAAAACAGCGTTGGCTTCGTGGTTCTGGTCTCTTGTGGACTTTTTGTGTGGTTGACGGCAATCCTGCTCTGATGGCGTGTCTCACATGGGGTTTCTTATTGTTTCCACCACGCCCTGGGCCCTCCTCAGCCGACATATGGATCGTCGTAGGGGGAAGAAGGTGATTCGCAGTGGTTCAGCCAGGCCTGCATGCTGAAGGGGAGTTTGACCCGTGGATTCTTAAACCTGTTTGTAGGCTTGCGCTGGTGTCCTCTTTCCGGGCAGCTCGAAATGACTTCATCGTCATCCACGTGTCCCAGGCCATCTTCTTTCCGTCTGGCAGAAGCGGTAGCGAGATAGCCTCGATCAAAAACAGGATCAGGGATGATTGTTCTGGGACGGTTCGGTTAGGCTAGTCTGAGTTGTGGAGGGTTTGGACTCTTGGGGAGGTGATTCTATGGCGCCACCGACGCCTGGCGCAGAGAGAACTGGGAGAAATGGTCTGTGGGGACGGAGGGCCGATTCCGCGGTCTCGACTGTGATATTGGATTGACGCCTTTCCATGATACATAATAGTCCTGGCCCAAGCTGAGGCACTGAGAAAGGAGGTGGAAAGGGGTGGCAACGCCAGCAAGAAATTGGCAATACAGGAGAGAAGGAGTGGCTCGGATCAAGTCAGCACTCCTTTCTCGACTAAGCTTGAAATCGTCTCGCACACAATTACACTGTGAAGGTGAGAAAAGGATACTGTAGACAAAAGTAGATTGCGATGGCCACATGCAATCAACCGTTAGGGCATCCAAGTGAGGTCTTTGTACAACTCCTTCCCAAATCCTCCCTCTCCATCTCATCGCAGTCGCTATGAAAATCTTGCCTGTTGGCCCTTGACCCCAAGGCCCCCTAGATGCAGACCATCATCTCTAATCTTCAGTCTTTTAGGGGTTCCTTGCATTGCTCGAGCCAGAAGAGTTTCGACGCGCTCCCTCTGATGCGGTCTTTCACCATTCTCATGGCTCGTTAGGATGGGGGCCGATAACCAGAATCTCCTGCGGCAGTGCTGAGCGAAGCTCGTGGCACTTCATGACTTCCCAATCGGTTACATTCCTGTCCCGGGTATTTTGGCCCCTCGTCTGCTTCTTGTGATTCGCAACGTGTTCAAGAGGAGCAGGCCTCCCAGCAAAGTATTGGAGCCTGGCATGGCTGCGACAACCCGCCGTCCGTGGATGGTTCTCTCGGCTCTGCAATCAAGCCGAGCATGAACGACGCCTTACAGGCAGGCCGTCATGCGTACCGGGCCCTTTGGCATCGTGAATTTTTGGACTGAGTACTTAGCAAGCACCGTCGATTTCAGGGTCCTTTCCCTCTCTTAGCCATGAGTTTTTTGTAGTGTGCCTTCTTGCCGCTTCTCTTCGTCTCTTGAATCTCACTGTACTTTCGCTTGAACCGCCCCGTTTCTCTCTCGGTGGCTATGGCCTCCTCGACAAAGTTCTTCGACCGATCCTTCTTATTAATTCTCGCACTGAAAAATTCTGTAGGGCCTTCGATGACTGTTCCTGTCTGCGAGAACGTGGGCACTCTGCCTCTTCTGTTATTTTTCTTGTAATGTCTGTGCGGATCGAGCACTGATCGCATTTCGATGAGTTGAAGATCGCGCTTCAGTTGGGGAGTCAAGTTTGTTTTCGGCATGTCAAACCAGTTAGGTCCTGCACTGGTTTGGTCATTCTGCCTCTCATTAGCTCTAGTCACAAATCACAATGACAAGCAAAGTGTAGTAAAGACCGGAGGGACAGTCAGAGTAACTATGAATAAAATGCTTTCATGGATGCAGGGCAGGCCAGAATGGACTGCTGATCTGCGTCAAGAACAAATTGGGATGAATTTTCCTCATGCGAACCCAAATATTTCCATGGCAAGTAGACGCTTACCAGTTTCTTGGATTTGTGAGGCACTTCGATGGACCTCAACCCATCCACCGGCAAGCTGTGCTGCCGCTCGAGTGTGGCTTTGGCATTGGTCTCGGCGACACCTTGGTTGTCGTGAATATACTTTGATCGGACCAGGCTATGGCGTAGTCTTGGAATTCTGACGAGACAATGGTCAGCGGAGAGTAGTCAGATCACGAGATACGAAAGGCATACGTTTTCCTGGATGTCGTCGTGGTACTCGCCTCCAAACTAATCTCGTCTTCATTTGTTGTCTCTGACTTCTCCCGCAGGCGGGCTTCAGCCTGCGACAGCAGATCATTTATCTGCTCATCGGTCAAAAGACTGGCTTCTGTCATGATTTCAGACGCATATATCCTCTCAAGCAGTGAGAGTTTGCATGACGAAGGTCCAGAGCAGGGGAAAACTTTCACAGTGCAGCAAAAAAATAATATGCGTCACCATGAAAAGAAGGTATGCCGGAATGATTTCTCGTGGCCAATCAGAGCGGAGGGTTTCCTCAGCCTTGTGGACTTCACAGCCTCGTGAACAACATCCCTCAACATACTGGGTACCCAGTACAAGTATGCTGAGGACGAAGAAATTGGGCAGGTTGGGCCAACTCATGTTGGCGGGAGAACTATTCCATGTTCTGACAGCCACAGTTCGAAACTTTAGGATCTCACCGTGATATCGTTTGTGCTCGACATTAATCTAGCAATACATGGTCAGAGGGATACGAACACGCTACCCCTTTGTCCTTCCATTGAGCATCAGACTCTGCTTGTCGTCTGGGATACCAGCATAATATCTTCCCTCTCGAACAGGCTCGATATCGCCACTGCTGAACGCACAATGCCCGATCCCTCCACTGTCAACCATCCCGGGGATGGCACCCCACTGCACAGCCTTCAGCGAGGCATCAGTGTCCCAATTCGGCTGGTGACACGCCGCCGCAATGGCCGCACTACAACTCCCTACCAACGGTATCGACGGATCATATTTCATCAACGCCAGCCCATATGTAACAACAACGAGGATCCCTCCTAAGACAAGCACCATGATCATGGCCAGCGGAGAAAATCCACAAGAGGCGATCGCAATAGAGTCATAGAGATCCCCATTTGGAGTATACTCTGCAACCACCGCCAAAAAGATGCTCTCCGAGATCAACCAATGCAATGCTCCGGAAGCCACCATCAAGGGGACGGCAGCCTTGTAGGGTAACTGTAAGAAGTGCGTACTTCTTTGGCTCCCCTTCGGCCTCGACACTCTCAAAGTCTTCCTCTCTCTAGCGAAGTCACTCCACTCGCTCGCTAGCCACATACTTGTCAACAGTCCGTTCAGATTCAAATACAAGAAGCTGAATATTGTTTGTGGTAAGTTCGCAATGAGGATCGAGGAGAGGATTTTCGACGAAGCAGAGCCAGTGACGCCCACGCTCCAACCTGAGATTACGCCCGCAGGAGTGACTTTGCCAAAGCCGATGGCGCCGATGGTGAGTCCGTCGGAGTGAATGACTCTCACTGCCACGGCGAGCAAGGCGCCCACTGCGAGCAATGCAAGGATCATGAAGCCAGTGGTCAGTGACCATCGCTTGACGCTGGCAGATTCAAGCCCACGTTTGGCGCGCAGGCGGGCCATTTTAGCCCTCATTTTGCCATTTCCCTCTTGACCCCGAAGACACCAGTGCCTCTTTGACTGCATGGCCATGACAACCTCACTCTTGCCCAGCAAGCACAACCCTTCCGTCGATTTATCGTTTTCATTAAGAAAGCTCTCCATGGCATCTCCCACCGTGATCAAAGGGTTGTCTGCCAATCGGAACGCCACGAAGAGCATCCCGAAAATCTTGATAGCATTACATGTCAGAACAATCGCCACGATGGGAATGTTGCCATTATAGCTGCATCTCTCAGGCACAACCTCAGAAAGGCAATACTGGACATCGAAACTGTAAGGTTGCCATTCAGATGCGATGGCTGCCACTTTGGAAACCCAAGTTTCGCACGGTTGTGGATCACCGTTCGATTGAAAAGGTACGTTAACTTTATTGACGATGTTGGGATCCTCGGTGCAAATCCTGGGTATCATGTCAGGCTAAGCTGGCCTGGAGGCTTGCGGGCGCGGGCGAAGACGAAGTGAAAATTGAATAGCCCAAACTTACCAGTCAAAAGGCCTGACACCTCCGGAAAAATAGGGTTGAACTGTCAGCACGCTATTGTTCGGATTGCTCGTGCCATTATTTGACAACAGTATCAAATTTCGCCGGTTGCTGAGGAAATTTGTGGCATAAGCGTTGATACATGCCGCATTGTCTAGACGCTCCCATTTCTCTGGATTCGTGAGGAGCGAAGACTGAACACCCCTCGGGTCGGTGTAATCGTAGGCGGTATTATAGATTGTATTGTTCAACGGCCCAAACGGTTTGCCATCAATAAAATCTTGTGTCACAAAGAATAGATCGTAGTCATTCATTTGTAGGGATTTATAGAATGCAGAGTTATACCTATTGCAGGTGATCAGCATGGGTGCCAAGAACTAGGACTCCGTCGTCGCATAATCCTTACATGAGATGCAAAGGTATCGAAGACAACCCAAGGGCCCACCAAAGAATCATCTTAGAACCTGGGATTCTTCTCAGATTCCTCACACTAGGTACTCCCACGTCGAGGAATTCTCCCTTCGCATGGGCACGGTCGATATCCACCCTGGTAGGAGCAGAGAGGCATTGCATGCAGTAATTGGAGCCGCCCAGTAGTAACGTACTGAGCGTGTTTATCGCCAAGTGAATCCAGGTGTCCATGGTTTGAACCTTGCCACAATGACCGTTGTAGACTTCAACAAGGCTGGAGCCGTGGCCGCGGGCACCAAGCCAGGAGACCACCACGAGATTGACGAGAAGCGACAATGTCCCGAGAAGGGCGGCTGTGAGGGCGCCGGTGCGCCACCCATAAAGGCGAGTTGGCCAGGTGAAGAAAGGGAGCCTCAAAGATTTTTTGGAGAGGTATGACGATCCTGTACGAACAGGGCTGGAGTCAGAGTCGAGAAGAGGCGATTCATCTCTGATCGTCGAGCTGAAGGTCGTTGTGAAACTGGACTTTGAACGAAGAGAAAACTCCTCCACGTAGATGTCTCGACTCTTCAGTTCCATATCTTCTGACTGTGCTCTGCGGTACGCTCTCCGTGGCTCCAGAAAGTCCATTTTATACACTTGGAAAACCAACAACCCGGCTGTTTCCTCTCCTTAGGGTAATCAACAGCGCAAAAGCGCGACTCCAAGGCCCAAATCGCTTTTGAAATAACAAGTCAGACAGTCGCTCACGAGGGAGAGTCTAAGGATCTCTTACTCGTATCGACAAGGGGCCGGAGAAGACAGGTTGTCAACGGTGTTTCGTTGCTCGACCTGCAACGGTAGGCCTGATGTTCCAAGACTGACACGCAGTGGCATCGCCCTAGGAGCGAGTTGGCTTGAGGCTTGCTCACCGCAGAGCCGCTGCCTGGTCGCTTCCCGCTTGAAAAACTGCTCAATTCTCCATTTACTCGTGTTATCGGAACTCGCAGAATTGCTTTGTCTTCCTGTCTTCCGGCAAGTGCGTTCGCCTGGCCCTGGGCGGAGTGAGCTGGAGTCTGCGGTGTCTCACCTTTTACTTGAAGCCGTTGATCACGGAATCCTGGTCGGTATGTACTTGGGTCAATTGGGTCTTGAATTGTCGGAAGTGACCACGTAGCCAATCAAATAGCCCTGGTAGGTTTGAGCCTTGCCTTCAGGAGTTTAGGCGCGCCATCCTCCAATTTCGCATATCAGCTTGATCAGTTGATCAGCGCAGCGCATGTACTGGGTACTGTAGCAAAAGAGACGGGTCTTTCAGTACAAGGTATTTACCTTATGAGAATCGAAATTATGTTGCCGATCGACAGCATTGCGACTAACCTAACCGAAGAGCAATATGGTTCAAGTCCTTTCCGTCAGTTCAGGACGAAGTACGAGTACGGACTGAACACGGATGCTTTTCTCGTTCTTAGGACCACGCTGTACATCAAACTGTTGAGTTGATCAGGCGTCTCCACGACAATATTCATGCTTCCGTCTCACTGAACCAATTGACCAGCTGCGGCGTGTTCAGATCTCTCCTTCTTTGGACCCCTGGCGCTCAAAGACCTTACTATTGGAGGGTCATGTAAGCATTCAAGACCTTCTTCGCATCCGGGCTCAGCGTCTCATTAACCACTCTAGCTATTCTGCCTCCATGTCGTTGATCTGCAGCCTTGAGATAATGTCCCACCCACCTCCTCAGGTCCGTTACCTCCGGGAAAGGATCAAGCGGCGGTGGACGAATCGTGTTCAGTTGCGTAAACCCAACCCCAAAGCTACTGTCTTCAACGTCGAGCTCTGCAATCGCCGCGTCGGCCTTGGGTGGAAGCGGGGGATCTTCGAGCAATTTGAGCAACGCGTTACAGGTCAGTGGCCAGCCTTTGGGATAACGCTCGACGAATGCCTGGGAATCTGCCAGCGATTTTGTGAGAGAGATGGCGGCCATTTTCCGGTCGAGAGGGCGAGCCAATTCCTGGGTCTTTGGCAAGATGATGCTCAGGTACAGCTGGCGGAAAACATCATGCTGAACTCGGTCCGTAGCGGCGACAAAGAAGTCAGTCCCGAGACCCTTCTCCTGATGCGACGATACGAAATGGTAGAATCGGACAAACCGTAGCTGGAAGGCCTGAGACTGCTTGCTTTGTAGTCGCGTAAGCATGATATTCAGAATATGCACCCAATATTGCTCAAGAGCGGATGGTTGGAAAGTGGCGATGGAAATTTCAAGTAGGTCGAAGCCGTAGCTTTCATAGACCTTCGTCGACACCAATTTCTGAAATATCCCCAGGACACTCTCCACTTGATTGCTGCTAACCAGCTCATTAGCTGCTCGCGGGATGATGGCTGCCAGCAGTCGAACCAAAGCCGGTATGTTGCCTCGCTGGTCCCAAAGCGTCGGGCCGAGAACGGGCCCAATCACCGGTGTGTATTCGGGCGGTAACGGTTTGTTGGGCTCGGCCTCCAACAAAGCCCCCATTAGTTGAAAGGTGTAAGGGATGAACTCTTCAATATTGTTGGAAAGTATAGCGGCGAATGGATTGAAGAGATGCGACGCCAAAACACCGGCCTGAGCCGGCGGTGTGAATCGAATCAGAGCTCCCAAGCTCTCGAAGTGATAGTAGTAAAATTTTGGATTGCTGGGGTTGGAGGAGATGATGGTAGTGATGGTGGTCAGATGTCGCAGGACACTGTCGGCCACTGCAGAAATCCCCTCTCGAAGGACAACTAGGACCCTCATAATGCACCGCATGACGAACTCATTCTCTTGGACTTTTTGCGGGGTTTGATCTTTTTCGACTAAGCTGAAAAGATGTTCAAGAAGATTGCTCGCCAAAGGTTTAATATGCGCCGGGTCAATGACAGGTCGCCCGGTTTCATCGGTCATGGCCAGCACCCTCTCAACCGCGACGGCTGCGTATGTGTACACGCAATAGTTTGAGTTACCAAGGTGGTTGACAAGTAAAGGCATGACTTGCTGCCACTGATCCCGCGTGATAATACTCCGAAAGACGTAGAGATACTTGATGGCGTCGACCTTGATCAAGGGTTGGGCGTTTTCGTCTTGCAGATCGCTTGCAAGATGCTTTGAGAAGAAGTCACCGATATCCACGAGACTGTTGGTCTTGGTTACTCCGTGTGTGGTAGTCGTCGCGCCTTTCGCGGCCGTGGCAAAGAACACGCTTACTGCTGTATCCTTGGCCCTCCAGTCTTGTTGAGGGTGGGCCGCAAATTCCTGGAAGCATTTCTGGACATAGGTCATGGCAATTCCGGTAACGGACTGTTCAAATTGATCGCTCAGTTGGCGAAGGAAATCGCCCGCTGCTCTTCGGCGAGTCTCGCTATCTGACCCTTCGAGATCTCTTCGGATGAATTCGATGGGCTCGTCCTCGAACATCTCAACGTCTGAGTCTCGCAATGCCACGTTCGGCAGAATAACCTTCTCAATGATCTGATGCTGAACATTTGGGTCATTGAAAGTCTGCGCCTGTTCGTTGATGCCACCAATTGATGTTAAAAACAGGAGAGCTTTACTGACGAGGATGTCGTTCTTCGGCTCGGGCCCGGTCGTCGTCAACAGATTCCACGAGCTCTCGACAAAGCTTCTGACATATTTGGAAAAGTCATCGTAGTACTTGCCGACGTACAAGGTCAGTGCCTCGAAGATATTGGACTTGATATTCTCCAAAGGCCCGGCCTCTGACTCATCATCGGTATGCAGAAGAGGGTTATCGTACCTCAGGTACTTCAACAGCAAGCCGGAAATGCCCTCTAGATTGTCTTCAAAGACGGGGGACAAGTCCTGGCACGACAAATCATAGAACAGCTGAAGAACCAGGTCGAGTTCAGCAAAGGCATTTTGCAGAGCAGCCTTATCATTGCTATGAGCCTCAATGTAGGCATCCAGGCTCTGCCACAAGGAGAGAAACGGTTGGGCAAACTTGGAAAGGACATGATTGATCTCGGTGAAGAGCTCATCAGATCGAAACAACGGCCTCCATCTCGCAAAGATTGAATGAGCGACCTGGAGAACACCAGCATTGACCACCGGATCGCCTGGTTTCAGACGGGAGATCAGGTCATCCACCAGCGTGTCCCACCGCTCCCAGAAGTCACTGTCTGCTATCACACTGATGGCCTCACCCAGCTGTGTCTGAATGCCCCGAGGCACGGATATCATAAGCCCGACAATCTCTGTCTTGATTGCATTCACATCTTGCTGGGGGAGTTTGTAGTTGCCTTCCACGTCGGTCCAACTGCGTCTGATAAAGTTCTTGAAGAAGAGAGCGCTGGCCAGTCGGGTGTTGTACTGGAAGTTGCTAGAGGCAGTGATTTGTAGGAGAGAGATGGCGAATCCAGGTTTTTTCTCTTCGGCGCGGATCTTGAGTTCGGCTGGGCAGCATTAGATTCAATTCAACCATCAGGTAGGGGGGGGGGGGTTGCCTATACCTTCTTTGTTCTGCCTGGGGTCAAGACTAGCATCCAGGAGTTGAGCGAGAGCCCCGAGAGACGCCATGGCGGGCACTATTGCTCAAGTCTTGTTCAACGTTGTCGGTAGCTGCAGTATGTTCTTTGGATTTCTTAGCACATGTTGTGGAAGAACATTCACTGTCCGACGGGAGTGGGGGGAGCAGATGGGCGAATGGAAGCCCAATGTCACACGTAGACGATTTTCTGATCCAAGTCTGTCTATGCCAGACAAGCACAGAAGGATGAAGGCAAAATAAACTGAGAGTGGTGACGGGAAGCTGAATGGCACCTGGGAAAAGATGGAGCGGCAGTGAGGATTTGTTTACAAGCTGCCTCACAGGCAGTGAGAGCGGCGGCGGCAGAATTCAGAATTCCTCGCTCACCGCCTTTGCTTGTTTCCTTGACTGTGCAAGCTGTGTTGACGCTGACGGGTGAAATGGCCGGCCGTACCCAGCACCTCCGAGCCTTCATACACAAATCACGTGCTCTATACGGTGGACTATACAGACCACAAATACTGGTGCCATCGGCTAGGCTCGGCGGGAAGGAAAAGATGATAGCGACAGAATAATACGGAGTAGCGAGGAGCGAACTACTGGGTACTACCTCGTACCCGGTACTTCGTAGTCCAGCAGATAGGGCTACTAGGCTGCTAGGCATTTCTCCAGGTCACGACTGCGGATCATGCGCTGTATTTTTCTTTGGCCCCAGCGCCTCCTGCCTCTGCCTCACGCCTCATTCACGCTTCCCTGCGTCACGGATAAAATCCAAGAATCCAGAACCAAAGCCCTTGCAGTCTTTCATCCTGCCCAGTGGCCATCGTTCTCTTCATTCCAGGAAAATTTTTTCCCTACCAATTTTTCCTTTGCACTGATCCATGCGTGCTCCACCATCCATTTTCATTATAAGACTCGTCTCACAGTCCCCTCGGCGGGCCTCCTGCCCGTCCCAAATGCTGCTGATAACGTGGTCGTTGTTATCGGCAAGAGTGGCCACCTGATAGCAAGTTGTCGAGTCTCCTGCAACTATAAACCCGAATTCCCTCCACCTCCACCGGTTGATCTCGCAAATACCAGAAAACATATCTCTCTAATGAGAGGCACGTTTGGACTGGTGCCTGTATATCATCCTCGTCGCCACGGGTTTCTTACAAGGTGTGTTCACATTCCATTTGTCATGTCATTCGCCTCGAGGCTGGATTTCCCACCCACTATTTCACTTACAGTCCGTTCACCCTGGGCCGTCCTTGGAAATACTGCTTTAGATCCAAGCGCACTTGTCGGCCCTACAAGTTCTCCTTCACCCGTCGCCTTGTTTGTCTTTCGATGGTTAAGCACCCTTCTTTATCACGAGGCTAATTCCAATGGCCCCCTAACAAATGCCGGGCTTGCTAACTGTGTCCTGTTTAGGGGAGGAGTCGTGTCGTATGTCGAAGGAAAATGGTTCACCCCAGGAAGGCTCGGCGGCCAATCCCAATACGAGAGATTCGAGGAGACTGTCGCTGTGGCATATGTCAATATCGGCGCATACGTCTCCCAGCCCCGACAGCGCTGTTCAAGGAGGACGCTCCGAGAAACCTTCTCCTGATAGAACGCCTCTCAACTTGAGAGATCTCCTCAAGGAGGGACTGTCCATTGGGGATGCTCCGGAAGAAGCACGTTCCTGGCTTATTGGTTTCGGAGATCTCAAACCGGGCACAGACGTCTCTCGCAGATTTCTCAACCTTCGGGAAGAGCACCATGGTGATCAGGGTGCCACCTCATTGCTATCTTTGCTGATCCAATGGATGCCTCTGTGGTCGCACAAGGCCGAAAAGGCTCGAAAGGAGATCAGGAACTCGAAGTCGGGATCTCTCAAAGATCAGAAGAGTCTTGATTGGTTGCTTCAGTATATCTGCGACTACCTGGAACTAGGTCACTCTGACTTTGATCCGCTGGAGTTATCCCGCACGGTGGAGACTACCACTACCCTATGCCTCAATGCTAGCCGTCAAGGGGATATTAATGGAGGCATAAATATCCTCTACACCATAATGTCGCATTTCGAATATCCTAGAAGTGGGCTCGATCAAACCCTCGTGGTATTGTGTGCTTCTGCTGCAAACTTGCCAGAAGTGCCAGGTCACCTCTTTGACTGTGCTCGGATATTGGCTGCTGGTGACCTGCAACAAGACTTCATGAATACTCTCTACTCCTTTGTACGGACTCCAACTTTGGACAACAACAGCAAAAATCTCTCCCATGCACGCGGCGCTACCCGACTCTTGCGGAACCTTGTCGACGAACCACATAACGGAGGAGGTTTCGTCCTCTGCTTAGGAGACTTTCTAGAGCAGTTGCATTTTGCTGCACAGCAGGGCATCTTTCGGTTTTGTTATGATATCCTCAACGCTTTGCATGGGATACTTTCGAGCAATCGCCTCAAGGCCGAAATTGCCGCTATTGACTTTACCAAAGCCGTGGAAATCATCCGGCTCTGCCTGCAAATGACTCCTACGGGTCATCCGCAAGCGAGCATCCTTCGAGTAACTTCGCTGCAGATCGCTGCTCAAGAAGATGAAAAGGATCGCCAATACGAGCGACACTTTCGTGACCGAGAAACTATAGCCAAAAGACTTTCCCATGATCTCCTGAGAATATGGGACTTGCTATCCTTCCCCGATCGGACTGCCATCCACGAGCTCTTCCTGATATTCCCGCAATATGCTGGCCAGGCTCAGTTGACAATGACTCTGGATTACGCAAAGGACAAATATTTGTCGTCGATGGATCATATTGTCAGGAGGCAGTACTCGGACAAAATTTACAATGATATTGTTCTGAATCACTCCCTACCCTCGGCTTGTCGCCTGAAGGGTATCGAGGTTCTGGTCCAGGCTACCAATTCCCCTGTAAGCACGTCACCGGGGCTCAGCACTGAGTCTCACTTAGCATACACGTGGATCCTGGACAAGTTGCTAGATCAAATTGATGTTGAGCGCGATGTCCAAGTCTTCGAAACATTGCTCAAATCGTTGAATTACATGGCTGCAAACTATCAAGAGGCTGCAAGGGAACAGGCGTCAACCATGCGCACGGTGGAGAAACTGCACACGTTGATCATTGAGGGTCCTGCAGGAGTTGCTTTCAGCGATGATCTAGCAATATTGGCGACAAAGGTTCTCGTGACAATTTTCGGTTACAGCATCCACACCGATGCAAAGGCCGCTGTTAGGGCTTTTGAGGTCCTGCTGGAAACAGCCAGTTCTCGCTGTAAATCCCGACCGGCTCGCCTTGTTTCGAAACACCTGCTTTTTAGGGTGCGAGCAGATGACGCTGGCTTCATCTACATCACCTCTACGAACGAAAGTCAACACATTGCCAGTGCGCTTGTACGCACGCGGGAATCAGCCGAAGCATACAACTGCGAGCTCCCTGCTTCGCAAAGGCATTCTGCTAGCAGCAGCAGCCTGTCGACTAGATCTGACACTGGTGACCCGTTGTGGATGTATCCAGATACCGAAGATGTCTCCTATCCATTTGCTGGGCGAGTATCTAGTGTCCTCAATGTTGAAAAAGGCGCATACTCGCAGGTCGAAGCAGAACTCGATATGGACACATGGCTCATGAGCATCATACGATGCCTTCAAGCCGACCAAGATTGGGAGACCTACGGCTACACCGTTGTCCATGCCGCGGCTCAACTGAGCAACATTGCCCTCTTTCTGAACTCGATACAAGCTGTCGTCAAGTTGCGGCAAGTGTTGTGTGAACAGATTGTCAACAATACCTTCCGAGAGCCGCCTCCTTCCACCGGGTTGAAGAAATCAGACGTCGCCTTGTGCATGTTCAATATGTTAGTTTCGTTGATTCCTTATGCTACAATGAAATCTGAAGCCGTTCAGAAAGGGTTTGGAGATGACCTCGTCCGAGCCTTTCTTTCTGGTATTGGAGGAGCTTGGGAGGGTACAGCGCGTGGCTGCATTCATGCACTCTCCCTCTGCAGCCTTGAGATCCCTTCTTCGGTTGCCACCTTGTATCCCACCATGATTGACAAGATGTCGAAGAACATGACACAGACCCATCTCACGACACATATCCTGGAGTTTCTCATACAAGTTGCACTGTTGCCAGAAATGCACTCCAACCTCAATCCAGACGAGATCCAGATGATATTTGGAATCTGCATTCGGTTCCTTGAGAAGACAAGAGAGCAGCAGCAGTCGTCGGTGACTTCACCACCCGGCAGAACCAACCCGACGTCACGGCACAGCGGAATGAATTTTCGACGGCCACCATATCGCGCGGTGATCTTGAGCGACACTGGATTGCCTCAATATGCTGCCGCATTGGCTTACCATAACATGATTTTCTGGTTCTTGTCCCTTCGACTGGATATTAGGGCGAAGTACGTGCCGTGGATCATTCCGAGACTCGTCTGGAAAAATGCGCGTGGAGAAGAGACTATTGACGAGCAGAGCCAAGTTCTGATCGACATGATGCAGAGAACAGCATTCTCAGACCTCGGAGAGACTTCTCCAGACCACAGCTTTGCAACTCCTGAAGATGGACCAGTATCATCTGCCTCGTGGATCGTCGGGCTCAGCATCGTAACCGCGCAGACAGCCGGTCACACTGGGAAGACGCAGATAACCAAACGCCAGGCTTCGGGCACCACATATGCAAGGTATCAGCAGTTGACAGCTCCGTTGCCGTCTCACCACCGACCAGGCTACACTGAGATTCGACACCAGGAAGCCACAACCGAAATCCTTCCTCCGCATATCATCCTTCAGATGGTAGCTAGTGCAGCAACAACCAGCGCGGCTGACCAACCGCTACTCTTACCCCAAGAAGACTTCGTCCAACGGGCGCTTGAGAGCTTTGATCGCATTCCAACGGTTACTAGCCACAAGATCGGCGTGCTCTACATTGGCCCAGATCAGACCGCTGAATCTGATTTCCTTGCAAATACGAGTGGGTCTCCCGACTTTGAGCGTCTTCTGGACGGGCTCGGCTTTGTTGTGTCGCTGGAGCCACCGCTCAACTTCAATCCTCAGGGCCTGGAATACCCTCGGGACGGGAAGCATAGCATAGCGTGGCGGGATCGGGTGGAGGAGATTATTTATCATGTGCCGACGATGATGCCGACGGATCTGGAGGACGATCCTCAATGCATCACCAAGAAGTCGCACGTCGGTAATTGCCACGTCAACATCATTTTCAACCGATCGGGGCTTGAATGGGACTTTAACAACTTCAAGTCCCAATTGAATTATGTGAATATTGTGATCCGACCAGCCTGCCGTGGCCGAGAAACAACAGATCCAGATTTTATGCCGGGCTTCTACTGGGTTCGGGTGGTTACAAGAGACGATTTACCAAACATATCACCTGCAGCTGATCCCAAGATCATCTCGGCTGCTCAGCTCGGGCCCTTTGTGCGAACACTGGCCCTGAATGCCAACATGTTCTGCCAAACGTGGAACACCAAAGACGACGACTTGGAGTTTCCAAGCGCTTGGAGGGCCAGATTTCAACAGATCAAAAGACTGAAAGAGCGTGTAATGAGTAAGTCAGGTGACAAACAGGCACCGTCAGCTGGCTCAGTTGCAGCCAGCAGCAGCAGCATTGCGCCTGGCGCATCAAGCGGGAGAAGGACACCAATACCGAGGGAGAAAGATGGCGCTCTAGTATCTCAACTGGACTTCAGCTCCTGGACCATCTAACGAAAATGAAACTGGGAAAAGGAGTTTGTGCTTCGAAGGAAAATGGGGGCGCTTTGGCAACAACATGGAATTTTGACGACGGGAAAGGGAAAGAAAAACGAATAGCAAGCAAGGTGTTGGAGGAAACATTGTGATGGGCACGGGCATGGGCACGGGTATAGGCATGGGCATGGGCATATATGGATGGACAAGGCAGGGAAAAGGCGAGAGTTTACCCTACTCTCCCAGCGGCTTGCATGATTGTAATTTGTATAGCAAAAGTTGACCCAAGAGCTGTTCCTATGGAGCTTATGAAGCTTGTCTATGGACTCGGAAGCCACGATTACTGAGTACCTATCTTTGTATCGAGGTACTACTCCATACTTGTAGTAGGTCTGCCCTGGTCTGCCCTGGTCTGCCTTGGTCTGCCTTGGGTCTCCCATAGACTGCGGGGGATGATGCGTGCTGTGCCCCTCGCTGCTTCGCCCCTCGCACCGACGTCAGCTGCTGCTTGTTGTTTCCAGGCATCAGGAATTCAACAACTGCGTCGCCACCCACCTATTGAACATTCTCAAATACAACTTACCGTGCCATTTGTCTCTGCTGCACCAGAATATGCACTCCTGCTTCGATCAACGCCAATTACACCACAAACGTGCATCATGACTTCAGGGTCATTCTCACGGCCAGAAGCGCCTTCGCCCTCTGCCTCGTTCTACGACCTCTCGGACGACGAAGAAGGAGGCTACAACACAATCACTCATGCCACTACCACAAAGGGCGTGAAACTGCTCTTCTCCAAAAGCAAGGTCTATGTCCACCCTACGCCCTCGGCCAAGGACAATATTCCCGGCTTCATCGCCCTAGTCCAGCAGAAGTCCCCGCCTCTCTCTGACGACGACCAACGTCCCACTTCCGCCGATTCCTCATCAAAGAAGAAAACAAACGCGTCCTCATATCTATTGGCCTGGGTCCCTGAGGCCTCTCTGGCGCAAGATGACCTGAGCACTTATGTGAAGGTGGACATGAAGGACGGCGAATCTCCTCCTCGACAAAATTACTTGGTCCCTCCTCTCCCTCTTGCGACCACCTTTGACGAGTCGCCAGTTGGACCGTATGCGTTCTCGCTACCCCTCTCCAGCATATACTCCATCCACGTCCGCCCGCCAAGTCTAGGCTGGTGGTATGGCAGCGTAGTCATCAACACTCGCGCCGGCTCCAGCTTACCTGCGCTGTTCTTCCACGACTCGGAGTGTGAAAGCACGATCCTGCAAAAGAGAAAAAGAGCGCGAGAATCGTTTGATCCCTTTGGGGAAACAGGCGAGCTGTTTTGGGGCGGTGATGAGGTGCTTAGATGGCTGAAAAGATATGTTACCGTGGAAAGAAGCACTGCAGAACCGTCGATATACCTCATTGATCCTTCTGAGGAAGATCGTGTGGGCTTCGGTCAAGGACGAAAGTCGCTTGAACAAGCAAGACGCAAGAGTGAAGCATCCACATCCAAGAAGCCTACCCAGAAGAAACCACCTGGACCGGGAATGGATCCTTTCACAAAGGCCCTTAAAGAAACTAGATGGAAGATTTTGGAGCAACTGTCCAAAGTTACAACGTTTACTCGACGGACTGCAGAAGACCTTGCTAATAACAAGAATCTCCCTCCTCAAGTGCGACGCCTCATTCAAAACCCCGAGATTCAAACCCTGCAGGATGAATTCGACAGTGCCAAGTTATACCTGGCACGATGGGCTATGAGCATCGCAGAACAAAGCGAGCGTGAGAGGAGACAGAGAATTTGGACGGCACGAGATGTGCTGGACTCCGAGGAGACCAGCGTCGGAGACTTTGAGATTCTGGACATGGAGGCCGCACGGATGACGCTGGCCGATAGTAAGAGGCGCCCCGTCGACTGGAAAGAGTGGAAATCCTTTTTTGATTCAAAAGGTAAATTACACGTTATGGTTGATGAGGTCAAGGAACGTATCTTCCGCGGCGGTCTGGATCCCGAGGACGGTGTGAGGAAAGAAGCATGGCCCTTTCTATTAGGCTTGTATGAGTGGGACAGTACAGAGGAGCAACGGCAAGCTCTCATGAACAAGAAACGAGATGAATACGTTCAACTGAAAGGCGCTTGGTGGGATAGAATGATCGATGGCGATGCTACCCCCGAGCAGGACGAATGGTGGAAAGAGCAGAAAGTCCGGATTGGTGAGCCTGATCATTCTCCAAGCCTTGCTTCTTCATACTTACGATCTCAACTGACTTGGCCGCTCGACATGTAGAAAAAGATGTGCACCGCACAGACCGGCACATCCCCCTCTTCGCAGGCGAAGATATTCCTCACCCAGACCCGACCTCACCGTTCTTCAACCCCAATGGACCCGGCACAAACGTGCATATGGAACAGTTAAAAGACATGCTCCTGACCTATCTGGAGTACGATACACCTCCCTCCTCTGCCGCTGCAAGCACCCAAAAAGCATCTCCCTCGTCACAACCACGACGCTACCAAACCCAAAACCCCCATCCCCAAAATCTGGGCTACGTACAAGGCATGTCCGACCTCCTTTCGCCCCTTTACGCAGTCTTCCAAGACGATGCCGTCGCCTTCTGGGCTTTCGTCCAGTTCATGCGCCGGATGTCACGCAATTTCGTCCGCTCACAATTGGGAATGCGCGCCCAGCTCAACACCCTCGACCAGTTGGTCCAACTCCTCGATCCGAAATTATACCTCCACCTTCAATCCGCAGATTCTACGAATTTCTTTTTCTTCTTTAGAATGTTGCTCGTCTGGTTTAAGAGGGAGTTTGAATGGTCCGACACTTTGAGGCTTTGGGAGTCACTATGGACGGACTATTATTCCTCTCAGTTTCACCTGTTCATTGCAATGGCAATCCTCGAAAAGCACCGTGATGTTATTATGGACCATTTGAAGCATTTTGACGAAGTGTTAAAGTACATTAACGAGTTGAGCGGGACGATTGAACTCCAGGATATTTTATGGAGGGCAGAGGGATTATTCAAGAGATTCGAGAGGACGGTTGGGGCCATTGATCGCAAGGACGCTTTCCCGCCACCGAATGCTGGCAGCGGTGACGTACAACTGAGACAGAGGATACCAGGCGCATCGGCCAGTGCTGGGGAGCAGAACCCTCTATCCACTACAGCTACAGGCTCCGCGTCCAACTCATCAAAACGGCCAGGCCAAGTACAAACCTCACCCACAAGCCCTGCCAGACAGGGAGCTCAGCAAGCGAAAGGCAAAGACGTCGAAAAGGCCAGAGTCATCACGCCAGAACTGCGACTCCTACTAAGTCGAAAGATCATCACGCTAGATGGCGAGGATGGGTCAAGAGACGGGGAGAGGACGAGGGCGAGTGGGCTGAAAGACTGAGCCCCCTGTGCACGACTGTCGGACTTGGGCTCACAAATGGAGCCTAGGGGCCCCAAAGTTAGGGATAGAATCGGTCCTCTCCTTTCTTGGTCTTTCGATTCTCTGCGGTACTCGAGACAGAGAACGTAATATGTGTCAGCACCGGCGGAACATAGGGGTTTATAACTTATTATACCCGAAACGGCAGCAACGGAAACATGGTCTAAATAGTCATCTCAACCCTATATTTTTTTTTTATTCTACATTAGAAGGCCGGAGTTCGGTCCTTGAACGCTGTCCAGACGTGATGTCGTAGCTGTGGCCACCGTCCATGAGCTCATCCAGATCCTGGACGTTGAGAAGCCTGCGAGCGAATCCCAAAAGCGGACAAGATTGCTGCATCTTCCAGGACCTCGGGTTCGGTATGAATACGGTGTCTCTTCCCACCTCGGGGCTGGCGCCCAACTGCTGTTGTCAACTTTCCGTACTTGGTATTTCCTTCGAAAGAACAAACAAAAAGCCCGTGCGAGCCCGAGCCCGAGCCCGAGCCCGATTTGTGCGCCCCTACAAGTTGAACTTGAGCTTGATTGACTCGATCTTGTGCTCCAGGAGGGTCCTGTCGAAGTCGACGTCCGTCGGCAGGTAGACGTTGCCTAGGTAATGGTCGTAGCGATCGAATGGACAGACTCGTCGTGGGACCCCTGGAGGCGCCTCCTCCGCTTGCGGCGAGCCGGCGGATGGAGAGGGTCCCGCGATGTACGGGCAGAGGTGCTCTGTGAGCAGCGTCGCGACTTTGGACCTTCCTGACCTGTTGAGCACTGATGATCGTGGTGGTGGTGATTCTGGGGATGAATTGGGGTCATCGGGGCGGCCGCCCTCGAAGTCCGTGGCCGCGTCGAGCCAGCCGGTCGTGTCGATCCAGAAAGTCGACTTGTCCCCGTCGGCTTGCAGGGTCGCTGCGACTTGGGTAAGGGCGTTGGAAATGACTTTGTCGAGCTTGAGCTTCTTCGTGACCGAGTGCCGTGTCGCGGAGAAGGGTGTGAGGAGGAATATTGAGAGCGTGGACGGCGCCGAGTTGTAGATGTAGCTCCCGTCATCGTCTAGATCCGTGGCCAACCCCGTCATCGTCGTGGTGGTCGGGTCAAAGGGATACGCATTTGCACGGATTGCTTGAATCAATTTGATGTATGCGTCGACAAACTCGTTAGTGAACTTGGCCAGATCGTGCCTATTGACGGGTTTGCTCCTCCTCCCGTCGGCAGAAGGAGAGAAGAATTGGACAAAATCCACGAGTCCGAGCTGGAGAAGGAGCACCGAGGGACTGTACAGCTTGAAGTTCCAGGGACGTGCAAAAGCCCTTGTCCCCGGAGGTCCTGCGCGGAAGAATTGATCTCGCATACTCGGTCCCGACTCTCCTGTTGACATCAAGCCGATTCCTGTTGTGTCCAGGATCACCGTGTCCACAGGGGATTCTGCCCCCAGCTGCTTGCACCAAGTTTGTATTCTTTCGTGCGAGTCATTTCGCAGAGTTGAGAGGTGAAGGCGATGATTCATAGCTGAAAGCGATATCTCGGACGTGACGATCTCAACGATTTCCCTCCTTGGCCGGGACGCATTCTGATCATTGTGGGCAGTTTTGTCGAAACGTTCATCGAAAGGAAGGAGTCTCGCTGGTGAGCGCGTTTCGTTCGAGGCCGATGACGCTGCTCTGACTTCCGCAAATGTGGCTTTATCAACCCAAATGCCTTCAAACTCGAGTACGCCACCGGTGCCGTTTGGGCCTCCCATGTGTGTGAGCCTGACTCTGTACGCCTCTCGTGGATCGAGGTCTTTGACGATCGGAACAACCAAGCCAGCCGCTTCTACCCAGTAGGTGTTGTGGCCCTCGATCGATACCATGAGGCTCACGGGTTCTGAAGCCCTGGTATTGCTGCCGCTCGACCCGAATTCAGAGTGATGGATATCCCTGGCGTCCACCCGTTCTGGCTGCTGCTGTTTAGAGGCAAAGTTGGGATTATTGAGAGAAAGATAGAGGCAGGTGGCGTTCGCTATTACCATCTCGACATATGAACCTGCCCGAACAATTAGCGCTTCCACCGGGCTCTTTGTGTTGACTGATCAACAGACCTGGAAATGCTGCGTCCCGCCGCAGTTGATTTGCCGTGGGCACCCATCGTCCAACAAACTAGCGAGGTTCAGTCTCGATGGGTTAAGAAGAAGCATTGGCAGTGTGGCCTACATGGAAGTGAGGATGACTGGCCGGAATGAAGATGTTTTCCTTCTCTAGCAACTTTCGCAGGACGTGCTTGAGGGAGATCCGGCTGTCGATACCAGAAATCGTGAAGGAGGGCGAGACAGGGATCGCGAACACATGGACGAAGAATAGGATCATCAGAGGAGACAGTACGAACAAGCAGAAAAGACAGAGCTTCGTGGTCCGCGAGCTCATCATCTTGACTTCAGCGTTAAAGAGTGCCCTTCAACCCATGCGATCGGTGTGTAGACTGTAGAGAGTGTTGCGGACAAAAGATGAAAAATCCTGGCTCTGGCGATTCACTCTTCCATCCGTAATCATGTGCCCATAAAACGGGGCTGGTCTGGCAGAAGACAACTCAAAGCTCATATATTTCAGAGCCACAGTTTCTGTCAACAATTCTCATGTCTATCCCGGGTCCTGATCTCTGATGGCCAACACCACTGTTAGTCAGATGAGCTAGTCGGGGCGTGAGGGTGTGGCCACCAGGCATGAGACAGCTTCTCTTGGGAGTTTCGAGAATTCTTGAAGGTAACTGCCCTGACCCTGTAAGCTGCCCACTGAGGTAGCCCAGTTGCATGATATTTCAACTGGGGGTTCCGCGTCCAAATACGGCTCCCTATCTGTGGGTTGTCCGAGGCCGGCGAGGACCTGACGAGACAACGGAAAAAAACCCCCCTTCACAGCTGGGGGTTTTTCCCTCGATTCAACCTCAGCTTCCATCGGGAAGTTGGGCTTGAATTAGAGTTTTTGCGTTTATGGTAGGCTGTCAGTTTTTCTCTCTTTCGACGGCACAGAAAGTAATTGTGTGTTTTCGAACGCAAGGCTGTGCAGACTGTATGTGCGCGAGGCTGAAGAAAGCCGCCAAGATGTGTTGACCAGCTCGAACAGAAAGGGGGAAAGGGGGAATTTGTCGTTGGCCTGACTCGATATACGGTTCATCCACTTAGCACATGGTTTATCTCTGGCTGAATCAACTTCTGACTTTCAAGTGCCTTGTGCCTTGTTGGCTTCCTCCTCCGAACCATCATCTTCTTCAGGACATGCTTCTTCCCCTTGAAGGCCCAGCTTCTCCTCAGCTAGCTGTCTGTACTTCCTGCGCTTCTTCTTATCCGCACTCCTCTTCTTGCGTTGCTTCCTCTCCACTACTTTGGCCGCCCGGCTCTCCTCACCCTTTTCCAGCAATTCCACCTTCTCGGCAAGAATCCTTTTGGCAATGGTGTGGTTTTGGCTTCTACTGCGCGTGGCTTGACACTTGACGACGATGCCAGTTGGAATGTGTGTCAATTGGGCGGCCGAGTTGGTCTTGTTGATTTTCTGACCGCCCGGTCCAGTGCCTTTGACGTAGGTGTGTTTGATCTCAGCATCTGAGAGGGTTGGACGTGGCGGAAGGTATTTGCCCGACTTGTGGAACAGGTTGGTGAACGTGCTGAAGGAGTGAATGGGATCGGTCTTGCTGAGTCTGCGGTTCTCACATTGAAATGCTGGACAGACATACAGCCGCCTTAGCGGGCGGCATACAAACATCGCTCACATAACCAATTGCAAGTGGGTAAGGTGACCTCTTGGGTGCGAGGTATCAATGCGGACGAGATCCTTGACAGAAGAGGCATTACGAGGTCGTTCCGGAGTTGTCCAGCGGCATTGAGCTCGCGCAAGGCTGGGGCGGAGACGGCGTCCCCTACTGGGTAGTCCTGCCTGAATAGGTAGGTAAGCCGATGACGGGGCTCAGATGGTATATCTAGCGAGGCGGGATCCTTCTGCGCCCTTGGTTACACCGAGGAACGAAAGCTATTTGATATCTCCTCCGTCCGTCTCAGCCACCCCATATGTCACGGTTCGTGCATCCCACAATGTACTTGTATTGTAGTCATCACGGACCTGAGCCCTTTTGGGGGGAAGTGTACAGCTGTCCGCGCCGAAGGATGCAAAGCGGACGGACAGGGAACAAGGTTCCTCCGGTGCCGAGGCTGCGGTCCATCCTTCCCGCATGTCGTGTCGCTCCATTCTCCGACTCATCAATCAACCTATCAGTTCATGGTCACTTCCGTGTTCAGCCTCATGTACCGTGTCTTGTGCGTTGTCGAGATGCATGAGATTCCGGGAGCTGGGCGTTGGAAGCCCCCCTCTAGAGCCGGCTCCTTTGACGATCGTTGTGATATCATAAAATACTATCATCCTCCACCGACACCTCAACCGCGGTGACTTTTACTCTTTCGTCAAAAGGTAGATTCGTCTCTGTTTCCCGCTCCCCGCCCTGGATTTCCTTATATGCACTCTCAGGACCATGACATCCCCTTCTGGCCGTCTGCAGAATCGCGTGGCCATCGTAACTGGCTCCAGCTCTGGACTTGGACAAGCCATCTCCCTCGCCCTCTCCGCTGAAGGCGCTTCGATCTTCTGCATCGACCAATACCCAACGCCGCGGAACGCGATCAATCTATCGACACAGCGTGCAGATGACTTTCACAACCGCGTGACCGGTCAGCCAGGAACGCACGAACGCATCCGCCACCTAGGAGGTGAGGCCACATACCACAAAGCCGACGTCACGCGAGCGCGGGACATGGAACTCGCCATTCGAGCCTGCGTGCAGAGATACAAGAGGGTAGATATCATGGTGAACAACGCCGGTGTTAGCGTGGAGAGCACACATGTCCGTCCACTGCGATGTCACGAGACAAGCGAAGAGGACTACGACAAGACCATGGCTATCAATGCAAAGGGCATGTTTCTGGGCTGCAAGTACGCTCTCAAGCAAATGCTGGACGGACAGTCTCAGATCTACTCCTCGAGGGGATGGATCATCAACACCGCCTCTGTTCAAGGACTCGTCCCGTTCTACGGTACGCCCTCTTACTGCGCATCCAAAGGCGCCGCGGTCATGTTGACAAAGCAAATTGCACTGGACTATGCCAAGGATTTGATTCATTGTAACGCTCTCTGCCCGGGCTTTCTAGAAACAAGCATGACGCAGAACCTACAGGGCCAGCCGCAGGAGTTGGAGGAGATTCAAGAGAAACATCCGTTCGGACAGAAGCTGGGCAAAGTGGAGGATGTAGCGAGGGCGGCGGTATTTCTGGCAAGTGATGAGGCTGGGTGGATCACGGGAGTTCCCTTGCCGGTCGATGGCGGTTATTTGTTGAGATAAATGCTGGGAGCTTCCTTCCGGGCGGAGAGCGAGCACCTTGGGCGCCTGCGAATATTGGTGGCGATGAGTCTGGGGCGTTTAACGCGCGGCCTTCACAACGATGTGATCAAGATTATTGAAGCGGTTTGAACATGCTGACGGTCAGCAGCCAGATAGCAGCTTGGGAGCAAGTACATCTGGAATAGAGTGAATTACCCCTCTTGTGCCGCCTCGATCTTCAACCACATATCCAACCACACCCTCCCTTCTTCTCCTACCTCTCCGGGCCTCGTGTAACACTTCTCCAGCACGCCCAACACCCTCTCCCTCAAGATCTTCACTGCCATCAGCTCCCTCCAGCGCCTGACCGAAAGCTTCACCTTCCCACCATCCAACAGCAAGACCCCCGAGAAGAACTTAAACTCCGCTTCCGCGCCCAAGAGTATCGCGAGCGCGGACTCGGGGATGGCAGATGTCTCAAAGACATTGAGGGCGCCGCTGCGGGTGTTTTGCACGGCCTCGTAGAAGGAGAGCCAGCACGGTGCCGCTGCTGTTGTCCTGGGAGTCTGGGAGGAGGAGCGGTGGTTGACGGATCGCGGTGTGAGCGAGACGACCTGGTTCGTGTACACGTTGCGCCAGCCTTTGCCTTCGCGCCTGAGGATCCGAGGGTACAGTGCCATGGCGATGATGGCGGTGAGGGCCCGGTCGGGCACTGTCTGGTTGTAGCGGGCGGGAACATCGTAGCATGGAAGAACACCTCCACGTCCGGAATAAGTGCGGGCCCTGTTCAGGGCTGCTCGTTCCTCCGGCTCTAGCGTCACCAGGCCAGCGTCGACGATGTACACGAGCAATTGAATCTTTTGCGCCTCGACCTGCCCCATCGTCTGGTCGCTGATGTGGTTTTTGCGGCAGAACTCCTGGGCTATGCGGGCTGCTTTGGCTTTCTTCCAGCTTTCGTAGGCGTTCAGGGACGAGAGCAGGTCCGAGTCACCCCGACTGAACGTGTGTCGAGCATCGCTCTGTGAGCCGGATGTTGGAATCGGGAGGAACGGTGACTTGGTGCCCAAGAGGGATATGATAGCGAGTATGGGATCCTTGAGCAGGAAAAGTTAGAATAAATATCTCGACGAGAAGAAATGCCACCCATTATCCGCCGATGGTATGCCAACTCACCAGACATCTGAAAATGACGCCAAAGATCGCCAGCTTCGCCAACAACACCTCCAGGGGCAACTTAGCAATCTGCTGCCCCAGCGGCGTCAGCGCCTCATTCTTGGCCAACGCTCCCGCGTCCTTCAACTTGTCAATCGCTCTGAGCACATTCTTCCTCGAAGGGGGCTCGATCGCCGCATTGAGCGTCTCCTCAATCGACCCCAGATTCCACACCTTGATCCGCAGAATCGGATCCTGCAGACTCAGTCGCAGCATTTCGGGGACTTGTTGCTCAAGCATCAGATTTTCGTACCGATATTTGGTGACGAGGTGGAAGCAGAGACCCTCCTGAACGCGAGCGGCGCGACCTCTCCGCTGCCGCGCTGAAGAGCGGGAAATGAATCCCTCCGTCAGCCGCGAGAGCTGGCGGCGTTCATCGAAGCGCATGATTTTCTCCTTGCACGTATCGATCACCGCCGTCACATCTGGAATGGTTATGCCAGTCTCGGCGATATTGGTCGCGATCACGATCTTTCTGTGCCCTTTTGGCGGGCGCTCAAAGGCCCGCTCGAGCTCCTCAGTCGAGAAGGTCGAATGTAGGAGGTGCACGATCCAGTTTCTGCCGAAGGTGTCCATTGAGAGGAGGAAGCTGTGCAGGCGTCGCATTTCGCCTATACCCGGCATGAAGATCAGGATTGCATTGCTGTATTTCGCGTAACGTGGTTTGCTGGCAATGGTGGCGGCGAGTTTTGCGACGAGGCTATAGTCGATATGATATTCATCCATGTTGACAACCGCCTGTTGAGTCTGACTACTGTACTTCCCCGGTTCGGCGATGACAGGTCGCCCCTTATCGTTCGCGTAGAACTCGTCAATGTCCCGATCCTCGTCCTGGACTACCAAGTCTTTTTCTTTGACGCCAGCAAGGTCATTGGTAACCTCGACCGCATCCTCCAGGAATCCCACTTCAACTGGAAATGTCCTTCCAGGCAGGTCTAACACCGGTGCGCCACCAAAGTAGTCCGAGCATTTCTTCGCGTCAATCGTAGCCGACATGAGGACGATCTTCAATGTACTCCGGCGCTTCATCAACTTCTGCAACGCGATGAATAGCAGGTCCAAATCCATCGTACGTTCATGGACTTCATCCAGGATGAGGCAGTCCAGCTCATTAAGATTCGGGGATTCCTCCAACATTCTCAACAAGACGCCGGTCGTCGCATAGGTGATACGAGTGGTATTGCTGATCTTGCTCTCCAAACGGATTGCATAGCCGACAAGTGATCTATTAGTGCCGATGTCATTCCGATTCTCTCCCAGCTCCTGGGAAACACGTCTGGCCAAGGTGATAGCAGATATTCTCCTTGGCTGCGTCACAAGGATACGATAATCTCGGGCGGCACTGAACTCCTGTTCCAGAAGCAGGACCGGGATCCCGGATGATTTGCCAGCTCCAGTCTCTGCGCAAATGACACTCACCGCGTGTTTGCGAATGCAAGAGAGGATCTGGTCTTTGTACTGATGAACAGGGAGCTGTTGGCGGACCTGGAGCATTTCACGAAAAGATGAATGAGAGGTTCGCATATTCCATTCCCTGGAAACTTGTTCTGGGCTCCAATTCGAGACAGGTACTCTTGTCCGGCGGCGATCACTGACGTTGCTGAGTGGCTCAGCTAGCTCCTTGCTGGGGAGTTTTACTTGTTGCCGTTTCAGTCGTTCCTGTGTATCATGAATGAGCGCCCGAAGCCGCCGCAGGGTCTCCTTCCGTTCCTTGTTGACGAGCTTTTCTTTTGCCTCGCCCAAGTCTTTGACCATATCTCTCCAGACGGTCGGCAGACGTCCAATTGCTTTCTGCTCACTTGGGCCTAGTGTTGACACCAGAAACAGGCCGAGTGTGCAGATATAAGCTTCCGATTGAGCAGTGCTTGCTGCCGCAATCATTCTCATCTCCAATTCCCAAAGTCGCTCACTAACCTGCGCAAAGATCTCCGGTGGTAATGCCGTCGTAGCGAGACCCTCGGGCATAGTATCGGCTGTCCAAGAGATTTGTAGAGTGTGTCGCGCAGAGTATGAGGATTGCTGCAAAGTTCTGCTCTGTATTCGACATCCCGAATCACGGGTTCTACAGACTTCATCAAGCAGTCGTTTCGGTGAAAGGCCAGACCAATTTCCAAAGTCCAGTAGTCTTATTGAGCTCTCGGATGCCGGGTGGTTCTGCTGAGGAATAAGAGTGTCTTCAGATTCTCCAAACATGCCGCCCAGAAGACCATCCTCATCCTCAGCAGTTGCAGGTCCACTGTCCTCTGCCACGAGCCTCTTGATCTCGGTATCATCCTCAATGTTTTGTTGAGCAGCGGCTTGCTTTTGCTCTCGCCGTTTTGTAGCAGCAGCCCGCATGAGTTGTTGGTGTGTTGCCTGGAGTTGAGTCAGGATGGTTGCCCAAGAAGCTTCTGCTTCTTGTTTATCGAACAGCGGATCACAACATAGTTGTTGTAATTTACTCTGCAGCCTAGCGATTCGCTTTTCCTTTCTGGCCGCTGCCTTCACACCGTCGTTGGCTTCTTTGTTTTGGGCCTCCCGGATCTGTTGTTGGATTCCAACAAATTTCTCCGTCAGTTTCGCAGGATCGTTGTCTTCCTCGGATTCTGAAGCCTCTGAGCTTGCCGATGAGTCTTCCTCCGCTTCTGAGACTCTTGCAGGAGTCGCCGCAGGAGACTGTCTGCTTTGGTTGGCAGTTGCCGGTTCTGTGTTCTTGTCAGCCCTGTTGGAACATGCAGGTCAAAACTTGCAGAAGGTGTAAATTGACGGTGTCACGGAGGGTAAATGCAGCCGCCTGGGACATTGATACGGCGTCCACGAGTCGGAATTTCGCCGCTTCTCGACGCTCGCGGCAGGCAGGGGATCCTCGACCGCCTTCATCGACACTGTAAGACATAAAAGACAACTGAACGATTTCGAGGATCGGGGCATTTCTTACTGACCTGATGCTATTTGGAGAGGCGTGCTATCACTCAATTCAGTCTTTGTTCCTGTGGTCTGCTCATAGTTCATGAGTTCCGTTGCTGGAGCTTTAGAGGCATACCATTGCAAAGCTTCAGGCAGACCAGAGAGGGAGTCAGGGGTTCCTGTTAGCTGTCCCAGAAGAGCAATTTCAGTAATGTAAGCAACTGCCTCTGAGACTCTTGGAAAGTTCAATGACACCAAGACTCTCTCTAAACTCCAGAGGTCGACCGAGAGCTTCTCTTCATCTACCGGAGTCCTAACGCCCCTGGAGGCCGGAAACACAGCATTTGTATCCCCAACGTCCATGTCAAACAGATCGTTGATCGTCTCTTCGGGCAACCAGTTGTATGTTGATAACCTATAGGCCTGCGGACGCAGTTGACGCCGCTCGGTTTCTAGTCTGACCACCTGACGTCGAGCATCAGCAATGCATCGGGTAGCATACTTGCCGAGCATTGTTTCCAATTCAGAGTCTTCCAGATGGGCTTCAAATTCCTCGGGAGTCATATCTTGGATCTTCAGACTGTGCTCGGACGGCTTGCCGCTCTTCTGAGCCGCATGCTCGTCATCAAGCCGTGCTGTGAGTTTAGTATCAGTTCCTGCTGCCAGAGATTCATCATTGACGTTAACCAAAGCCTGATCCGGCTCGTCAACGGTCTTGGACTTAGAAGGTAGAGAAGTCGTGGCAAAGCCTCGAGCAGGATTCGCCGTGGGCTTCTTCTTCTTCTTTGGGGCCATTCCCTAGCGGGTTCAAGTGGTCAGCAGTCTGGTTGAGTTGCGAAGACCTGTCTTGTGGCCGAAGATGAACGACAAGTGACTTTTAGATGTAGATCGTTGTGATTTCTGTGCTCGGTGGTATCAATTAGGGATGGGAGCCAGTCAAGGACTCCCGTGCCAAGCAAATTGAATACCGCATTGTATCCCGAGTGTCTCAAAAGGCTCTCACTACTCTCACCACTCTCACCGAGTCGCCTCCTGCCCGCGAGACCACACCCCGGGCAAAGACATTCCTACCTATACTCGCTACTCCGTACATATCATGATATTGGCTGTTTGATTGGAAGCGGCTCATTGCGAGTCAATTCTGCCCACACGCTCCTCGAGCAGCAAGATGCCCATTCGACGCCCACCGAATCCCCACTCGATCAAGAGAGCAAAAATTCCATCCTCTACACAATGCCTTGTCATCCACATAATCATTTCCAAGGACCTTACAATGACTCTGAGCGTGCCGTAAAATATGAGGAACTCTACACCCAAAGAAAAAAAACGACAGATGAGGTCTCCTTTGCGCATATTAGGCGGCGGCAGAAAGAGACAGGGGATTTGGGCTGCTCCCAGCTAGCTGCCGGCAGCGTCTTCGAGCCAGAAAAGAGTGATATGAAGTTACACGATCATCTTCCTTGAAGAGAGTCATACAGCCACCTCAAAACTAACTTCTCTGCAAGTCTATTGAGTTTGGAGCACATGTTGGTTGTGATGTCTTCCACCACTGCGCCAACCTTGCGGATGATCACAGTGAACGAGGCTGGTCCTCGCAAACGTCGTTTCTTGTGCGATGCAAGCACGATGCCAGTGCTCTCAGCCAACGATGTGAACGAGAGCCCAAAGGCGCCTTTGTTGTTTGATCCTGTCGAATATCTTCATCCAGGTAATGTCGAAGTTCCTGATGCTTCCTTCCATGATCAGCTCCAATCGATCGTCGCTTGAATCCTCGGCCGGCCCGGGCCACGAAATAAACGTTGCTGCATCTTCATATATCCGGCCCATATGCTCCTGAGATGCATTCCTTGATCGTTCTTGGGGGAACGAGGCATTCCGCCCGGGCCATCGTGGCTGAGATATCATCGAATCAGATCTTGTTCCCCCCTTGCCCCAGGGGGACACCGGTTTGGTTAATTGTCACATGCAGGGCTTTTCAATGCACTTTTCCTGGCACGATTTGATATGCATGCCTGCCCAGCTACATACTGCCAGCCAATGCGATGGTCTCGCCTCCACCATGAGTCTTTGCGCCCGGGTTTATTTGCTGTGAAGCGGGTCCACCGAGGCCACGGACTGCATCACATCCAGCTACCTCAGACTAGAACACTCCGTCCATGTAAATCCATCGCTTTGTACGCTCTCGTCTTGTCGCTGTCGGACCGTTTGAAGAGGCTTTGGCGGAAGAGAGTTCCGGGTTTCTTGCTCTCTTCAAGACTCTTTTACTTCTCGCCTCGAGTCTAGGGTACACGGCAGCCTGGTAAAACGAAGTTGCCAGACTAAGGTGGATAAGAAGCCCAGAGATCCAAAACCAGACTCCAATCCGAAGCCTGTGTGTCGGTCCGGCCGCGGAGGTGTCTACGCCGACGATCAAACGCTCGCCCAGATAACGTGCCTATGCGGATACGGATATTATAAGGAACAACATATATTGATACCAGGAGTCTTAGTTAGAGGTGGAATTGCGCCGACGCGAGAAGAATAAGTGGACCATGTGCGAGGCTGCGAGGAGCGACAGAGCGGCGCACCTATTGTGACGCCACTTGCTGGTCAGATATTTCACGGGGCTAGAAGGAGCTCGGTGAAAAGCTATACACGTACGAAAGGGTGGATCGAGAGAGAGGGGCTTAAGTTTTACCTCAAGTCCATTCTGCACGAAGTTGTGCGCATCCAGGTACGGCTTTCGACCGTTCGATACTCTTTAGGCTAATATCTGAAAGGAAACCACCAATGAGTACATTATCTATGGTATTGATTTGATGTCAGAGGTACGCTTAAAATCTAGTTTTATATGCGTCTCATCAGGGCTCTAATCTAGGCTTCGAGAGACAAGCAAGAAATTCTGAATGACTCCCGGGAATGGGTGAGAGAGGCAATATCTACGAATGACGGTACGCTGCCCTCTGTACCTGAAGTTGGACATGCTCATTAGGTTGCTAGTGCTGCTCTACGAGGACTCTCAAGTCGCAGAGAGAAGAAAAAGAAAGGCTGGGACTATTGCCGCAGAGCAGTCAGGACCATATGAGCGAGACAAGCCTCCACTGCCTCGACCGAAGTGGAGCACCTCGAGTTATGATCAGGAAATACCTGCTCGAAATCTACCATTCTCATCCTCTTCGTATGGGGCTCCGTCGCATCAAGGAAACCCGTCCTCGAGTCCTCTTATCACTAGCGGCTACAGACAGCCCACGCACACATCGTATAACACTGGTGCAAGTCTCATAACGAGAGTTAATCCCGTGTTCCATCGTGCTACGGAACCTCCGCGGCACACACATATTCCTGGGTTAACGTTGACCCATGTTCCATCTCTTTTCGCCTCCCCGCCCATGGAAAGAGTCAATTCAGGCATTAGGCTGGATTCAGGGGGCGGGATAGATCCACACAAGGGCCTACCAGTGCCCGGGGTAGCATCGTCTAAGACCTCCACGACACAGGATCAGCGCAGCTCTAGCCACCAAAAAGGCTCTTCCAGTCCCGATTCTGCCACAAGAGAGCAGAAAGCCAAAGACGCTGACTCTCTACAGCCCAATGCGAAACTATCCGACGCCACATATACAAAGACGTGGACTCTGGACGCGAGTGATGCTAAGAGTCTGCTTGTCCAATTTTTGGAGCCTACGACTTTGCGAGATGCAATGGTCCTCTATGGATCGGGGCAGAATGCACGCTGCGGAACTTGCAGTGACTACCTGCTCTTCTTGACCGGTGCGCCCAGTGTAGTCGTGGATCCTTTTCTAGACAGCTTTGAAAGCGCACTCCGGTTACCGGTTTTGGCTGCAAAAGTGCGTCTGCAACCCTATTCCAATGCTTGGGCTCAGTGTACATTCCGAAAAGATCCATATGCCCGGATGGGAAGCGACACGATAGTCATTTCATTGCGAACCAACGCGCAAAGAGTCTGTTTAACAATCGACAAGTTGCTTATCGGTATCGTAGCGGCTTTGAGGCAACCACCAGGTCTTTTTCTCGCCGTTTCGAACGCTGAAATGCTCGATGACAAGACGGATACTCGGGTTCTGCCCACACCACTGCAAGACATCTCAGTAGATGGATGCTGGGGACCTGTGTTCCCCAAAAAGATAGTCGCTGTTGCCCCGGTGAAACATCCTTTCGAGATGAAAGGGTTGGAGCTCGACTTCAACCTGATGACACAGCTCTGTGGTGTAGATACACCTGTTTCACTCGATGATGGCATTTGCCTAGCAGGTGTCTACACGATTCTTACGCCTGTGCGAGCCGTGCATGACAAGGGCACAGCAGGATGCTTACAATAGCACTTGTTCAGTGTAAAACCTTTGAAATACAGCGTCAACGTCTCAAGCAGGAAGCTTTGGCAGCTTTGGTCAGAGCATCGCCCAGAGGAGTGGTATCGGGAGGAGGAGCTCAAGGATCTTCTGTGCTTCAAGCAGCATTTTTTGGGTTGGTGTGGGCATTCTGTTACAACGCTGGGGGCAGAGTCGCAAACCTACGATCTAAGACGCTCGGGTGCACCCTCTAAGGACAAAGAGGAATGCGAGAACAGTACCACGTTTAACATGAATTTTGTCATGCACGGCGTCAGTGTTGGTGCAAGCCGAGCAACCAGATTCGGGTGGACCGAACGCAGTCCTTTCGAGAACCGACAGAGGAATCTCACATCATGGCTGGATTCAGCCATGATAGAGCAGGTCCTTCTGTACTGTCCGAGTCGAAAACGGGCATGGCTGGTTCCCAAAATCTCGCTGATCCTTCATCTAGTGATCGCCCACATGAAAGGTATGCAGGAACGACATCCAGAACTCATCTTCAACTTCCGTATTGCCAGGACTCAGCTATTGCTGAAGGCGCATTTCGAACGCTGTTCGACCATCTGGAAGACCCTCTGCCAGAACCTGACCTGGAAGGCGACTGCAGACTCAAGCACCTTGTGACTACATACCTATACTCTTTGGACAACGTCAGTCGACATACGCGAGTACCACGGTTCAGCCAAGTTTCCTACGGGTTTGAAGCTGCGGACATCATACACCAGCCCAAGTATTTCCGCCTGAAGACTGGGAATGCCTCGAATCAGATCTTTCAAATCGGCAGCCTTGGCGGGTGGACGAAACTGTTGGAGGTTGTTGATGTCCTCCCCTTTATCGAAGGCATCCAAGATCCTATCGTGCCTCATTCCACAGATGTGGCAAATGGGTATGGCGATTCCACATGTGCTGAACTGCGCAGGATGCCCCGACAGCGAAAATTTGATGGCAGCAACAATTGCGAGTCTCCGATGTCTCTGGAACGACGCTTTTAGCGGCAGCTGGCATCGACTGGCCACGAATGCATATTGGAACTGCAACGGGCAGGTCTTCGGTCCTTGTAGGTGTAGGGCAGGAGTGGCTTATCAGCGCATGCAAATGATATGGCCAAACAACAACGCCAGGCCACCGAACATCAGGGATCTGGAAAGGAATCCCCAGGGAGCGGTAATTTTCGTTGCTGGCGCCGGACTGATCGAGGGAATCGGCTGCTGACTGGGTGAGATGCGAACTTGGGCACACCCGAGGTCTCCATGCTTGCTAAAGTTCTCTTTCCGGTGGTCACTGATCAAGGCATTGATGTTAAGAAGGCTCCCTAGTTAGTTGACGAGTCTGCGCAAGGCTGAGGTTTTGCACAAGCTTGGGGCGTCGCTGTCGGTCGTCTCAGATGCTGTGCCGGGGCACTTAGGGTGTCAACAGGATCCATGCTGCACTTTACTTAAAGTGCTCTGTACTTACTGCTGCTGCTCCTCAGAAAGGACCAAGAGACGAAGTCCACAGGTGCGTGCCGTGGACGGCACAGCAGCCGTTAGTTCGGGACTCAAGCGGGGCAAGGGCCTGAACGAGTTTTAATATAGGTAATTGACTTACCTACTGAGGACCTCGTACAGCACCGCTTACATCCCACATAGAGACAAACTACCCGGCACACTGGACCTCCTCATTGTTTGTTCTCGATGCTGAGCAGAGGTCGTGTCCAACATCACTTGACTTCGTTCTGGCTATCTGGCCAGGAAATACCTGCGGATCAAATCTTGCAAACACTCCCCTTTCGAGAAGAATTTTTGTCTGCTCAATTACCGGTGTGGCTTGAAATCAGCGGCTGAACCGCCCTCGGGTACAGAAACCACAGCCAAAGCATGCACCTATGAGCGAATCCAAAACATACAGGGGTTCTCAGCTCCAGACCGCTGAAGAACACAGCTTCGCCAATTACAGTTCCATCCAAACAAGGCAGCATTGCTCGGCTATTCCTCTTTCACTCACCCTAAATGCGGCGAGGCGGCACATCTGGGAGTGAACACGGGGCGCGTCTCGGTTGCGCAGTTATCAGGACTTCTTCTCTTAGTCAACTTCAATCATGGGTTTGTGACTGTTCACAGCATGAAGCTGCACCAACAGAGCATCCGACATAATGAAACTTCTGTTCATCCCATGCGACGGCGAAGGGCAAGCCCGGAAGACTGTCTCGGACGAAGGAGTAACCCGGACCCAACACGCCGCCCGCGAATATCACAAGAAGGCCAAATTGCGCAGAGCGAGAAACAAAGGCCAACTGGCGCATGGCACTCGCAAGTCGACCAAGTCCAACTCCACGACTCCGACAGACGAGCTAGCCGTCTTGGAGGTGAAAGCCGAGCGACAATCGCCTATCCAAATCCTTCTGGGAGCAAGTCGATCCGACCCATTCAATACAATCGGTGACCCCGACGCTCCACTCTACGTGCACGAAATGCTGGATCATGCCATCTCATGTCACTATTCTGAAATGTGTCTAACCGACGGCGGAGGACTCAACGCCGCTAGAACCGAAATCATGCAGTCCGTCATGTACTCTCCTGTGGCTTGGTACACGATCATCTTTGCTGGCGCTACGCACAATGCATACCAGTATGGGGGTCGCGGGACAACGAAGCAAAACGAGCAGCTCAGGCTTGTGTACAAGACGAAAGCCATCAGGTCACTCCTGGACTATATCCAAGAAAACGGCGACACGGTATCCGAGGAAGCTCTCCTGAGCATGATAACCTTGGCATCTCACGGAAGCGGCGAGAATTTGAAGGGTCATGATTCGTATACGCGGCAAAAGCTCCCCTTCCTATCCCACCTCCACGACGTTGACTACTACGCAAGCATGGACATTGGCATGGAACATCTGGCTGCTGTGTATGCCATCGTGGATCGGCGAGGAGGGCTTCGCACGTTGCAACGGAAGAGTTTGGCTATAGTTATTCAAGTGTAAGTAGCTCCGGGATTTCCAGGCTTCGACTGATGGTGAGAAGGTGCGACATCCTGACATCTTGGAGGGAATTGCAACGTCCTCACTTTAATCTCCTGGCGCCGACAAAGTGGCACATCAGTAAGCGGAGCCATCAACCGGATGCTGTGGCACAAGCGAAGCTTGAAACTCTGACAACAGGCTTTCACACATTGATTGATGATGGTTACATCAGTCTTGACCATCTCGTGGCGATTGCCGATTGCACGAGCCTCTTCTCGGCGGACTTTGATCAATTGCTGAGATGCTATGATCTTCCGGAAGAGCAACGACCTCTGCATACTCCCAACATGGCACTCGTCAGATATATGCGCTGGTGCGTGCTCCATGACATCCTCATGCTACCCGAGCACAGCAACACCGACGGCGAAATTTTGCCCGAGCACGTGCTTTACCAGATCTGTCGACATGTCCTGTTCGCATACGCGGTGTTCGTCGTGGTGCCCATGCCGCCAAGGACCAAGCTACATGCCAAGATTGCCGAACGGCTCAGACGTCTCCTGGTCAGTGCAGTCAAGGTGGGCCTTCCCCGCCAACAGCCTGACCTGTTCTTCTGTGCGGTCGCATGGGGCTGGATGTGTACAGAAAAGGCGGTCGGATATCGCAAACTCGAGAAGCTGTCGGGAAGCTTCACGACTTTGCTGGAGTTCACTGAGGTCCGGCGGAAGCCTGATTCATGGCCGATAGTCGAGGAGATCATGAAGTCCTTCTTATGGATGGAGGCCTATTGTGAAGAGCCGGGGCGGAAATTTTGGGCTGGCGCTTGTGGGCAGGCGGAGGAAGACCTGAAGGGAGAAGAGTCTCCTTGAGATATCATGTCAGATCCGGCAACGGTGTTTGCGGCTGGCCCAATGCATTTGGTCGGATACAGAGTATGTGTACTCCCGCAGCGATTCCAAATGGAAGATCTCATTGACGCGAAGGCGTCATATCATGGCTGTCAGTGGAAAGTAAAGCCCAGAGGCTTGGACGCGCCTTAGCCTTGTCCGCCAAGCGACTGAAGAGGTTTCTGGCTGGCTGGAAGAAATCATCGAGGACGGGAGTGATTCATGTCTTGTCCAGCACAGTTCCCATCGAGGGGTGAAGAGCATACATACTAGCGAGGCTGAAGAATCCATAATAATATGGAACAAGACCAATTTTGACTGATTCAACATGGGCCAACGGGGGCCTCCCTATGTACTTGTGGCCCAAAGTCAGAGATAGCGTTGTCGCATAACACTTGCGCCAGGCCATTCCAAGCCTAGCCTTGAGGTACTCAGTACCTCTCGAGCTCTATCCCCGGCTATTCGAGTTTCTCGGACTCTCTTTCTCTTCTTTTTTAGACACACAGGTCCTATGCAGTAAAGGCTTTGCCACCAAGGTCATTGAGGCCACATTCCCTTGTTTGCGAGTTAGGTTATTACCAATGTGCACGGCCTAATAGAGCGAACTACAAGGAGGCCTCCGTTGGACTGAGATGGCCAATAGGGATAATTGGCAGCGGGTTTGCCTGGAAAAGAGATCCAGAATGCGTTTACAGCTAGCCACAGGTGTGCCTGTGATTCACAAGGCAATTCGGAGGGTGCTGCATTTCAGCCGCAGCTGAGAATCTTTGCCCTGTCCACTTATGCAAGGGAGCTACGTTGATCAGAATTCGCATCTGGGGCCTCAAGAGTAAGGGATCAAGGCATGTCCGTTTTGTTCTTCAGCCGGAAACTCAGAGCCCGCGAAGCCTTCTAGTGCGCATTACTTGTGGTGAGTTGATTCTCCCATCACGTTAATGTCCTTCCGAGTTCGTTCTCAATCGTAAAACGAGTTTCTTCATTAAAAGCTGTGTGACACTTCCGACAATGTCGGGCTGCCTGGAGGGATACAACGCCATTTTGGAACTGCTACTCGCAGGTATTGATCAGAATGACCTGCTCGCAAAGCTCAGAGAGGAATCCAGTACACAATCCAGTGATTTGGCAGAGTTGAGGCCGAGGATTTTTCACAGCACATCGAATCCTACACCGATCATCACTATGCAGAACGGCAAGTTCTCTGCTGCCCCAGCTATGGCTATCAAGGGTGGGAAAGTTGCCGCGATCGGGACTTACGAAGCAGCCAAAGATGCCGCCGGCCCCCTGGCTGAGGAAAGAGACCTCCAAAGCCAGTGCATCGTTCCGGGTTTCGTGGAGCCCCATCTTCATGTCATTTTGTCAGCGATGCTCAAGGGCTTCTTCATGAATTGCGATCCGCTCAACCCGGAGATCAACGGAAAATTTGAAAGCACAATCATATTCATCCGGTCCAAAGCCAAGAATGTGAAGCAAGGCGAGTGGTTATTGGGATACAACTACGATCCTTCAAGATTGCCTCCCAATACCAGTACCGGCAAATTCCAGGATTTGACGCTTGATATCTTCGCAAGGGAGGACCTCAATGAGCATCCAATCTTCATTGTCAATGCATCTGGACATCTGGCGTACGCCAATCAGAAAGCATTCGACGAAGCCGGCATCGACAACACTACGCCGGACCCGGCTGGAGGTCAGTATATCAAGAATAAAGGCAATTTGACGGGGGTGCTGTTGGAGCCACCTTCATATGAAGCATTTCTCACAAAAGCATTGCCAGCCGACCTTATGAAGGTTCCCACCATCGTGGATGGACTGCATGAAGTCGTCAAAGATTGGAGTGAGAAAGGTTTCACGACGGTTTTTGATGCTGGTGTCGGACAAACTGGGCCATTGGATGTCTCAGTCCTCTACGCTTTATCACTCGCGGCACCTCTTCGCATAGCAGGTGCCGCGGCGAATCTTACCAAAGGCGCTGCTTCTAACATCGTTGGAAATGGTAGCATGCCTCCAGACGGTGCGACCGACTTGAAGATCAAGACCATCAAGCTCTGGATGGATGGCTCAACACAAGGCTTCACGGCAGCTCTTGAGACGCCGTATAATCGGAAAATGTTGCCGAATTATTTCAGGAAAGAGCCAAACGGTTGGGCACGTTGGGCAGTAGGATCGACTTGTCCCATCAGCAACGCTGGAAGCGACGATATCACGGAAGAAATGCTGGCATGGGCTACCAAAGGCTATCAGTTGATGGTTCACGTGAATGGAGACTGTGCAGCCGAAGTCGTCCTCGACGCATTCGAACGGATCATGGCGGCTGTTCCTCCAAAACCTCCAATCATGCATCGATTGGAGCACTTCACCGTCACAACCCTTGAACAGGTCCAACGGGCTAAGAAGCTCAACCTGGGCGTCAGTCACACCATAGGGCATGTCAAATACTGGGGTTATACGTTCCGCAACTATATCCTTTCCTCAGACCTTGAGCCTGATAGAGCGGATCGCATCGACCCTGTCAAAGATGACTTAGATAACGAGCTTGTTTATTCCTTCAACAGTGACTCGCCAGTGAGTCAAGCTGACGCTCTGTCATACGTCGGCACTGCGGCGACTCGGCTCATGTATAATCAGGACGGCCAAGTCCTAGGACCAGATCAAATAGTGAACGTGGAAGCCGCTTTGGCAGGCGTCACGATCAATCCGGCGAAACAAGTCATGCTAGACAGTGAGGTCGGCTCCCTCGAGAAGGGAAAGGATGCCAATTTCGTGATCCTAGCCCAAGACATCAGCTCACCTGCTGTCAATGCCAAAGATATTGACAGCACATGGGTCGAAGAAACTTGGTTCAAGGATGTCAGGAGATATGCTCGGCCTAGCAATGTGTGATCTTGGTTTTTATTTAGTATGCGCTGGAAAAGGATATTGAGGCAGTTGCATATGTAGGATCACACAGTTGAAGGGTTCTGGATATCGCAGACTGTATTTCCATATGCGGAGGTTTGGCTTCCGTAGAGCCTTCAAACTCAGAGGGATAATGATTTCGCGGACGGTCATTCTCCGTTGGGAGCGGCATTTTCCCCGATCACGACCAACATGAATCCATGATTCTGTCTCAACTTCAGAAGAAATCACTGCATCCAGCTCTACAAAAATGACGCGCTTATTTGAGCCTATGCGAATAGGAAAATGCAATCTGGAACACCTCATCGTGATGGCGCCAATGACACGGCTCAGGGCGGACGACGAGCACGTCCCAACCGACATAATGACCGACTATTATTCGCAGCGGGCTTCGGTCCCTGGAACTCTCATCATCACTGAGTCGAACTTTATCTCTGCTCGATCTCAGGGCCGGCATGACAACGCCCCTGGAATATACACCCGTCAACACATCGAGCACTGGGCTCGCATCTGCGACGCCGTGCACCGCCAGGGCTCATACATCTTCGCACAGCTCTGGCACGTGGGACGAGCAGGTCGACCCGAAACGTTGGCGAAGGCCGGATTGGAAATGGTCAGCAGCAGCGACTTGCCAATCAGCGAGCAACACGGCATCCCTCGGCCCATGACCGAAGAAGAGATTTTGACATGCATCCGCGATTTTGGCCAGGCGGCTCGAAATGCCGTGGCTGCCGGGTTTGACGGGGTCGAGATCCATGCTGCCAACGGCTACCTCATTGACCAATTCACCCAGGACGTGTGCAACCGGCGAACAGATCGCTGGGGCGGCAGCATCGAGAACCGTTCGAGATTTTGCCTCGAGGTTGCGACAGCCGTGTGCGAAGCCATCGGCCCCGAAAGAACAGGCCTTCGACTGTCGCCCTTCAGCGACTTTCAGGGCATGCGCATGAAAGACCCAAAGCCACAATTTACCCATCTCATTTCTCACCTGGCCGAGCTTAACCTCGCATATCTCCACCTGATTGAGCCCCGAGTTTCTGGGAATGTAGACAGGGACCCGCGGCCTCATCAGGCCGAGAGCCTAGAATTTGCACGCCTCGCCTGGCGCCGTGTCAATCCATTGATCCTTGCAGGAGGGTTTACGCCCGCGACAGCCCGAAAGGCTGTCGACGGCGAATACAAAGACGAGGACGTGGCCATTGCATTCGGAAGACATTTCATCTCCAACCCCGACCTCCCATTCCGGATCCGCCACGATGTGGCCCTGGCGCCGTACAATCGCGACACCTTCTACAAAGTCAAGTCTCCAGATGGATACATCGACTATCCATTCTGTGAGAGTTACACAAAGTCCACTGGGAAATGCTGATGGAGGCCAACAAGGAGGCTAGGAGAGACGAACACGGGCAGTAGGGCTTTTTCTTCGCACCTCGGAAGTATGAGAACGGCAAGCCACATCCATCTTAGGGCATTGAAGATTTTTTGAGCGAATAGACCATTTTCTACCCACACTAGAAGCACAATCTCTGCCAGGGTAAGCTGCATGCAACCCCTGACGCGCAGTTAAGCTAGATATTCCGAAGATTTTCTGCCTGGAAACGTTTTGTGGACAGTATCTACATACCTCACAACGTGCGCCCTATCCGCTTCGACTTTCTGGCTATCATTGTAGTAAGCGGCAGAGAATAGCGGTTTGATTTTGCCTAGGCGCAACCCCCTGTTCTCGACAATGTGTTGTCATCCTCCAGATGGTAGATCTATGCCCAAGGGCTTCGTTCTGCCATCTCAGCACTGATCGGGGCCATTATCAGGCAAGAGACTGCACCAGCGGCGAACACGGGGATGGTCAAAGCCTGGAACTCTGGGGAAATGCTGAAACGGTACCGTAGGACATCGAACTACATAGTAGTGCAAGGAGAGGATCAAACAAATGTCAACCTCGGCGACCTTGGGATATACTCAGCTTCAACTATGTATTTTTGGAAGAATGGAGATGGTGGTTTTTGTGCGGCCGCTTTTGCGGAAAAACCCCTGCTCTCACCCGACCATGGATCGCGAACGATGGATGTCCTTTTTCCACCCTCTGAAGGTTCGACCTACACTGATGGCTTTCAAGCTAAAGGGTGAGTTTTATATTCGGGCTGAGCAAGGCTGTACCGAGTACTGGGTATGGATCTTGTGGAGTCTCGAGTCTCGGCAGCAGCTCGGACAACAGCGCACTTCGGGGTGACAGGCTGTTCGACAAGGTACATACAATTTACTCGATCTGATCAACCAAATTTTCGGGCGCTACGGGGGTTGTTGGCGTGTATATAGTGTGACCTTGTTTGGAGGAAGCTAGGCGAGGCTGGAGTAATCTGGATCTCGTTGACTGGGTCTTGTCCATATTGGGTCAGGCCACGTGGTTCGCTCGCCTGTTCTGGCCAACCCCACGTGACGCCACTCCAGATGCCAAGCCGGGCTTTCCACTTTTGTATAAAATACTCCTTTTCCAACCTCCACCATCAGCTAGCCTTTGAGACTCAATAATATTCCAAACCGCCTCCCTGCGCGCTTCGACTCTCACTCAGGGCCTGAGGGAATTGTGGTGGGGATAAAATGCTACAGCACAATGTGTCTCGGAGCCGATGGTTCCAGAGGGGATCATATAGGTAGGACGACAGGGAGTTGTGTAGAAACAGTCTTTTCTCCTCTCATTCTGCTTTTGCCCTTTGAACTATTGCGACCATGCACTGACTTTTGTGTACTGACCTTTGTTTCTCATTTGTTTTTTTTTTTTTTTTTTCCACAAAATAGCTGTCATGGGCTTGCTCCGCTTCACAGTAGCGCTAGCCCTTGCAGCGTCCGCTCATTCTTTCAGCGTGCCGTCCCATGGCGATACTACCACCACAGAGACCCTCACTAGATTTGTCTTTACTTGCCCTTGCGATTCGACTACCTCGCTCAGTGTCGGCACCGCCTATCCTATCTCACCTGCAGAGACGTCTGGCGGACACGGTTGGGATGATTGGGATGGTTCTGTTTCACACTTGTCGAGACCTCGGACGTTAACGTCAAGCTCGTATTCTTACTCAACTTCCCGGTCAAAACCTTGGACATCTCGGACAATTTCGTTGGATATGACTACAGCCTCTGCTCCAGAGCCAATCTCAACCTCTACTGCGAGGACTTCTGTCTCTGCTAACCTATCCGAAACAACAGCCGGCACTCCCCGACCCGAGCCAACAACGTCGAAAAGCTCGATTACATCAGTGTCAACCTCCACATCTACCCCCATTACTTCCTCACCGGCATCGACGACCACTCCTGTGAGCTTGTCGCCTACCGTTGAACCAAGCACGACGATCCCAACGACGACTACGAGGAGTTCATCACCTATCGTTGAAGTAAGCACAAGTAGCCCGACCACACTCTCGACCTTGGACATCACAACAACGACACAGGAGGCGACTTCTCCTCTCGCTCTAACTACAACAAGCACTGCGTCCGTCATGACGACTTCGTCAGAATGCTCATTGGAGACTATCACGACTACTTTGAAGAAGAGAGATGTTCTCGAAGTGCGGACGCTTACAGTCCCTGCTGCAGGCTGCTCCATTACAAGCTCCAGCACAACGCCTATTGACGAAGCAGCATCTAGTACAACGACATCGGCCCCGGGCATACCAACCACTACTCCGAGCACAACTTCCTCAGGGTCTACAACGTCTCCATCCTCAGCAATAACCTCGTCTATTGACACGAGCTCAACTACTGCAGAAAGTGATGCCAGTCTGAGCACCACCACAAGCATGACTACCGTGACAGCGACTGTGACCACTTCGAGTGCAGATACCTCGGCTCCGACAGTTGGTCAGCCCTTTTCCATTCAAGTCAACACCGGTGGCTCAGGAAAGCACAAGCGAGATATCCTGGTGGTCGGTTATGTCAACGGAGCACTTGTGCTTGTGAGCTCTCCAGCTGATGCTGTGGCCTTTGTTCTCACTTCTGATGGCGTGCTGATGATTTTCGACACCACTCTGGTTGTCGGCTTCAGTGGTGGCTCGGGACCTTCAGCTTTGATGATCTACTCCTCAGTCTCAGCTATGCCAACAACAATTGTATGGTCAGTCTCTGGTGGCGCTCTTGTCTTGCCAGGAGCTGGCTTTTGTGTTGGTGCCGGCAACGTCATGTCAGTTAATGCTGGACCGACCGACAGTAGCTGTGCTCCCGTTACTGCCGTGCCGGATACAGATACAAACTCATACAATACTGAAGTCGCTAGCACGGTAACACCGGCGCCTCAAACCACGGCTTTGACCACTCCGAGTTCGAGCTCCATATTAGTTGAGGCTACTGCTACTCCTGGCTCATCCTCGTTCACCACCTCGAGTATCATTACCAGCTCAACCCAAAGTCTTGCCAGTTCTACCTCGAGTATCACCACTCCAGCTTATGTCTCGACTAGCAGTACAACATCTTTGGATAGCACAAGCTCGGACAGTAGCGTGACTACCAGCACAACAACCGCAACGAAGACCGAGGAGACAAGTGGACCGAATTGCTCCATTCTACCTTTGGAAGATCAGACAGCGCCAAGTGGGACTCAATACACGCAATTCTTCTACAGCTGTCACGCTGCCATTCCCCTAACTCTCGGCAGCAGTTATTCCATAGCCACTTCAGGTAATGGAGGCTATAGCACTGACCCTACCGCCTTCCTGAGAGAATGTGTGGCGAATGCCGAAGAGGTTGGGGCCAGCGTATGGACTTACTATCAGACGTCGTCGGATTTCGACTGGCACTGTGGCTTTTGGACCGGCCTAGTGGCAGATGATGACATTTTCGTGGACGACTCGACAGTTTCCACCATGAATGCTATGACAGTGGTTGGGGCAGGTGGCACCTCAAGCTTCACAAGTACTTCCTCTAGCTCCACACCGCCATCAGGGATCTTCTCCAGTCCGACGCCCACAAGCTCGGCCTTGACTACGACTTCCAGCTCAGCATCCGCAACGCCAACATGCACAAACCTCTGCAGTGCGGGAACAGTATCGTCGGGCTCTCAAGTATGGGAACAGACTGAAGCAGGATGCTCAGAGTACAATTTTAATTGAGCTTATGCTGCTTTCACTTTCTTCCCTGCTGGCTTGTCTGACTGTGATGTGGTTCAGTATTGTGCCAACTTCGTTGTTCAACAACGTATGACAGCTTTCAGGGCCTTCTGGGTTCCCACTGAAAACCAGTGGCACTGTGACGCCGGCTTGAACAACGATGAAACCGGTGACTACGAACACTCCGCTGCTCAAGGCGCTTTCTACATGTACAACCTTGTTTCTGCTTCAAGCTCCTCCACAACGTCTGCAACTACGCCGTCTACAACTTCTCTGTCTGTGGCTGCAGTGTCTACAACTACAGCGCTTGCAACTACAACGTTTGCAAATACAACGTTTGCAAATACAACGTCTGGAACTACAACTACGTCCAGTACGACGAGCACAACGTCATCTGCACCCTGCGTAGCAACTTCAGCTTCAGTTGGTGACATTTTAAATACCCCAGATGGCAATTCCTGGATCAATTTCTTCTCCTCTGGGTGTGGGTTGTCCTTGGACTGGCAAACCTTGAATTGGAACAATCTTTATGTTTACCAACGCACCGATTATACATTTGACGAGGCTTTAATGGAATGCGCCAACGTTGCAGATAGTGACGGCTCGCCTGTCTTCGAGTTCGAGACCGATGCTCGCAACAACAATCGATGGGTGTGCTGGACTCTCAACGATATCACCAATGATCCAGCACAATTCCAGCCTTATCCTGGCATCGCCGATGCGTACGGTTGGTACCTGCCTAGCAGGATGGTTTTGCCTGTAACCATAACATCAACCACGACAACGACATCCATCTACGCCCCTACAACCACAACAGTGACAACACCAACTTTGACAACGACATCTACCCCCGTTATCACAACCACAACGGCGACAACTCCAACCTTGACAACGACATCCGCGTCCGTCACCGCAGCTACAGCCACAGCCACAGCCACAGCCACAGCCACAGCCACGACAAGCACAACAACAGAGAGTCTGGCACCATCTGAGACTTTCTACATCGTGGCTGACACGGTAGTGACAAATCGCAGGATTAAGCGAGATATAGAATATCTCGTCTTGAATCCACAGACTGGTTTGAGCAGCCTTGTCAACTCCGAAGTCGAAGCAAGCATATTCACTACGGCCGATGATGAATCATTAATGGTCATGGTGAGTGGCACGCCCGTCTGGGTTGGTCTTACAATCAGTACGCCCACTCAACTCGTGATGGAAACTGAGCGACCAAGCCCTCCAGTCACTGCAATTATTGACAGCAACGGTTTCCTGACCATTTCAGGAGTGTTGACTGAATGCATCGTGAACGGCGGACTCATTGTCTCTACCGATGGCTCGATTCCTGACGGCTGCGTCCAGGTCATACTGAAAGCAGTTTCTACAACCATTGCTGTTCCGGCCGATCGAAGCACAGCGGCAAGCACGTCTTCATCTTCATCAGCAGCGGCAGTTCCTACAACATCTGGGTTGACGACAACCACTAGTACAGTGACGATTACGACGACTACACCGACCCCAACCCCTACTTGCGACAATGGTTCAATTGTTACAGACACGAATGGAGATACATGGGAGACTCTTTGCGGACAGGGCAGTTATTACGGATGGAGTTCCTTCTCCTCATTCTCCGACGTGGCAACTCTATCTGACTGCATTACCAAGTGCAACGAAGATGACTCGTGTAATGCTGTCTCTATGGAATACAGAAATGCTCCAGATAGCAATCTTTGTGGTTTCATCTACACATCGATTGATTTCCAGCCATATGATTTCGCTGCGGATACAGCCATCAAGATTTCAGGAGCAAATGCCAGACCGCAAATTGATGTCTCTGGGTCATCGACGACGACGGGGATGACAACGACATCCGTCCGTAAATCAAGCACGACCACAACCTCAACCACGTCGACGACTCCAACGCCTGCATGCACGCCATCTGCGATTGGAGATGTCACCGCTCTTTACAACACAACCCAGACTTTTCGCAACGTTTACACAGGTTGCGGCGAGTCGATGGAAGGAGGGACGATAGGCGGTCTGGGCTATTTTCCCAACCAGTTCGCAGTCAATTGGCTAGCGTCAGAAAACTATGAGGGCTGGTCCTTTGACAGTGCTGTAAGCCGATGTGCTCAATTCGCGGTTGACAATGCTGCCACAGCTGTTGAGTTCTATGTCGACGTGGATCAGAATTGGCTCTGCGTCGGCGTTGACGATCTGACTGTTGACGACTCCTCCTTCTATCCCGACTCGAATGTCATCAATGTCTGGGGCTTCCTCTGGGAGAATTCGTGCCAGAATACTCCGCTTGACGATATCACCGCAACTGATGGAGCGATCTTCTCTGAATTCTACACCGGCTGCAGTGCATCTTTCCAGGGCAATACACCCGGGGGACTCGTCGACCTTGACCGAGTCGTGTCAGTAGACTGGCAAGCTCCAGACTATTCCGGCTACACGTTTGATGCCGCCGTCAAAAAGTGTGCTGACACCACAATTTCGCAAGATGGTAACTTGTTCGAGTTCTACATTGGCTCAGATGATTGGTGGTACTGCATTGCAGTGAACGACTTGCCTGCCACGGCCAACAGTTTCTATCCCGACTCTACAATTGGTAAGGTCTGGGGGTTTGCGATTACAGAATCAACCGACGTCTGTGAACCTACACGGCTTGCAGGATCAGTCCAGCTAGCGAACGGCACTACCTTTAATGAATTCTACGATGCGTGCCATGTGTCACTGGAAGGCGATACTCCTGGCGGACCGGGCTCCATGACAAGTGTGTTTGGCTTCAACAATCCACCTGGCGAGGACGGCAATCACGGAGGATGGACGTTAGAGACATCTCTCCAACAATGTATCACAGACTCTGCAGCCGCCGGTGCGACATTGGTCGAATTCTACGAGAATGCCGATGAGGATCCTACTTGGTACTGCTTTGGTGTCAACAACGTACCGGCGCAGAAGGATTCGTTCTACGGTGATGCGAGTGTTGGCCGTCTGTGGGCTTTCAGGCTTGACGAGTCTACCCTATAGACAAGCGGCTAGACGGTCATTTGGCTTTGAAGAGAATATATGCTTCCACCAGTTAGACTATGTTACATAAACAGCTAGGTAAAGTAATACACAGGTTGCCAGCGCGTTTTCGGGATCTTCCACCGAGGGCCTCATAGCATTCATAGGCACCACAATGTTCCGCACACGAACACGCTTAGCTCCCAGCAGCGAATCTTGGCGTCCGCCCAAATCCACCTCCGTTCCCTATCCCGCCATTTGACCGGAGCAATGACGAAGCCAGTCTAGGCTATGGCTGTTCACGCCTAGGCAGAATCTCAACTGACAGTCAACACTTGTTCTGGGTCAGGAAAAGAGCGCTAATCTTTATTGATTTTTAACGGTAGGCTCTATCCCACATGGCCTGATCAGACCCTGGTACCTGGTACCTCGTACCTCGTATACCGACTTTCATTTGAGGCTGGTGCGTAGGTGGGGAACAAGGCAGCCACAAGGCTGACAAGTCGCTTTCCACAGACACGACGGAACCCAATCCGACTTAGACTTTAGTTAGGTCTACTCAGCCTCATCAGCTATTAACTCACTCCCCTCGTATAAGAGACGGTCAGGGAAGACTTGCCAACACCTAGATCGCCCTCCTCTGCCTGCTACCAAAACTATCCTGAACACCTCGCCTGTCTCATATTGAAACCCTTCCGCTCTGTGCCTACCTGCCCTATAACTTGAGATGGGAGCCTCCTTGCAGGATCAATCAAAAGCCCCATCTGAGAACGAATCATTGGCGCTTTCTGATAATGACGGGTCGTCACCTCCCGCATACAGCGAGACCGAATCGGTCGCGCATCAAATCCAGACCTATGTTGACACAATGTCCCAGCTCACCCAGGGCGCACCTCTGAAGCCCGTTGAGAGCTATCCGAGACCTCTGGTGGACGGCCTGGACGGGCTCGTCCTGGCCGCCGAGATGGAGATAGTCCCGCCCTTTTTCGCGGCAATCTGCAGGAAGGAAATCGGCGTGGTGGCGCTGTTCCTTCAGAGCAATGTCGTCACCGCGAATACACAGTATGAAGGTCGAACGCCGTTGCTGGCCGCCGTGGCGAGCAAACACCTGCCGACCGTCAAATTGCTGCTCGAACACGGAGCGCATCCCGACGAGCTCGGTGTCTATTCGACAGGATGGGACCACAGTCTGGGCAAGATCTGCACGTTCCGAACGCCGCTCCAGGCCGCCGCTGCCGAGGGCCACCTGCCGCTCGTGAAGCTTCTCATGGAGACCTACGGGTGCAACGACGCTGTCGTCGCCCCCGATGGCCAGATCGCGCTCCGCCTCGCAGCGGAGCGCGGCCACCGCGAGGTCGTGGCCTACCTTCCTGCCCGGCGCGCGGGCGGCTTCCGCCGCTGGAAGACAAAGCACCAGGCCGGGCTGCGGCGCACACGCGTCGCGCTGGACAAGTGCGCCGCCTTTGTCAAACTCTTTGTGTGGGATGTCGAAAAGTTCGTGCTCTGGACGATACCCAAGAACGCAGTGGTCAAGCCGTTGTGGTCGCGGTGCCGGTGGGCATGGGAGCATCGCGCGGATTTCCTGCCGTGGTGCCAGCTCCAGATTCGACAGCTGGGCTCGCGGCTCCAGCACGCCGGCGCAAAGCTGGTGGAGGCTATCAAGGCGTCACCGCGGGCCGTCGTCAGGGCCGCGAAGTATGTGCGCCAGCACTTGCCGGCCTTCCTCCACCGTCAGGCGCGGCTCGTCTGGTCGTTCGTCACCGTCAAGATCCCCCAAGGGGCCCTCGTCGTGACGCGCTGGATCTATGACGGCATCGTGGCCGTGAGTGCGGCGGTTGGGCGTGGCGCCCTGCTCGTCGCCTCGCTGGTTCACAGCGCCGTTCATGCCGTTGTGTTTTTCTTCTCGACGTTAACCGTGCGGGATCTGTGGAACGGTCTATCCGCCGTCCTGACCCACGTGTTTGTCACGTTCCCCAGGGTGGTCTGGTCGTGGATGTGCAACTTTGGGGACGTTAGTTTGCGCGCCCTACAGGCGCTGTTCGGCGGCCTCGGAGAATGTATCTGGCTGGTCGTCACTTGTCCCGGCTTCTTGGTCTTATATCTCCCACGGAAAATCTTAACGATCCTGGGCAACTTTGGAGAATCTCTTGCACGAGGTTCTTACGAGATTGTTGTTTGGCTGAACCCAAAGGCCTAGAGAGGAGTAGTAGGATAACCCGGATACATTGTGTGAGAGATGTGTTCAAGCTTAACACAGCAAAAGCGGAATCTCTTGAGTCTGGCATGGTCGAAGAGGGCGTCGCCACAGCTGGGGGAGGCCAGGGGAGGGATAACAGGCCTTGGCTTGGACACTGCTGAATTTGGGCCAAATCAGACATTTGGACACCAGTACCCTAGTTTCCTAGATACCATGTACAATGAAAGCATTAGCGATAGTCAATCTTTGGGTTTGTATCTTAACGATGGCAGTGAGTAGTGAAACTTGTGGAAAGCGAGGCTAAAATCCTCGACGGGTGTGCCCGGGACCGAAGCAATAGGCTCGCTTGTGCTCGGTGGTTACGATAAATCGAACTTCACCGGACATTCTTGCGACGTTTGCAATCCGATCTCCAAGCAATTTTGCGATGCTGTGGAGTACCACTGGGCTCGATCTCTGCCACCGTCCTGGGTAGATCCAGCCCTCACTGGAGCGCAATCTCAGACGGGGACATCTAAGCGATGTCCATACCGGCGGTGCTTGATTCTGGTGTCATGATGACGGGCATTCCAAGAAGCCATATTGGGTGACCTTTGGTTCGTATGTCGTCACTTCGATGTGTGTAGTCGGTTTGGCAGATGTGAAGCCATCTGTGGCTGGAGAATGCACTGTCGCCAAGTGAAGGAAAGGCACCGCAGTAGTTCCATCCTCCCACAATGACTGAAGCGAAAATTTAAAAAGCAAAAAACTCAGCTTGTGAGAAAACCCCGCGAAGGATTTTTTTTTTGGTCGACTCCCGGACTCGAACTTAAGCCCTTCTCCCCTCTCGTCACGGACCCCTCCTGCTCATCTTCCTCCTCTTTCTTCCTCCTCTGAGCGCTCAACCCCAATTTCACCCTCCCCTGTCTCTCGCATCTGAGGCCTTATTCGTTGTTGTGTGGTGTGGTGGGTAACAATGACGGGTTACCTGATCAAGTTCCTGGAGTAACCAAAGTGGTACTTTGAGCCCGCATTGTGGCAACCCAACTGTTGGATTTATGGTCAGGTTGAGTTGATGCAGGTAAGATCCGATCAATTGTTGTGAGATATTTCACCAGAATAAAATATCAAGAACTGCAAAGTGGATCTTATACGTGTTAAAAAAAAAAAAAAGAAAGTGAAATGAAGTGAAGAGAATCTGGAACCAAGGTTGGCGTTCCAGGGACAAGGCTGGATATATATCTTTGGTAAAGGCTGTGGATCGTTATGCCAAGAACTTGCGGACCCCATCCATTTGTAATTCCCAATTCCACTTGATGTGACTGGTGGAGTCTAGCGCCGCCAAACCTAGGTGACGTCAGTTTTCAAACAACATTCATCTATTCTAGACCTCGCCGCCGCTTCTTCGTATAGCATTCCTTGGTGTTGATATCTCATATAGATCGTTTATTTCCACCTCTTCGCCGTGATCCCGTGACTCAGGAAGAAGATCTTGTTGTCGTGATTCTACGACTTTAGCAGTTCGTTCGCGCACTCGTTATACTCTTCCAAGTTCCGGTGCTGTTGACAGTGGATGGGTACGGACTAGGTCAGAGCAGCCCTCAGGTGAAGGACCACGGTGAGATGGAGATTGACTTGGCGTCATTCTGAGAGGTAGTTGATATAAGCTAGGCAGTGATGGGGCCAGATATCTGGGACTGAATCATTGAAGTACTATTCCTCCGTGCAGAATTTGACGAAGTGTGTCTAGCAGAAACGAACGCTAGCGAAATTCGGTGGTAACCATTTCTACAAAGCATTAGGCGAATTTGCTGTGGCACAAAGGTGCTGTCAAATTTGCTGTCCGGAGAGATTCCCCCGATTTTGGCTGGCCGGCAGGCCAAAATCTCCTGGGATGGAAGAGCTGGAGGATCTGTCGCTGTCTCTTGGGGGGGGGGGGTACCACTCCAGTCCCTGTAAGTCTTGCGCTAGGTCTTCGTCAGCAGCCATATGCTGGTTGAACTCCGTCTAGATATGGCCAAGTACTGTGCACCTAGCTATTCAGCTTGTATGCTGCACTTTCTCTGATACCTCGAAGAATCATTTTCAAATGCTATCGCGAATCAGGTTTTGAAGATAATCGAGAATGGAAATAAAGAAGGGAACGGCTAGTGGCAAAAGAGTAGAAGATATGGCGGAGTGGGCAATATCTTGGTTCCCGACGCGGGACTTTGGTATTCACTATTTCAGCTGCTGATCAACGCAGCGCTGAGATATGTATTGGACAGGTCGACGGGGAATGAGTTTGGGTTGATATCAGCCGGGGTTCCATTCTTGATCCAACAATTTGTACCGACGTCCCGAACAGCGCTGCCAAAAGCTGAATTGAACATGACGGATCTGCAGTACATGGAGCTGTTGCAATGGTAAAGTTCGGTGTGGTCGTTGATGTTCAGACAGGTCTGCAAGCAGTCGGAAAGATTGTAGGCAATGACGCCCAGTAGGTCGAAATACAGCAGCGCGTTCCCGTCCGCACCTTTCGTCGTTCCGAGGGCGTCAGATCCAAAGTCGATGTCACAGTATTCTTAGAATGTCCCTTTGTAAAAAGTGCTCACTTGGATTGTCTCGTTTTGACAGTTCAGAGACAAAAATGACACATCTGTCGGGGCAACGGCAGTGTATGGCGTCTTCGCGGTCGCCGGGTCGCCGAGGCCGTGGTACTCGAGGGCTGGCATCGGCTCAGTGGTGATTGTTACGTGATTGATGACACATGGTGAGCGGATACAGCTCTAAAGCCATGTCAGCGCGCACATCCGCACAACAGTCCAAGCTGGAGGCAACGTCAACTCTGCCCAAGCCCGAGCCGCACCTCTTTTCGCTCTGGCAGTGTGAGGGTGTTGCTCCCAAGCCTCCCCCAAGTGGTGCGCCAACGACTACAGCAGTCAAAACCGCCGTCAAGCCTACGAGAGTCTACCTTCCCAGTCCATGAGATCGTCGTTCTTCATGGTGATAAGGCTGAGACGGGGAGTTTGCCTTGTGAGTCGTCTCCATATCGGCGTCGCGGACCTCGAGGTCCGAATGCTTTAGCGGCTGAACCACCTCTGGGGCATTGAACTCGGACATCTTGCTGCGATTTTACAAGCTTGAATCCACAGCAGAGAAACGCGGCGGCCAAGCGAGGGTAAACAGCTCAGTGTCAACGGTCGGGCGGTTGAGGGTGCGGTTATTTGAACCAATTTGTTCATACCAACCACAAGAACGCTTGTTCCGTGGGCCGCGTTGAAGGCGCCTTTGATAGATAATTTCCAGACCTTCAACTCCTAGAGCTGTACTCGTACCGGGTACATTTACCAAGCACTGGATCAAGAGCATCCGGGGTTCCGGCGGTGGAAACTTGAGCCCTCTTGAGATCCCAAAGCACCTCTCAGAGCGACCATCGTGATAGTAGAGTTTGACTGGCTGGCGTTGGCCTCGGATGGCAGTCATCCACAAAGGTGTTGGAGGTGGCAGCACACAGAGTACTCGGCTCGTCGGTACTCTCCCTCGCTCAGTATGGAGTATGAAGTCCTTTTGTACATGCTCGATGCCAAGCCTCCCGTGTCATGGCTGACCTTCCTCTGCCGCCTTGTGACCGCGGTCGTCTTTTGGTCAATATGCAATTTTAATTAGCTTCTAGTGAGATTATGGATGCCTTTTTGCTTCAACCGATACTCCAGCGAAAGCCGAGGCTTATTCGTACAACATAAGCTGCGCGAAGGCGGTTTTGCGCTGCAAACGGTTAGTATCTCTTCTAACCTTCTGTGGCTAGGTGACGTCTGAGCCTTTCGGGTTTTGGTATCTGAACTCCTCGGATACCTTACTCTTTCACCACCATTGTCCCATCTGAAATTGCTCAAGCGCCATCTTGTAGCAGAATATCTCAGTTCGGCTATTCCAATGCTGGCATTAGTCCTAACGGCGGATTTGGAAGGGTAGGCTGCCGCGTGTGCGACCTTCTTTTGACACTAATGCTTTATCCAGCGTGACCGACCTTGTGCCTTCGGACACAGCTGAATCGCCTTACTACTACACATTCAAAGTCCAGTGTACATCATGTCGAGAGATCCACCCCAATTGGGTGGGAGTCAGCCGTCATGTAAGTTCTCCATAACGTTGTGAACAGGGTGTGCAACTGTGCCCTGTTGGGTGTAGCACTATTCTGAATTTGCGACCTGCCGATGGGCTCCGGGCTTCTGTTGATGCTGGAGCCGCCTTGGTTTAAGCCAACCTCCGTACCATCTAACTTCAAAAATGCAGGAGATGAACGAACAATCCGGAAGTCGAGGAGAAGCAAACTTTGTCTGGAAATGCAAGAACTGCAAGGTGCGTAGAAGCGACCACTTGCCTGATTGAGAATCCGAGAATCCCGATGATTTTGGCAGTGCTAATACGGCGCATTTTTCAACCAGCGAGAGTCAAGCGCCTCCATCAAAGCAGCTCCAGCAAAGTATGAGCAAAATTCTCCTGCGAAACCAAAGAATATCATAGACATCGATTGTCGGGGTCTGGAATTCACGGATTTCAAACCAGATGTATGTTGAGGCTCTCTAACAGGACCTGCATTCTGACACTGCTTAGGGAGAATGGGAGGCCACTGGAATCGAGTCAGGGACGAAATTCACGGGGATCGATTTGTCGGAAGGAGAGTGGTTTGATTACGATGAGAAAGCTGGCGAGGAAGTAAGCATTAAAGACATAAGATGGGAGATACGGCGAGCTTGAGTATCAGTTTGACACGGCAGTATGGCCAATCATCCAAATGCCATATGGAGTAACGGAGGCAGAAAGGCTGGGATTCAGCCTTGTTTGGCGCAAGGCTGCGCACGGGCCGAAAATCCCTTGGCAGGACATTTTCAGTGTAAAATCGAAGCATTCTTGAGCATTGCCGACTGCAGTCCAAGTGCTGGGTAATCAAATCATAACACAACCCGCAGTCAACTCTTCCAACAGAACTCATCGTTCAAAGTCTCTCGTTTGAGCCCTATAGACCTCTTCTTCTCTGCATCGAGCAAAAAAATGAATGTAGGTTGAAAAGTCGACAGCTTTTGCGACCTCTCATCTAACATTTCGCAGTTCACTCCCATAAACCCGCGACCTCTGCTTCAGAGCTTGTACGTCCTTGTGCCTTTCCGTTAGAGTGCGCGAGCACTTACCCCTATCAAATCACCATTTGATCTGTTGAAATACGTCCGTTGACAGACTACTTCGCAGGATCAACGACGAAGTGATCATCCGTTTAAAATGGGGTCAAACAGAATACAAAGGCCGGCTCATTAGTGTCGACTCATACATGAACATCCAGCTCTCAAACACCGAAGAGTACATTGATAGGAAGCACACCGGTACTTTGGGACAGGTGCTTATCAGGTATGGCTAACAGATTGCTTTGCAATCGCTGGTTATGCGAAAGAGAGACTGACTACTGGGCGCATTAGATGCAACAATGTTCTGTGGATATCTGCAGCGAAAGGAGTCGAAATGAATGGCGAAGGACCCGACACGAAGATGGAGGACTAGGTTGGCGACATGCCGCAAAAACAGAGAAGCATGACGTGGATTCAAGATGCCGCCAGATTTGGTCATGAAGAGACTACAGGTGCAGTGTTTCTGTTTGGGTACACGTGCTCAAACAACCACTCTTCGCTGGATGAATGCGCAGGAGGCATGCGCTGGAATGCGTTCCTGTCAAGCGAAGCTGGACATCGACAAGACGCTGGCAAGATGGGAAACTGATGCAATCCTCCAACCAGCCGCCGGTATTGCAGCCGACTGAGCAATATCAACCACACTGGGGTGGTCTATGTTGGGCAGCAAGAGATCACACAGGAGGCGAAGAGCACCATGGGGGTTCCCAGCTGGCGCCGAAAGCGTGGCTGCAGTCATTCTCCAGGACCACCGGTTACGTTGAGCTGCAAGTCGAGAGCCTACACCGGGAATTAACCATACATCGTGCTGGCCAATTTTGGATGAGGAGGCTTGATTTGCTTCCCTCGCGCCACAAATAGGCACCCGAGGCGTCACTGGGGCGGCAGGATGCGAACCACGGATTATCAGAGTTCTTGTCATGTGCATTAGCGACCTGGGTGACATGTTCAATGTAGTAGAAACATGTTCAATGTCGCTCTTAGCAGACCATGCTTTTGTCACCAGTGATGGAAGACCTCAGCCAAGTTTGATGCGAGCAACCAGAGGAATTGCCCTTGTAATCGGCACTCAGTACCTAGATTCTCCGTAGTTTTCGCCCCTTGCTCCTGCGCTTCCGTGCCGCTTGGAAAGCAATAGTCACGAGGCGTGCCACACCAAGTGACCATTCTAGGTTTAGAAAAGACTGGTTCGGTAATCCGAACGGTCAATACCTCCTCGGTACAGGGACTGTACTTACTTAACAATAATTAGGACGAAGGCTCGCAAAGGCGGAGGCGTTCGCAGGAAGAGTAAGTTCAGCCGGCAGCCAAACTTGAGCCCAAACCGGCAAGCCGCCCCTCCCCCCTCTGCAACTCTCTGCCAACTGAGAACGTCAACCAAAATATTGTCTGTGCTGCGCACAGCCCAGCGCTGGTTAGGCCACGAGCCAACCAACCAACAGTCCATCCATCCGTCCATTGATCCAAGTGCAAGTGGCATTAGGAGGCTACGGAAACCATTCGGCACTTCGCAAGCGAATCCAACGTTGCGACTCCAGCGATCTTCATCCTGTCCTACGTGGCTTGAACACTGTCCTCGTACGCCTGGACGTGTTACACAGCGGCTTTGGCCGTGGCCACAGTGCTCTTCCTTGAAGATCCCCTGCAATGTCTGGCACCATGTGGTCGATCTCTGGCCTCTCAGGCTTCGGGAATCCCTTCAGCCACAGACGAGACCCTGAAAGCTGGTCCCTGAAGACGGGTGGGTGGGTTCCACGGGGATGGACATATTGCGCCTCGGCTCTAGCTCCTGACAGGGTCTAGACGGCGTGCGATCCATTTCCATCTGGGGGAAGACTCACAAGAAGGAGGGGAATGACGAGGCGGCGTCGTAGCCACCCGCGCCTTTATTGGATTTCCAGACCCTCAAACAGGGGGAACCCGACGCGAGCGCAAATTTTGAACTGGCGGGACTTGATCGTGTGCCGTGGACGAAAAGGGACAAGGAACAACAAGAGGCACCACGAGCACTGCCGACCCGAGTTTTCCCTCTTCTCCTATATCATCACCGCCTCGCTGCTCACGGCGTCTGTCTGATCCCCTCGTTTACTGAAAACATCCATTTCCTGCACACAGAGAAACGCAGAGAGCAAGGTAAACCTCACCAAAACTTGGGTGACAACTTCCTCACTCAAGCTTGCCATACTCTACACTCGCTACCATGCCTTCCAAATTCACGGAAATCCTTGATCCCCAATATCACACAACATCTCCTCAGGACGATGTCCGCTTGGAGGATATTATAGGTGCTGCCGACATGTCAAGTCGAGGTCGGACTCCTTCCGAGGCCAGTTCAACAAGTCCCAGTTCGTCATGTGCTGAAGGCGACCAAATCGACGAGAAGCCTAGGAGAAAGAGGCTGTCACGGTTGCTGTCAGGCGGCAAGCGATGACCCTATCCACCCTTAAACATGACTGTTTCTATGCAATGGACAACGCACGACCAACCAAACTATCATGACCTCACCGGACCAACGGCACCGCATAGCAACAATAACGACGAAATACCCTTGACGACCACACCAAAATTCATTTGTTCGCGCAGTCTTTGCATCTCAAGGCGACAGAACAGCGAAAATTTCCTTTAGAACAGCAAGGCGAAAAGGTTGTCCTTGTCGGCGCCGCGTTTTCACAGCTTTCCCGATCAATACCAACTCATCCCAGCAACGGAAAGGAGATGAGCGACAAAATTCTGCCTTGTGGAAGCGAGGGAGCGTATGCATGAACTTCTGCAAGTTGACGCGATGTGCCGTTCCTGCGCCAGACACTTCTAGACCCTACGGACTCGACTATGATGTGAAACTAGCTCACCACAGCACGGGGAGATCAGCACGGCCCTGCATTTATGATCTCAGACGCAAAAGAGAGTTCGCCAGCCGACTACCTTCTTCGGAGACGTTCAGGTGGCAATTCTCAGAGAATGGCATCAATGGTGTGACAGACCGTTTTGAAGATCGAGATTGCTACTTGCTGTGAATGGACGGGACGACGGAGCCGAGACAGTTCTCGCAGAACGAAGATTTCATGCCATCTTAGGCGAGATGGAAGATGCTAGCCTGAAGATTGGGCTCGAACAACAGCGCTCAGACCATCATATTGTTCGACCATGTTACATCACCATCTAGCATGTCGCTTTATTTTGAGGCGGAAAGATCATGGGAAGCATGCTGGACGCCTACAAGTAGATTCTTCTTCACCGCTTAACAGGCATATACAATAGACAAAACGAATACAATCGTATCTGCTGCGAACCTGCAAATATGACTTTGAGCTTTGTTTTGTTTACGAGAGTTGTTCTCTTTTGCGAAGGAGTCGGAGTCGCCTCTGGGACGGACTTCTTTGTTGGAGGGGGGTTGGTTTTCTCCTAAGTACCTCGTACTTGGTATGTGCCTTTCGTTAAAGAAGCAAGGCTAGTAATGCCTCGTAATACCTAATGAGCCCTAGTTGCATGTCCAAGACCACTCGATCGCCACCGCCCATGGATGCTAAAGAATGGCCCCGTCCCAGCATCTCCCAAGCCCCGAGCCACCATGAAATAACGGCCATGCCCAGGCGCCAGAATTTACAGGCTCATATAATATACGACCCCAAAATTGTTTTAATTTATGCCGGGAGGATGGCCGAGGTAAATATTCCCCTCTGTCCCATCTTTCTTTTCGTCTCTTCAGCGACCGAGAAACTAATAACAATGGCCCTCCTCAACAGTGGTTTAAGGCGCTGTGTTTAGGTCTTACTTGTCCCCGAACCGCAGTGGGAAACCTCGTGGGTTCGAATCCCACTCCTCTCATCGATGTGTTTTTTTTTGGGTTCATTTTTTGGTCTCTCTAGAGGATAGATGATTAGATGAGTAGGCCAGGTTGTTGGGGGGGGGGGGGGGGGGGGGAGCAATTTGCAATGCTTTTCTTTTTTTGAGCTGTAGCTTGCCAGGCTCATCTTTGATGGTACTGTAGGAAAGCTGGAGACAAATGGGGAAGGCGCGTAGGAGCAGCATGTGAAAAATACCCGGGACGCGGCTCGGAATCAAGCAAAATAATACCTCCAGATCTTCACTTCTCAATGCTTTTCGGTCTTCGGGGCGGCGTGCAAAGGACGCTGTAGACAAGGGCCGTCAAACACAGTTTTCATTGCATATATCCATCCCTTCTCTCGAATCAATCCGAAGGCTCTATGTCGCTCCAGGCTTGAGGGAACAACGGACGCCGGTCGCTCATCCCTACATGCGCCTGACTTTCTTATAGCAGAAAACAACAACGTGCGCGATGGCGGCCTCGAATAACTTGCGCCCGTCAACGGATGAGGCCCAGTCCCAGTCTCATCAACCAAGTGAATTCGAACTCCGACGTGCTGCTCTGATTGGCGAGATTGGAGAGGTGAGTTATTGACTCCCTTGATTTTCTCCCCCCCCAAGAAACCATCAGAATGGAGTGGATGGCGATCATGTTCTGTTGGCACACGATTAGATTCTCGGCTTCTTTCTGAACTGGTGTATGTATGTATATATTGAACGATTGCTGACTCCCGCTGCTTCCCCTTGTCTGTGGAAGTTTAGTCCTTGGAACAAGTCCTCACACAGATGAACGCGCTGAATCGCAGCCTCGAAGGCATCATCGAAGTATGTTACCCTGGGCCCACTCCGCGTTCTGTTTATGTTTCCCCTCCCTCCCTTTTCCGGGATCCAATGTTGCAATCTCCCCGCTGCAACTGACATGGAGACACGTAGATCGGAAACGAATTCTCCAGCGTCGAGGCGCTATGGAGCCAATTCGAGACAGTCATGGGCAGATCGCCGGCGGGCGACGAGAACGACACAAGCAACAACAACAACGCAATTGAATCTGTGGACACGGCTGCTGGGAGTGGAGAAGGCAGGCATGGGAAGTGAGAATCGTCCTTGACTGGCCACCACATCTAGTGTTGGCTGTGGTTTGGGCCATGATCTGTGTGCTGCTGCCGAGGACAACGGCTGTTCTAGCAGGCCGTCCACTCTGGTCATCGACCACTTTAGAAGAAGGCGCGGAGATGAAAGGTTACAATGACCTCGGGCAGAGTCACTCTTGGAGCACTCCAGAAGAGAAGCATGTTCGACGGGACATGTATTCATTCTTGGGGCAGCTATGCCATGCGCTACTCATACAGCAATCACGTCAAGCGCGGCACAGCATCGAGACTGAGCCTGGACTCACTCGCGCAGCGGCACCCGTTCTGAACCCAGCAGAGTCTCATTACAACGCCTCGTTATGCAATCCAATTGCATCCAACGCCGTCCCATATGCGTACCATCACACATCAGCGGGCGAATTTCCGAGCCCAAAGGGTCAATCATACAAGATCCCAGTTTTGTACCCCGAGAATAGAAAATTCTGGTCTCCTGCGACAATCTGTTTCAGGATCACAGGAAGACGCATTTCCTCTTCTTTGCCTTCTTCACCTTTACGCCCTTGTTGTTTGGCTTTGCCTCGAAGCTCTCCTCCTCGACCTGAATGGCGGTGTTGATGGCCAAATCAAACACCTCCTGAATGCCCTTGTTTTCCTTTGCGCTGCATTCAATATACCTGGCCCCCATTCGTTGAGCCACCGCCGCGCCTTGTTCTGGTGTGACTGGGGTGAGGCCCTGAGTGCGCAGGAGTTCAATGCATGTTCGTTTGCTACGGAGGTCGGATTTGAGACCAACGAGGATCAGGGGCGTCGTAGGACAGAAGTGTAGGACTTCGGGATACCACTTGATTGACATGTCAGTCGAAGTTATGGCCCACCTTTTGAGGATGCCCTACCTTATCCATGACATTTTCTAGCGAATTGGGGCAGTCAATGGCAAAGCAGACGAAGAGCAGATCTGTTTCCGGGTATGACAATGGGCGAAGCCGGTCGTACTCTTCTTGCCCCGCTGTATCCCATAGTGCGAGTTCGACTGACTTGCCTGAGGGCTTGTGAATGGTCTGCGTGATGTAATTTTCAAACACGGTCGGCACGTATTTCTATCGCCCGTCAGCTATGCTCATCTTCCAGTCCCTGTGCTGCATACCTCTGGAAAATAACCCTGTGCGTAGCTGATGAGGAGACAGGTCTTTCCGCAACCTCCATCACCGACGACCACGAATTTTTTGGAGTACGCCGGTGGCTGCGTGATATTTGTGGCTTCTGACAATCGTCCCGCACTGCCATAACTCATGTTTGTGCCGACGGTGCCGACGGTGCCGTTGCTTGTTCTCGTGCTAGGCGCTCGAACAGGTCTTCGCTTCGGTGAGGCAGGAGTAATGTAGGAAGACGGGCTCTTTTCTGAGATGACGGTGGATGTTCGTGAAGGATAGTGATCGGTGTCTGCCATGGTGGGTGAAGGCGCAGGGCGGGCTCTCTGCTGTCAAGTAGCAACAAGTTGACGTGAAGAGCCTGACCTGCCTTGACGGGAGCGGCAGTATTATATGCGATGGTAATGACTGGGGGATCTGCTCATGTTGTTCAAACAGGTTTCTGCTGGGATTTCCGAGTCAATAATAGCCGCCTGTCTGATCGTGGGATGACTTGGGCGGGCTCCTTTGTTGTCCGGCGCGGTTGCCCAAGTAACCACTGCCAACCTCGACGTGAAACGTGAAACGCAGGTTTCGTGCAGAATCGACCGTCCTTTTCGGCTGCAGGCTTGCGGCAATTGCGACATGGTCGCTTATCGACATGCTTCTTGTGCATGCGGGATCCATGTCGAACACGATGAGCTTGTTTAATCCCTTCTACACCAACTTGTTGAGCCGAATTGAGCTCTCGGGCTGGGCTATTTACCGCAACGAGCTGAGTGGACGGATGGGATAGATGAGCCCACAATCTCCAAATTCCATGTCCCTGCATCTGCACCGCCGCACAGCCGCGACTACGACTACGACTACGACCCCGACTACTGCAATCTTGCTCTCGACCTGTTCACACATTTCGCCAGCACCGCCCCTCCCCGGATCCTCCGCTGACAAGCTCGATGCCTTCCACTGCCTTCCGCGGTCGATGTTAAGGCGTCACCGTAAGGAGATCGCTTCTTTCCTGCACCAGACTCGGTCTCGATGGAAGGGAGCCTTGCTCAATATAGCCCCCTGCAGAAATGGACAAGGAGAAAGATAGACTAGACGCCGGGTTGAGATCGCTCAATCACTGTATGTGGGAAGAGAACTGCTGAATACTCCCTAGGATGGTTCTGACTCTGCCTCAGACAAGCTCAGACTGCCACGATGGCGCTACCTGTTCAGAGAACAACTCCTCCCCGTCGTGCGATGGGAGACTCCCTACGTCGCGTGGCTTCAAGATACCCTACGAACGCCAGCCTTTGATACGTATTTTGCCACATCGGCCAATCTGGGCACACACACATTCTTCATGGTCATGCTGCCTATTCTCTTTTGGTGTGGAAATACTAATCTGGGAAGAGGGTATGCGACTGTCAATGTCCATCTCCAGCCATTCATGCTGACGTGCAGTAGGATGGTCCATGTCCTGGCGTCCGGGGTTTTCTTTAGCGGGTTTCTAAAGGATCTCCTCTGCCTCCCCCGACCACTCTCTCCGCCGCTGACCCGAATCACCATGTCTGGGTCTGCCGCTCTAGAGTATGGCTTTCCCTCCACGCATTCGACCAATGCCGTGTCGGTCGCGCTTTACTCACTTTACCTCCTCCGGCAAGAAACCAACAACTTCAACCCGAGCCTCAACTTTGGTCTGCAGATTCTAGCCTACTTCTACGCCCTTTCGATTGTCCTGGGCCGGCTGTACTGCGGTATGCACGGGTTTTTTGACGTCCTTTGGGGAAGCATTCTCGGCGCCCTGATAGCTCTTGTTCAATGCTTCTACGGCGAGGCGTTTGACGACTGGCTCCATGCGGGCGACTTGAAACGAGTCGTGCTTGTGGTACTAGTCATCTTGGTCCTGGTTCGCATTCACCCTGAGCCGGCAGATGACTGCCCTTGTTTCGACGACAGCGTCTCTTTCGCTGGAGTCTTCATCGGCTGCGAATACGCCGTTTGGCACTTTGCCCGCTCCTCCTATGCCTGGCCAACTCCGGCGCAAGGGACCATCCCCTTCGATCTCGAAAAATTGGGTTGGGCCATGACTTTGGCGCGCATTGTACTCGGAGTACTGGTGATCTTTGCATGGAGGGGCATCATGAAGCCGACCTTGCTTAAGATACTTCCACCGATATTCCGTGTCATCGAACAATTTGGACTCACCTTACCACGACGATTCTTCAAACCGGCTTCGGAGTACGAAACCATTCCACGGCAACCCAACGACGACAATGTCATCCCGCCGGCGCGGGACATTCCGCACCTGTTGTCATCGTTCCGACGCAGAAGGGCCATCTCGGTTGGGCCCCAATCCGAGGCCGACGCGTACGAAACATTGGCCTACCGTGACAAGAAAAGAAGGGACAGCAAAAATGCGCTTGATGCCCTGACTCCAGCAATGGAAGGCTCGCCTTCGCCCTCACCCTCACCGGATCACAGCTACTTTCAGAACAAAGACGCGGTTGCGGGCAGAAAGCGATCTAGCAGCCTCGAGATGTTCCGAGCACAGATGGGTACAGGAATGGAAACATTGTCACCGGTTCCTGCGGCCTCGCCCGCAGACGGAAAATCGCGCACTCCAGAGGAAGCTCAAGCAATGGATGAGTTACAGGAACAGCAGATATTCTTGAGCATTCAGCAGCCTCGAGTCAGATATGATGTGGAGGTGGTGACCAAGCTCATTGTGTATTCGGGGATTGGTTGGTTGGCAGTCGAGGGCGTCCCGGTTCTCTTTAAACACCTCGGATTGAGTGTAAGCTGAGGAGGTGTGGGAACATTCGATCAGGTATATGGAAGAGTGCCAGCTCGATCACCGTGGTGGAGTTTGAATGCATGCACGGAATCATGCGTCGAAGCGGTTCCGGGATCACACCTCGTACAACGATCCGAGTGGCAATACATAGCTGGGTATTTGTTTATATTCCACCGAGCCACTATTGTCCCCGTCTGGGAGTCCACAGTAATCGGCGTGTTATTTATATTGTCTTGTTATATGCCCAGCTTGGCAAGGCGGTGTCGGATATGGTTTCCATTGTTCTTTTGGTAGCTTGGTGGGGTCCCGGCAGAAAATTAAACGTGACCAATCATCGCAGTGCCGCATTTGGACATGTTGGAGGGTCGCGTCTCTCTGCGATGATTGAATTCGTCCTGCGTTTTTGATCAATCGCCCATACTGATTCCTCTTTACAATCAAAACAACACACTGATCTCATCCCTCCACTCACTTCTTTGTACCTGGTCTTGACTCTACAATCTCCCGCGACTCAGACTCACACCTCTTCACACTCCTATGCCGTCCACCAAGCCTCTTACGCTCTTGCTCTTCGTACCTCTCTTGCTCGGCTTCATCTCCATCTTGAACCTCATCCATCACGACGGTCCTTTGACTGTCTGCATCCTGCAGCGTTGCTTTCTCACGCTTCAGTCTCGTTCTCAACCTCAGCAGCCATGGCTGACACCTCATCTTTCATGGACTGGCATCCTCAGACGCCTCCTCCAGCGCACAACCCGTACCAAGATGAAAGATACATGCCCGGTGGTTGGCCTGTCGATCCCCCTACACGACCCCCTCCTACCACTGGCGTTTTCATGCCTCCTCGCAGACCGTCTCCTCTTGACCACGTTATCCCTGTCGCAAAGAGAATATGCGCAGGCCTCAGCGGGTTGGCTGGACTCGGCTTTCATGCAGCTGCGCAAATCGGAAGATGTACTATTGACGCCACGACAACTGTTGTCAGTGTCCCCACTGTCTATATTGTCCGACAGTTCCAGCAGCGCCGTCGTGAACAGAGACCTCGGCCACAAAGACGACTAGGTGCTCAAAGTCCTCCTCCTCCTCCTCCTCCTCCTCCTCCACCACCACTTTCAGAATCACCCTGGAATCGAGCCGTTGCAAGAGAGCTCGCCACGGTTCAACATACACCATCTACTCCTCCACAAACACCTCCAGTCCCGGGCAAGCTGCAAGTCGAAGTCATTTCACCTGCAAAGGAACAGCTCCCTTCCACAGAGAACGCCTTGTACGAAGTCCCAGAGTTTAGACCAGCTCACGTCTTGAACCGACGCAGCAAAAATGCTACTCCACGAGCCCAAAACCGGCGCACACGCGTCGATCGAGTGTTTCCGGGAATGCCTCGATTTACACCTCCTCAAGAACCCAAACCACTTTATCTTCCAACACCAGACGAAAAGCTTGGTGTGCCGTTGCTAGAATGCGCAAAACTAGAACCTCCCTACCCGCAGTTGAAACCATTTCCTGCCACACCTCCGTCGCCTGCGACAACCATCACATCCATCGATTCTACCACACCCAGTGCACAGCTACAACAAGGCCTCCACGCAGTCACCGAAAGCGACACAGAGTCGAACAGTGTTATCTCATCAATCCAGCAATCCAGAAAGAGACGGATTCATACACAAGGCTCCCGAACAAGCGAGAGCGACGAAACTCCTACCTCCACAAAGAGAGTCCAGACCAAAAGTCCGAGCGTGGATTCGCCACAGACTCCGACACCTGTCATTGTTGTGCAAGATGCACCCTTGTCAGTCAGTCCCAAAGCCCCGACTCCTACAGACACGACTTTGTTGTCACCTCCACGTCTGAAACTACGACGATTCAATACTCCACAATCCCTCCAAAAGAAACTGTTCGCCCTCAAGAGCCCGCAGACACCGCAATCGGAAATCTCATCCAGATGCGACTGCTCTCCGGGAAATGATCACATCGACGCACCAAGATCTCCCGTTAAGAGCGAGATTTCTTCCTTCTTCGATGGAACCCCACCTCCAAACCCTGAACAGGATGCTCATGTGTTCAGAATGATCATGGCAGAAGGCGGATCCCCAATACCCGCATCCAGTGCCCTCGCTAAGAGCGAGAGTCTCGGAGAAACATCAGTATCCAACACCGACGCTGCACCAGAACAAACTTCTAGTGCAACCACGAACGGCAACGAAGCAGCCGTGACTGAGAGCGGAAGCGAAGCGAACAAGCACCTTAACTCTACCACAGGAGAAGCGACAAGCGAGATGACGGAAAATGATCTCGGCCTGGCCAACCAAAAACACATTCCAGAACCAAGCAATGTCACAAAAGGAGTGGAGCAAGGCATCGCAATGCAGGAACCCGAAACTTCCAAGAAAGAATCACCCGAAACACCCGAGCCAGTCAAACCACAAAAACCAAGTGTCACAACTCCGATTGACCTGACTGATGACAAGGATACCAGCGAATCCAGCTCATCGGCTACATCCTCCCTTCAGACCCCAGAAAAGCAGCTCGCCGAACTCAGGCTAGATGATGTATATACACCCGACCACCCGACCCCGAAAGCGACACCCCACTCATCCGAAAAGACCCAGAGAGTTACCCGAGCAGAGTCCAAGAGACTCGCCATCCTCGAAGAGAAGACTCACTACGAGATTGCCCCACTCACAGAAGAATGGGAAGAGAGAATCCAGACCGCCCTTCGTCACGGCCATGGTACTTTCAAAGCCAGAGATTTTACCCGTGTTGTGCCCCTCAATGCCCAGTCCAGCTTCGGCACAGACCAATGGCTCAATGACGAAGTTATTAATGGGTACCTCAACCTGGTCGTCGCCCATGGCAGGCAGAACGATCGTCCCACCCAAGTTCCCACACACCACGCCTTCGTATCCTTCTTCTTCAACAACCTCGAAACCCGCGGATATGATAGTGTCAAACGATGGGCTTCTCGAGCAAAGATCGGCGGCAAAAACCTCCTTGAGACGGAAGCAGTGTATATTCCTGTCAACAGCGGCAGTCATTGGACCCTTTGTGTGGTGTCAGGCAAGAACCGCACCATCGCACACTACAACAGCATGAGAGGGAGTGGAAAACGGTACATTAACATTGTGAAGACATGGGTTTCTGCAGAATTGGGATCTGCATACAAGGAATCCGAGTGGACGTTTATTGAGACAGGGCAGAGCCCACAACAAAGCAACATGAACGATTGTGGGGTGTTCACGGTCACCTCTGCGAGGCAGATCATGTTGGGGCTTACGCCCATGTCGTACAGCCCCGACATGATCCCCTTGCAGAGGAGGAGGATCGTGGCAGAGCTTGTCAACGGGGCGCTCTTAAAAAGCAGTTTGTAAATCATTCTGTTTTTTTTTTTCTGCTTTGTTTGTTTGTTTGTTTGTTTGTTTTCTTTCACGAGTCAATGACATTCATGAGCTGATGACAACGATACCCCTGGGTGCCCCCTCGCGACGAGGATCGGGGCTTATTTGTGCTTGGGTTTGGTTTGGCGTTGGCGGACTTTTGGGAGCCATTGAGCTCTCTCCTTGTAGGATAAGGGAGAAGAAGGGAGGGAAAGACAGGACTCCAATGATAATGATATTGTACATTAACCTAGTCTTTGCCTCAGGCGTTCACGCCTTATCTTGTCTCTTTGGCGCCGTCCTCAATGAAGACGGTGGCCGCCGCATGCGTAATGTAATGATCATGAAGTCCTGACGAGCTGACGAGCGACAGCGTCGTCTCTGCTTTCAACATAACACACCTCCGCAGATGGCGACGGGACGGCCTTTGCACCTGCATGGGGTATAGTGTTGGGAGGGGGACTTCCCCCTGTACATGTTTGTATGTGTTTGCGGGGGGTGGCCGTGTGTGTGTGTGTGTGTGTGTGTGTGTGTGTGTGATCGCGTGCGACCATCCTTGGTGTGGGAACAGGATATCCGGGGATGGAATATATGAGTCGTCGCAAGTCTTTGACATCGACATTGACATCGAGCGAGGCCCAATCCGGTATGCAGGGGAGATGACGGCGAGAGAATAAGCAATGACACGGCATGGCACATGGCATGCACGGTATAGTTTGATGAGGGCAGGACATGACATGACATGGCGTGAGGTCGGTAGGTAGGGAAAGGGACAGGAACGCTCATTTCCCATTATCCCAGGGTCTGGACGACGACTGGTACGTACATACTGACCGCCTCCTTTTTCTCCTTTCCAGAACCAGAGCCAGGGTTCGGCGTGCCATCACCTCTGACGGCATACGAAGCTGATCAGGTCTCGGTCAAACTTCTCAGTTAAACTTCTGAACCGACCGTGCCAGGCCTTCCCTGGGGCCTGAACCACTCCAGAGTCCCAACGTAGCTGGCACTCCGAAGATAGGGCAGACAGCCCATCCACAGATCCTCGAGGACGCCGACACCGCCGCCGACCTGCTGCGTCAATCGCGCCCACGCATCCATGTCGACGCGGGCCATCCACGCCAGGAACGCCATGAGGATGAAGTCCGCATAGGTTGGGCAAGTGCCGCCGGAGAGGTAGCGCACGCGTCCACCACCGGGAAAGTGGTGGTCGCCGTTCTGGCCTCCCACATCGTCCCAGTCCAGTGCGTCTTTCAGCTCGGGACCTCTCACGAGTGGACAGTCGTGTAACGTGCGCAGAATTGGTTGGAGTTGGGTTTCAATATCTGCCCACAGACGGTCCGTCTCTTCTTGGGTCTTGGGGCGGAGCGCGTCGAGGGAAGAGACGTTGAACCATTCCCTGCGTGTGCGGATGAAGTACTCTCTTCCTCTGTCATCGAGGATGTTGGGGACAGAAGGGATGATTAGTCTGCGCGTGGCGGGCAGGAGACGGGTGATGATGGATTGGACCTGTTGCGTTTGTTCCAGGGATTGCCGATCGGGGAATAAGGGAGGATATCTTTCGGGGTCTCGGAAGAGGACCTCGAGGGCCATGGCGATGCCTAGTGTCGAGACTACGGGGGTGAATATGCCGTAGCTCGTCTGCACCGTTTCGTGGACCCCCGGGACCCTTGCGTCATGTAACTGATTCAAAGCATCTTGACGAAAGTCTTCAGCGTGGAGAAGAAGGATGGGCAATGTACAACGTGGCGACGCCAAGACATCTTTTAACGGCGGAATCTTCAGTTCCCGCCAGAGCGGTTCGATGTCCGGATACGAAATCCAGGAGTCCGTGTACGGGAGTCCTTTATAATGCAACGCCAGGCGCGAACGGATCGTGTTGGGAGAGAAGGAGTACTGGTTGCGCAGGAAGGAATTGGACGAGTGGACTCTGTGGATGGAAAAGGGCGATTGGTTGCTTGCAATGTCGAAGAGGAGAAGGCGTTTTTGAGAGGCTGTTGAGTCCTGCCCTGACCATGTATACCGGGCCTTTGAAAATGCGGCCTGCCTCGGATCCAACCTCTTGGTGAGGGAGGAGACGGGTCGCAACATGCGTGGTTTTTTGGAGCTCCCGTCCCTTCCCTAGGACGTCTGAGAGAGCCCTGGCGGATCAAACGGCAGATGCGGCGTCCAGGTCTGGGGGAAAAGATCGAGACGAACAATGGCCTTGTCGAAAACAACAGAATTTTCCGTCCTTCATGTGCTGTGTACCTATCTGTCTGCTGCGTCTCTGGGGATTTTTTTTTTTTCTTTTCCAGAGGACTGTCAGGAGTTGTACTCAGAAATTCCCGGTCTCGCACCCGCAGGAGGTAAATGAGCCTGTTTTACCGTCTTGGATGCGCGGTCCATGGAACACTGCACTGCCTCTAACCGCTGCTCAGAGAATATTGAATCCCTGGACAAAATTCCCAATAGATTAGAGTCCGGGTGAAATGGGGGAGACAAACGAATACCTATCGGACAAGAGTTTTCAGAGCTGTTTCCAAAAAGGTGACTGATCAGTGTCTTTGCAAATCAGTGCAATCTAAGGGAGCCAGGGACTTGATGAATAGCGAACAAATACAGAGAGAACGTCTGGCTGAGGAGCGAGGAGTGAATGGACAACGCTCAGAGCTTTGAATGAAGTCAATCGGTGAGACGAAGTACGAGGTGAGGTAAGGTGAGCAAGGTTGAGGTGAGGTGAGGTGAATCGGAGATTATTGGCAAGGAAATTGGTCGGTCTGACCGTCAACTATCCACTTATATCGGGCTAATTAGCTTAATGTGTTTTCGTCAGACGGAGAATTTAGTCGAAGAATACAAGGAGATTGGAAGAGCTCCGCTTGGTGTCATTGTCTCGTTCATCCAACAATATGAGAGATTCGTCATCTATCCAACTGAATTGATAAGTGAGAGTCCAAAATGGTCGGGCAGAACGGCAGAACACAGTATTCCAGATGGCGAATCGGAAGCCACCAAACTGCTCCCTCGAGACACACGCAGCTTCCTTCATCCACCTTCGACCAGCCATTTCTTGAGGAATTCGGTCTGAGTCCCAGCGTTCCTTTCGAAATACGGGCCAGAGTACGCCTCGAAATGACCGCAAGGCAAAAGTTGCAGTTGCTTCGGCTCCTTTGCCCGTGCGTAAGCCCCGAGAGCAAGGTCCGAGGGGGTGAGCACGTCTCCTCTCGCGATTGTCATAAGGAGCGGTGTCGGCGAGATCTTCTCAATGAGTTGCTGCGGCTCATAGGCGCGGAAGAGCTCGACGCTAGAACCCAGAGCAAGAATCAGAACTCGGCGAGCAAGAGCAGGTGGCATTCATTTCACTCACGTCTTGACTGTGCAAGTGTTCTTCCACTGACACTTCTTCTCCCAGGCGGTGAAGAATTCGTAGCTGTCTGGCGTGGGCAACGCGGACGGCTTTAAAGGGTCGGCATCCACCACGGGAACGAATCCAGGCTCCTTCCCTTCTGCTCGAGCAATCCTATCTGCAAGATCGTCAGAATGGACATCGAACGGTGTATATTGCCGAAAGGGGTGTCAGACCTGCAGCAAAGGTCGCATTGAATCCGACCGCGAAATCCGGACGCACGAGGCGATTGAAGTTGTCCCATCCGCTGACGCAAGGGACCTGACTGAGGACGGCTTTGACCCTTCGATCAACAGCCCCGACGTATAGCACGTGGCCGCCACTGTATGACGAACCCCAGATTCCAATCTTGTCCGGGTTGACTTCAGGCCTCGTCGACGCGTAGGTGATGGCATCCGAGATGTCGCTGCATTGAGTCATTGGGATGATCTCACTCCTCGGTTCCCCCTCTGCAGCATCGCTATCACCAAAGCCGCGATTGTCGTAGACCAGGCAGGTGATGGGCAAGTTGGACACGAAGTATTCGGCGAAGGCATCAAGGTCCATTTCCTTGAGGGCCGTGAAGCCGTGGGACATGACAAGGCATGGTGCTTTCCCGGAAGCCGAGTCGCTGGTGTAGAACCATCCTCTCAAGGTGACCCGATCCGAAGTCTTGAATTCGACGTTTTCTCTGCCCATTTCGAGAATAGGTGCTCAGCAGTCAGGATCCTATAACCACATGTCAAAATTGTAGTGTTGCACAAGATCACTCGAAGTACGGAGGGAGGTGGACGACAAATCTATCTTTATGCCGGATCCCTAGGAGGAGAAGATGTGCCGAGTAGGCGAAGAACTAGAGATCCTTGAAACTCCCAAACTCGGGCTCAATTGCCGCTATCCTCCTGGAGAAGGTGACCATCACGGTCAGAAGGAAAAGAGGGCGGACGTTTCCAATCGCCTAAACAAAATCTGCACATTGATTCACAGCTCGCATTGGTGACATCTCGTTTAACCCCGCATGAGCGGTTACGAGGATGGATGCTTTGAGTTTGCAACATTGGGATCCATATTGAAAAGGAGGTATCCTCAGCGTAACACTCTGGTCTGATGTGCTGGCCGGCAGGTTGCGGGACCGCTTTGGGGGACGAAGGAAGATGAAGAAATTGTCTGGAGGGATATGCTCGACGGCGATAGGAGGAAGGAAGCTGAGGGAGGGGGAATGGTGCTCCAGGCACAAGGCAACGGAGTGTGCGATCGGTACCGCTCGCGCTCAGCAGATGGTGATTGTATTTCTGTGCTTCTCGACCGCAGTTGGCAAATCGGGTATGAGGACGACAGCCATTCTTTCGTGCAGAGAGGCCGAGGCTAAGTGAAACCAGGACGTTTTGGAAAGGCTGCATAAGTGGAAGAATAGTGCACCTGGCAAGGGAGCTGGGATGGCTGGGATGGCTTGGATGGCGTGTCTAGTTAGACTGACCTACATGGCGCCAATGCGGTCGTTTGTCGTGAGCTGGTCAACCCATGTTCATGCGGTCGTGGACCGACTGCGCCCGGCTTCTCCTTCAGCTTGAGCAGATTGCGAGCGTAGGACGAAGAGGGAAAGACATTCCGCACGCCGGACGAGGACCAGAGATGTTGATGATCTGATCCAGACGAGGAGCAATCAGACCGGGATAGCAAAGTCTTTTGGTAACGAGTAGGAAGGGACTAGAACCGCAAAGCGGAAGCGCGTTCATAGTGAAGATGGTAGAGGTGGAGATAGGCAGCACGAGTCAGTTCACAGCTTCTAAAGCCAGTTAGTCGAGAGCCTGGTGAGCCGCGTACAAGGACCTCGTAATAGGTATCAGGGGGAATAACCCCCTTAGTTAGGGACCTCGTCGTAGGCGGCGAGAAGCCCATCAGCCCGAGTTACACAGGTTCCCCCTTCCCCTATGGCGCCCCTTTAGTTGAGGATGGTTACCTGGCGAGCTGGGTCGCCAGGTACTGATCACCCTGTCTGCCCTACTGGCCGCCGCAGCCTCGGGCTTAGTGAGGCACCTCCGTTGGCAGCTCAGCACACAGCCTTGCCAGTTACGGGGTACTCACCATAAACACCCGGCTTGCGAAGTGGTATTCGAATCATGTCGGCATCTAATTGATTGCCCACTGCTTGTGCCAGTCAAGCTATGTCTCGGACCAATGCACGTTTGCATCCTCGCACTGTCACAAAGAGGCCCTGGTCGACGTGGCCCGACATTGGTCATGGGTAATCACCCTCAGTCTCGACCTTTTCCAACTGCTCTGTGTTATCCACTCACAAAATCCTTTCCCACTTATCACAATCATGGTTATCGATTGCAGGCTCCACCCCCAATGTCCATGGTACATATCAAACTTATTCCACCACCCTGCCGTTGTGCAGTTGTCTTTCCGATCTTCTCTTGCGGCAGTCTCTAGTGTACTGCCGATATCCTTGAAGGTTAGCAACCTTGTCCTTCTCCCGACAACTCATGTCCAAGTCACTTTGCCCTCCGAGATTGTTCTTCCCCTTCAAAGATAGTCAATCCCCTCCTCTTCAATGGTTGCAGCAAAGAATCGCGGGTACCGCGTGGGGAAGTGCCTCTCGACGAGGTCAAAAATCTCATCTGGTGTTGCATCGGCGTCTGCAAACACCCACTCGATGAATTCGCGTTGGAGCTGGTGCTCGGCATATGGACACCAGCCCGCCTTGCGCGCAATCCTACGGAAGGTCGCTTGGTTCGCCTCCGCCTTGAGCCACTCCGAGACGAGGATGCGGAACACGTAGCAGATCTCAGGGTGACTTTTCAGATATCCGATTGTCTCATGAAACAATCGCTCGTCGCCTTTTGGGGCCTTGTGGAACTGGCGAGAGCAGTCAGGAGGCAGTGGAGAGTCCTGCATTATGTGCCAGCTCAGGTTGTCAAGCCGCCAGTTATCCACGCACCATTTTTGGTTGTCGAGCACTTGTGGCCGGAGATCAATGGTGTTGCCATCCTCATCTTGCCCTTCGTGGCAAAGGAGCATGTTGTCAATCCCCACGCCCTCTTGCAACATCGTGCCAATAATTGCCTCCCAAACATTAGGATGGTTCTTTCGGATCTCTGAGAAGCGCTTACGTTCCTCTTTATTGCGTTTCTGACCCAATTGGCAGCTTGCCGCAGTGTTGGACTCTCCTTTTGGGTTTCGCGGATCAGGGCAATGAAATTGTGGCTGTATCTGAAGGTGGGGAGGCCAGGCAGCATACTGCTCGAAGCTTCGAACTACGTACGTCTCATAGCCTTTTTCCTTTTCGCTGTCGGTGAGCGCGATGGTCTTCCACCATTCGGGGGGCGGTTTCTCTTGCTGGGTCGAGAAGTCCATTGCCTCTTCTAGGAAGCTGTGGTATCTTTTGGGGACGTATTTCAGCGACACCACCTTCCTCTTGAGTTGCGGCTCCGCCGATTTCGGCTTTGTGGAGGCCGCTGGCTCCACTTTGTATAGGGGCAAGACTTGGTTCGTGCTGTCAGGCTTCTGGAGCAACTTGCTGCTGGCAAAAGAGGCCGGGTCGACGCTTCTACGCAACGGTTCAGGCTCTGGCTCTGGTTCGTCTTCCTCTGGGACCACGTCGTTCCCAGATTGGGCGTGCTCAACGCTGACTTGTTCATCCCTCACCGTTGCCGCTGGAGCAGGCGCAGAGTCTACTGCCTCCGCAATATTTGGTGGCAGTATGCCATTCGCGATGTTGCAGTCCAGGTTCTCAAAATAGTCGACCAACTTATCCTTTGTCACTGGCTCTGAGATGGCCGCAGATGGTGTCGTGGATGGCTGGGGAATACCCTGACTGCAAGCCGTGGTCGAAACGTCGTCGTCGAGATTGTTCTCTTGCTGGAGGATGTCGGCTCCAGCCTGGGGGGAGATAAAGGGAAAGAAAAACTCTGGTGGTGGGCATTCGCCTTGCCTAGCTTCTCGTTAGCATCGAAGAACGACACGTCGGCAAGGATACTCACCAATAGACTAGACGTGGCAATTGCAACGCGTCAGTCATCTCTGTGTCCTCCAGCTCCTCATCGTCGGCCATGATGATGTCATTGTCATCGATGTCCATGGTGTCGTCGAGGGCCAGTTGAGGCTGATCACCGCCTTCGTGGAAAGGACGGTGAGCTTCTTCGGCCTCCTGTATGGCATCGAAGTCCTTCTCTAGAGCCAAACTAGGCTGGGCCAAGTCGCTCAGGAACTTCGAGTGGTTGTTGTCCAGGGGCACGAGATGGTCGAGCCTCTCGTATTGCTTCTCGAAGCGTTCAGGTGTTAAATGCCTGCGCTTTCGTGGAAGTCGAGACGAAGAAACGAACCCACTGTTGGGGGATTGTTCAATCGGCTTGATGCGTGAAAAGTGGCAGTGACTGCGATTGAAATCCCTGATCTGCCTGCGCAGACTAGGTCTCACTCCACTGAATGGAACGGCAGTCAAAGACCGGATGGGATGGACGAGCGTTCTTGCGATCTTCATGTTTGCGGCGTTGTGGTTCGATGTCTGACCAGGAGAGGGACAGCGGAGAGAACAAGTGGCTGAAAGAGCAGAGCGAAGAGCAGAGGACAACAGCAGTCGTCGCTGGTACAGTGGATAATCTCTCGACGAGGGAATTGCTGCTTCAAGTCTTTCGAACCGCATTCAAGCAAGAGCTTCAGAACCTGGGGAATGGGGAGAAGGTGAAAAGTCTGTCGAGGTGCTGGAGGGAGTGAAAATGTGCGAGAGCTGTATTCACTCTGCGTGCTTGATCTGTCACTGACACACTTCACTTGTACCGGCAGAAAAATTTCCTATCGTTTCCGAGCAGTGAATGTTGGATTGAGCCCGAGAGACAATGGATGCCAAAACAGACATTCAGGCGCAAGGCTGACCTACCGATACCCTTTGACCTTACTGAGAGCTTCTTCCTTCAAGCAGCAATATGTCCTCTTTAGAGGTGAATTTTCCGACATTTAATGGCCTCAATAAGCTTTATTGAAACACTTTGCTGTTCATCAGAGGCCTATTATTGTCACTTGAAGCCTCTGTCCCTGACAAACAGCCGGCCTGCAGCAGCAAACAGCGTGGCTCAGACCATGATGCCTTGCCAGGAAACAGCCCGGACCCAGGCCCATATTGACCGCCAGCTGCGGCATGGCTCGAATCACTGGAGGGCTCCCTCAAGGTCATACCTAAGGTTGTGGCCTCTGGCGCCATCGCTTTCCAATGTCGAAAGATATGAGCACGATATCGGCAAATATCCAACGCCATGAACACAGAGACAAAAGTTGCCCGTTGCATACAACGCGCCTCATGCGCCTTGCGGGAGAAATACCGGCGGTGTATCTGGTCTCGAATATGCCTGCACACTAGCATTGACGGAATCCGCGACTGATTGCAGAGCGGAGTCGTGTAGTCGAGACGCGTGATAGCTGCAAAATGCAGAAGCCTCAATGGCAAGAAAACAAATCAAGACGGAGAAGGGCGCTGTCTCCACCCTGGTTCTCTGCCGACGGCCAAAGCTCGTGTCCACATGAAAATATATATATATGTGTATAGAACCTTCATTGTGCCGATGTTGGCGCATTGAAGTCTGGCTGAAAGGTAAAGGAGCCGAGGACAGGATGTATCAACAGACATACGACGTGGTGATAGTCGGTGCCGGTCTTTCTGGCCTGCAAGCCGCTCTTACTGTCCACCACGAGCGCCTCAGTTACTTGGTTCTCGAGGCACGAGATCGCGTGGGCGGGAAGACGTTGACTCTACGCTCCAGCGAAGGGGTCGTGAAGTCCGACTTGGGGGCTGCCTGGATCAATGACAGCAACCAAAGTCGTATGTGGGAACTTGCGAAAGACCTAGGGTTGCACACATACGTTCAGAACACCCAGGGCGACGTCGTTGTGCAGGATTTTGACGGAAAGCTGGTAAAGTTTCCGTACGGGTAAGCTCCCCTTCTCCCGATGAATTGATTTTGTTTCTAGCGAAGTCATTGGCACAAAGCTGATCGAAGTCCCCAGGGACGTACCAAAGGTCTGATACCCCATGCCGCCGTACTCCAGCGGTTGTTGTAAATGGTTGATGCTGAATCTCTGGACAGTACCCCTCGCAGGACGACACAGAGTCGTGCATATCAATCCGAGATTTGGTTGAAGATATCTCCACTACGCAGATGCCGTCAATCTTCGCAGCAGGACCTCATCGAGAGCAGCTTGACTCGATTTCTTTCGAGACATTTCTGCGACAGGCAAAGGTCACAGAAAAGGCGTTCGCGACCGCACAGGTCTGGACTCACGCTATGCTGGGCGTTGACCCTGCCGAGGTTTCTGCTTTGTACTTCCTCGAATGTGAGTTTTGTGATGCTGCAAATCAACCCGAGGCTGACAGAGTATGTTGAAGATTGTGCCGCCGGCGGAGGGCTGATGACCATGCGCTCAGACTGTAAGGATGGAGGCCAATATCTTCGCATTCAAGAAGGAACTGCGGCGTTTGCGGAAGGTATGGCACAAAGACTGAAGCCGGGGTCGATCAAGCTGGACAGCCCTGTCGGGAAGATAGAGCAGCAGGACGGGACCGTCTCGATCTCGACAAGGGGACGCTCGCCACAAGTGTATCGTGCTCGCAAGGTGATCCTCTCGATTCCAACACCAGTATACAGAACTATTAAATTCTCGCCCTCTCTGCCTGCCGCAAAAAGTGGAGTTGCCAACCACACCCGCTATGGATTCTATACCAAGTATATTGTGAGATTCAGCAAGACTTTCTGGACGGACAGGGGCTTGTGTGGGCTTGGGCAATCATTCATCGGTCCAGTGTCGGTCTTCCGGGACACAAGTCTCGGCGATGATGCTTGCATGACGTGCTTTATCGGCGGAAGATTCGGGAGGAAATGGGCAGTGCAAGATGCTGAGAGGAAGAAGGCATCAGTGCTGAAGCAGATAGGCGATATGTTCGCAGACGGGCGGGATATCAGTCCTCTCTTTATGGAAGCTTATGAGTCGCCATGGATGGATGAAGAGTTCTCAGGCTGGGGCTGTCCATGCCCAGCCATGCCACCAGGAGTTCTCGCTGACGGCTGGAAAGCGTTGTGCGCGCCATTCGGAAATATCCATTTCGTAGGGACAGAGTTGAGCACCGTCTGGAGAGGATATATGGAAGGGGCTATCAGGAGCGGAGAAAGTGGCGCGATGCAGGCAATGGCTGAGCTGAAGGCTGGGGACCAGCAGATCGCAAAGCTGTAGATCCCATGGACGAACAGAGTGGTCTTGATCCTGGTTCTAGTTGTGTGCTGTATCTCAAAGAAGGCCGCTGAAGATGAGGCAAAACGCCACTCATTGCAACAGATGAACTGCCTAAGGCGGCACTCTTTTGTTTCCTGCAAACCCGAACACATTTCAGCAGGGTCATGGCATTCCTGCTGTCTGGCGGTGCTGAATACCCTGGCCCTCTTGCCTCGCTGATTCTGCTGCCTTATCGGTATGATGTCTTCCCGCTGAGGCCATTACACCCTGTCATCCAGCAAGCGTCACATATCTGGAAAATATGGATTGTCCATTCGGGCATTTGCTTCTCTCACATATGCAAGGGCCAAGAGCACGAGAAATCATATATCTCCACGGTATACTTCCATGGAATGAAGTGGCCTGGACGATGTACGTCCATGCTGTAATAATCTAGTGCTTCTGAGATGTTGGAGTTGCAAATGTTCGAGGTCGTCCAGTGAAAAGTGCGATATCAAGACAAGAGCCGCAGGTCTCGGAGACGTGGAGGTAAAGTGGAATGCAACGTCGTCATCTGTGTTGTTGCACTGGACCTCTTTCCTCAACAAAATGGAGGTGAACCACACTTCCTGTTTATTGTTGGGTGCACATTGGAATCAAGATCCGCTAGAGAACATCCTCTTGAATCGGGGTACAGTACGATATACCTCTCTCTCCACAAAATCCACTGCGTGCTGTACCTTCTGGACTCAAAATTTAGCGACAGCCTCGGGCCTCTGACTTCTGAGAATCCATGAACGCAAAGCCCGCCAACAAAGCAGCCCAGTTGATTAGATCAGAACTTCTGATCCGCCATGTATCCTGCTCGATGGGGACGTCGAGCTCTGTATTATGTCCTGGTGGCGAAGGCGCCAATAACAGGAAGCTTTGATTGAAGTGGTCCGAAGGGAATACAATGTGTATCCAGGTAAGATAGGATATCCATGGCTCTCAGGCGGAAATCTTGGCTCGACTCGCATGACGTTGATGTGTTTGTGTATGGCTCAAGAACTCTGTGCGCGCTCCAGTATTTTGAGTAGTAGGCCTGAGGCACGGCCCAGCTCTCCGCCTTCCTTCCTTGCAGCATCAATGCCGGCCCAGATAGGCGCCTGAAAATTTCGTGCAAAGTCCTGCAATCTATCCTGTTGGTCGTCAAGTATTTGGTTTTCATCCTCTGGTTGTGGACCGAAGAGATTTAGATGGGCGTACGCATTAGATTTGCCGGGTACAAGGACTGTTTCAACTTCCCATAGGGGAAATCCTGCAAGTACTGCGCTAGTTCCAGAAGAAGATTGCTCATCTGTAACTAGACCTGCATGCAAGAATTCAGCGAGAACTTGCATTACTCGAGCAGTGGATTTGGGATCTCCTGCAAACGATGCTTTACTGGCGGACCATCTGCTGGCGTCGGTTGACCTCCACCCTAGGACCGTTGTAAAGCACTCGAGGGTCTGGTGCCAACCGCCAGGGCACGATATCAATTCGAGCCCCGCGGCTTTGATCATGAAGGATACAAAGTCAAGCGACGAGAGTCGTATGTCCCGTGATAAATGTGTCATAGCCGCACGTAAGTAGGGCAAAGCTTTGTTCACATGGTCTCGGACATCCTCGCAGGGTAGCGCCCGGAAGAGCTTAAGCAACTGGTTTCTAACGCCTGCCGAGCCGTCGAGCATGAGAGGACAAATGCTGCTGAGAAGGGAACTGGTGGGAACTGGTAAACCGCTTGCCGGTAGGCTTGAAGCGACGTAAGTAGTCAAGGAGGCAAGGGCATCTCTCCTTTGAGAGTCGGATCGTGAATTGAGAAGAGAGATTTGGTGAAGAAATACTGCTGACTGTGAAGGCGCATTGATATCCAGCTGTTGGTTCAGAACAATAACTTCGGATCTTGTGAGCACAATGCAGAATATAAGTGAGAAACACCGTACCTTGAGACCTGAAACTCGTGTTGGTATGGTTCTCAGCCCTAGGTTTCGCCTTGCCCACTTTCAATTTTTGTTTCTGGCCAGTTGATTAGCTTGTTTGCAATCAGCCTAGACGGAAAACGAGCAACGAACTTGAAAGTCTTTCGTTTTCTCTCTCTTCTTTCGTGCACTGGAGCCCATTTCCTTGGTTGGATCTCTTCGAGCAGAAGGTTCACTTGTGATGTTATATTTGGGAAAGGGTTTTTCTTCCTCAGAAGCGGCGAGGGCAAAAGGGCTGCAGGAAGAATAAGCTTTGAGCTTCGGCGGACCGAACCGTCGATGGTGACGATCCCCAAGTCAGTCGATCTGCGAGTGATTTTTCAAACTTTTGCGGAGATGGATTCACGTTGGTAATAGAAACTCTCCCCGTTGTTCGTGCTCCGTACCTCCGGTTACACACGGCTTACCGAGTCCTCGCGGTTCAAGAATAGCTTGCTTCACTACGCTTATCGAGTCCATCTATCCACCAGGGGAGAGGCGCGTCTAACGCGTCTGTGTGCATCTGCAAATTCACAGCTTCCGGCGAGGGCTGCGCCAGCATGAGATGACATCCGCCGACAGCAAAAGTGAAGCAAGGTCTTGATGACGCATGAGCACAATGGCTCAGACGGAAAAGGTTTCTCTCTCCCGCTCTCTGGTTACGCTGGGCCTTCACTGACTGGTGCCTTCAGGAGACTCTAAACGGCCCTTCCATCGATGCGATGCTGCGAGGTCTGACCGAGAGGCCAAACGTACAGTCGACATTAATCCTTTCTCGAAAAGATGGTTCTATCATAAGAGTTACAGGCATTGCCTCCCCTGGGGAGAGAAGATCTTCAGCTGCCGCAACAGCATACCAATGGCCGCATGCCGAAGGGTCTAAAGCGGTCGCAGACCGTTCGGACAATGGCCCCCCCCCTGCTACCGATGAATCAGAAGAGCCTTCAGATATCCAGCACATTGAGAAACCCGTGGAACGGTTGGCTTCGTCCATATTTCAATTTGTGAACAATGCCAACGCTATGAGTGCGACGCTCGGTGTAGCGTCCCGAAATGTGGCCCGTCCAGACGGGACGTACACCGGGGCCGCTTATGGCGAGTCCAAGGCTGCTCAGAAGAAAGAGCGAAACTCCGAGGAAGATGCAGAAAATGGTATTGCTGAGGATGAAGTCCAATTGCTAAGGCTGCGCACAAAACACCAAGAGATCATCATTTTCCCAGATCCCAACTACATCTGCTGTGTTGTCCAAAGGATGGGCAAAACTACAACCGGCCATGACAGAAGATAGCAAGCCGGTGTCGACTTCTGGCTGACCGCTTGAGAGTATCTCCTCTGCGATGTGTTGATAACGCTCAGGACCGACGGGCAAAATACTCTGAGAATCCGGACACATCCAATGATAAGCATAGGGGTGACGGTGACGGCTGGGGAATCAGATGCAACACAACGCTGAAACAGAGATATCAACATGGGAATTTGGAGGATCTGAGTGGATGACTGTCGAAGGATAGGCTGATCAAGGTCGCAATGACCTGCTGAATTGAGCAGCTCTGCCCCAGATTCTTTATCTGCCTGCCCAAGAGAGGGCCGCTCTGTTATCGCGGGGTTATCGCACTTATCAGAAACCCATTGAACAGATTCCCCCTTAGGCGGTGCTCGCAGCCTATCGTGGCCGCTGAATACGACGTGTTTGTTATCACTCGTTCCAATATTTGGCTGTTTCGAAGAGCATCCGTTGTCGCTCATCTCCTTGACCTTATCATTTGACCGGTTGCAGCTCTGAGCACACCGTACTTAAAGAGTCAACCGGCCACCGGCCCCAGAGATTCGATCTCTGAGCCTTGCTAGTCCTTCGAAGCCTTGCTACATCCAACAGGCTACGCAAAACGCCAATAACGAGTCGGGACCCTATTTCTGTGCAACGGAGCTCACCTAGCAATAAACACCACGCTTGGCATACTACACGTATCCGGCACCACTCTAATTGAGACCAATGCAGTCTCAAGAAGTCTGTCGCAGACACTCTCGGAGCTGGTGGAGCGCCGAATGGTGCCCGTCGTCGACAAAACCGAACCCTCGTGCCCACCGTCGACCTCACCAATGATGCCCGCTTGGTTATGGAGTCCATATTTGAAACGTCAAGTTGACAGAACATCGCCCACCCCGACGCAACGTCAAACAAATTAGCCGACACAAGACAAGTTGGGAGTCTCTGACAAGAATGCATTATTCACGCGGGCAGGCAGATCACCGGGGTGTTTGGCGAGCTGGTATTTCAAAGCATGCCTCGTATGCACGCACAATCATATTTCCGGACTGCCCACCAGATCGGGAGGTAGGTAAGCAATGCTGAGACCTGCTGGACGACGACCATGCAAAGACGTGCGCTAGCGTGGGGGTGCAATGCCTCTCATCCTGGACTTTGTCGGGGACTCTCGCTGGGACAACGGAGCACTGAGTGTTGAGCGCCATCTTTGCCTCACCCAAGCTCTGACCTAGCAACGGACGCTACACTCGCAAGTATGATTAATCTTGCAACAGATCAGCAACCCCTTTTGCTATATGAGTGTGCCGCGCTCAGAGATCCGACACATCGACGATTCTCCATACCCGAGACGCACCAGGCTGAGCACCCTTTCGAACCGAGAAGATTTAGGCCCACCCGTCATTCGTCGGGATTGTTGATGGTCCAAAGACCGAAGAGGGGCATGGTCCGAAGATTCTTGGAGGGGTGGATGGGTGAGGAAGGGCGGGCCAAGGGTGGATGGGGGTGGTCGAGGTGCCGGATTTCGCCCAAGACAGCCATTTCAGTTCTACCGGGAAGAAGGGACTAACGATGCACACTAATCGCTAAGGCTCATCCTGGAGCCTTGACTCCAATCCAGCATCCCGCGTCCTTTTTCTGGGCTACCGTTTCGGCAAGGACCGACACAGGCAAAGACTGAACAGCGAAACTGCTGAATGCAGCTCACTCAGGCTCGCCAATTCAACTCACCTGCTTGGTCGCAGGTAGCGACGACTGAACGGCACAGCGGCCGGTTCCCCCGCCGTCCTGACACAGGACGAGTACCGCTTATTGCTCTCCAACAAGTTCCCTGATCAGGAATGGGAGCACCTTCTCCTTTTTCCCCAGATCTGAATCCTTTTGGTGGTAGGGACCAGCTGTCAGCAGCCTGATCATTCCTTTTTCTCTGGCCCCGACCGATCGAGCTTGTCGCGCGTCAATGGTCGCGTGCTAGAGAGGGGAGTGTGGGCCTGCCCAAGCCTACCTCAGATCTCGAGGCCCGTCACGTGAGACTGGCGAGTCCACCGACTTGTGAGCGTGGTGAGCATCTCTGTCCAGTGCAGCAGTCACTGCTCTCCTGTCTCCGTCCGAACCGGCTCGGCTGTGGCAGAACAGTGTGTACTTGTATGCATTCAAATGGGGCATCAGGACGTTGTCTGAAAGGGTCCCCCGAATACTGGTTGCATCTGGACAGCGCAGGAAGTGGGCTGGGGCAATCACCAATCATGGAATCAAGCAGAACGAGGCGTCGCCGGGTTGAAACAACGAATGTCATGTCATGCATGGGTACTTGGTACTCGATTGTTTAGTCCGTTGTTCGCGGCGATGATGCTCCACAAACCCTACCTGCTCGCCTTGCCCTCATCGTTGTCCACCGTCGCGGCCCCATCGATGGCGATCGTTGTTGGCGGGCGAAGACGGGTGCCCGCTCCGGCCTGAATACTTCAGACTACTTTTGCACGCAGCTTTTTGCGGAGTCAATGTCCAGATCTTTCGGAATGAACCCTGGTTGTCGACTTTGGAAGCTCAAAGACAATTGGCTCCCAGCAGTGACCGAGAAGCCGAAATTGACAAGCCTAGATAGTTCACGGATTATCTAGACCGTCTTCTTTTTTCTAGCCGCAATCCACATTCTGCTGCTACCAGATATAATGTGGGCCAGCCAGTTCCTGCATTCCAATTATCACATCTATACAAGTAAAAGAAATCAAGTTCCTGTATCTTTGGTTTCAGCAGCCTGGTCGTCTCGGGTAGATGGGTCAAACCCAGGCCCCCTCTTGACGCCCACGCCAGAGGGTTTTGCCCGTTTTAATTCCCAGGGCCACCACCCACGACGTTCCAGGCATGGACAAGGGTGCGCCTGGCTGCTTCATCTGCATTGTCGAAGCCGGTCCAGTCGGACGAGGCAGGATGTTAGCGCCATCTGTAGCACAAAGCCTAAAATGGTTCGAGGGAATCTGAATATAGGAACTCTGTGTTCAGACGGTCGTGCCTGGGCATCGAAGAATTCAGCCAGCGATCGAAAAAGTGGTGTTTTCTGTCGGATTTCAGACTTTCCCAGCCTGAGAGGTACTTGGAGGGCTCGATGGGTTGTTCGACCCAATGAAGCTTGTTTAGAAGCTCGATGACCTCAAACGACACGCAAACCATGATGTATGCTGCTCGGCAGTTCGGTCTTGGTCCCGCGGGCTTCGAGGCTGATCAGACCCTGGAGTCCTCGCACCAGCAAATTAGCCTGGCTCGATGCATTGGCACAGAAAATGACGATCTTCAAGCCTCTGGTGCCTCCACGCACTCAAGAAAATCGATCATTGGTCACAGTCGATGTCTCTAAAAGTACATCGCAAGTTCTTGTCCTGGCAAACAGTACCTAGCAGCGGCCAACCGTCCGTCACTTTTGTCGCTGCTCTAGCAAGAACCGAGATGACAATTCGATGCGTCTCACCACTGCTCACGTTCAAGCCACATAACTCCTACAATCAGCTTCTGGAACAAATATCCAGGGCCTATACCAGTACGTACAAGACCAGAAATCCAGGAGTGTCTTGGAAAAGGGACTAGCATCCGTGAGTTTGTGGGCTGGTCAGACAACGGAGCCGTGGTATGACAGTCAGGGGCATGAACCCGCGAAGCTGTTCGAGGTCCCCCGCGCTAAGGAAACGAAGGGGGGAACCAGATATTTGCTGCTGGCCAGTGGAGAGATGGTTGTCTGCGGTCGAACCGGCATCGAAAACATTGGAGCGCGCTCGAACAGTGAATGCTATTCGAGAGGCATCATTCGTCCAGAAGGAAAATAGCGCGCCCATTGCTGCCATGTGCGTGAGCCTACACGAGAAATCGTGGCCGAGAAACGGAGAAGGGCCGAAGGCAAAAAGTCGGGAGCACCAGGACGCGCGAGAGCACATGCTTTCCAAGATTCCCTCGAGTCTTGACTTTACGGATGCTTACGCGCGAGAGTTTGGCAGAATTTCCCATGGACAGTGGATGGACCCCACTCTTTGAATGGTGAATGCGAGAAGACGGTTCACAGGTAATGTGGTGGCACAGATCTTTGCATGTATGAAATCAGAAGAAAAGGAAGAGAAAAATACAAAAAGAAAATCAGAGGCCTGAGAAGAAGCTGGATGTACTGAGTAGATCTGTACCCTGTACCCAGTACTCGACACATGTCAGATCCCTGCGAGTATTACGAGGACATGGGCCACCAGGCCAGAGGTTGAGAGAGCGCAGGAGAGTGGGATGCCAGGCTGGCGGGCTAAAGGTTTAGGATGCTGCGAGTGGCCAAGGCCTGGTGCTTGTTGCTTCTTGCCTGGTGCTTTGCTGCTCGCCATGATCTTTCCCGAGCCTGCGGTCTTCTCTCATCCCCACTTCCGACACATCTGCTTTCGACTTTTGCAGTCTGCGCTCAGCAATTTAGCCATCAAGTACTGGGTACCCGGGTAACCATCAGGCTGGTGAACGTCCTCGCATGGACCCTTGATTCCCCTCGGAACTGACACCAACGCAACGTTGTCTGCTGCACCCAGTGTGGTGGGACATTCCTCGTCACCATTCAATCCAACCATGCAGAACGAAACTCTAAGAGGCGGAACCACTACATAAAGGATCGTCGTGAATAACTGGAAATTTTACAACGACCACCTACCTACGGAGAACCTCGTACTGGGGTACAAGCTGAGCCGTGGCGAAATATATGGGGGGCGAGGTACCCCCGCCATGTCGCAAGAAGCAATTCCATCGCCCCAATTTGATCAGCTTGCATTGCTGCTGCTGCTGCTCGCATGAGCACTGCGCCTCTCGCTTCGAGAGTCACGACAACCATCTGGTGATAGACAGCTGAAAAATCTCTGCCAGAAAATTTTTTTATGGTTTTTTTTTTTTCCTTCGTAACCATCACCAGGCCAAAACCCATCTCTCAGGCAAGCATTTCGGAGACAGACCAAGATCCGTATCCGGAGTACGTGCGACGCAACACGAGGCACCGGATTCGGGTACTCTCGCCGTCAAGCCTATAACCTCCCAAGCCCTCATCAAGTGGAGCGCAGTGGGAATCTTCGGGGCTGCAGGGTTGGGAAATGGACACCCTGGTGGATTGCTTCTGGACCACTTCATCTTCTCGAGTTCATGCACAGAATCCATTGTTCCCAGGCCTCGTGCTCCAGCTCCAGGCCCAGCTACTATTTCTCGAAAAGCCCAGAGGCCTCATGGTTCGAGAATCCCATTATGGTAGTTGACGTTTGTGCATTGGTACATCCCACTACTACTACTACTCTACTCCCGCCATGTACCACTACCACTTCTGGTTTGCCCCCAGCTTTCGCAAATAACTATTTCCCTCACTCTACTAACTAGTTCTCCCGGTCGAGCACGGTTTCCGTGCTTGTCCCGAGCGGCAATGCCACCTCGCTCATATACCCAAGTTCCGGCAATGCAGCATATTATATTACTTGCATTCTTAGTCCAGAAGCCATTAGGAGAGATGCATTGGGAGGTGATATTTCATTATTGTTTTCATTACCATCCGGTTTCCATAGCCGATGACCACAGCGAGGTACGCAGGAGCAAAGAGGGCGGCACCATGCTATTTGGATCCTGCCATGCTGCATGCAGCCCACGGCAATGACAGGCTCTATTACACCGGCAAGCTGCACGAGCAACAGCGTACCAAGATTCCCTGCTACTGCCCACTTGTTCATGACCACCCACGCTATCAAAAGCACCAGCCCAAAAACGGGCTCGTGAGCGGGCGTTAGTGAGCGGCCGCAAAAAACCCGCTGATGTCGACCCTGAGTCCTGGGCGTGGCGCTGCTCGGTCCCCTGGCGTGCATGATGCTTGAAATCCCAGAAGCTCATGGTGGGCTGGGCGTCCGTGTTGGCGACTGCAAGAAGCAGCAAGCAGCTAGCAGCTAAGCCAGGCCCCGCCGAAAGGTTAACTGCTTGTAGGTATCGAGGTGCGAGATGTGTGGGAAGGCGAGGGGGGCACACCCCTTCCTTTTTGCTCTTGCCGCTCGGCGCATGCAAAAGCGTAGGCGCAGATGCGGTTGCAGATATGCAGATGCAAGAGCCAACCCCCCCCCAAGCTCAGAGCCCCAGGGCCTAGGGCTGCGAGGCCTGTGTAGCTACCTCCTTATGTACCCTAGGTAGAGCCAGAGGTAGGGAGGTAGGTAGGTACTCCGTAGGGGTAAGGCCTCGAGACCAGCGCGGCATATGGATATTTCCTCCACCACCCATTACGTATGGTATCTTTGGGACCAACTTGTCTTCACGGCCCTGCCTTCATCGATGTCCCTTTGTGTTGTCGCTGATGTCGTCCGCGCAAGATGATCAGGGAGGATTGCTCAGGCCGACTGAGTCAGGCCAATCGAGGATCAAGCTCCAGTTGCAAATCAACGGTCAGAGAGAGGATGAAGCTGGCCATGTCCCACTTCTCGAGAAAGCCTCCCACTCTCCCACCCACCGAACTCGCTGTCCTTGTGCCGTTTCTGGTCTTCGGCTAACGTATGGTTCAGGCATGGACCGGCGCTATGCCGATGTCTCTCCCCCCTTTGCCCACAGATCCCCAATTACTTGCGAATGATGATGGTTCCCACGAGCGGCATGCTCCATGTGAGATGGAACTCGACGATGAGGAGGAGAGCGAGGAGACACATGAGGGGGAAGTGAGATGAGAACACCACTGGTGCAGCTCAAAATAAACCACACTGGAGGCAGCTCGACGTCAAGAATGCAAGATGAACGAGGGCGACCTCTACCGGTACCTCGTCCTCCTTCTATCACCAGATCGTCGTCAATTCTGTTCATCTGTTCCCTCTCGGGATTTCGCTCATCACCAGCCTGTCCCGGAGCAATGGACCCTCGCGTCTTTTGACCCTCTCTCACACGAACAGTGCTCGCGCCTCTCGATCAGCCTCCCTTGGTACCCTCATCTGTTGTTTGCAACTCTAAAAAGCCATTTGTCCACTCTCAACCACCATCGAGCCAGCTTCGTTTTGCCTACCAGCAGACCCAAACCACCCCAAAAACCCTAGGGCCGTTTCTTGCATCCCCCATCCCGCTCATCCACACTCCTTCGAAACCCTCGTTCCGACTCGTCGCCAATCCCGAGTGCTCGATCACGGTATCATGTCCTACCGGTACCTCTCTATTGCCCCTCCAGCCGGCTCCATTCGCTCCATCTGCTCCATCGCCCTAGACTAGGCGGGCGCGCCAGAAGCCACCATCATCTCTGATCCCTGGCCCATCTTTACGCACATACCCTGGTCCGCCGGGTTGGCGCCCTGACCATTTCTCCAGCGCCTCCTCCGTCTCCATAGGTTGCGTGCCTCTGGGATCCTGGCACCCTCCCACTCCCACTTCTGCAGCCCAGAGCCAGAGCGACGAAAAGGTGCCTTTCCTCGCCCTCTCTTCTTGCCGACCTTTTCCTCTTGTCTCGTGTTGTGGTGATGACACTGCGCAGACTTTGCTGCCAATTATTTTTTTGCTCGTCCGCCCGACCACTTACACCTACATACATCATATCCTGGCCTCGACGCTGGGAATGCTGCCACCATCCCAACACCAAACGAGCACACCGTCCTGTTCGCTATCCCATCCCTAGGTAGCCCGCCTGCTGCACACGCGACTCGCTCCAATCCGCCCCGGTAATGTCGAGTGCGGATGATGGTGAACGTGGGGGCACTGCAGCTGCAACTTCGCGCCCAAGCTCCGCCGTCCACTCCCCTGCCGACCACTCCCATCATTCTGCGGCCTCTACATCACAACCCTCTTCTACTCTTGACGACACAGACTTCTCGACCTGGTCCAGCAGCTTGGGCTCTCATACCGTAAATACTATTTCCACCAGCCAGTCGCCTGCCCATTTTTTCTCGACCGACAGATCCAATACCAGTGCCACTTTCCTTCAATCTACAAAACCCGCAAACCCCAGCCTCAGTCCCAACAACCTGGATCTCTCCACCCCAGACGTCCTTGCTCGAAATGAGTCGCTGCTACGGGACGCCGTCTTCCCCGAGTGGAAGGACGATGCCCAATCCTCCGTCCTCGACAGTCCAGAAGAGATGCAAAAGAAGGACCCTCTAGGCACTCAGATATGGAAATTGTATAGCCGGACCAAATCTCGCCTCCCCAACCAGGAGCGCATGGAAAACCTGACTTGGAGGATGATGGCTATGAATCTACGCCGTCGAGAGCAACAGCAAGCAGCGTACGGGAAACAGGGCCCTCAGGGCAGCGACCGCCCCAGTGCTAATACTGATTATCTTTCCAGAGCAAAGCAAGCACAGCTCAAGAATCCCACTCCCCCCTCATCCGCCCCTAGCGGGATAGCCCAGCAGCTCCGCAGGTCGGTGGACAAGTCTGCTGAAATCGAGCAACCTTCAGATCCCATGAACCTCGACGAATTCATCGTGCCGAGTTCAGTCGCCTCCCCTGCGGGGATGACGTCTCCCGCGCCGTCGGAGACCCCGGGGCGGCCAAAGACAACACAAGTACCTCCTATCCCTATCATTACCGCCCGTAGCAAGCCACAAGTTCAGATTCCCAAGAATCTCCCCCCGTCGTCAATGCCCCAGACATCTATCCCAACGCATCGAACATCAGAATTCGAGTATGTCAAGAAGAGAGTTCGCAAGACGAGCATTGACGAGAGGAGAGGTGTAAGTTAACCATTGTGCCACGTTTGCTGAAAATTGGCCCTGACACTTCTATGTTAGAACCGTAAGCGTCCGGCGGAATTTTCCCCTCAAGTGCCTCCTTTACCTGCTCCCCATGCTACAAATGGTGTGGAAATGGACGCTGGTGTACCCGACTACACGCTTGATCAATCAACAGCCTCCCAATTCCCGGGTCAACCTAGCTTCCAAGGCCCAATGTCTCTCCACCTGGATTCTTTCCACCTCGGTGACGATCCAATCCTCACATCGGCTGGGCCGTTCCAACAGAACTTCGCCTTTTCTCCCGCAGCATCGCCCATGGTCACCAACGGGCCGTTCTCGAACGTGTATACTCAATCTTCGATGGCTTCGTCTTTGAATTCTGCGGATTTTTATTCCCCTCCTCAATCCGGCTACCCTTCTGCCGTTTCGACGCCCCAGCCGGGGCATGAAGTAGACGGTCAAGGATTTTACTTTGACCAGAATGGTCACACGCGAACCATGCCTTTCTATCCATCTCACCGAGGGACCCATTTGATGACCCCCGCGGCCCCGCAGTTTGCGTATGGGCCCAACAATGAGCAAGTCTATTCTCTCATGAATGGGGTACCTTCCGCACAAACGACAAACGGGTTTTCTCTACAGCAACACGTCGATCCTTCCCGAGTACTTGTTCCGGAATATGGACGACGGGTCTCGCCCGGAGTCTCTGTGGCCGGGAATGATAATTTGTTCCAGTTTGGTGCCGATTCGGATGCGGAAGACGATGATACAAATTTTGCAATGATCCAATCCGAATATGGCCAGATTAGTGACCCAACATTGGACTTGAATTCGGGTCTACAATGGGACCCAAACGTCGCTGATTATGGCAACATGCAGCGATTCGGCAGCGGTCCCGGGAAACAGGTGAGAATAGGGGGCGCGGAAATGGTCAATTCGCCTCCAGATTGGGCTTCCTCGATGCTAGGTCGCACGCACGGCTCAGCAGCATCGATCAGCGACATTCGGAACCGCGATCAGGACCCAAGAAGACAGAAAATTCCTCGGACGACCTCGACACCTGCCTTATCTAACCAGCATATGCAGTCTACTGGTAGCTCGCCCGGCGAGTCCGGCTTTAGCAGTCGACAACCGTCGAGGCCCAGCAGCCCTGGACCAAAGAACCCGGATCAAAATGGTGTCCCAACCACATGCACCAACTGTTTTACCCAGACCACGCCCCTCTGGCGACGAAACCCTGAAGGCCACCCACTGTGCAACGCATGCGGGTTATTCCTCAAGCTGCATGGTGTCGTGCGTCCCTTGTCGCTGAAGACTGATGTCATCAAGAAACGTAATCGTGGGAGTGGAAATACGGTTCCTATGGGTTCAGCAGCCACCAGAGCGTCCAAAAAGGCCTCCCGAAAGAATTCGGTTCAGCAGACACCGGCCACAACGCCAACGTCTGGCAACGGCGCAAGCGAGCAAAATTCAGCGTCCCCATCTTCGGTGCAGGGCTCGGCACATTCGGGATCTGCTGTCACAACCCCCACGAGCTATCCACCTGGCACGACAGGAGGGAAACCTGGGGTGGTACCAATCGCTGCGGCGCCACCTAAACCACCTGTCCAGCCGGGTCCCAACATGGCCCGGCCGGTCCAGGTAACACCGAAACGTCAGCGACGTCAGTCACGGGCGTCCACCAACACATTGCCCATTCTAGCCGGAAACGGCGGCTCGACAAATGAGGCGGAAATGCACGACGCTAGCCAGTCGACACCCAAGGTCACTCAAGCTCCTGTTACTCGGGCCAAGGCAGCCAGCATGTCTTCGACGGCGGGGGCCACCACAATGGCCTCGGTGATGCAGGGCGGGCTGCTCAATTCAGGCGTCCAGAACCTGGCCAATGGTCCGCATGGGAACAGCCAGGAATGGGAATGGCTGACGATGAGTTTGTGATGAAACCCAACCCACTCTCCGCGTGTCACGTCCAGGCGACTGTTGCGCGGGAAACGGACCCAATTGCGGAAAAGCCCAGCGTCCAGTTTTCCTTTCGTTGATTTGTGTTGCACATAGAACCGTTTTGCCCTGTCTTGCTCATACAACCTACCAAAGTCCTACTCCAGCTGCACGATTTGACGACCATGCGAATAAACGAATCTCCGACTTTTCTATTGTTATACGCTCTAGGCCCCTGTTCATTGTCGGGAGAGCCATGGAGAGCAAGCAGCCAGAGCTTGCACGACAGGATTTCTCGCGGGTGGTCAAAGCTATTCTTTGGGTCGATCTATGGGTGTCTTTTGATGAGCAGGGATGTAATGATGGGGGATTTGCCGTCCAAGTGCAAATTGTGATTTTGTCGATTTTACAACAGTGATATCACCGCGTCTGCCTCGAGATGCTTGGAGATACAGAGCCTCGAGCAGAAGTGCGCACTTGATTTTTGTGTTTGGGAAAAGGGAACCAGTTTTTGAACGCCTTGAGTCGTTAAGAGGACTAATGAATAGATGGGTTTGGACGAGGGCCCTCGACAATCTGTTTCGAAATGGAACATACCACGCGAGATTTGCGTATGTTGGGGAAGGACATTGAGGCCATGGCAGTGTATGTCCTCTCTACCCGGTTGTTGAGGGATGGCTGGCACGAATTTCGATGTGCCAGGAGAGCTGTTGATGGAAACGACTTGGACACAACTTGAGAGATACAACCGGCCGAATACTCATCGGTAGAAACATAGCTCCGGGCCCATGATCCCCTATACACTCTTCATACACACTCTGTACCTTTGACTGCCCTGGGTCGCTCCCGAGGTTTTGTCGCAATTAATACAGCGACATCGGTACGTTGATGTCCCAAAGATGTCCCTTCTTCGACCTCATCCGTACGAGCTCGTGATCCTCGGCGTTTGCCGGATTTAGAGGCGGAGACGATGTCTTGGCCAGTCGGCTATCAGATTAGATTAGGCATCCAAATTCTCGATAGGATGCTGCCTTCCACCAACATTGGACACCGTTCATCGACTTCATCTCTCGGCACAGTAGATCTGCTCTGTTCTCAATAGACCGGGACTATCTATCCGAGGCCTTGGCTTGTCCTCTTAATACCACGACTGTGGACGATTGTGATTTGCATATTGCCCTCGAAGAGTCCCCTTTGCGAACACCGGTCGTTGGTAAACAAACCCTCGAGTCCGCACAGACAATCCGACTCGGGGTCCCAAGTTGCCCATCTAGACCAGTTGGTATATCCTGTCAGAGCTAAGTTGCACAACGCATCCGCAGCGGTTCGTCCATCGCTTGGGGACCGTCCCGCCCTCCATCGAATCACGCAAGCTGTTGATCTGCTCAATGGCCACTCCCGAAGCAACAACTGCTGCTCCCAACAGCACAGCTGTGCAGGACGAGGTTTCTAGTGTTGTTCCAGACAACGGGGAGACGAAGCCCGCTGCTGAGCCTGCTGCGCCAACCGTACGAGTCCCCGACCTGTAAAATGATCATCGAGCACAATCGCTGACTACAGGCTAGGAGGCCACGCCGGCCACTGCCGAAACTCCAGTTGTCGTCGAGGCAGCTGCGGGTGTCGATGTACCGGTGGAGAAGAAGTCCACCCCGATCGAAGAGCTTTGGGCGCTCGCAAAGGCGCACGAGCACCCCGAGATCTGGGGGGTCACACTCGCAGACCCGGCTACCCATGTCCCGACCCAGGTCATCCTGCAAAAGTATCTGAATGCCTACGACGGGGATCTCGCCAAATCCAAAGAGACGCTGACCAAGACGCTGGACTGGCGGGCCAAAATGAAACCAATGGAGTTGGTCAAGAAGAAGTTCAACCGCAATAAGTTCGCTGGGTTGGGATACACAACGGTCTACGGTGATGCCGACGCGGCGGCCGACCCGGAGGCCAGAGAGGTGTTTACTTGGAACATCTACGGGAGTGTCAAGAATCTGGACGAGACGTTTGGAAATCTGGCCGAGTAAGATCAAGGACCAAGGACGATTGACGTGGATCCGGTGCCATAAGCTAACCCGTTGTCTTGGCAGCTTCATTGAATGGCGAGTGGCCCTGATGGAAGATGCCCTGCAAGTGCTGGGAATCGACAAGGCGACCAAGCCGATTACCGCGACCTACGACCCGTACAAGATCCTTCAGGTGCACGATTACAAGTCGATCAGTTTCCTTCGCCAGTCTCCCGTTGTGAAGGCGGCCAGCACCGAGACGATCAAGATCTTCGCGCAGAACTACCCGGAGTTGCTCAAGGAAAAGTTCTTTGTGAATGTTCCTGCATTCATGGGCTTCATCTACACGTTCATGAAATTGTTTGTGGCCGCAAAGACGATCAAGAAGTTCCACCCGATGAGCAACGGCGCCAACCTGGCCCGGGAGATGGCGACGAGCAGCAAGGTGACAGGGTTGGGAGAGATGCTGCCGAAAGAATACGGTGGGAAAGGAGAAGATCTCAGTGCTGCCGGGAGACAGCCCACTCTCGAGGATGAGGCTGCGACTGAGACTCCGGCTGCGGCTGCGGCGCAGTAAGCCGGGCGAGGAGCTGAATCCGGGCGAGACGATGAGAGGACAAATGTCCGAAGAGAAGGGCAAGTGCTGCATCAAAATCGCGTGGCAGGAGCATGACCCTCAAGTGATGAGGAGGAGGAGGAGGAGGAGGAGGGGCCGACACAGTGCCTGCTACCCGGTGGGCGTTCGTTTTGGTGTTGAATAGATTCAGCGAGCGGATACCCCTTTTCTGTTGGGTGTTTTGGGCTGTGCAGGCAGGGACAATGCGACGAGCTTACCGATCCGACCTGACAGCTTGCACCACTGACCAATGATTGACATCATCGGTGTTGAGGCACATAGACACCGAATAGAAGCGATGGTGGCGAGGTCTTGTTGATACTGGTGGCATCGCCCTGCGTCGCTTTGACATGTGCGGCATGTGCGGCATGTGCATTCCATCCGTCTCACGTGCATTCGTTCTTCTGATGACGTCAAAGGTTATACATCGCTCTTGCCTTCTTGGCCTCCTCCTCCTCCTTCTCCAGCACTTGCGCCTGCTGTCTCTTGCACTTGCCCATTGCTCCTGCGTTGCCTTGTGACCAAAAGCTAAAAGGCTTTCACTCGTCCTCTTCCGACTTCATCTCAACTTTTCCTCCCTTCTACCAGCGCACACATTCTCACTGTTATCCCATTCCACCAGTTGATTCTCCCTCGCTTCGATCACATCACTTTACCTCAATCCATCACCTCCATCCACCAGATTCTCCTTCGAACCAACAATCGTCCGTCATGTCTGACACTGGCCGCAAGCCCTTGATTGACCGTCCGTGCATCCCGACCCTTTCTCAAGCCGTCAATCAGCTAACTTGATCCCCAGAGGCGCAAGAGAAGATCACGCCCGACTCTCAGAAGTCCACCCTCGACAAGACCAAAGAGTCTGCCACTGGCACTGCCGACAACATTGCAGGAATGGTCCAGCCCGGTACTGGGCAATCTCGACTCCTTCTCGACACCCCCGACTGACACAGTCAAATAGGAGACAGCAAGTCCACCACCCAGAAGCTCTCTGATGAGACCTCGGCCAAGACCACCTCGATTCAAGACACTTTATCCGGTGCCACGAAGAGTGCTCAAGACACTGCCTCCTCTTTGGGCCAGCAGGCGAGCTCCACCGCCGGTGCCGCACAGCAGTCAGGCAAGGAATATGTGCAACAGGCGCAAGACACTGCTTCCTCGGTTGGCCAGACGGCCAGTTCCAATGCTGCCGCCGCACAAGAGTCAGGCAAGAGTGTTCTGCAACAGGCTCAGGACATGGCCGCCAGTGCTCTGAACAGTGCCAGCAAAGCCGCGTCGGGTATGCGTCTCTTCCACCCCTTCCCTCCATGCTCAAGCTGACATTGCTATCAGATCTTGCTAGCAGCATTTCCGGCGAGAAGAAATAGATGGCAAGGTTACCCTTGCGCAGGATTGAGGCACTGATCGTGGAGGCTGGACCGGGGAGTCGTTGCAGGACACTGGAGACTCGAGCCCTTTGTACGGCTGGCATACCTTATCCTCGCGTATCACTCATGGTCGCCGCCGATCTTTTCATCCAAAGACCGGAGGCGGTCTCTATTAACGACAAAGCTGACCTGGTAGGAGCAATCCGGTCATGATTGTTGTAGTTCTACAGACAATGAATTAGTATTCTTTCCGCACCAAACTGGTTTGGTGTTAATTTCGTTTTGCTTCCCGTTTCCCACTCCGGTTCACGCACCGCCTGCCTTGCCCGCTTGGTGCTTCGTCCTCAAGCAGATCCTTCATTCTTTTTCTCCCGGTAACCTTACACCCTCCCAATCCTCTTTCCTTACGGCCCTCCACTCGTCAGGGTCAAACCATCCAATATAATTCTTATCGCCGAAGCCGCCAATCCAATACGCCTGAGTCACCACGAGACGGGTCCAGAAGCCCTGATGCGCGGCCCACTTGCGGCCGGGCAACCACATGACACTATCCCTGTGCTTGCGCAAGAAGCAGCTTTCTATGGCCCTTTGACTGACCTCGTGGGCAGGGATCTCTTCAAGGTAGCCGGTCAAACTGAGGCGAGGGAGGTTTGCCAAGGCCCAGGGCCGCTGCCCGGTCAGGTGAATGTACTCGTCCCACCAGCTGAGGGCGAGCGAGACGTTGGAGCCGCCGGCGGCGTTGCGCGTCGCCGTCGACACCTTGAGCGACAGGATCGTCGGGTTGCCGCTCGGTTCCTCGCACGACGCAATGTACTCGGGCAGGCCGATGGGCGTGTCTGCGACCGAAGCCGGGATGCCCGCGGTCCGCGCGGAGGACGATGCCGACGAGAGGTTCGCGGGGAAGATGCTCGTGAGAACCCCGTGCGACGAGAGCGCCAGGAGCCGTCGGCCCAGAAGGGTCGAGTAGTAACGTGAGGGGAGCGAGATGGTGGGGTCGTCTTGTTCTTGGTGTTGGTCTTGACTCGTGCCGTTATCATCTTCGTTTTCGTTTTCATTTTCGTTTTCGCCGTCGCCGCGGGAGCCAGCCGAAGAGGGTGATGACGAGTGGACGGTCGACTCGGCAAAGAGAGGAGGAAACGGAATCTTGTACGGGGAAAACGAGAAGAGAGAGTCGATGCCCAAGCCAGAGGCAGAATCGTCGCGGGTCTCTGTGACGAGCCGATCCAGGGCTGCGGACGCAACCATCGTGTCCATGTTCATGTTCCTCTGGCCGTGCTGCTCGTGGTCGCGTTCGGCCACCACCACGGACGGTGCGCAGAAAGCGGCTCGCGGCCCCAGCAGGCCGAGAACCTGCACCGCCGCCAGCGTCCAGGGCGACTGGATCCTCATGCTGTGTCGTTGTCCGTCCGCCTGCCTGCCTGGCTATCTGGTTGGCTCTCTCCCTGTCTCTGTGTCTCGCTGGCTGGCCGGCCGGCTGAGTGTTCGTTCAGCCGCACGTCGTCGTATACGGTGTAGTGCTGCGTAGATCCGTTGCAGTATAGTGGCCTCTCGTCTGCTTCCGGCCCCCCTCCGCTAATAAACTGCCGTGAATGCTTCGTTTCACCTGTTATTTTCTTTCTCTTCCGGTTTTCCTTGAGTCCTTCTTTCCTTTCCTTTCCTCCCTCCACCAAGAGCGTTAAAATCGAGAGGGAGGCCCCGGATCGGGTGCGGGACGAACGGGCACGCCGATCGATTGGTTTCGAAGGGTGTGTGTTTCCGTGTTTGTATGGACGTATGTATGTATGTATGTATGTATGTAGGCGGTAAACACGCACACAGACACAGACAAGGACACAACCACAGACAGATATGCACGGATGCAGTTTGTGCTCAACAAGGTCGAGCCGAGGGGGACGAGCCCGAATCCCAAGCCAAGCCAAGCTGCAGGACACACAGCGAAGGGGATAGTATGTACTTGTACATACAGTACCTCGTACCGAGTATGGAGCTCTGGTGACTATGGTGGCGTGATGATCTTATCTGATCTCCTCATGCGACACCGCCAGAGTGCCCGATATCGGCTTACTGTACGATCCCATATGTAGGACCTTATCATTCCCAGAGACTCTTGTCCGCCTTGGGTTGGCCATGAAATGGACGGGGATGGGCGGTGGTATGTGGAAATGTGGAATCGTACTTCAGGATCTGTCAGAGGGGAAAGCGGGAACGTCGGGACCCGGGCAAGACATGGCAAGGTACCAACTCGAGTCAAATTCCGAGAGCGTAGGCCAGATGAAAAACAAGAACAGAGCATTTGATACAAAGACAAAGAAAATTCAATTCCATGAGCTATACAATGACAATGATAGCGCTAATATGGCTGCTCGAGGATTCCTCCGAACCGCTTTGGACCCTCGTTTGTCCTGGCGGTAGATTTGATATCAAAAGAGGTCGGGTTGTTGTTCCTGTTCTCTGCTACTTGGACAGAAAACCAGTTGCTTTTAGTGCCTTCGCGTTGGCTGCGCTCCCTCTTGTACTTTGATATGGCGCAGATGCTTGTCGCAGTCGCGTTTGGCAGACTTATTAGGAGCTCAGATGCCAAACACCGCTGTCCTGTGGAGGAGTCTTGTGGTGCAGGATAGACGCAGGACGCTGGTATCATCGTCACCATCTCGACAGCACCCTTCTATCGGCGCGGCGCTGTGTCTGCAATCGTGCATACGATCAAGACAGCAAAGGCAGCCATAGTAAGAGATGCAATCGAGGAGACTCCAGAGCCACAGAGGCCCAAGATGGCCGTCGTACTTGACCCTAAATCTGTCACAAGGCCTTCCTCAAGACTGCAACCATCCACATCACGCAAACTTCAAGACGCCGCGACGGCTTCTGTGAGAAAGCGCAATGACATGTCGGGTGTGGAAGAAGAGTGGTGCATGGAGCAATGACGTTTCGTGCCTGTGGCGTTGGAGACTGCTCTCCTTGGTTCCATCAGAAGCTTGCTGGGCTGTTGCAATTGCGTGGGTGTTAAGCATGAGTAAAGTGGGAGAGAATCTTCGACGACTTCCATATGCGTCTGACTTTGCGAGAGCAGACTTCTCACTTGGGCGTGAAGGTCGGAATCGACCTTGGAAAGAGTTCTCTTTTGGCCCCTCGGGTGACTATCCCTTGGCTGTACCCCGCCGTCACCTTTCTCGGCAAGTCGCTGAGGGGTTGGCGTGACACTCTGGCTTGGTGATTCTGTCAACGCTGACAACGACATCAATCCGTGGATGGCAGCGACTTCGGAACTGGTAGGGATGTTCTTTGGTTCTTGGACCCGAGATTCCTCGGGACAGCTTTCTCTGCGAAAGGGGGTCTCCGATCTCTGACAATCTGTCGAGGCGGGCTTGCAGTGTCTGTCCGACAATGAAGATACTCGAGACAGAGGAGAGCTGACGCCGTTCCACACTCTTCTGCGCAGCGGAGGGATGCTTGGTGCCCAGGAGGACCAGGAAGAATTGGACGAAATAGATGATGATCGAGATCGGGATGTCAAGGTCGTCGAGTCCGACGAGATCGACGCCGGTGATGAAGTGACTGGAGTCGTTGACCGACTGGGAAGTTCCTGGATTGTCTCTGCAGGACGCAAAAGGCACTTCACAGGTGGTAAGACAAGGCTTTGAGGTCGGGGTGGAGGACACCGTTCCAAATTCGCGTTCATCAAACACTGCTTCCGCATGCTTCGCAACGCATCCATCGATGCAGAGCAACGAAGAGAAGATCGGCCACAGGTTCGCTCCCACGCACAGTGATCCGGACGAGGAGTGGTTTGTGGAGTTGGAAGATTTCCAAGGTGAGGCCGAGTCGGTAACGCAAGGCCCTTGGCCGGACTCATCTGAGCGGGAGTTTGAAAAGCCTGTACCGGCTGAGTCTTGGTCGACTCCGGAATGCGTGTCTTCAAGGCCTCGCTGAAGTTCAGATCATAACCATGAGTAACAGCATCCGTGCCAGGGGTTGAGCTCTCCGGCCGCCTGTTCACTTGCTTGCTTAGCTGCGCCAATGACGCAATGATTTCCATCTTGTCGCTTGGTAGGTTAGTTCGCAAGAACTCATCTACGTGCGCCGTGTCCTTGATAATGCTAGGCTCGAGTTTCCGGAGCAAGGCAGTCCACCACGAATCTGAGAACACATACTCGTTCATATTCTCTTCGAGACCCACTTGCGATATCATGGCCGCCAATGAGGCGCCCGGGCGACCACCAGGGGAACCGAAGTTCTCGTTGAAAGTGCTTGGCCGACACGCTGGTCTCTCGCTTGACAATTTGCTCAAAATCAGAACAACCTTGCTCCAATTGTCAAACGCCTCTTTCGGAACATGGAGGTCGTAGTTGATCTGTGCGAGGTATTCTCTTTCGTTCTCGTTGATTTCATTGCTCCGGAGGCCAGAGATCTTGCTCCAAGCACGAGCCGAGTAGTTCCGATCCTGCAAATATTTCGAAGCCAGCATGAGAGCCGACAAAAACATGCGGCGCCCACATTGCATGGCTCGGCATTGTGATCTCTCAAACGACTCGCCTCTACAGCTGGTCTTGGACGGTCCTTGGCACATCCTAGATTTTAGGAGGATCAGATAGTACAGAGCAACTTGCAGAGTCGAATAGCTTGTCTTGGAGCGTCGGAGAGTTTCTTTAATGAAGGTATCGAGGCGTAATACACCAGCTCCATTGAAACAATCCGACATCATTGGGGGTCGGTCCGAGAGGGGCCATATGGCGGTGATGAGTCTCTTTGCAAAGACGATGAGAAGGGACACAAATTGCTCTGTCACGTCGGTATCCCTCTTTAACCTAGGTGGGCATTGTCTTCGGAAGGAACAGGCAGTCCTCCGAGCACTCCAATGCTGCGTATCTGGGTCAAAGCTGGCGTCACCCCCACGGAGTCGTAAGCAGGTTTGGCTGGGTTGATGAAGATGAGTTGAGACTCGGGCCTTGAGGCTACGATAGGCATACCCAAGGGGGCAACTGCTGTCGGAAGCAGTGTGATCTTTGTTCTGTAGTCCCTTCAACAACTGCTCTTGAGGTTCGAGTGCCGAGTGAGAGAGCACCTTCTTGAGCGGCGGAAGCGGCTCCCTACCGTCCTCGTCCAGGAAGATGTCGCCCGGATCAGTTGTTGACGTCCAGGACGTTTGAGAAGATGACTCGGAGGAATAAGACTCATGGGCTGAATCGCTCACGCTGACATCATCGTCAACGGAAGCGACGCTGGTTTGATCGGCGTCCGGCTTGAAGTTGTAGGTGTTTAATGCCCATCGTTCCTGCGAATGTCTGCTGAAGTTGTAGAATCGGCCTGGCTCTTCCCTCGACACTGGAGAGAGCCATCTCTCGACTGAATCTTGTATATTTTGAGGGGGGTGGGAATTGGAGAAGGCTGCAACCTCCTTAAAACCCATCTTCTAGGGACGGAGAGGCCCAGCTAATCCTCCGATTTCGAAGAATTGAGCCACCGTTCCGAGTTGGTGGCAGCGCGTTTCAATTACGGGAATTCAAATTGACAGAAGAACCAATTAGGAGAACCTATTGCAGGAGTATGAGAATGCTATTCTTGTTTTGAGGTGCGTTCGTCCTTACCAAAGGATTGGGGGGCGAACCCACCGCAAGTCAGAGCACAAAGGACTGTTTTGTTTGGCAAGATGGCTTGATCAGGACAAGCACGAGATCGATGCCCCTTCGAGAGTTAAGCATAGGCCAACTCAGTGAGGGAGGTCTCGAGGTACAAATGCTCGTCTGTCTCAAACCAATCTTGGTGTGGCTTTACCAAAACAATTCGTGACTCTGGCGGTGGGCTTCGGCGTGCAGATGGTTCTTCTTGGATATATGACACCGACCAAGAAATCATGGCTAATGACCAATGTTTTTGATGACTCTGATGGGAGTGGAGAGTGGTGAGAGGTGTCCTAGGGCGTGTCGGCGGACGACTTTTCTGAACCCAAGGCGGTCGGAGGGGTTTGGATCAGATTGCAGTGAGAGAAAGGTGGCTGTCAACGGATCCTATGAATCCGATTGACGAAGCGTTGGCGATTGAAGGGGAAGGGTGAATTGGAGGGAGTGAATGCGAGGCTCGGATCGCAATGGGACTTGTAGCGGTGGTGAGAGCAGGGGAAGCTGCGGACGGGCTTCAGCCTTTGTCTCTGGGGATCTGTGTTTTCAACGGTCGTGGCAAATATGAAATGGTCCTAAATATACAGTGTCTATAGGCAGACATTGTGCAGTGAGTCAGTCGGATGCTCTGAATTGGTTTTTCAGTGCTCGATTGTGAGTCTTTGTGCTTCGTGGCGAAATGCGAGACGCTTTTGCAGCAAGGAGTGCTGGAAGGGCTTACTGAGGGAATCGAGTTCGGCGGGTTGGCGATAACCTGCGTCCTTATACCAGAATGTGTGCTTAGAGGGATTCAGATGTGGTCAAAGTATAACAAGCAGCCAGTGCTGCGATCCATGGGTTGCTTCATCTTGTTCTTTGGTAGAGAAGGACCGCATGCCGGGGGGGGGGGGCGTTGGCGATGGTTTGGAGGATATAAGGGCTGGGTAATGGGGTGGCACCCTCGCCACTTGGGCTTTGCACGCAGTCACGACTCACCACTGTGGCTCTTGCCTCGCCCGTCGCCCGCCGCTCGCCGCTGAACAGACACTTCGCGCCTCGCACCTCAGATCATCAGCCGATGACTCAAATTCCAACCTGAACCTGAGACCCCTTGACCACCCCCCCCCTTAGTGACACCCACTCCCCAGACCGCACACACACCCACCGTCCAGGCCAGGCATTACAGAACTCTAGAAGTTTGCTCGCGTTTACTCCATCCTATGGCATACACCGGGGCCTACGAGGGCATCTCCTACAAACTGCCGTTGCACGCCTCGCGAGTCTCGGGCTTTGCTGGCCACTCCCTGCTCCATTGATCCCTCCTCAAACGACTGGCAACGATGGAAAGGCCAGCGACACTCAGTCAGGGCCTCACCCGCAAGCAAGGCGTCGATGATGTGCTTCTCCAGCCCGAGCACGGAGGACGGAGTATTTGGTCAAGAAACCTACAAGCGCTCGCCCGCCCATTCTGTGCACCCAAGAACCCAGGCACACCAACAATGACCAATGAACCTTTCTGGTATTTCTGCCAGAACGAAGATTATATCAGATTCTGTTAGTTATCTCCGCTAATAGATTGCTTTACATATCATTCTGGTTCGCCGGCGGGAATTTCATTCACTGCGGCACCTTCACGGCTCTCAGGGTCGACCTTCATCTACTCCCAGACCTCTATTGACCCTTCTCCTTCACCTTGGAGAACATGTCCGACGCCCGCCTGGCCAACAGGATGCTGGTTGCATGTGTAACGCCGCCAACAGGTGCGCACCTCCTAATACGTCAACACGGAGGAAAGAAAGCAAGCCAGGCTAAGCACAACTAATCAGTGTCTGACAACGCTACAACACTCCAATCGGGCCAGCCAGCACCCCGCGTGGTAGTGAATCATCGACAGCCTGATTCGCCCCCTGGTGAAGGGCAATGTTGCCGTGACCAGGTGGTGGGTGGGCGGCACTCTGACCGGAGGGACGAGGGTCCAACTGAGAAGGCCCAAACTGCGGAAAGAGCGTGACTCAAACTTGATTCAGTTGGGCGGCAAAACGCCACCTTTCCTCCTTTAGGCCCAGTTCCGCGCTCTCACTCTTCCATCCAGGTTCCGAGCTTCGAGACTCGACGGATTCCTTTGTCCTTTCAACAGACAAACTACGAGGTAGAGGACTAATGTTTCAGAGTCAAGGCAACCCCCAGAATACTCAGCCTCAAGTTAACTATCCCAAAATGTCTCCTATACATGGGCACGTTTGGGGGCTGGGTTTGGATCTACTGGAGGCTGCCTTGCCTTTGCGAGTGGCTGAGGCGGGTGGGAATAGAAGCAGCGCGAACCCATTTGTCAATGTCATCCTTGCCTGTTTGGGGCATCCTATAGCTCCTCCTTGGCGGGCGCCCAGATCGCAGATCAGACTTTCCTCAATTTTCCGAGATGGGACAAGAGTGCTGCCGACTTTGGCCACCACAACAGGCAGAAGCACTCCTACCGGCCGTTTGAATGCTACTCGAAAAAGCAAGTCATCGAGACGGTCGAGACACTGGTACGAAATCTCGCACCCGTCGCACGGGCTCGTTGTCGCTTGGCCAAGGAGCCCATCTGGCCTGGGACCCTGCCAGAGTTGTGCAGTTTGCACAAATTCGGCTCGCTTGTGGGCGACGACGCAAAGCTCCAATGGCCAGGTCTGCATTTGTCATCACATGGCCTTCATATCACAGCATCCCGTCGTTGATGCGGAATGCGACATCAGAGCTCGACAACAGCCAAACTGACCTTGTCGCCCCGCGGCCTGGCTCGATGGGAACCACTCCGGCGACCGGATGTATTAGAATCCCGTGAGATGGCGCCAACTCAGACCCAGTCTTCGTTGTTGCAGGGAACCTGTTGTTGACACTTTGATTTCGACGGCACAGGCTGCCTGTTGCCTAAACGGAAACATAATGTCATCAGATGCGAAACCGAGTTCAAGAGATCCGCTTTTGTAGCATCCTTCAACGCATCCGAATACGGGCTTTCGATCCTTCCGTCAGAGAGTCACGTCCACAGATCTTCTGGAAGCTGACGCGGAGTGCTGGTGGGTAATACTCCACCGGCGGCCTCAAGGGAAGACTTGATTCTCAGCAGGATATGGAAAATCCAAGACGTCAAGGTCAGTGTTTGTGTTGATCATCATTCAATTTCCAGCAATTTCAAGCCTCACGGACAGACCGACCATTGTTTCTGCCCGAGGGTGAGCAATATCTTGATTGCTGCAACCGTCCTCCCTGCGATCAAACTCGCCTCGCCATCTCCTAACGTGGGGGGTGAGAGTTTTCCTGCGTGTCCGATGCACATCAAAGCCGGTTGTAAAATCCAAGGCACATGATCTGCAAGTTTGTGGCAGAAGTTTTTGAGTGCTGCCTAACATGTCCAGGTCACGTGTATCATGATAGGGCCTTGGGGCCAACCGAGGATGGTTTGAGTCATGCGTCCAGAGAAGTGACCATGGAGATCCTTCTTGCCTCTGGGCCACTGGCAAAAACAAGCGACATTCCACTACCGGCTCATCTGCCTGCTCCTGGCGCCTATTTGTGGCTGTAGGCGAGAGTTCTCGATTCCGCCTCGCAAGGAAAGTGCAAAACGCGCATCTCGGCGCCTAGGCGAATGCCTTGCGGTGAGTAAGAAGCTGTGCCTTTGGGCAAAGAAGGCTGAGGAGACATTTGTGACCGGACTGGCACGCAAGGACTTGCTAGATAGAGGGCAAAAGGTGCGAAGGTGCATCTGACGAAATGCTTCGAACAAATACCGAACCTTGGCCCTCAATTAGCCGGAGATGTGACACCGTTGAAGACCTGGTCCACGGTTGAAGTACTGTCTACTTTATCGGGAATCAAAGATGCCGACGGAGGTTGTTCTTGGAAGGGAACGCATAAAGTGGCCGCCATCCTCACAGAAGGAGGAAAACAGGGCTTTGGTGGCCCAAGGCTATGGATGCATGTTTCAGTTTGTCCCATGGAGCGAGGTACTCTGTTCCTTGGTTCTGAAGCTCAAGATCAGCTTCCCGTCTCTGGGCCGGAACCTGTCCCCGATATCAAGATCAAGATCCAAATGTCGCATGTTGACCTTCAACCAGAGACTGAGTCGAAAAGCCTTCACCGCACGCCGGGAGGCTGCGCCATGTCAAGGCCATGTGTACCCCATGCTCATACGGTAGCTTATCCAGGTAGCCACCGCGAATCAAACGAACCCTTCCTTCGCCTGTGGTGTACGGCTACAGAAAGAGAAATGAAAAGACGAGAGAAAGGAAGACGTTCCCAAAGAGAAAAGAAACCTTTCATCGGCGGAAGGGAAAGGCAAAGGACAAGGTGATAGATACCCAAATATATTTTGAGACAGAGCAAACTCCTTATTTGATCACAGTCAGTTCCAGGCCTACCTAGCTACCCACTACTCAAGCATCGACCAATAGCTTCCTTCCCTCTCTCTTCCCTTTCTCTCCCCATGCGCACTTGGTACATCTGTGTGCATGTGCATATTATCCGCGAGGCACTTCCTCTCATCCCCCATTCAGACAGCCTTGTTGAGATATATAAAGGATTTTTTGTCTATCCCGCATTATCGCCTTCTATATATTGCGGACATGAACTCGCTCGCTCGCTGGTTTCCCACGTGGACTCTTCCAGAGCCTATCCATCATCCATGGCAGTATACGTCAAAGCAATCAAATCTTCGTCCTCGGCCTCGCGGCGCGCACCGTTTCGTATCCCTCCGCAGGACCGGCACAGCTTCAATTTCCAGACCCATTCTATCATGAGGACGCCTTGCAAATCGAACTCGCCTCCACAGTCTTCTTTCCCGAATCAATAACCCCATCGGCGCAGCAACTTCGTGACTTTAACCCGTAAACCCTTCCGCCCTCTCACGACCTCTCATAACTCGTCTTCGGGCCTTGCTCATAATAATGCGCCATCTCCAACCCTGCCCTCTTAAACCCGCATTTCACATAGAATCCTTCGTTCGCCTCACTGCAATCCAAGATACTCTTGTAGCAGCCCACCCTCTCGGCCACCGCATCCAGCGCCTGAATGATTCTCAAACCCAATTTCTTGCCTTGCTGATTCTTCGCGACTGCAATGTCCTCGATGTGGCCTACAAGGCCCATGTTGTGGATGAATTTTCGCTCCACGATCACGGCCCCGGTTCCCACGACGGTCGAAGTCTCATCACAGATTACCAGGATATAGTAAGTGTCGTTGCGCGAGGAGATGAAGTCGTAGCGGGCATTGAATTCAGTCAGAGTGGGTTCGCCGACCGTGGTGAGGACGCGGAGGGTGGGAAGAAAGCCTGTAATCCAAAGATTAGAGATCAGATCTTTGTCGTGGGCGGAGAGGTTCAAATTTCTCGGGAGGAATGGGAACAGAATCTACGTATCCAAAGACAACTAAGATGTAAACGTACCTCCGTAGTAATCACTTCGTCGGAGAGGGCGAATCGTGTAGCCCTCGGGCAGCCGTGACACCACTTCTTCGGAAATGAGTGACGGGGAAAACAACGGCGGATCATCGTAATCACTCAGGTTGGCTAGTTTACCATTTTTGGCCGGTCCATCTGCCACAGTGGCAGGTGCAGAGGTGGTTGCGGGAAGGGGGGCGGCTATAGCTGATGATGCTGCGGGTGTGTATGTGGTGCCATTGGTAAGTGTAGCAGTGTTTGTGCTTGCATTTGTAACCCCATTCATAGCCGCTTTCGTCGTCGTCACCGGAGGGACAGGTGCCGGCTCTGTCTCTGTAGGTGCGTTTGCAGCTGGGACCGCGGTCTCAATGAGGGAGACTTGTGTGCCAGCTTCTTTTGAGGTTGGAGTAGCGTACTCGGTGGCCGAGTTCGACGTCGAGAGCAGTGTCGCTTCGGTAGGGGTTTGTAGATCGGCCATATCTTCTCTTTCCGCTTTCTCTTGAATCAAAAGATTGATAAGTCCGGAGACGCTGATCAAAAGGCAACCGGCCGCGCGGACACAGCGCGGAACAAGGAAATCAAGGACAGTAGGAGCCTTCTGGCTCGTATAAAGGACGTGAAACGAGCGAAAGGTTTCTTCGAGTTGGTTACTTCGGATAATGTGCTTGTGGTGTTTGTTTATTCTCGTCGCTGGAGAGAGGGGACAAGGGGTTGGAGTAGACTTTTGTTGCTTCAAGAGATGGGACACTGTCAAAAGCAACTGGGAACAGTTGTTGTTAGAAATGCAAGAGCAGCTGAAGAGCTTTTGAGAAAGGAGGGGTGAAGGGAGCTGTCTTCAATGATATGTAGGTTTCAGCCCCTGTGCAGTGTCAGCCGCAGTGTCAGATCGCAGTGCAGGCGCTGAAACATTGAGATTTGGTTCAGCCTCGGCCGGATCCCAAATACTCCCAGCACCACCCAGGGGGACTTTGTTACAGGAGCTATAAATACACCCAGCCTTTAGCAATCCCACTCCTTGTTCTCTATCTGTATACATTTCGCCGTCTGCCCCGTATAGCCCTTGTATCCTTTCTATTGATGCAAAAACTCGATGCGGTGAGGTGCGTCGTCTGGCAAAGAGCAGATTTCTCGGAAATCCCCCAGCTGTGTCCCTTTCATGGACAAGGTGTTTTGGAAACTCTCCAACAAGACAGCACCTTCTACGGGGGTGAACGGAACCATGTTGGTCAACTTAGTCAAGTCGGTAAGACCATCATTGATAAAGAGGCGTACGGCATGCTCCGGCCCCGTTGCTGTTGTCCCTCCATTCGTCTGACAAGTTATACGTTCGAATATCAACCGTCCCCCCATTGGTACCACGTCACTTGTCTTCCAGTTCCGCTCGGTCACTAGTCGGTCAGTAGGCAGTTCATGCAGACCCAAAGGTTCATTGAAGATTCCCAAGGTGGCCAATGCAGGGACAATGTCGCCGTCGTGGACGAAGCTGAAGTAGACATCTTTCGACGAGTGGTTTGACATGAGCTGCTGAGTCGCATTGAGCCACAACCAACCCATTGCTGCACCAAACTTATTGCCTGGACCAGCTCGATAGTAATGTAGCAAGTCTCGCGCATATTCGAATTCGAGCCACTCCTGACGTTTGAAGATATCGCACCAAGGGCTGTTTCCCCTCGCGAGAATCTCGAATCCGCACATTTCCATCATGCCTTCAGACATCCGTCAGTCTCACTCCGATTTTGACACGGGCAAATAACAGAAGGTTCTCCAAGTGCCGAAACCATCTCGCGGAGATAGGGGGAACATACCATAGATGTCAAGAGGACTGAACATTATTCCGACGGCGTCATGGGCAAGTCTCTCGGCGATGGCTGGGGAAAATATGCCCTGCCACTCCGCCAGCTTCACGTATCCATGGTCGTGACCATACTCTTTGTCGGCGCGGTAGCTGAGACAAGTATCTCCGGGGGTAAGCGTATTAGCGCCTCGATCTTCATCCTCAGGAATGATCACCAGCTCAGCGGAACCATCAGTCTTCCATTCCGCGCCAAAGAATCCATTGGCGAAATGTTCTGCGGTCTCAACATTCCGCGGAGAGCTGCAAGACCAGAAGTTTGCCCTGCGGCCGTTGGATACAAGGTGGTTGTAGCGTTGCCGTAAAACCCTGCCCGTATTATATGCCTGTCGTGTCCCAGCATATGGACCAGTGGCAGTTAGATTCTCGAACGAAGGATTGGAGAGATCCGTAAAATAGGTCCAGTCGTTGATAAATGATAGCGATCCCGTGAGATTTACCTCCGGACTCTGAAGTCGGCTGAGGAGATCGACGTGGCCTGGTGAAGGTTGTTAGTGCTTTGAGAGGGTTTAGATCACCAGAGAAACTCACGGGAGCCAGCTGTCTTTGTCGGGTATCGTTCAGCATGCCGTGATAACTACACCAGTTAGCACAAAGAATAAATGGCCTACCGTCTGTTATCCAAGTGATGTTCCTTACCATATGGACCTGATCAATCGAGCACTTTTTGGGTAAAGGCGCATCGTAATAGTTAACACCATGTATTTTGCGAATCCAGGGACCGTTTCCCCCCAGGTGATAGAACAGGTTCCACACAGCGTGAAAAATCGTGCTACACAGGCCTGCCCGGAGCAGAAACGGAGAAGTCGAACACGTGTCGTTCCGTACCTGTCGCAGTGAATGAAGGGTGAAGGGAGCTACAAATAAGATGAGTATAAACAAGGACGACTTTCGCTGGAGGAGCCACGGAGAGACCAGCTCTCGCCTGGGTTTGGAGGTCGTAGAAGGCATGGGAAGCAGATTTACTCTTCCGGCGGGTCGATCTTTTAACCAATACATCAGGCGAGAAGATGTTATGTCGGAGATGTAGGGTTCCAGAGGTTCGCTGATTGTCGATTTTGACAATTGGTGAATGAATTACCCCCGGTTTTTGGTCGAGTGAAAGTCACAGGCTTCACTGTCTAATACTTTGGATAGCGCAGGACGAATCTCTGGCGCTGCATAATGTAACTGTTAAAATGCTCTGATTAATGTAAGAACAATGTCGTCCAGACGCCTCGAGATGCGCGTTATGCAAACTCGGAGGTGCAACGGGGGTAGGACAAGAAAGAGCCCAACACAAGGATTTGGAAAAGGTACCGACAACAAGTGCACGATGTCTGGCGGGCTTTTAATTCTCCATTTTCTTTTGCTCAGGAGCATTTTGTGGCCATTCTCACCGTCTCTATCTTCACCGGCTCCTCGCCCCGTGTATCTCGTCAGGCTCTTCATGCACGCATACATTCTCCCACGGTCAAAGGGATTGGGCTCAACAATGGTGGTGTCAAGTGCCTCAGAAATGTATGGCCTGTGGCTAGGGCAACTCTCTCCTTTGCCGGTCGATCGACTCCGCGAGTCTGGGAGTCCGGTACATCAGACGCCGAAGGCCAGGATTTCATCGCCAATCGAAACGGCTGCGAGCCCGTTCGAGTGGCCCCCCGCATGAGAGAAATCATGAACCTGAGGGGAAAACACGGGCAAGGATGGCGACGGCGCAGTGACCGATTGATTGTGTGCCGCTGTCGGAGGTGTTGTTGAGGATGATAAAAGATGGATCATTCAACGACGAGATTTTGTTCTGGGGCGCAGTTTGTCCGGCTCCTGTCTATACTTGACGATTGACATCCCAAAAGAAAAAGAAAAAAATCCAAAGATTCAAGCAACATGGGCTCTACAAATCCAACCCCTCACACGTATCCCGTCCCACCGCCTGGAGTGTATTGTCCTGCAGTCACCTTTTTCGACCCTGCGACCGATACCTTGCTCCCCAGTGAACAAGGTCAATATTATTCCTACCTTGCGAATTCCGGGCTGAGAGGGCTGGTCATCCTGGGGACAAATGCTGAGACCTTTTTGCTCACCCGCGACGAACGAGCTACCCTCTTGCGATTAGCACGCAAGTCAGTCCCAGAGAACTATCCTATCATTGCCGGGGTCGGAGGCCATTCAACAGCACAGGTACTTGAGTACATTGCTGACGCCCATGCTGCCGGGGCGAACTTTGTCCTCGTGCTCCCTTGTGCATACTTCGGCAAGCAGACCACGCCCACCGTCGTTCACAACTTCTATGCTGCCGTGGCGAAAGCTTCTCCTCTTCCCATTCTCATCTACAACTTCCCTGCCGTCTGCAATGGCCTCGACCTGGACTCGGATGCTGTTGCAGCTCTGGCACACGAGTTTCCGAACATTGTAGGAGTGAAATTGACCTGCGGTTCAGTCGGAAAGATCACACGACTGTCAGCCACCTTTCAACCAGAACGGTTTGCCGTCTTTGGCGGGCAGTCGGACTTCTTGGTCGGTGGGTTGGCGGCCGGTTCGGTGGGTTGTATTGCTGCATTTGCCAATATCTTCCCCAAGACAGTCGTCAAAGTCTTCGATCTATGGAAAATGGGTAAGCATGATCAGGCATTGGCGCTGCAGAGACTGTCTGCTCATGCCGAGAACCCCACAAAAGCCGGGATTGCCACCACCAAATATGCTGTGAGTCAGTTCAGTGCGAAGAAAGCCGGAATTCAGGGTGACCTCGAGGCCATGCTGCGACCCCGACGACCGTATGAAGAGCCCAGCGAGGCGGTCAAGAAGAAGATTGTCGAGTTGATGTTGCCCGTGGATGAGGTTGAGAAGACGCTCTGAAAGCGCGGGTGGGCGGTATACTAGATAAAATAGAAACCATCTGAGATTCTTCTGGGGAAGTCTTCATTCTCAATTGCAAGCTTCCGCAGCCTTGTTCATGTCAGCTCGCCCTGCATGTCCAAGGCCGTGCGCCCCGACGGAGCTCCACGTTGTGCAAGCCACCTCGTCAGCGGCGGATCGTCTGGATACCATTTTCTGGGCAAGTTGGCTTGCAAAAGTACACGATATCGATAACAATGTCCTTAGTAGGGGAGATCTGCCCCTCCGTTGCCCTCCCAAAATCATCACTCTTTCATGGGGGCATCGATCAGCACCGCAAACTCGCTTAGTATGAACTCCACTGGCGCAGCTGTTGGCTCACCGAAGACAAGCTGCGGAAAACAAGCGATGGCCGAGAGAAAGCGCAATGTCGTAGTTCAGTAGAGGGAAGATCCAATGACGGGTACAATGTCTGTCCTAGAGGCCAGATGACATGTCAAGCAGATCGATCTCTGTAAAACAGCAGGTCGAAGGTTTCACAAGCACAAGCGGGATGACCGCGACATGCAGAGACAAATACGAGTGCCCCCACGTTGCACTTTGCCGGGGTTATAGGGATCGGTGAACTTGGCTACTGGGTACCTACCCAGCTCGCCAGGCAGATAGACAATAATGAACTGCAGAATACTCGGTCCTTCACAAGCTGTTCAATGCTGGCGGGGAGCGCGATGGCAGAAGGCAGCGTTGAATGAAGCATTCTTCATCATTCAACACGTCACTGTTACTTCACTGGCTCCCCGGATCTTCGCCGATGCTACGCGTCATCGAGTGGAAGTAGCCAAAAAGTGTAAAGACGTTTGGGTGTGTAGGTAAAGGCATCATGAGCACCGACTTCCGTAGTCACCGCAGTGATCCGTCGAGCCCGGCAAGCTGGAAACTAAAGCAAAACCTGCTTTGGATGGATGGCACTAAGCAGAGTTCGTGACGCTGCTCGCGACTTTAGCCTCTCTGAATGCCGTTTGGGAGCTGCGCGAGCTTCCCAGCTTCAGCTTCACAGCTGCCCTGACGACTCGGTTATTTCTCCACGCCCATTGTCTCGGCATCTAGACGCACCGATGGCCACTAGCACCATAGTGGTGATAGTGGTGATTAGGTCGTTGGTGGGTGACATGACATCTGTACCTAGTATGTATAGCTGGTGTGCTGGTGGGCTGGTGGACTGGTGGACTGGTTCGCTGGATCGCTGGTGGGTAGGTATAGCTACCATCGGCCCAGCATTGAAGCAGCACGTACGAGGTACCTCGTACCGAAAGTTACAATTTCCATTCCCACCTTCCACTTTTCCACCATACTAAAGAACTACCGCGCTTTTACCTTTTCCCACCCTTCGTCCTTCGTCCTTCGTCCTTCGTTTGTCGCTCTGGAAGTACCCGGCCTTTACTCACACCCCTTCGTCAACATCGTACCCGTCGTTAACACCTGTCCAATACTCTTAATTTTGCACATACCACCCTCTCCAACACTGCCTACCCTTCCCGAGCCAACCCGCAAACTATCCGGAATCCTCGAGTCCCAAAATCCTTGGACCGGATGCCTTCTCGCAGCGACCTTTCCGTACCTGTGCTCAGAGCTCTCCTGCGCCCTGAACCTCTCATAGAATGAGGTGTCAAATTGAATAAAGAATATCCACCTGCACGGGATCCAGAATCCTCACATACTCCAAGAACTTGACCGCTCGACCTGTCCATAACTGAGCCACGAAGCTCCGTCTGGTTATGTGTCAGTCTTCCCAGGTCGCTACCAGTCGCTCGAACCCTCGTTGGCGAGACCTTGCCGAACCCCTTGTCGGTCCAGGAAGCCGGGCGTAAGCCTCAGGCAGCCATGGCGTCCGTGCTTGGGCGCGCCATGTATTCATGGTTGACGGCATGGTCGATCCTGGTGTCACTTCTGGCGTTGAATGTGCAGAGGGCTGCAGCAGACAATACCAGGTGGATAGAATACACCGGCAATGACGGCACCGTTTGGCTCAACGACGACCGACGCCCTTCCTTGTACACTCAGAATTTTGGAGATTGCCAGGGCGATTCACTCATCAACGTCTCCCGTTTCGATGCGGCATATTACAAGGACAACATGACCGTTCTCTTCCACCTGGAGGGTAATTCAGCCTTGACAAATGAGAGTCTGATGCGTGAGTTATATACTCGTCCAAAATAAAGTGCTGACATCGAGCTGATCAGCACATCAGTATACATCGGCGTTTTCGCGTACGGAGAGTCCCGTTTTAATCTGACGTTCAATCCATGCAATGCCAATATTCACAGTCTCTGCCCTCTCAACTCGTCCGTACCCATCAACGCGAATGGAATTATCCCCGTGGCACCGTCGGACGTGGCCAATATCCCGTCAATTGCCTTGACCATTCCGGACTTCGAGGGACAGGCAATTCTTCGCATCTTTGCAAACTCGACTGAATCCCAGATAGCTTGCTTCTCTGCAGTGGTGACCAATGGGGCCTCATTTTCACACCCCTCAGCAGTGGCCTCTGTCCTCGGTGCTTTCGCCGTCATTGCCTTGGTATCTTCAACGGCCATGGCCATATATGGACCAAACATTCTCGAGGCGCGGAAGCATTATGCCCATTCGGTCTCCATTTTTGTGGTGATCTCCGTCTATCAGCACATCTTCTTTACTGGAGGGTTGTCTATGAATTGGCCAAGTGTTCTCGTCTCGTTCTGGAGTAACTATGCCTGGTCGGCCGGGATCATCTATAGCCAGAAGATGCAGAATTCGATCAATCAATTCATCGGTAGCAACCGCGGCAATATCAGCATGGTCGGCGCCGCTCCCAATGGCGAGAATGCTGCTGGACTCGGAGGTGGCTATGAAATTTCACAGATATACAAGCGAGCAGCGCCCACGCCGTTTGCGTTACCCCAGGAGACTCCCTGCGACGTGGATCACCTGCTGAAAAGACAAGCTGCGAATATCACAAACGGGACTTCTCAATTCTCCTGGTACGGGAGACCAGTGCTGCCCGGGTTGCCGTTACCAGGGAATTATTCTGGCTTTGCCGGAACCTTGGCCGAGCTCAACATACCGGCGTCCAACGCATTTTTAACCGGGCTTCTATGGTTCCTTATTTTGATCGCTTGCCTTTTGGGGGCTGTATTCTTGCTCAAATGGAGCATCGAGGGTTTGATCGCCGTTCGACTGATCAGGACAACTCGACTTGGGTACTTCCGGAGACATTGGCTATGGTTCATGGCCGTGGCTGTTTTGCGGACATGCTACATTGCCTTTTTTATGATGATGTTCTTGACCATGTTCCAATTCACTCTGGGGGGAGCCAACGGCGTCAAGGCCATCGCCGCGGTGGTACTCACAGGTTTTCTGGTCGGAAACCTCGGCATTTCGGCTTATGCCCTTTGGTACAGGACTAAGTCTGAGGCGTTGCCGGAGCTACAAGAGCAGGCAAGCCATGAATCCCGTGGCACCGAAAAGCCCGGCAAGTCCGCTTGGTACAAGATCAGCTTTAAGAAAGTACCTGAGAACCAAGCCACAGAAAGCCAGACTTCCCAGCCGAAGACATGGTTTCAGAGGTATCTCCCACGACTTAATCCCACTCGAGTTCATGTCCACGATGATGAAAACTACATCATCAGATACGGCTGGCTGGCATCAAGATTTCGCCGGAGCAGGTGGTGGTTCTTCTTCGTCTGGCTAATCTATGAAATAGTGAGGGCCGCATTTTATGGCGGCGCTGCAGGCCATGCCTTGACCCAGGTCTTTGGTCTGCTGGCTTGGGAAATCATTGCTCTGGTAGCAATTGTACTGCTGAGGCCCTTCCAGAGCAACCGCCTCAACCTGATCATGGTATACCTCCTAGGCTTCAGCAAAGTGGCGACGGTCGCATTGTCGTCAGCCTTTGATGCTCGATTCGGACTGGATCGAATTATGACGACAGTGATTGGAGTGGTTATCATTGTCATTCAAGGAATTCTGACCATTTGTCTGATGATCGCCATCGCTCTCGGGGCGATCTCTAGCTACATGTCTGTCACGCGTTACCGCGAAACTATCAAACCTAAATCATGGCTGAAGCCCCGGACACGATATTTCGCTCATGTCGATCGCAAGGCAACCGACCAACCGAAACCACCTCCGCCGCCACCACCGCCAGAGCCTGAACGTCCGAAAGAGCCTTACTTTATGGTGTCGAGTGTCCGGCGGCAACCCAAGATTGAAGACGAGGACCCTGACAATCAGGTGGCCGAGTTTTACATGTCACCGCGGGCCTCTACTTGTATGGATCCAGAGATAGAGGGAAGCCATCAGGTGAGCGTGTCTCGATCACATTCCATGCGGTCTCGGACTAGCGTATCGAACTTGCCCTATGGAGCGAGGGCTCATCGTGTCAGCTGGAGCACGAGAGACTTCCAAGACATGGATCTTGAGCAAGGCCCCAATCCAATCTATACACGGATGAGTATAGAGAGCATCCGCGACGTTCCCAGCAGGCACCGGGCAGCCAGTCTGCGTGGAGCATCTCGAGCTGGCACACCCATTGGGGAGCTGAATGATCCCCCCACTGCCCCAGATGTTCTAGCCCATCGACGGGGACACCGACGCAGTGTGTCAACGCCACTGGGCTCGATGCGGAAAAACACGACCGTGGACGAAGAAAAGGAGAACGATGCAGACACCATCCACCAAGAGATGAGCGGAAGCAGAGAGACTGCGCACGAAGCCACGAAACTTTGACGACATTTATGGACATAATTAATCATTGAGCTTTTGACCGTGTCAAATGACTCCGGTGACGAGCTATGATTACGATATATTGCACAGAACCCTATTCTAAGAGCTACGCATAGACACACAACTTCGGCATCATGCATCGGAACCATCATAGAGGCATCAGGTATGACCACGGCGAAATGGCGAGGCATTATCCAGGGTCAGGATTTCTTTTTAGCACAGCGAACGGCGCTCGAACAGGTTTGTGGCAATTCATTAGCAGATCGCTTCTACGGAGATAGAGAGCAATTTAACAGAATTCGCTTGAACTCGGTGGTGATCAACAGTTCTTTTTGCGAGTGTTCAAAGGCTCTGGTGATGGGGTCTGGTCACCTTGAACGCCTGTGGTGGATGCGTCGGTTCTTTGCAACCGACGAGAGCTGGAGTCTCGTATTGCAAAGGATAGCCTCCTGAAAACCCAAAAGCCAATTCACGCTGTCTGCGCGCATTTGCCATTTCCCTTGACTTGAAACTTGGATTGGAACGGTTCAGGGCTGGGCTCCGCCCTTGAACCTGGGCTATGTCCCGAGTGCCGCGTTACGCTCGATCCCTCCCAGGCCACGGTAGCGCTCGCCTTGGCCAGGGAGAAAAAGGGATTGACCATCCGAGATGGAGACATGTCGCTTTCCTGAAATGGGCATTCTCCAGATCCGGATCCCTAGCCCCTTGGAGAGAGATGTGCTCTACCATATATGTATAGGTTGGGCAGTCACTAACTAGTTGATTGCTCGCTTCCACATCGCATGCAGCGCCTTTCCGAAAAGGGGGGTGATCGTCCGTCAATTGAGGCATTAAGACGAAATGGCGAGGAATTCCAGCCTGATCCATTGCGATGCGACACTTGAGACAACCTTCTGGCGCCCCTGCGTTGATAGACGGGAAGTAGCGCAATTTCCCAGGTTTGGGATGGCGACCTTTGTTTCTTCAAGGTTTGGGAAAACGGAACCCCGGATCACCGGAAGGCACTGGGGGCGGGGAGCCTGAGCCTGAGCCTGAGCCTGATGAGCAGTGAATCAGGGTACTGGCACCAGCATCCGGGCACCAGGCTGGACCAGTTGTATCAGCTGGCAGGCAGCGGCCCAAGGCGCGACCCTTTCCACTGGGACTGGGTACTAACAAGTAGACGGTGGATGAGCAAAGGCCCCCCAGGAGCAGTGCCGCCGAAGCGGGCTGGCGTAGCCTGGTAGTGGTAGGCTCCAGGCGCCATGGCACCCTAGGCACCCTGGACACCCACCAACCATAGGCTATGCTTACCGCTAGGCTTAAGTAATGGGGGTCCTTTGGGCGTCTCCCTTCCTCCTCTGCCGTGCCATCCCCTCCCGTCTTGCCCAAAAGGATGCCCAAGCCACCGGTGGGACACCCCGGAACATCAGCTGGTCTACTGTTACAACTATTATGTACCTAGGTATGTACTCGTCTGGTCAGCACCTAACTAATCTTGCTGGCGGACCGACCGCTCTTCACCGATGGAATCTTTGGAACGAGCATCATCATCATCCATCATCCCATCCCTCTGGTGCTCGTTCCATTTTCTCCATTCATCGATGTTACCTTCACCTCCTGCTCAACCTCAGCATTGTCCCTTTTCGTCTCACTAGCCCGGTAGTCGAGATCAACGTTGGATCCATCCTCTCTCCAGAGTCCAGACAAGAGGGCGTTATCATCTGCCGAGCCGGCATCCAGAAATTGCTTCGAGACGAGATCCGAAACTTGGTTTCTTCTCGAAGACGCCAGGCATGATTTCTGCGCCTTGCTCCTCCTCTTTCTCAGCCTGCTTACGACAACCACTGGAACGCTGCTCATACCACCTCCCTTGAAACCTATGTACCCTGCTCTGCCGCATTTCATCAAATCCCCCGTTTTCTACCCAAGACCGCCCCGGATTCTGCAAGGGGTCCGTCCTCGCACCCCTGTATCGGGCGTCCTTCGAAGCCGATCAGTGATTGTCTACCTGCTTGGTCAATTGGACGTCTTTCTCTTGTCGACTCTAGCAGTTACTCCATTTTACTCGTGTCTCACGAGGCGAATCAGCGTGCACGACCCGAAGTCAATCATGCGTCGCCGTGGGATGCGCATTTAATGCCAGTTTCATTCCTCCTTGCGAACCTGTCCACAAACTCATGTCGTGGTGAGCTGGTTCCCCGTTGCAAATTTCGTCCGTACTGCAGAAGGACTGTCTTCGAGGATTATGCCCAAACAGTCAACTCGATCTTCGCCATCTAATCGGTTACCCTTGGCTGGTTCAACACCTCAATTACATCGCTCTAACCCTCACTTCTCCAACATGCCTACCTCAACAATCACAGCGTCTAACACGAGTTCCCGGAGGACTTCGGGCCAGACTCAGAAGCCTTTCGAAAATGCCCACGTTTCACCACTACCACCAGCAGCAACCGAGACGACACCTCCGGTAGATGAGCCGGCACCAAAAAGGCCCAAGCGGGCACTCAAGCTCACCGCTTCTCAACGTGAGAGGAAAAGAGCTATCGATCGCGAGGCGCAACGAAGCATCCGTCTGAAAACCAAGAATTATATTGCCCATCTCGAGAACTTGGTCAGGATCATGGAAAATGGAGGCTCCTCCGTAGATCTCGGCGAGGGCGGTCAGGATCTCCAAGGACAGGTCGCCACCGAGGAAGGGCAAGAAAGAGTTAGAGCGCTCTTGTCTCAGCTGAGGCAGAGCGAGGACGAGGTTAGAAGATTGAGAGAGATGGTGACGGGGGTACAGAGGCTTGTGGCTGGCGCTCTGAATCCTGTTGAGGATTCCGCAACGAGGCGACTTACGGGTCCCGACGGTTACAACATTCAGCAACCTGCACAGATGGCGACCCCTTTTCAAAGCGCGATCCACGATCACCTCGAGAACACCGCCTCCGTTTACTCTCACAGTTCGGATTCATCGTCCCCTGTGATCGAGCTTGCTTACCAGCCGTTGGACCAACCGAGGTCTGCCGAGGCATCTGCGCTGGGCGGTCTGGGAGCCAGCCCTTCGCACCACCAAGATCGATTCGACAGCCTTGGCAGGTTGATTCCTCCTGTTGCAATCCTGGAACCACCAACTTCGGAGCCGCTCGACATCCCCAAGAAGAGGATCGAAGGTGAATTGTTCTTCCTTTCAGAACGCGAGGTCAATCGGGTCCTGGCCGGGGGTCACCAGTCCTTCGCCAACCAACCGCTTGACGAAGACATTATCGTCCGCGCGGTATTGCATGGGTGGCGCGATGTCCAGGACCAGTATCTTCTTGACAGAGGCTGGCAAGCCCTCAGGAGCATCGATCAATCCATCTTCCGCGAATGCGGCGTTGTGGAGAGAATGGCAATCCTCCACATGATGCGGCTGAAGCTGCTCCATCAGAGCAACATGAACCCGCAGTTCCTAGCCCCGTTACCACCATTCTTCCAGAGAGGCCCGGCGGAAGATCCCGAGGTGTTGGAGAGGACGCCCGTCATCGAGCACTTTATTTGGCCGGGCATGCGGGCCTGCCTGTGCAAGAATGCTCCGAGGTATATCAACAACAAGTTCTCGGATTCGTTCCGGCAATCACTCAAATTCTTATGGCCCTACAATGTCTCGGATGTTTACGCGAGGGATCCCCTCACCCAGCTATACTCGATCATGCCGGAATTCAAACGACGGGAGGGAGACCTCCGCTCGTGGACGATGAGAAAGGATTTCTTTGCCAATGCCAGCGAACTGATCGGTGCGATACCGGTCTATGAAGCGTCTTTGGACCGACCCCTGATTCCCGTCGGGTCAATACCCATGCAATCAGGGATGAGCGCGGGACAACCGCCTCGGCGGATGCTTCAGCAAGCGCCTGCTGGGACCATGCCAAAGCAGGAAGGCGACGAGTCACATATGGAGACGATGCCCGCACCTGCCCACGCGCCTACTCCTCATCATATCGGCGGGCATCCCCCGGTAACGACAACAAATGTACCAGTGACACACGTGCCGCATGCTGCTGAGGTTGAGGCCTGGCTAGGAGATCCTGATCTGGTACCGCAGTACTGGACCATGGGCCCTGGCATGGATGTGGGATTTGATGTGGTGGCTCCTCAGTGGTCGAGCGTCCCACGAGGGTTTGGAGGATGATTTACCGACGACGTTGCCAGGTCGAAAAGAAGTCAATCTCTTGGTGCATGCGCATACGTCATATTGAATGTATCGTTATTGAACTACACAAGTATCAGGCCCTGCTAGAGCATTCCTTTTCTTCTTTTTTCTCGTCTTCTAGAAGATCTGCGGCTTTCTGAGCGCGTGGCCGGGAAATATCTCGGGATCCCCAAAGCGCCTCAGTTGCCTTCCTCTAGCCTTGGTTTCCGCACATTCCCGACCGAGTGCGACAAGTGCGTTTCTTGATAGTGAAGCGGATGACATCAGGATTGCTGAGGGCTGTCACCTCTGTTTCTTCTGCGGCTGAGGTTGAGACGCTTGTGACGCCTCGACGTCTTCAGATATCGCTCAGTCAATCACGTGGCAGGTATTGATAAATCGCATGCAGCCCGCTGACATAGCAGACATAATACATAGCTGGCATGCCGCATGCCATTCCCGCTTAGGCTCTTCATATATCCAGTCACCACAGTCACCCGCCGTCGACACATTATCTGAGCAAATGCCCCATTCAGACTCCATTAGCAAAACCTGCATACCCCCAAAAAGCCCCCAGATTTCAGTACTCACCCATGCGACCCGTTGCCGCTTTGCGCAACTGAGAAGCTTTGACGGACTGGCACAGGCAATCAATGAATGCGTGCCCTCGGTTGCCAAATTTTTCCACCGTCCCAATCTCTTTGTATCAAAAATCTACCAGAGGCCTTTCCTATCACCTTTCCAGCGACAATCAGAGAGACGCTTCCCCTCCCTTTCCAGTCCTAGGACGAATAAAGCTACGCCGGCCCACTCCGGCCACGGAGGGCCATTATTAATCATCCATCATGAATCTCCTCACACGTAAGACTTCGAGCAAGTCGCTCTCGGAGAAGGAGAACAGGGGCAGAGGTCCCACGGGTCAGGATGCTGGTGCGGCGGAGCGCATTCAGGAAGACACCAAACCCTCACTCTTCCGCCGGCTGAGCAGGAAAACCAGTCGATCGAGGGAGAGGGAGGGTCATAGTCAGAATGAGGCACCAATCCCACAGCCGATTGAGGTGAGTTTGACATGATATGTTGCCATGACTTGTCTCGACCTAGCAGCGTATTTCGTCGTCAATCTACGATGAGGCTGACATGAAGGGTACAGGCGCGCCATGAGCGAAAGGCAGTGGCTGAAGATGTGGGTGTCAAAATCCCTTCATCAAAGGTCGCCGAAGTCCTGCCAGAGCTCGGCCACGCCGACACCAAGAAGAAGCATTCAACGAGATTAAACACGTCGCCTCATGCAGAGAAGCGCGAGACGCCCCATCCCATGGATCCAGCCACGGAGAAGAAAGTTGCCGCGCTTCCCAGGAGCAATTCTGGGGGTTTGCAATCACATGTCGAATCAGGTGAGGCCCACGCGTCTTTGGCTAGGCGAACATGAGTCTGACCCTCAAAGGCGCAGACGATCATGCCAAAAGCGTCCGCCGCTCTAGAGGCTTGACAAAAGAAGACGTTGAGCATCTCTTCTCCGGCGCGCCTCAATTTGTCCTCGAGAAGGGCCGGAGAGGCCGCTACTTCCCCCAGGCGTTTTTTCCATGGAACAATGATCTAGAGATATCTGATCTCCAGGACCGGAGATATATCAAGCATGAAAGCTTCGCGCTTGCGACGTTACACGCCCACTTGCCCATCCCCGATGAAGTAAACTGGAAACCAGGAATGGCGGCCCCCTTTAAGCAGGAAGGTCTCGAATTGGGGAAACGACCCATGTTCGAATTAGGGATCTTTGAACGACCGAACATGCTGGGCATCGAAGGTCGGGAGCCAGGCACCGTAGGAATGCGCTATTTCCTGGAAAGACCGGTCGCTGATGGCATGACGGACGAAAAGATCAAGGAGCACGGTAAGGATGTGGAGATTGACCTAGCCATTGCAAATGCGCCCGCCATGGAGGCCTTCAAGATGCTCGCCCTGGGCAAAGATAATGAGGAGCTGAATGCGAAAATCGGCAAGCATGCTCCGGCCCAGGAGAGAGTCAGACTGATCAGAGAAGGTCCTCACGCGTGGAAAGCGGTTGGTGTCAGGGACATTAGCATGGTGGTCCTGGCGGAGAGGATGGAGAAAATCGGCGAGCTGCGCGATCATGTCCTTGATGCGGGCTGGCGAGTCACGGTCCTAAATCACATGGACGCGGCGGATCTTTATGCCCATCTCTTCAATGAACTGCTATTTCCACCTCATCGAGTGCCCCCAGAGGCAAAACACGGCAAGACCTCTCTGAAGATCCAAATCGAAGCACTGGTCAAGGTCCTCACCACGCCTGGTGCCTGGCTCGATTTGAGCGTCCCCGAGTCCAGATTGCGGTTCGGAAAAATCCTACACAGCCGGACGACGCGATACGACCATGAAACGGGCAGGTTCATTATCGACCCAGAGCGCAAGTGGCTGCTCATCCAGCTTCTGTTGGCCGTCGAATTGGTCATTCGACTTGACGCGGCATTGAGATTGGGCGTGGCACTCCATGCTGAAAACTTTGAGATTAGCAGCGAGGAAATTCACCATTTCAACAAATTACGCAATCTCAAAGTCGATTGGGATCTGGTGGCGGCCAGACGGTTTCTGTTTCTCTCCTATGTCAAGAGGATCGAAAGGAGGGATTCAGCTCTAGTATCACCGGTCCATACTTTGGAGCGACCTCAGACTCTCAGACAGAAGTCGTCAGCCGAACGTCAGCAGCATCATGAACATCGGCCGGCGCATCTCAAGCAGAAGTCCTCGGCCGAGCACCATTCACTGTTTGGCGAACTCAGACACAAGATAGGCTTGGGCGGAACAGACTACGAACCACACACAGTGCTCGATGTCTGTGACGTGGCGATCATGTCTCGACAACCGGCCGTAATGGTGGACGGCCTCTTCCGCTTCGCCACGAACATTGGATGGCCACGAAGCCAACAGCTTCATGAATCCCTCAAGCACAAACTATGCACGGCTTCCGCAGAAGAGAGGGAGAAGATGCTCATGGATGCAATCGTCTGTCCCGACGACAACACCTCCGCGACCAATCCTGGCAACTTGACACCTTCGCTTCAAAGTTTCAACGTTGATCTACATGCTGCTACACCCACCACCGTCGGCGGCTGGCTCTCACACAGCTGGCTCTCTGGCATGATTCTTCCGGGTACCTCGATCTGCGATATACTGATGTCCACGCTCCTCGAGAATGACCCCAACCCGCAGACTCTGCGGGATCTGGGCTCAGCCCGTCTACCGCTTCGAGGATCCGGGTTCATCCTCGACGGATCCTCATGGTGGTCGAAATCCTGCATCGTGGGACGGGTCATGGCACCCATGCGGGGCGCGAGGGAGTCCATGGGCTGGATCTTCACGCCCGATTTCGTCCCCTTGTATGAGAACACTGGAACGCCGTTCAGCAACCGCTGGGTGAAGGTCAAATGTTTCCCTGTAATCACGGATCGCGATCGGCCTAGGATATTCGATGGCGACAGACTGGCCGAAGATTCAACTCCGCTAGGCAAAGGCAAAGGAGGGATAATGGGGACCGAGTTTAGTATGGTGACGGATCACATATTGGATGACGGAAGCGCACCGGAAGTGACAGTCAAAGATATCAAGGTCCACTTGTCCAGCTCTGATGTCACACAGGCGTCTTCAGAACACCCCTTGTCAGCATGGGCCCAGTTCGATATCATGCTTACAACGCCGCCGATCTCTCCTTCTCATCCATCGTCCGCAGACACGTCCGCTTCCGGGACGGCGCAGCTCCAGATCCGCTACGGCCTTGATCGCGCCGTGTATTTTGTGACCTCACACCCGTGCCGCCTCCCACACGGCCACGCCACTTTCAAACCGGGCTCAGCGGATGCACACTATGAACAACAACACCCAAAACACATACAGGGCGTGGCAGAACACATCCCAGCCCATCCACTGCACAAGACATATCCCTACGTGACGAAGACACTCGCGGAGATTGTGCAGAATCCGGGGCTGAATCCCCCGAACCCGACGAAGATGGGCGACGATGGGGTGTGGGTCATTGATGCACGGAGCCACGGTAGTAATTCTGCGCACAGTTCCCAGAGCAATCTGTGCGCCGCCGAAACGCCTACTACAACTCCTTCAACACCATCAGCAGCACCATCAGCTGCAGCCGGCACCATCACAGTCACATCTCCCACCGCCAACGCCCAACCTGACTTATTCCTGCAGCACTATCTCCACGGCAGCAGCGACCCGCAACTCTGGAAAAAGGACGTCCTCGTCCGGGCGTGGTGCGCCGAAAAGGGCCGCAACGCCATCGTCGCGAGAGTCGGGCGCACGTGTCTGTCCTGCGCGATCCGCGAGGCCAAGGCGCTGGAGATTGCCGTCATTATCAGGGTCGGGATCAAGGAATGAAATGGATTCTGTCTGTCTGTCTCATTTCTATCAGCGGATGTGGGCTGGGTGAGTGGATGGATAAAGGGATGGGGTTTTGATTGAGGAAAGCGAGGAAATGGCGAAAGGGGAAGCGGACTAGCTGGTGACTTAAAAGGGGTTTTTTTTTTTTTCGACGTGCTCCTCAGACACATGGTATGATGTCGTCACTCTGCCGCCGCTGGTCAACTCGCAATGATTGGATACGCACCGGCAAGGCAAGGCAAAGCAATCCAAAAGAAGGGAAGATATACGGCGATATACATGGGGATATATGCGTGGGCCGGTCGATAATGACACGCAGCTTTTGATGAATTACATGAGACGAGATGTGATGAGACGAGATGGACCAGCCAGGACATGAGAACAAGGAGAACAAGAAGCATTACTATACTACCTACTCTGTACAGAGAGCGAAGTTCTGGACTCTTTATTTACTTCCTTCCTCCCGCTCGGTCGGCAGATCGAAATCTTTTCTCTCTTTTGTGTTGGAAATATCGTGTCGTTGTGTATGTAGCTACTGTACTCTACGTAGTTATCGGCACAACTATTACTCCATACCCATCTCGGTAGGC